AAATAAAAAAGGGGCTATGCCCCAAAATTGTTCATCCATCAAAAGCAACAGAAACGATTAAAGAAAAAGCCAACCTTAAAGGAAAATGCCAACCCTTCCCCTTTTCTTTTTCTATAGGGTATATATAATAGTTTTCAAGGAATGTAAAAACTCATATTTTGTCATATCCCAACAAGTAGCGACTTCTACATACAAGCGGAAATGAGAAGAATATGCATGCTAGTACATCAGAGGCCCAAAAAGCCATGGGAGTAAGTGCCTACCACAACAACCATACTCAGAGTCACAGTATTCCAAGTATGAGACATGGTATCTGGCACAATTTAACTGTGGTAGCAGCATGTATCTACCTGGCTCATGCTTGAGGGCAGGGAGAGACTTCAGTCTAACGGGAAGAGGAGGAGCAGACAGTAGAAGCTACACAACTTGGTCATGGACAGGAACAGGGGCCGTCCAATTGGGAAGCAAAGAGGGACTATGCTTTTGGGCAAGCAAACCAACAAGCCCGTCCCATTCACCTTGTCATCAAGAGGAGAGTGTTTCTTCTCTATTGCTTGGACTGGAGCAGTTAGGGTTGGGTTACTTCAAAGTCTCCATAGGAAACAAAGATAGAGAGAATATTTTCCCAATTGGTTTGGAGGATAGGTGCACAGATGCTGGCAAAATGTGGGATGAACTTTATTTTTGCAATTTCAATTGGGAGCCGGTTTGTAGCACTAGCAACATAACATAAATTTGCAACAACATCAATGAGGATCCCAGTGGTACCATGTCAGGCCCTTGTTGTAAAAGAAACATACTACAAGATTGGTAAGAGCATAGCACAAACATACTGCCCAGATGATTTCAGGAAGTTGGAACGGGTAAAGGGAAACAAAGGAAAGAGGACGCTAAGGGAGATGGATAGAGAGGCCGGAGATTATTGTGTATATGACAGTGAGTCGCAAAATTGTTACCTGCATAACAACTCTGATGGAACGAACAGCAGTCAACCAAACGCTGGAAAAACAGTACACAACCTTTACCAAATGCAATTTTGAGGCAACAGCAGGTGACTACAACAAGAAATCTAGCGGAAACGGCTCCATTTGTGGGGGATGATGGATCTGAAGAAGGAGAGAGACCTTTTGATCCAGCAAGTATCCTTAAGAGTAATACAGGTGTCACTGCTTTAAACGATGATTCTCTACTAGATAAAGCTCTTGATTTCTTTGAATTGCTTGACTGAGCCATACCAACTGACATAGACTACACCAGGTTCTCATACGTCCAAATACTGGTACGGACCGGTTTTCATTGTCCATTGTGACGTCTCAATTGTCTACCAAGGTAAGGTTATAGCATACTTTCAGTTGGGTTTAGAAATTAGATTTGTTGTACTACTGGAGCTGCTTGTTTCGCTTTGGCAGATTCCTCCTCCACACCCTCCACTTTTGACTCTTCTGTAGATGAATTCTCCAATCCCAACAAATCCTTCGACCATGCTTCAATACACGCAACAAAGACCTCTGGTTCGGCCTGAGCCCAAAAGGAATCGTTTAACCTCTGTTGTGAGTCGCCTGCACTATTTTTTTGCTTCTTCAGATAGAGCCATGGTGCTGCGACTGCGCCAATACCAGCAACTGCAACAGCCGGGGCTACGCAAGAGATAGGATATTGACCAAAGAGAAGGACTGTCAGCGATGGATCACATAAAATAAAGAAAAGCCATCCAGTTGCAGTCTTAGTCCAGCACCCAAGGCCATCACTTACCTAACAGAGGAGCTGATGCAGCCACCGCAATAGTCGTCGCTCCCATGGTCTTAGCATTTCCAATCGCTGTGGAGTGCAAAAAGACATCAGCTTGCAAAGTATTCCATTTGCCAGTCTTACAGAACACTGCCAGGCATTCCGAATTGGAAGAGAAGGCATGATAGGGAGGCAAGATGCTTTCCCCATGTTCCAACAACCAATAGGTTCGCGCCAGCACTAGCTTGGAAGGATCAGCTTTTGGAAGTTTGGCGAGAGATTCCTTCTTTTTCTGTTCATACACAGAATCTTCCTCCTTCTTTTTCAACACTTTGGCCATGGCCGGATTCATTGTTTTGGGTGGGTTCTCTTCTTGCTTCTTCTGTAGCAATTCCTTCATTTTTGGGTTCATTTGGTGACTTGTGAAGTCGGAATTATTGGATCCTTCCGACACTAGTGAGCTGCTAGCTTTCAAATCAGCCGACAAATTGGATTCTTGGGAAGCTGCTGGCTCCAAGTCCGGGGTCGTACCGGCGGACTCGGCACCAATAGTTTCGGACTCCGTTGCAATAGATGCCACAGTCGAATCATTGTCCTGTGAGTTGGCGTCTTTGATTTCCGCCTCTTCTGCAGAAGATTGCCCAGCATGCCCGTTGTTCTTCATTCGTTCTCTGAGTCCAGAAATACCCGGTCCAGTTCGTTCCTTAACAGATGTGGCCATACGGTTGAACCAGTTCTTGGTCTGTTGAGCCTTGGTGGGTGATGAAGATTTCTCGTTGCCCTGGTCTTTTTTGTTGGATCCACCAAACCAACTCTTTTCGTAATTGACTTTCTTCCATTTGGAAATATCTTTGGGATTCGTAAGCACATTTATGTTCAGTCTGTTCTTTTCTCGTTTCTGGCCTCCGATCTTAAAGTTTCTGATGGCTTGTTCCAACTGCTTCTTTTTGGGAGCAGGAGGTTCAGGTGTCTCCGTTTCGCCTTCTTCCCCATTGGATTCATTGGATGCTGAAGCTGCAACAAAAGGGGGCTTCTTCTTGTCCGTGTGAGCTGCTGAAAGCCCAAAATCCACCAATACGACAGTGTCTTCATGGACATTTAGAACAATTCCGTGAACCTGAATGGGCCAGGCAATTGGAAGCATTTCCCATCGTGTAACGTGATCCCCAGGTTGGAGTTTCTCTATTCCTTCATCTTGCGTCGCGGCGCTTTCTGTCGATTTTGAAGAAGGAATCGCGGCGTCCCAGCAATCCGTCACTTCGTTGACTTCACCCGCTTCCGTATTACCAGCATTCTCGGCATTTTCTGATGTTTTGTCTATGGCGCCGTCTACTTCAGAAGCTTCTCCAATTGCCGTTTCTGTCACTTCTGTCTCTGCACTAGCTTCAGTAGGAGTGCTATCTGCCTTGTCGTTGGCAGCAGAATCATTGGATTCCATCTTTACTTTTGCCTTGTTGCTGCGGTCTTGAATAAGCGATGGAAGATGGAGATTTGAGGTCGCATAAAAGTTTCGACACCTGACGTTTCGCTCGAGCGGTTCGACTTTGTGAAGCGAAGCGGGCGGGCGAACGAGAATGCAAATTTCTGTGTGCAACAGTACGAACGACAACGAAAAATGCCAACTGTCATGCGTGCGCAGGGCCAGCCACATTGCTATGACTTGCGGATAACGTCCAGACGATCTTGATTTTCTGTTGATTGATTCTTCTTCTTCGCATTCACAATTCCATTCGTCATTTTCAATTTATTTCCATTGATAGCTTCTACTAAAGTACAGGAAAATAAAACTAATGAATCTAATCCGAACATCCCCCCCCCGCCCTCACGTCACCTGAGGCAGCTTCGCATTCCTCAATTTCTTGCAATGTTTGAGCTCTTACTTTTGCGGCTGGCATCTCTGTTCATGCGGATGATTCCAGATTGGACCATTCTTGAACGCAGGCCACAATTACTTCGGGTTCCGCTTGGGCCCAAAACTGATCCCCCAATCTTTGTCCAATTTCTTTTGAGGCCTTCTTATGCTTGTCCAAATAGAACCATGGCGCCACAACTGCACCCAATCCTACTGCTCCGACAACTGGGGCCAACATGGGAACTGAAGCAGCCATTCCCAAAGTCATCACGACGGTAGACTTGGCGTTTCCAATAGCAGTCGAATGCAAAAAGATATCCGCTTGCAATGTACTCCAGTATCCAGTTTTGCAGAATACTGTAGAAAAGGTAGAAGGGGCATGTCAGATAACAGATTTTAAAAGCAAGTAAACCCAGGCGTACAAGACTTACCAGCCATGCATTCCGAGTTGCTAGAAAATGCATGATACGGAGGAAGGATACCTTCGCCATGCTTGAGTAGCCATCGCGTGCGTGCCAAGACCACAACTGGAGGATCGGCTTTCGATTCATGTTTGGCCTTCTTGGGAGAGGTGCAGGACTCGGACTTCGTCGACAATTCGAAATCCGGATTGGATTCCAATTCCGATTCGGCGTTGGTAGAAGGACTAAGTTGAGGACTCCCAGATGTTGGACTACCTTCGGAACTCTTCGGGCTTGGGGCCTCTGTTTGCGAGACTTCAGCTTCATCAGTAATGACGGAAAGATGAGATTCCTTGCCTTTTGGGGCAGATGATGATTCATGCACAAATTCATGGTCATCTTTCTTTTCTTCCTCAAAAGTGTCGCCTTTGGCATTGTCAGCATCTGTGACGTTTTCTTTGGTTGTTGTTGCTGGCGAACCGCTTTCAGTAGCTGGACCCGCACCAAAACCTTTCGCCATGTAGTCGTCGTGCTCCTTTTGAAGACTCCTTCGCATTTGCCGTTTCTCAAGTTCCAGCAGAAAATCGCCATCGTCTTCATTCGTATTCTTATACGCTTGTACCAAGTTGCCATTCTTAGAAGCTTCCATCATAGCGTTAGTGACTTTTCCATCAGTAGACTGTCGTCGTTTTCCCCGTTGCATAGAAACGCGACACCACCATGGTGTTGCATCCATACCCCCGCAACCAGATACATTTGTTGGTGTACTCGAAGAATCTGCAGACTCGATTTCAACTATGCTGTTACTCCTTGATGTACTCGAGGCAATGGTATCGTTGCTGGAACTCGCCGACTTGGCAGCATCATCCGCAGTCTTTTGCTTCCTGAGTTCTTCTCTTTCAGCTTTCTTCTTTTCCTGCGCTTTCTTCCAATTTCGCCACCAACCGTCCCTACTTTCTTTTCGAGGAGATTCGTTGTCAGTCGACAACTTTCCTTCCTCGGCTTCCTCGTCGTTCGTATCTCCCTTGCCCTCTTCACCATTTTCCTTGGTTCCAAATCCAAACAGGCCTCCATCGTAATTGACCTTGGACCACTTGGATATTTCTTTTTGAGTTGTCAATGTCTGAACATTTAATCGGTTGCGTTCCTTCTTGAAGCCCTTGTGAAAGTTCTCGATTGCGTTCTTAACATGTTGATGTTGTTGCTTCTTCTCAGCCTTGGGTTCGGGACCGCTGTCATTCTTAGCTTCACTTTCTTCACAGTTCTCACTCTCTTCAACATTTGATTCGGTATCCTCTTCGGCCGCAGCCTTTTTCTTGTTCTTCTTGCTATTCTTCCCCTTTGGCACTGCTGCTAAACCAAAATCCACCAAAACTACCGCGTCATCATGGACTTCCAGCACAATACCATGCACTTGAATGGGCCAGGCAATTGGCAACATTTCCCATCTAGTGATATGATCACCAGGAGCGAATGGGACTTTGAGACCCTCTAGCTCTTCCTCGTCTCCTCCCGCATCATCAGTTTCATTAGCAGTATGCGATGGCCTCGCACTACTATTAGAAGGACTAGAAGGACTAGAAGCATCTGAATCAATAGGAGACACTGCTGCGGAAGGAGATGATGCTGATGATAATCCTATATTTGCTGATTTTTCATTAGGCTGAGAATCTGAAGCAATCTCGGCATTCTGATGAGACTTTAGGTTGGATTCTTCAGGTGAACCGTCATTCACGGCATGCACAGTGTTCGCTTCACTAATCATATCTGAGTTGTTCAAAGGCTTCAACGTAGCTGCCGTCGCCATTGTACTTTATTTTACTGATGGCAGCGTTTGGAATGTCACAATCGGAATACAAACAGACAGAAGCAACGCCAAGGCTGATGATGATGATGATGATGATGATGATGATGATGATGCGATGAAGTAAGAAAACAAGCGTTTTCGAGTAAGCAAATAAGAATCGGCCGTTTTTTCAAACTTGTGCTTCACGTGGATCGCGCGGAAGCCTGCATACTACAGTTCCCCCTTTTGATGTTCAGGCGAGAGCACAGATTCTTCTCCCCCTTTTGTGTAGCTACAGTTCGAGTATTTGTTTGGACCATACTCACTCTTGCAGGAAATCATACAGTAAGTGATAATACAGAGAACAAATTGCTGGGCGCAAGAAATTTTTGCTATTACAATAGTAGCAGATGGGGCTTTCTTACAAGGGTGTGTTCTTTCTTACCAGGGTGTGTTCGCTAGTAGTCAATTGATTGTTCATAGGTTATTTGTTATAGTAACATCAGAGCGAAGTCGGATGGATGACGACGACGATATGTACTGTATAATGTCCACTATGTGCTGCACCCCCGGTATCTCGCTAACCACTCAAGCCAAATACCATAGCAAATCATAGTTCACTGTACATCGCGAACGCCCAAAAGTCTGCGGCGCTCTTCCTTTCTTTTTTGCGCTTCTGCACGTCGAGCCTCTAATTCCGCTTTCCTTTTTTCAATTTCTTTTTCACGTTGTGCCTTCCGCTGTGACTTCTCTTCAGGACTTTGGATCGGTGGTTGTTCCACACCAATAGTGATTCGCTTCGAGCGCCGTTCCAATCGTTCTGCTTTACGTCGAGCTTTGTCGGCATCGAATTGGCTACCGCTCTCATCTCCAGAATCCGCTCCCAACACTTCCGAGCCAAAGGACGACAACGACGTGGTGGCCTTTTCTTCCAGTTCCCGAATCCTTCGATCCCTGGCTCTTCGACGGATGGAGTCATCTCCATTCGAAGCGTCGTTAGAGGCTTCGTCTTCGGAGACCTTTCCAGATCCCAATGCAGATGAGTTACTGCCCAACCCTACATATCCCGAATGGATGTTCAGACCTTTCACTCGGGCTGGCGACATTATATCCAAATGCCCAGATTCTCTCAATCGTCGTCGCTCGTCGGCCCGGCGTTGGATCTCTTCTTCGTCCCCTGAGTGATCGCCTTCTTCAGCCAACCCCCTGTGTCCATCGTGCTGGTCCGAATTCTCCAACTGTCGCAAACGTTGCGTTTTGGACACTAGTTTTGTCTTTTCTGCATCTTCCGCCGGCATCAGAACAACCTCTTCGGACCTCTCTGTTTCATCTAAATAGACATCGGAGGAGGAGTCGGAGTGCGCCTCGGAAGCTGCCGTGGAACCATCGTCGTCATCGTTGGAACTTCCATCCTCACTGCTGACACTACTTTCAGCATCATCGTCATCGTCGCCACTGCTGTCGCTCCCATCCACTTCTCCCTCGTCTTCCACTGTAATAGCACTAACCTCAGAAGATCGCGAAAGAAACGCCGGCTTTTCCAACACAGTCATTTTGGGTGTCGGTACTACTGGATCCAGTGTCGGTTCTGACACCGATTCAGATTCCGCAGCAGCCGCTACTTCGGCCATTTTGCGATGGGCTTCCTCTTCGGCTTCCTCAGCTTGCCTCAGCAATTCCATTGCCTCCAACCGCTTACGTTCGGCATCCCTTTCCAATTCATAGGCTTCTTGCTCGGCTTGTTCTTTATAGGGACTCATCACGGGCTCCATACTGGCGCGACGAGAAGATGCAGGACGACGAGCATTTGGCGATGCTTCTGGCGTGTCCGTGGTGGAACTAGCCCGAGTAGGTCGCCGACGTGATGGAATGTCCGGAGTGCCGTTGGTGTCGGATCGAGTCCGAGAAGGCCGACTCCGTTCTGGAATGCCCAGATCTGCCAAAGTAGGGCGTGTTCGAGTCGGTCGGCTATTGCTGGGACCAGAACGGGCATTGGTTTCCGATATCAAGTCAGTCAATGTTCGCTTACTTTCCATACGCCCAAGTACTCTGCGGGCAGCATCCTTTGTGGCTCCTTCTTTATGATCAGAAGTACCCTTTTCTTGCTTTTGCTCGAGCTTGAAAATTTGCTCATCTATTTCTTCAATTGAACGGGACCTCATGGGGCGGCTGGGGCGGCTTTTCATTGGTTCCTCCGTCTTACTTGAGGAAGAAGCAGACATACCCGAGCTGGTCCTCATGGGCCGACTTCTAGTCTGGGTGTCTTCAATCAAATCCGTCAATGTTCGTTTGCTTTCCATTCGACCCAAGACCCTATTGGCTGCATTTGTAGATCTGAGATTCGGTCTTGGTCTGAAGGAAGCTGGTTTCTCTGGTTTCTCTTCCTCGTCTTCTTTTTCAGCACCTTCGCTGTCTTCCCCAAACGATCCCCCCGAAGCCACGCTAGGTTCGCTATCCAATCGCTCCAACAATGGCTTTCTGGCACGACTATTTCCAACATGAGCCGACTGGCTGAGTAGTCTTGAACTTTGGTTGAAGTCTCCATGATCTGTCAAACTGAGACGATTCGATCGTCTTGACTGAGCATTTGATGTCTTAAAGTTCGAAGCGGTGCCACTCAGTATCGCGGATTGGCTGTTCATCCGTTCCAACACTCGGTTCACTTCTCCCCGTTGAGCTGTGCGAGTGAAACGTCGTTTTACTTTTCCATCCTCATCAACGCTATCAGCACTATTAGAGCGAGCAACAGAAGAAATAGGAGCAGGGCGATTCAAGGAAGAGACTCCTTCGTCCATTGTGTAGGAACTTGTTAGGTTGTTACACCTGTTGCTGTATGTTTTGTCAGCTGTATGTGCTGCGAGATGGAAGCACCAAGGTGGTTTGAAAGTTGGATGGGGAAATTTCATTGTGACCCGCTTACGCGGCAGATAATGACTGCGTCCGAAAAGAAGTGATTATGTCCGAGATGTCGGGTAATCTGGGTGAATGGACAGACACTGAATTTGAAAAGTATCATATTTCTCAAAATATAAAAATGGAGTTCCAGATTCCACCCAAAAAATTGCAGACTTGCTGTGACTTGTGACTTGCTTGTTAGTTCCCGCCTCTCACCGGAGGTCATTGGTCCACAGTGATGACCAGATCAAGAACCACGGAGAACCTTCAACCCAGGGAACTGGAGACAAAAGCGGCATTTGAGGGCAGTGCCGGATGGTTTTCAAAACCGGTGTAGAATCACGACGGAACCAGAGTGATCGGACAATCGGTACTCAACACTCCAATTGTGATGCAGAAAAATGAACCTTTCCTTCTTTTTTACATATGATGTGTCTGATCGATCTTTTCGGAGTGACTGGATCAATACGCAAAAAGACCGAGAACAAACCGGTCCATCCACCTACTTATTTGTTCAAGCTTTAGAGACAAAAGCCGAACCTTAATCTGGGAGAATTCCATTCCCATACCGTTTTAAGAAAACCGAACCGGAATAGAAAGAAGCCCCCGACAGATTACGACTGATGAAAGATTGTTGGTTGGAAGAGTTTTGTTGTCACAAAAAATCAAATATCGAAAGAATCACTCTCGTCTCATCAATCGACACGATGGCCATCAAGAACCCTCTCACCAAGGCTATCTTTGCCGAGTTCATCGCAACTGCCCTCTTTGTTTGGATCGGTTGCGGATCCGCTATTGGTACGTCTACGTTTGGATCAACTCTCATCACCGACGGTTCGATTGTTGCTAACAATCTAAATGTATTTTCAATTTTTCTAGCCACAAACAAATGGGGTGCCGTCTCTTCTGGAGCTGATTTGCTGACCATTGCCATTGCCTTTGGATTCGCCATCACCCTGCTGGCCTACTCTATCGGCGGTGTGTCTGGTGGCCATATAAATCCGGCCGTAAGCTTCGCTGTGTTCATCGTGGGTGGAATCGATTTCAAGACCATGGCATGTTACATCCTGGCTCAATTTGGAGGTGCCGTCACTGGTGCTTTGCTTCTCTGGGGCTGTGCCATCTCTCTTACTCTAGCTTGCGACGATTATGAGGACCCCAGCAGCGTTCCTGTCTGTGCTGCCAGTGCCTTGCCCGATGGGCGAGATGGTTACGGTCCTCCTTTCGGACTCGGGGTCAATAGCTTGTCACCACGTGTTGGACTAGGATCCGGCTTTATGATCGAAGTGATGGGCACTTATTTGCTCGTGTTTACGGTCTGCATGAGTGCCATCCACAAGAAATCTGCTGCGGGCAATGCCGCACCCATTGCCATTGGTTGGTCTGTCATGATGGCACACATTGTCCTGGTTCCTTTCACTGGATGTGGAATCAATCCTGCCAGAAGCTTTGGACCCATGTTCATCAACTCCATTGGTGGAGTCAACCCGTGGACAAAAGGATGGTGGATCTATTATGTGGCACCCTTTGTAGGTGCTGCTATCGCCGCCATGACCTACAAGATCATCTTCGCCGAAGAAGAGGAAGAACAAGTCAAAGAAGGTGGAAGTCTAGCCACAGAAGCCGAGCATGAAAGAAAGCCAAGTGTTGACGATATTGAAGTTGGCAAGGAAAGTCTTGCCGCCAATATCTACAAAAACGCGTTTGCCGAAGATGAGGAAGAGGACCTCTAGACCTGCAAAGAAGGAAGGAGTTGAGGAGGTTCCCTGCTGCCAAAGGGGATGAGTGGGCAGCCAGGGAATGTATTTCATGGCTCTCGAAACGATGAGAATCGATTATGGGGAGGGAATTAAAAAGCACATACACTAGAATATATTTATATCAGAACAAAGTGAAACCAGGAGTGCAACAAATCTGAATACTATCTCATTACGCATGCATGACCTCTGGTTCGCCACCTTTCGGCCGTTGTTGTTGTGCCTGTTGTGCTTGTTGCTGCTGCGCTTGCTGTTGCTGCTTCATAATTCGTTGTTGTTTGATCATGTACTCTGCATCCTTTTCACTGATTTCTTGCCCTTGCGCCTTCGCTAGAGTTGTCATTGCGGCAATCTCCGCTCTCAGCTTGATTTCTTCTTTGGAGATTCCTGTTTCGTCTTGGTCTGGACTAGTCATCCCCTTGGTGGATTCGCTAATGATACCAATGCTCAAGAACTCGCGACCCATGATTTGAATGGCAATAGCTCGCTTCTGTCGCACTTTGGGGTCGACCGAACTATCGTGAAATAGTTTGAAGCAAACTTCCTTCAATGTTCTGGTAATGTCACGAACATTAATGGCCCATGCCAGCTCCAAGATGGCTGGCAGTGTGTCTTCCAATTGTTCCATCGTGTCCTTGGCTTGCTGCGTTTGGTCCAATCCCGTCTGTGCTGCCCGTGTCGCATTTCCCATATCTTCCTTCTTTTGCTGCTGTTGGAATTCTTCAACGGTCTTCATGGCCTTGCTTCCCGCCCGGACAGCAGAAATACCGGCACCGACCACCCTCAAGTTATTATGAAAGTTGACCGAACGCTTCTCCCACGCGGCCGAGTGAGCATCCCAGTTTCCAAACAAGGCGGTCTCGAACCCCAAGAACTCTGTGGCTTCCAGTTGCAGTGCTTTTCCAATAGTCTTGCAAAAGACGTGACCAAAGGGTGTTTGACATATTTCAGCCGCTTCAGCTTGCACCATCAGCGTAAACTCACTAGTAAAAGCCTCTTCTTCTTCGCGTGAGTCGACGTTTTCCGACTGATAAGTATCCACAAAGGGTTGAATGCGTTTTCGGAAGTTCTTGGCACACACGACCTGCCGTTTACGTTGGACTAGCTGATCCTCCTCCAATAATTGTTTGATTCTTTCTTCACGCTGCTGCAGTTGTGCCATGTCAGCCTCAGAAGAACTATTTGGGGCACCATCTTCTGCACTGGCTTGGGCCAGATCGTGTGCCATTTTGGAATCCTTCAATACGGTATCCGCCTTGTTGGCAATCCAAAGCTCCCCAATGTAGGGTGTTACCCCATCGGAACCAAACATGACGGCAAAGAATACATACGGATCAATGTCCGCCATTTGCAGTTTTTGGTCATTTTGATCATTGAGCCCATCACGATCATAAGCTGCTCGTGTTTGTTCATTCGACAGCACTTGATAGGCATGACCAAGTTCTTGAAATCGATTGGCTGCCGTTGGGTCGTTGGGATTCTTATCTGGATGGCATTTGCGTGCCTTCACGTAATATTGTTTCTTTATTTCCGCCTGAGTAGCATTTGTTGAAACTCCTAGCAAATCATAATATGCGCGATCCTTGACCTTGCGTTCTGGTCCATTACTGGAAGATCCAGAATTGTCCCCCTTTTTCTTGGCCTGCTCCTTTAGTAGTTCTTCCACTTTTTCCGCTTCGTCATCTAATTTGTAATAATACCATGCTCTCTTTTCTTCATCCCATATCATACCTTGATTGGAACTGGTGATGGCTTCTGCCGAGTTGACAAGTCCACGACCGACTTGATACATACCGACTCCTAGCCCTGTCATAGGAAGGGCGACTGCCGTTGCAACACCAGTGGCCAACCCCGTCAGAAAACCTCCAAAACCATGTTGCTGAGCTCCTACAACTGGTTGGGCAACTAGACTGGCCATTCCAGCAGCTGTACCCTTGGCCACTGATTTCAGACCTGAAGAAAGCCCAGCCCACCCATCTTTTGGTTTCCTCGTGCTGAATAGTTGTGTGAATACCTGACGCTCCTATCGACGGTGAATGAATGGGAATGGAGACAAGTGAAAAAGGTTATGCAAGGGAAATGATCGTTTCAAAATGAATCGTGAGAGGCAAGTTAAATGGTGATGATGATCGATGATGACGATCAAATCATATTCCACCGCTTCTCAAGCTGAATCAATCTTAGAGATCTGCCTAAGATGATGCTGACGAACATACCTGCTCTAGTTCTGTATCCATTTTTGCCACGGTAGTAGACGCATCTGATGAAGCAGGTGCCGAAGCCGTGGTGGATTCCTTCTTTTCTTCCTCCACGGGAGCTCCCTGACTGTTGATCGAAATGTTGACTGGCTTTTCTTGAGACATCTTATCCTAATTGTCGCCGACTGGGAGGTTTTATGGCTCTATAGGAACTGCTAAATTCAGTTTGTATGCAGTAAAGAGAAGTGTACAGCTTTCGACTCTCCTTCTCCTTCAGTTGTCTTCCCGTTTGCTGAATCCAAGATTCAGATTCAAATAACTAGAAATAAATGCGTGCAATGCAGAAAGTAGTTTTCAGAATTCTAATTGTTTCACAGAAATTCTTTCACCGTTGCAACCGCAAAGTAAAAACCAATCACAGAGAGAGAGAGTTGTTGAATATTTTCGAAGACAGGTAAAAGCCGACAGATGCTTGCAAATGCAACCACAGCGACTACAACAGGTACCAAAGACGAAGAGAAACCTTCCAGCCTGCCTCCAAAATCGTTCTCGGTTCGATCGTCGGTCCTTCTTCATGCACGTACACCAAGCTCCAGTCGGCTCCTCTACATAACTCTGGTACACATTGCTACGGAAGTCACAAGACTGACGTGCACGCTTCAGTTTTACTTATTGCGAAAAATTCAAACCGTTACCCCAACGGTCCGCAAAGTGCTCACATTTTCGTTTCGCCGTTTTTAAATTATGTTTTGTCGTGCCTCTGATACGTCTTTAATCTCAACAAGATGAAGGCCTTCGGCTTTCCTTTTTGGTGTGGAGGAACAATCCAACTGTTGGATAGACACTGTAAACGAGGGATGGAACTTCGATGTGATGTTTGACGACAGCCCACCACTCCCACCTTCTAAAGTATGCAAAAATCTAATGTCTATTTCTTATATAATATGTAGTTCCCTTTATCTATTATGTCAGACTCTTATGAGCTCCTGACATATTGCAATCATGGCATTGGAGAACAAATTCCGACGACATTGCTTTCATTTTCTCATTGGTTTCTCTCACTGACGGATAATGGTTGCCATCATCCATCAAGAAGACGACCTTCTTTCGAATCGCACGTGCTTTCTCGTAAGATTCTGTTGCCTCCATAAACTTGCCTTGGAGTCTCCAAAGATTGGCTATATTCGTATAGGTGACAGCAAGATCCGGATGGTCCGCGCGTAAAGTCTTCAATTGGATTCGGAGTGCCCGCTGAAACAAATCATGAGCATCTTCATGGCTCTCTCGTTGTCCCAAGTCCTTCCCCAGACTGTTGTAGACCATGGCAACACCTGGGTGATATTCCCCAAAGGCTTCTCGTCGAAGCTCAAGCGATTTCTCTAAGAATTCTACTGCCTCGTCTTGCTTTTCTTGATGCTGTAGGACCCCTCCCATTCGGTGATACACGGTTGCAACTGAAGGATGAGACAGCCCATGCAGTTTCAGGCAAATCACAAGCGCCTCTTGATAAGCTCTCATTGCGTCATCGTATTTTCTTTGATTTTCCAAAACTCTTCCCATGCAAAGATATGTTGATAGGGTTGACGGGTGGCCATCGTGCCCATGAAGCTCCAAATCAGTAGCCAATGACCTGTTCAAATGCTCCATAGCTTCATCAAACCGACCAAGATGGTCCAAGACGCTCCCAATTTCGTGGCGCGTGGTGGCTGTCGACTCATTCTCTCCCCCGTGCACTGCTAAGTCGATCCCAAGCGATTCTTCGTAGTATTCCAACGCCAACTCGTACTTGCCTAGGTGATTCAATACATTCCCAATTTCGTGGTACGTTTTGGCAGTCGAAGGATGTTCGTGTCCGTGTACTTTCAAATCAACTTTCAAAGATTTCTGATATTTTTGGAACGAATCGGAATAGTTGCCTTGGGCGTTCAAAGCTTTCCCAAGGCAGAAATATACTGCCCCAGTCGACGGGTGGTTGTCTCCAAATGATTTTTGGCAGACTTGCAGCGCTTTCTGGAAATGATCGATTGATTTATCATGCTTCCCTTGACTATCCAAGACATTTCCTAAAGAATGATGTGTTATGCCGGTCGATGGGTGCATAGGTCCATGGATCCTTAGCTTGATATCGAGTGATTCCTCAAAATGATTCACCGCTTCGTCCAGCAGCAGGAGATTGGCGAAGGCATTGCCCATCGATTGGTACGTCGTCGCAGTTGCCGGATCATATTTCCCATTAGCTTTCAACCGAGTCTTCAAGGCTTGTCGGTATGCCTTCAACGCTTTGTCATGTTTGGTTTGGGAGCCCAAGGAGTCTCCCAAACATTGGAAGATACCACCGACCGACGGATGATCTGGCCCATGAACCTTAAGACAAATGTCAAGCGCCTGTCGATACTGCTTCTCTGCTTCTTCGGGTCGATCTTGACGAAACAGAACATTTCCTAAACAGTGAAATGCCGCCATAGTTTCTGGATGCTCGCGCCCATGAAACTTCAAATTGATTTCATTTGCTTGTTGATATCGTTGAGCAGCTTCGTCAAGTTTACCTTGACTGTACAAGATATCTGCCATATCTTGATTCAATGCCGCAATGGCTGGGTGACCATCCTCAAAGCTCTTGGTAGCAATATCAAGTGCCTTTTGCAACCGACTCATAGCCTCTCCTTGGCGGCTTGGGGCAATGTCCTTCAGCAGGTTTCCCAAATTATGGTATGAACTTGCCATTCGTGGATGATCGTCACGCCCAAAAACTTCAGACTCAATTTCGAGCTTCTTCTCCAACATGTCGATGGCTTTATCCAGTCTGCCTTCCTCCTGAAAGAGTCTTGCAATCTCATTGTATGTCCCTGCAACTTCAGGATGAATCGGTCCTTTTTGTTGAATTTGACGATCCAGTTTCTCGAATAATTGTTCACGAGTCAGAAGATCGAACCTATCGCCTGACAACATTGGCGATCCCATAACGTGTCCAAGCATAATAACCGATTATTGGTTTTGAATTGCCGAAGTTGCTGGTATGTAGGCTACTATAGGCAACTACCGGTATATGATATTGCCGATGGATTTCTTGAAAGTAGAAGAATCAATCAACTGCTAAACTGATGAAAGAAGATGAATCAATCAGAATAAGATGATCCAAATCTGTAAATAGGTATGATCCACGGTCTTGTCAAGCTTTGCACGGGAATTGGGAAGCGAAACAAGATTTCAAAGATGGAATATGATGAAAGTATTTTGATCAGTTGAACGTGAATGTTTCCGAAATATCGTTCCGTTGAATCCTTCGTGACATGTCACAAAAAAGATCGAACCAGTCGAATTTTGGAGGCGCACCACTCCGCCTGCACGATGTGATTTTAGTTGGATCTTGAGACTTCGTACCTGCGGTTCCGTATAAATTGAAAGCGAAATAATTCAAGATGTAAAGAGTACACTATCTAAATAATTTCAATAAGAGTTTCTGTAGTGATCAAAATTGGACGCCAGCGGCGGACTGGTGGCATCAGTTGATGGTCGAAATTGAGATCTCCTGTCGATCCAATTCTCTCACTTGATCGTCTTGTCCAGGATAGACTTGGCAGCTGCATTCTAAATTACGAGTTTTCTTCTAAGACTGCATTGTCGCCTCCAATCTCATTGCTCTGTTCCTCGGCCGATCTTTGTCTAGCCGTCGTAAACAGAGCCATTAGATTTGGCCCTTGCCATTCTCCCCGGGGACTGCTGAACTACGCCGCCGTCACCACCACCAGTCGTACCTGATCCTCCAGAATACTCGTCCATTTCGCGCCGCTCCTCCATCATGGCATGGATGTTGCTGACAAGGGCCTTGATATCCATGACATTCTGTTCCAAAGCGGCAACTCGTTCGTTCATTTCGCTATTGGCTTCTGCAACTGCACTTAAAGTGTTTCTCCGAATACCTTCCATCTGCTGATCGAGTTTTGAGGAAGACTTTTGAACTGCGGACTCGAGGCTGGAGACTTTGCTGTTTGTGATTTCTTCGGATTCGCGAACAACATCATTCATGGATTCGATCAAGTGGGCAATTTTCCCGCCCCAGTCCTTTTTCTCTTTATCCGTTCGATCACCGCGGATACTCTTGCCCAGAAAGACTCGGAAGACGGCAGTCAACACTCGTCCAAGCAAGTCGAATATCTTAAACTTGGTCAGACATTTCAGAATTCCAAATTTCCACAAAAAGGGCGACGCTACAAGAAGTGAGAGCAGTGTCGCTAATGTGATGTAGATGGCTTCTCCACTACGGTCCAAGATATTCTTTTCAATGGTCAAGAAGGCAAAACCAGTAAAGAGACCTCCAGCAAAAAGAAAGTAAACAATGGTTCCCTTGACACTGTTGCATATAAGCAAGCGCCGATACCCATGCTCGCCTTGGCCACCCGAAATGGGGGCAACAACGTACGATAAGAACGCGCTGACTTCCACCATGAACATCAAACGAGCTCGACCAAAGTGCATCTCAATCTTGGTCATGGATTTGTCATAGGAATCACCAACAATGGCAATCAAGAAATTGAGAACCACAATGACAACAGAGAAGGTATACAGGACCCAAAGCAAAGTGGTAAATGGAGTATCGAACAGATAGAGATCGATTTGCCCGAGAAGAATGGAATAGGCGTATAAAATTGTCGAATAGAAGTTGTCGAAGGGAGAACCTCTTCCGACGCCGTACACTTCGGAAATCACGTTGGGATTTCGGCAGTATCCTTCGCTACAGGATAGCGTTGTGAAAAACATTTGGCTGAAGGCAGCAACAATGACAACCATGATCCAAAAAAACCAAAAGATATCCTTGACAACCTGTATCACACAGACCAAAAGAAAAATGGACTCGGTGTGAGAGCGGAACAGTGACACTCATTCAAATTTATGCAATACAATGGACTCACCTCGCCCAGGGCAAAAATGAATGTAGCAGTGTATTGATTCAAAACCTTGAAGTAGAACAGAATTCTAAAATATAAGAAACCGATTGCCACAGCTGAACAGGCTGCGTAGACCTCGGCATTGGCCAACCACGCGTCATGAAATTCCGGGGACATATATCCGCCGCCTGTTGTGGGCAAGTCGTACACCATCGCAAGAAAAATTGTCAGCATAACAACAGGGAAGAAAACCGAACTGAAGCTGAAAAATTCCCGCAAAAATCCAAATTGACTTTTCAAGAATCGATGGGGCACCGTCAACCAAGTACACAACTGCCTAACCGTGAAGTACAAAGCATTGACTGACATAAATATCACGGATGCAATCAGGAGAGTGTCGATGACAAGGTCAACATTGCCATCATAACAAGATATCAATGGAGAGGAACCCATGTCATCCAAGAAGACCGACGGATCATAAGGAACAACACTATCTCCAAAGGTGGAAGGATCGTGGCATACTTGGCAATTTACGCCACAATTGATTGATCCTGCTCGCATAACGACACCTCCGAGATCAGTGAAAGTGCCGTTTTGATCGAAGTACATGCAATCACTTGCGTCTGTCAGTGTTCCATTGGTACACATATCCGCTGCAGTTTGATTGACATAAAACATGACAGTTGGGGCAAACTTGACTTGGGAAACCAGGGCAAAGAGATTGTTCGAACAGATGGTGTACATGACAACAGCTGCAAACAAGAAGAAAATGTCCAATAGAATCACCAGTACTGTCTCGGGCTGAAACAAGGCTTCATCCAAGATGAATTGGACAATGCTGGAGGAACTGGCTTCCGTAAAATTCTCTTTCGTGAATTGCATCAGCGCTGGAATGATGGCCGGCAAGCTGGCTGCCTTCAAATAAACCTTATGCTTGCGATCCGCAATTTGGTGATTGGATGTAACAAATGCCGTCGACACACGCGATCGCAGGGAATTTGAAGACTCTTGTGATAGCTTGTTTTCAATATCTGTCACTAGCTTCATATATAAGAGGGCTCGATTTTGCGCAACCTCGTCATCGCTGACAATCATGTAAACCAGCCATGGCCCCACTGAATTCTCATGCAAGATGACTTCGTGGATCAGTCGGGTCTCCAACAATTCCCGCCGTGAAATATCGTCATCAATCAGTAAAATATTCTTGAGAAAGCAAGGGATGGACGCTATAACTTCGACAATCTTGAGCACCCAATTCGCCTTTAAGGGTTCACGTTCAATCATGACGGACAACATTCGAATTCCCCAAAAGGCTACATCATCAATGACCACATTCCAAGGAATCAGTTGCTCTGCAGCATCTTCATCATCCTTTTCCTCCAATTCCATTCCCATTTCGGATATGCGTCGCTGCGGTATCTCATTCACCAATTCCACCCATTCTAGCAAGGCTTGTACAAAGGGAAATTGGCCTTCGTCGGACTGGGCCACCAAGGCTTTTCGATTCTTTGGAATGAGTTCGTCCAAGATAAAGGTGTCCAAATCCTCACCCAAGTTGTCAGTGAGCATGTCATTCTCGGAAATTAGGTGGAGAGGCAACTTGCCCTCTTCATCAGCAACAGATGCATAGGATGGATCTTCCTCCAATGCAGCACGCAAATCATGAATGGTGGATTCTGGATCAGCAGCAGCTTTGTGCAACCTCGTGGTTCGTCGCTCGTGGTCCCCTTCGTCGTCCATACCCATGACCGATCCCCTTTTACTCTTATCTCGCTGTTGAATCATTATGGATACACCCCTGGCTCTACCATCGATCTCATCCAGTCCCACTCCTGCTGCCTTAGATCGGGGAGGTGGTGACATCCCACTTGGAGGAGGTGCCGGCGGCGGACTGCTGCCATTGAATCGCTTGTGTGAAGGCGCTATACCAGCTTGCATTATACCCGGCCTTTCTGATCGTTGGGTATCAAGTTTTCTCCGAGGAAGTCCACCGAAATTCCGACGCCCTGGTGATGCACCTCGGCGTCCTGGTGATTTGCTGCGACCGGGAGACTTGCTACGACCGGGAGATTTGCTTCGACTTCTCATACCTGGAGAGTTGGGCATCATCATGGCCATGTTCCCGCTACCACTTCCATCTAAATCATCATCATCATCACTGAGCGCCATTCTTCCTCGACCTCTTCCACGGGCAGCAAATGTAGGAACCATTTCATCATCATCATAGTCATTGATGTCTGATAAGTCTAAGCTCTTGCTACTCGCTCCACTATGAAAACTCTCTGTCAGCAAATTGTAGGCTTGACGGCCCACGCCATTGACCGACTTGCCAACTGTATTGACTGCAGTTCCAACTCCGGTGACTGCCTTTTTGCCGACCTTGTTGACTTTGGAAGCCAAGTTTTTCTTGCTTTGTTCCTTATCTTCATCAGACGGTGGACTTTCTCCAGGACCCTCAGAAGAAGGATCTTCGTCATCCTCATCATCAACTTCCTTCCAATCATTCAGAGGACCGGTGGTGATATCATCCTCCGTCTCGTTGACATTGTCCAACTCATCATAAGATGCATTTCCAAAGGTGGATGTGGAATCACTCAAGCTCTTTTTGGCGGATAGTGCTGGGGATGTTCCTTTCATGGACCATCCAGGACCACTGTGGGGACTGGGGGGGTTGACGGCTGGGGCTGGAGGGGTGCTCGAATTGCTTGTATTGAGGCTCTGATGACTACTCTTTTTCCCTCCAATACCCATCGCTCCACCAACAGCTCTATCCAGTCCACCAACCATAGCGCCCCCGACATGTCCAATGGCCCCGAACGTTCCACCAACTACTGTCTTTGTAGCTCCAACGGTAGCACCTGTACCTGTAACCAGCAATCCTCCAACGGCATCCATTCCACTCCCAATGACTCCAAATGGTTTTGTAATCACACCTAAGGCTGGATTCTTATCATGAAGGCTCCGTTCCTTTCCTTTCAAGCTGCTAATAGATTGCATAGCCGCATTTCGACTGTTATTCCGCTTGGGAGGCTTTGCACGGCGAGGAATATTTCGTTTTCGGTTGATGGGAGGAAGAGGACTTTCATCGTCATCATCATCTGAACTATTATTACTCTTAGGAGGAGGAGGCTTCCTGTAATTGTTCCGTTGCCAATGTGTGACTTCGTTTGCGTTATTCATTGTGAAGGGGGCGAATCCTTAAGTTGCGATTGTTGTATTGTATTGTATAGTATAGTATTGTATTGTATTGTGAATAATGAATTGGAGAAGCAAATTCGGAAGAATTCAGGAGAAATCAGAAATTCTAAACTCTGTGATGATTCAGAATTTCAACCCTATGCTTTGCCTTCTTAGCAGCTTGTGATGCAGCTGGATTGTATTTGTTAGGTCTCAAGGGGCTGCTCAGAAGGGTTAGATGATCACACGATCGAAGTTTTAACAGCACCAATAGAGACACCTGTGATGAGGTGAGATATTTTAGAAGACTCGAGCCGCCAACCTATTCATTCGACGTGACAAGCTAATCATTTCTAACTCTACAGCTGCACAGCACGTGCACACTCGTCGAGCCGTCTCCCTTGTCCTACAAACGCCAGCCATTTAGTACCTCTGTCGTATCACCTCATGTCGCAGTGGTGTGCTCGCTCAACGCACCACCTTGATTCCAACTTCCGATTAGCAATCTGAGTTGGAGTCCCATATAAGTATTTCTGTCACTAGTCCAAAGAAGTTTCAGCCGCGTTATTTATCTTAGAGTGTTTGATAAATATAAAAAATAATAGATAAAAATACGATGGATTTTTCAAGTGAATGACAATCAAAAAATACCACGTGGTTCGAGACTTCCGATAATTGTAGACTTACTGTGACATTTGGTACGACCAGAAAGTCAGGTCGACATCTTGAATTTGTACGACCAGCAGAAAGTCAGGTCATAGCCTCCGTCAAATTGTGCCTGGCAGACAGACAGACCTGTCCTGAAATGAAGATGTATTGCGATATGAAGAACGTCTCTCATGAATCATGAGAGCGACGCGTTAAAATACTCAAGATTTACGCCTAGCTTGAGGTGGACGAACTATCTCCTATTGGCAATACTATCGAGAACCGAGCTTGAAGAATAGCCAAGTTTGATATCCAGCATAGAACTGTAAAAAGGCGACGAACTGAGACAGAAAATCAGAATACTCGCTGAATCAGAATCTGAAGTTGATTTTAATTGAGCTGAAGCGTGTGTGACGATACTTGGTGGCCAAGAAAAAAGGAAATCTTTGGATACTGTTGACAGAAACATCAGTTCGGAGTCAGTCCAAACAATAGCTTCATTCTTGTATGCTGAGACTTGGATTAAGAAGTCGAACTTGATTAAAAGTTGAAGACGTTCTATATTGATTGTTAATCATCAGGTTCAGTTACCACACAGATAGTGGCCCCTGAAGAGCTTATAAGGAGAAGACACTTCCTGTGAACTCTTCCTATCTTTCTGAACTCAGTAGAAACCTAAAACTGAGGCTCTTTCGAAACCTAAATCCAAAATGGTAATGACAATTGATGATATGGATATCCCGAGAAAGCCGAGTACCATGACTCCCATGAGAGCTCGGTCTCCTTCTAGACCTCCTCCACCTGAAATTAAGGACGACGATAGTAGCACACTGTCTGGGGAAGGAGACGATTCCAAAATGCCGATGACTATTGATGAAATGGATATCCCCAGAAAACCAAGTGCAGCAAGCCCATCTCGGCCGCGGCAACCGCTGGTACCTTTGGCGGATAGTGATGATAGTAGCACACTTCCTGCTGCAGAAGGCGAAGATACTTATGAGCCGGCTGGCAGAGGAGAGTCGAAAATGATTATGACCATTGACGACATGGCTATCCCAAGAAAGCCGAGTTCGAGTCCTCCAAGGCAACCGCTGGTACCACTGGCGGATAGTGATGATAGTAGCACACTTCCCGCAGCGGAGGGAGAAGATACTTATGAGCCGGCAGGGAGAGGAGATTCAAAAATGATTATGACCATTGATGACAGGGCTATCCCGAGAAAGCCGAGTTCGAGTCCGCCACGGAAACAGCTGGTACCGCTGGCGGATAGCGATGATAGTAGCACACTTCCCGCAGCAGAGGGAGAAGATACTTATGAGCCAGCAGGGAGAGGAGATTCCAAAATGACAATGACTATTGATGACATGGCGATCCCGAGAAAGCCGAGTTCTAATACTCCCATGAGACCGCTGGCTCCGCCGAGAGCACTGCCGCTGCCACAACTGTCGGACGATGACAGCAGCACATTGCCTGAGGAAGAGCCGAAAAGAGTAATGACGATTGATGATATGACCATCCCAAGAAAGCCGAGCTCTATGCCGTCCATGAGTCCTACGAGGGCCCGGTCGAGGTCCCCTGCTAGACCACGGACACCGCCACAGATGAAGGATGATGATAGTAGCACACTTCCTGGCGAGGGAGAAGATACGTTCGAAATACCAAATAATGAAGGGGAATACAAAATTGCTCAAAAAATCCAACCACAAAACAAGAAAGCAGGTCGCGGACTTGTTTCCTTTTCTTTGTCTGGTGGGCCCTTGTTCAGTCCAAAGAGCAGAAAATACATGGAAAAGATTCACGATCCTACCAATGACGATGATGTGAGTAGTTTGGAAGAGAGCAATCGGTCCTTGGGCTTTGACATGAGTGATGACTTCCCAATACCCGCCGTTCGAGGCAACACTACTGGTCTTGCGGCTCAAGCTGTTCCCTTGAGGCGGAGCCAATTGGAAGATGAAGAGAATGGTGCTTTGGGCGAAGTGGGCGATACGTTCGATATGGAAGATGTCAAGCCAGCAAAAAAACGGGGTTTCAACTTGCGAGGCAACCGACGTGTTTCACGGATGGGAATAGGCAACAAATCACCGAAGAAGTCACCCAAAAACTCTCGTTCACCCAAAAATTCTCCAAAGAAATCACCCAGTAAGGTCGACAGTGCCAATGGCGATTTTGTTGCTCGCATGACTTCTGCTGAACTAAAAGCAAGAAGGAAGGAGCTAGAGTATGGCGACGATAGCAGTACCATGGGGGGCTTGGGCGATACACTAGAATTGGTCGAAACCGAGCCGAAGAAAAAGCGAGTTTTCAACTTAAGGGGCAATAAGCGTGTTTCACTGCTTGGAGGTTTTGGCAAATCCAACAACGGTTCAAGTGACGACGATGACGACGAAGAGGAAACGGATGAATTCAATTTGGCTCCTTTGACTGCTGAAGCCATGTCAAGACGACGAAAAGAGCTCGAGTATGGCGACGATAGCAGTACCGTAGGAGGGGAAGGTGACACACTCGAACCTGTTGAAGCGAAACCCAAGAGGGGGATGTCCAAGATGGTATCTTTCAGCATGAGTAGTGGACCTGCATCATTGATCGGAAAACTCAGTCCCAAGAGAAACAAAAAGACCCTTGGTGGCCTCAAGGAAGGGGTTTCGGATGACGAGAGCGACGACTTGCTTGGAGGTCTGTCCAGCAAATCAAGAACCATCAGTCACAGTGGAGTCAATATGGCAGGTGGCATCGGAGTGGGAAAGGTTCCCAATTCACCAATGGTGCCTCCTTCCCCTATTCAGGTGTCGAGAAGGCGCAAACCCAGGCGACGAGTGAAGCGAGGTGGAATGGTCACAACACCGTCCTCCATGAATCTCGGGGAAGTAATGTCCAATCCATTTACTACAGAGGATATGGAAGAAGTCAATAGAGCCCAGTCTCGGCGAGGAAGTGTTTCATCCGTTGTGTCTGCTAGCGAATTGAGTCAAGAGACAGATTTGCACAAGGCTCTTGCTGACGAGGACGCCACCATGGAGCAACTGAACTACTTGCTACAAAACGAACCAGCGGCGGCCTCCATCCACGACCACGACGGAAAACTACCACTTCATATTGTCGCAGAAAACGAACAACTACATCTTAACCTGGGACAAGCGCTTGATGACTTCATTCTTGAAGACCTCATTCATCGGAATCGACGGGCACTGATCACTACAAATTATGCAGGAGAGTTCCCCTTTGTGGGAGGCATTCGGGAATGGGTTGATAATATCAACGAAGTTGCAGAAAACAACATACCGGATTTGAGCACATTTGAGAGCAAGAAAGCCGAAAGTCCGAAACCAATGGGCGGAAGAAGGAGGATGTCTTTATTGGGCGCTTTCGGGGCTGGTCCCAAGGAACCAGACTCTGACGACTCCTCCGAACTCGCACTGGTCGCTCCCAATAACGACGTGGAAGATCCAGCGAAAAAGGAAGAGATACTTCGGGATTTGGCAGAACATTTGATTCCCTGGAATGTTTTCATCGATGATCTTGCTCTGTGGTCTATTGATATGCTGTCCATGTTAATTGAACGAGAGCCACTGAAGGCTATGTGGACCATCAAGATTGTTGACACCGTCGCGAGCATTCCCTGCTTTCTCAAGACTGTGCTGTTGATAGACGATGATGAGCAGCGGAAACATGTGTTGCAAAGTCGTCTGTTGCATGAAGTCATGTTGCATGAGAAAAGTATGGGACCTTGGCTTGTTTACTTGATCACCTCAGACGACGAGGTTGCCCAAGATCGAGCTGTCATGTATTTGCAACTAATGACTGTCATTGAAGGTAAAATGGCAGCCGCCCATCGCTCGACTTTCAGCACAAGACTCTCTGGTGCTTTCAAGTCGGCTGATAATCAGTTTTTCGAGCGGAAGAACAAGGTCTACACCAAGGCGGCAGAATTGCCAGGCATCATTCCATCCTTCATGCAATTCAACTCAAGCAATTTTTCCAAATGCAGTACATCAAGTATTGTCCAATTCATTTTGGATAAGAAGCTCTTCGAGCCAAAGTCTCTGACAGTCATTCTCTTTGATGTCTTTTTTCTAACAATGGCAGTTGTCTTGTTCACTCTGTGTTCCAATGAAGTCTTCAAGCTCATTTCCAACATGCGGTATTCACCAATGCTGACCTTTGCCGTGAATCAAACGGCATATAATCTGTGCGAAGATGGAACCTTGGGTCGAGATGACCATACTTGTTTGTACTACAACGAAAAGCAGGCCAATGGTGATCCTTTCAACATTGGGTCCGTCAGTCTGTTTCGGCCCACTTTTGACTGCGACTTGGAATGCCAAATTTGTAAAGGACTAGGCAACTTTGAAGGTGATGCAACCAAGGGAGGCAGCATCATTGAGTACTCTGGAGAAGAAGCACTCAGCGAAGAATTCCTCTTTACCTGTTATGCCATTGGCGACCGGTATCCCATTGACACCTTTTTGATATTTTGCGTCATGGCTCTTTCCTTCAATTGCTTGTACTTCATGTCACGAAGTTTGGCCGCATGGGGTCGTGTACCTCGCAAGTATTTGGCGGCTCAGTTTTTCTTTGTTTTTACAGTGGTGGATACAGTTTCGATCATTTTCCCCGTGGTTTTAGTCATCATTTTTTTGCTGTTTATCTATCAGACAGACAAATACACTGGCATCGGAGATGGCAACTACGTCCCGTTGAAGATATATGAAGTTTGGATGTACGAAGCTGAATGGTTATCTGCTGCTTCAGCAGGATGTGTGGGGTTCTTGTACCTCAAGATTCTCATGTATTTCAAGGTTCTGAATCAATACACAGCAACCTTTATTTTTGCTCTCGGGGAGGTGAGTAAATAGAAGGTTTTGACTTCTCCGCAGATTGGTTCTTTCTTTTCAAATACTCACTGTATTGAATCCTTCAATCGTTTCACGTCACAGGTTGTCAAGGATATCTTTTGGTTCTTTTGGATCATGGTCGTCATCATATTCGCCTTCAGTCAAATGTTTTACACCACGCTTTCTTGTAAAGAAGGATTCTGCAAGGCCGACTTTGGTCAGTCCGAATCTCCCTACAACTTCTTCAGCGACAGTCTCTTGATCACGTACTCGATTTTGCTTGGAGAATTCGATTTGGAGCAGTACAATTCACCATTCACGACCATTCTCTTTGTATTGTACACGTTTGGCATTGTGATTGTGGTGCTAAATTTCTTGATTGCCATTGTGGGCGACTCCTTTGACAAGTCCATGATTAAGATTGAGTCTCACTTTGGTCGAGCTCGATTAATGTTCATGGTGGAATTGAGTGCCTTTCAATCGTACGCCAAGGTGCCCTTTCGAGTGAAGAAACAAAACTACCGCCGCTTTTTACTTGGCGGCAATTGGAAGGGCTGCATTTCCTACATCATACTTTCAGCTGGTCTGGTGTCTGGATTCGTCCTGCTAATCATCAACAAGGACTTGGTGACCAAAAGTTCCACACCAGTGATTGCCATGATTGGCGTCACTCTCGGATTGATGATTCTTTCTCCCTTCATTTGGAAGTTGGGCCTTGTTCGATTCTTGGTGCATTCCTCGTTGCTGTCTCCTGTTCGCAGGGGAGTTGGAAAACTCTTGATTATGTTTTTCCGGGTAATTTTGGGTAAGAGTATTCTATCCGAGCGATCCGAAAAGGACCAAAAGGATTGGGGTGGTCGTTTGAAGCATATTGTTGGCGCAATTGATGAAAAGATTCGAGAGTCTGAAGCCTTGACATTGTCCACTATTGCCGAGAATGATGAACGACAAAACCGAATAATTGAAAAGATGGAGCTGCGAATGGAAAACTTGGAAGAAGATGTTTCCGATATGAAGAAGATGCTAATCAAGATTCAAAAAATGCTGGAAGAGCAGGGGTAGGACCTACTCCTAGATGAACCATTATTTTGTAATATAAAATGGATATGTATGAAAGCTAATAGCAACATGGAACAAAAGAGATGATTCCAGCTCTATGCTTACTGGATGACTCACTCGTTCGTTTTAACTCGCGGTGTATTTTCAATTTGCCTTCAACAGTCATGTTCCATGTAGGTAGGTGGTACCAGGTACCAGTACGCTCTATTCGTAGGAAATCCTCCAAGATTGATCATCCCGCCATGCATGTTCGTACCGGTACTGGAATTGACCAATCGATCTCGCCCGATGTGATTTCCCCCCGCAATCGAAATGAACCCGTCTTGCCCCCCCCCCCCCAATGCGTGGTCAACCTTGAAACCGCCAAATTGAATTAAAAAAATCGGATCAACAGAAACAAACTTGTGGTCTTTCGGTGGTGATCGTGGTAAATGCAGTACCGGTACAAACCTTATTACAACAGTCAGTGTGTGGTCGGTATGTCCAAAAAGAAACACGACATTGCTTCCGACCGGCTCCCACGACCAACATTTAAGCACTAATGATAATTCTAATGACACTGGTACCGCTTGAACAGAATTTTGGCAATATGGCTCCGCTACTTGGGCCGTCCGCTAATCGGCTGGAATAAATGTTACAGATCTGATCGCAGTCAATCCATTCGCCCTTGAGTTCTTGTTAAACCAACTCGTTCTCCATGTTCAACCTCAGCGCAGGCATAGATGTTGTAATAGATAATCTTGTCGTGGATCCAGAAAGCCCCTAACGAGGCACTAAATCGCATTCTATGAGCATCTCACTTATGGACCGCTAACATTTATTAGATAAATGGCCCTCGAAATAAGGTAGATTACGATGGTGTTTCTTTGTTTCGCAATTATAGTGTGGCATATTGGAAGTGCGAATTTTACCAACGGCTGACACCTTGTACATCAAAACTTCATGCAGCTTGCGGGTCTCTAGAGTCGCTGGTACTTAGTGGCGTTTACTCGTCAAATCAACACATTTTGTCCTTGTTTTCGTTCAGACACTCCGTGAAAGTTTTTTGTACATTCCGTGAAACTTCCACTTTCACAGACGCGCCTTCAGTCTTGAGCTTCACAAACCTGAAACGAGACTGAAAGCACGAAACAAACAACTTCTCTCTCCATAAACTCGACACATACAGTATACACCCAGAAATACAAAGATGCTCAGCAGTCAATCCATTCAATTGATCTTCTCTAGCTGGGACGTCATTAAGAACATTCCAGACTTTCAAGAAGTGTTTAGCAACCAACTCTCAGAAAAGTAAGTTTTTGATTTGACTTTCTGGATGGTCTTTGTCCTTTGTCCTTATTGCCAGCTATTAATATGCAATCATTTGCTCACCAACGCCTGCTTTTTCGTCTCTCAACTCTAGACTCTCAGATTCTGTAGTATCCGAATGGTTCTCCGGACCCGCGAATCCGCACCATTTGGTGTTTGTGAAAATGATCGATCTGATCGTGCACCTCTTGGGTCCAGATTTGGACGTCATCTTGGAGGAACTCACCTCCCAAGGCAGACGGCATCACCGATACCACAGCGACATGATTGGATTCTTTCACGTTGATATCTTTAGCGAAATTGCCGATGCCTTTATTGCCATTGTTAGCAGCATGATACAAGAGCAAGCTTCCGCCAAAGATCCCAACGAAGTCCTGCCTGAATCCTCCGTCTTGCATCCAAACCAGCTAGAAGAGATCACCAAGGCCTGGTCCGCAATCTTTACCATGATGCGGGCGATTATGAAGCAGGGAGTCAAAATTGAAGTCAAGAGACACCAAAGACGTGCCGAAAAGAAACGACAAGAAATTTTGGCCAAGCAAGAACGACGAACCTCGGACTCGGATACCACGAAACCAATGTCCGAATCGGATAGTGATACTGCTTCCTTGGACCTCTCCTCGCACAGTAACCACAACCCGTCATCCACAACAAAAAGACAACCAAGGAAAGGAGGCAAACGGGGCATTGGCCGTGCCGTCAGTTCCACCCTAGAGTCTATGCGATCACCTCCAGGGAGATCGTCATCCGGCATCCGAGCAGGCTTGGCAATGTTGGGTTCTGGATCCAACCACAACAAGAAAAAGTCGTCCAAGTTGGCCGCCTTGTCGGAACAGTCTTCTCCTTCTTCCACGAAGAGCAATGGTAATAGTAGTGGAAGTAGGGCTGCTCCGCTCAGGAGGGGAATCCGATCCTCCTTGTCCATGAAGCGATTGACCGTGAGCCGGAGTTAGGTATAAAGTTTCAAACTTCATCTCATATTGTTGAGAAGAAGAAGAAGAGGAAGAGGAAGAGAAACTCCAAAAGTATATTACAAAACGCTGTAACATTAGTAACTGTAAACGATTCATAATGATAAGAAATGTTGATCATAACACCAATATAATGTTTTTAGTCCTAGTCTAGCCAGTGCTGCATGTTCTTGCTGGCGAACTTGCTTCTATGTGAAACTAGTAATGTAGCTGTACTAAAACTGGTAGTACAGCATATAATACCTATACTATCAATACTTTCTTAGGGTTAGGCCTGATTGTTTTATATATTTTATGGTACTGGTAGCATACCGGTATCCACCACGTCCCACATATAAAAAATACTGTAATACTCTACCGGTATACCGGTACTTATTACTGTATTCGAATAATCAACCGAGCAAACACTTCGCTATTTTTGCAGTGCCGTCGGCATTTTCAATTTGGAGAAGGCAGACAAGGGGGGGGGGGGCAGAAAATGGAAAGAGAAGGGGGGAAGGTGAAACGCACGAGCGGGAAGAAGAAGACACAAAGAACAACTTGAAACGGAACAAGCAAGCGAACACGTCTACCTGTCCGGCATGGTGGCGCGAAAGAGTGTCCGACATATCGTCCGCTACACCAGGGCGAAATACGTACACGTATGGTACTGTGTGGTACTGTGTGGTATGTACGAAGTCCGAATTTGAATGATGGTGCTTGGGGCCAATCCACACCTTGAGCTTTGACAAGACGAGGTGATTCGCCGCCTGAAGAAATTGACAGAACGATTCCTTTCTCTTCCATGCATCCAAAGTCACGAAACAACTTAAGAACACCACTTTTATTTTGTCGTCGAATAAAATACTATCGTACCAGGTACCGTACTATCGCAACCATCATCACGCCAAGAGTATACAGATATAGATCCAAAACGATTGATTCTCACACAGCATCAAACAACAACAATAAACTCACCTACAATAACTGAGGCACGAAAACACTTCATTCGTCACTGTCAAAACAAATAAGCTACAGCGTTATTGTACTATTTACGCTTGAGGCATCATCAACTGCTGAATCCGCAGTTTTCTTGCACAAAATAACACACAATCTGTTGGTATCACACTGTAACATCAGCCAAACAAACATAAGCCACCATGAATGCACACCAAATAAGTTCAGATCCCAATCGACACATGTGGCCGTCCGGTGAGGCTCTCAACTCACAGCAACATAACAACAACAACAACAACAGCAGCAACAGCAACAGCAACAATGTTATACCAGCGACAACCATGTCTATGAATCCTGGACACTACTTTCCTAATGGCTTTCAGTTAAATCAAATGTGGATGGATAGTCTTGCCAAAGGCATGACTCAAGAACAAGTCTCATCGCAAAAGCAACAACAACAACAGCAGCAACAGCAACAGGAACAATATGAGCCAAACTTTTCACCAACTCCGCTACCGCAGCACCACCACCAACAACAACAACAACAACAACCGCAGCAATATGCAAAGACAGTGATCCAATCAGCTATCAATCACAATCACAGTCACAATTCAAATCCAAGTCTAATGCAGCACCCTACGAATAACATGATGACTGCTACAGCAGGCTTTCCACAGTCCACCAACGTGAATGCTTCCTTTTCTGCCGCACCTATGCAATTACAGACCACGGCATCACTGATTCCAATGCTCAACCTTCATCAACAGCATCATCATCATCAACAACAACAACAACAACAACAACAACAAGCTAATAATACTACTCCAACCCCCAGCATGATGAGTCCAAACAATGTTCCTGTCAGTCTACAGCAAAGAATGTTGCTTCAAAAACTGAAAGCCACAGGAGCAGCAGGAGCAGCAGCCAATTTCCCACACGCAGCTCATCTCCAAGGCACCCGTGCGGACCAAGTGGCTGCCGAAAAGGAACGCAAACGCAAAAATCGAGAGTTTGCCAAGCGAAGTCGAGAGAAACGAAAGAATGAACACAAAAGTTTGGAAGAGGACTTGTTTATACTCCAACAAGAAAATGCCCGTCTGCGACAAATTGTCCAAGACAAAATACCATCCAAGGCCCAAGAGATTCTCAAGAATTGTTGCAAGGATCATCCGCTTCATCATGCGGCAGTCAAGCAAGGCGTCAATGATGCCTTGGCCATGTCGGACTTTCACATGTTGGAAAATCTCATCAAGGAACAGCAGTCCTTTTGCATGACGGATCCAATGCAACCTGACAATCCCATCGTATATGCCAGTCAATCTTTTTATCAATTGACGGGATACACCAAGGAACAAACCTTGGGCCGAAATTGCCGATTCTTGCAAGGAAAAGACACGGATCCAAAATCTGTGGCATTGATACGGGAGAGCATCAAGAATGGAAAGGATACTTCTGTCAACTTGTTGAATTACAAGGCGGATGAAACCCCCTTCTGGAATCAATTCTTCATTGTGGCGCTTCGGAATCACAGTGGCAAGGTTGTCAACTTTGTAAGTACACGCACACACATTGACGACGACGATGTCGTATTTTGCGGTGGTTTTTTATTATTTCTGTCATCACTCATCTTTCTAACGTTTGTCACATTTTATTCTGTTCGTCTTCCAGGTGGGAGTGCAATGCGAGATTGAAGATCCAAACGAGAGCGTATTATCTGAAGATTCTTTTTGCAAAGTAATTGAACAAAAGAATAAATGCATCCGCATCAAGGGACCGGCGGGAATTGGGGGTTTACCTACTGGAGAACCATTGACCCTAGTCTCGGAAGGCGATGTGGATGGTAATATGGACATGCAAGCAGTCAGGGCGTCCATATCTCAGAATAATAATAATAACAATAATGAAATCCTGCAGCCATTGGATGCCGATTACAATGGTATGAATGGTATGATGGATGATGAAGAGAATCGAGTGGACTGGTCCATGCTGGCAAACGTCCTCGAAGATGACTTTCGAAGTGAATTTAGGAGTGAAATCGATGACTCGGAACGCAGCATGGCGGACGATAACAACACGGCGTCTGTTGGAGGAGATCTTCAATCGGAATTGGCCGAAGCTGAAGATTCGGATGGATCGGATACCGAAAATAAGGGACAAGTTGCCGATCATCCACCAGAGGCAGAACTCGAATATCGATCATTGACGCCACGAGCATTCGTTACGAGAACCTGCCGTAGTGAGTTGGTTGCATCCTTGCTGTCTTCGCATGGTGATGTGACAAACCCTCGATTCTTGAAGGCATTGGAAGTCATGTCGAGTATCTATGCATCTTCGGATCCTGGAAGACCAGTTGACGACACATCCTTCATTGATAACTTTTTGAACAGTGCATGGGTCTCACTTAGTCGCCCAGCCTATGATGGATGTCTTGGGAAGACTGGCCGTGGAGATTTTGTGTATTCCTTGGGCAAGATGAGTTTCAACATGTTCAAACCTGGACACTTGAAGTGCAGTATCCAACACACTTTGAACAAGATTGACTACGTTTGCGACATGAACGAAGCGCGAAATGTAGTCCCTTGGAGTCTACGAAGAGAGCTTGCCATGACGGATGAGGAGGACGCTGAAACATTTGAAAAACAGCAAAAGACCTTGCGTTCGTATGAGTAAGTAGTACATGCATCAGATTGCGTCAAACTATTGATAATGATTGCTCACACTTATTGGAACTATTCAGCATCGAAATTGCAATGACTATCCAACCAAGTGATGATGAAATCGGCCCAAAGAAACCACTTCGGGCGATTCAAGTTGTGAAAGGTTACATGTTGCGAGATCCAAATGAGAAGAACCGATTATCGGTTTGGTTTACAGGTGGAAAGCTTTCTCCCTTTATACCATATGATTCGAATGGCGAACTGATGAAAGATGATGAACATGGCAGTTTTGAAGATTGGAAGGCCATTTTTGATCAAGAGTACACAAGTTCATGGAGCGAATCCTTCCAAAATATTGGTGCCAAGCTATTTTTGGGCGCCCAGTTGCCTCACGGAGTCAACGCTGATGGAAGCTTGCACTACTCCTTGACCCGACCGTATGGTGGTCATGGTAAAAGTTTCATTGACGTAAGTTTCATTGAGTTTGATCTTTTGTGCAATGCCACTATTGTGAATCTGATATGTTTCTCTGCCAAAGGTTTTGTATCTTGATGAAGGATTATTCATTACGCGTGGAAACAGTGGAACCATTCATGTGATGGTTAGAAGTAACCTCTTGGGCCCAACAAAAGAAGGCGATAGCCAAATCGACGGATGTGTAAAGAGTGCGACAGAAGTTAGTGGTGCATCAGAGCCTACCGCAAAGAGGAAAGCTAGCGGTATGGACGAAGTTCCTAATGAATCCAATTCAAGTGCCAAAAGTTCCTGGCAAGAGCAACTGAGAAAAGAGCTGGCGAATCGCAATCCAGCTTCGATTGCTGATGATCTCAGTTCAATCCTTCAAGAGTATGGTATTCAAATTGATCCTGCAACAAAAAGGGCTAAATTAGATTAAATTGGGCCATTATTGGTCACTATGATAGAATCGACTAGATATCAAATTTCCTCCTTCAAAATGAATATTGCGTCTTGGGTGACTGTGGCGGGGATGTAGGTGGTGGTGGTGGCGGCCGCGGCAAACCACCATCAGCTGCGGTGTCTTGTGACTGAAGGCTGCTCTGTGACGATCTGAGCGATGAAACGTCACTTGACGTTTCGGCAACAGCCAACTTGACAAGTGCTCGATACTCTTCCAGACCAGCAATTGTCTCCGCGCTTGCTGTACGCTTCACTTCTCTTTCAGGTGGTGCAGAATATTTGCTGACAACATCTGAGGCTGATATTGGAGTAGAACGAGATGTCCTTTCAGAATCATTAATGCGTTTTCTTCCATTTGCTGAAGACTCTTTTGTCCCCGGACCGACAACCCTACCAGCACGAGGTGATTTCATCGGGGCAAGGTAGGTCCTTCCTTGAGGCGATACGCTCCTGTCCTTTCGGTTTTTCGTGGACCTTCGTTCTGGTTTCGACGATCCCTTTTGTGGCATACTAAGGTGGCGCGAGAGCTTCTTCTTGGACCTTGATGATTTTGATGATTTCACAGACCCGTCTGACTTCATGTTGCGACGGGATTTCTTTCTGGACTTCGTAGATTGAGATTCAGGATCGGCAGTCGTCGGCCGAGACTTATCACTAGAACGACGCTCTGGTCTTGATGGTCTAACTCCTGGCATACTGTTATGACGAACAAGTTTTGGTTTTCCTGATCCGTCTCCATTCAATTGTTCGCGCCGAGCGTTTCTGAGCCTACTTGATTTCACAGATGCAGCACCCATGCTACGACATCGTTTCACTCCTGTGGATCGACGCTTTCCGTCTCCGTCTTCAAGGTTGGCCCAATCAAGTTGCCACCAACCTTCTGGCTCCTCCTCACTAGGCTTGGTATCCGTTTTAGACGGTTTCTTTTTGGACTTGCTTGATTTTGGAGACCCACCACTGTCCACACTCTTGTGTCGCAACGCTTCTTTTGTTGTTCTACGTTCTGGCTTCCTGGATCCTTCTTGCATCAGACTGAGATGCCGTGTCAGCTTTTTCTTGGACTTGCTTGATTTTGCTGAATCTATAGTCCTATTTTCTCGTCTTGATGCTCTGCTCGATTTGCTTGATTTGACAGATCCAATGCTGGTGCTTCGTTTTGGAGCCCTGCGTTCAGGCTTCTTCGAGCCTGCTGGTTGCAAACTTAGATGTCGGGAAAGCTTCTTCTTCGATCTTGACGACTTTGCCGAGTCCTCTGGCTTTGGACTCTTACTGCTCCTAGACTTGCTGGATTTTGTAGACTTTTCAGATCCTGTTGACTTGACGCTTTTTAATGGAGGAGGAGGTGGAGTTGATATCGAAAGATCTTCTGAATCGCCAGACATTACTGATTCCACATTCTTATTCCTTGATTTCTTGTCTCTCTTTCGATCAGATTTCTTTCTTGATCTCGACGACTTTGTAGATCCAGGAGGACTCAAAATAGAGTCATCTGATTTTGCGGACTTTACAGAGTCAGAATCCAAGCTGCGCGATTTCCTTTCTGACTTGCGATCGCTTTTCTTCTTTGATCTTGATGACTTTACAGACCCGTCTGACTTCATAGGACTCTTACTGCGTGAGGCCTTATCTTTCTTTTGTGATTTCAAAGAGGAGGAGCCATGTGATGAGAAACTATTGCTGCGATTGGGTTTGCTGGATCTGCTGGATTTACGACTAGATCCTGAGGCCGAAGCCTCCGACCGTAGACTATTGCTGCGAAAGATGCTTGTCTTTGATTTGGCGGAAGCTTCATCATCGAGCTCCACGAATTCGGTGCTGCTATCGAAAACCGTACTGTGAGAGTCGCCGCCCTTCAGAGGCATCATATAATCGCATTTCTCGGGCAACGGCTCTTGAGTCGAATGGTCGATCCGAATGGACCCTTCAAGAATCTCCTCTTCAATCTCTTCTTCAATCGCGGGCATAGAGCCTTCGTCGTTGTATTCTTCTTCAATAATCTCCTCTTCAACGATCTCCTCTTCAATGACTTCGTCAGAATAATACTCTTCGTCAATGGCAGTGATTGAAGGCGGCTCCTCTTCTTTAGGTGTGTTCCTGGTGAGCATACCTGTCATGTCAATCGAAATTGATTTTCTTGAAGACCTTTCCGGTTGCTCTTCTATTTTTACAGATGGCGATGTTGATTCCTCCTCGTTGTCGTCGTCGTCGTCATCATCATCTAATGAAGGCAGCCCAGGAATGGTAAATGGTTTGCCATTGTTCGCATTGGACTCAATAGTATTGTCCTTTGGAGACGTTGCTAGTTGTTCTTCCAATGTCGATTCCTCGTCGTCGTCGTCGTCGTCGCCATCCAGCGATGGGAGCCCAGGAATGGTAAAGGTTTTGATTTCCCTCACATTACTGTTGGAATCCACCTTGTTCTTCTTGATGGAGGAGGATGGTGAAAGCCAATCCATCAATCGTTGGGAGGCTGATCTCTCCATCATATTTCGTCTATCTCCTTCTGGCGCTCCTGCGTTTTGCAAGGCTCGTTTGGCCAAGACTCCCTTGGAAGACCGCGGAGACACCAACGCCAGGATTCCTGCACCAAAAGATGACCTGGGTTTGGAGGGTTCCGAAAAGTCGCTAGATGGCGACGCCACTTCCTCTTGTTCGAGTGGCGGCGTCTGGCTGCCTAGATCAGTAGCGGATAGCTTTTCTTTTTCCGTAGTAATGCTTGGCGATGAGTACACCAAGGGAGCAGTAGTAGCATCCAGGTTATTTGGAGCAGCATCCATTGGTTCGATGACAGCGACTTTGGAGTCCGACTCATCAATGGCCGGTAGCATGTGCGCCTTTTGCTGTTCAATCAACTTTCGTCTTGCTTCCGCTTCTCTAAAGTTTCGTCGCTGGGTACGTGGTGACTTCCACGACAAGCCGTGTTGCATTCCACCGTCGAGATTGGGAGTCGGTTTCAGTGGATTCTTGATACTGGGCGCGGATTTGGCAAAGACAATTTTCTTGGATGGTCGCTTTCTTGCCAGACCTACAAGCTCGTTCTTGAGAGTGGCATCGTTGGCTTGTTTCCGCTCCCTCATGTGTTTGTAGGATTGCGTTTGGAAGGAAGATGGTTTCTTGCAATATGGACAATGGCAGGTGGACCGTACCCGAATATCGCTTCCACTCGCCAATAATTCCATTTTCAAAAGTCCTTCCTTGGCCGCTTGCAGAGGGATTGCCTTGCGTTGCTTCCCCTTGGTCATGAAGAATGTCGGTTTTTTAAAGGTTGGTATGTCGAAACATGGAATGACGGCTAGATTCTGATCGTCAAAGGTGTCCTTGGTATTCTGAAAATTCTCCATATCTTCAATGACTGTCAAATGGTGCGCCCAGGATTTGGAAATATCCTCCCGTTGCTCGTCAATGACTTTCTCCAAACGAGTGGAAGCAGTGTTTGGTTGATAGAGTAGATGATGAGTCAGCGCATCCACTTGACTTTTCAAAGTGTCTAGTACCGGCAAGAATTCTTCAATCGAATAGGGATCCACTTCTTGAAGGACCTCTAATTCATTTAGAATCTCGTCCAGCTGATACTCGGTCTCCTGCATGGTTTCTAATATCGTATCAATCATACCCTTTGCAGCTTCCTTGGAAGTGATATTGATAATATTTTTGTTGGCTTCCTCTTCACTCTCGTCATAATTGGATACGGTATATGACTTTTCAGATCCCCGGTGAAGTCTTCCCATGGCCGCGGCTTCGATGCAAACTCGTATAAACGCCGATTTGCCATTCAAATTATGAGCTGCCTTGATTCCCGTCCAATCGGTTTCCTTTTTTTTCTTGGATTCTTCGGTAGCCACTGCCGTCACCACATGTTCATTGAGACGGGTCAATTTTCCAAGTTGCGCTGCATCCAGGGCCAACGAGAGTCGGAGTTCATTCGATACCAGGCTTCCGTCTGGGGTCCTCGGTGAATGTCTGCTTTTGCCATAATTGTTGGATGTACTTCTGTTATTGTTATTAATATCAGTAGTAGGCCTAGTCCTACTATTCATGACTGATGACAATAATGGCAAATCGGATGATGAGTCATAGTCCAACTCTCCTCCCTTTTCTTCACTGTCAAGCTGTATTCTCTCTTCTTCCATGGCGTTGCGTTCGTGTTGTGGCATTGACATGGTTTCTCCTTCTTCTATGTAATATTCATCATGATCACTTTCATCATAATCAGCATCGTCTTCAGGAGCGGCGTAGTCCTCGAATAATAGAATCTCGTCGTCCGCCATCTTGTTGTCTTTCGGAGAAAGGTTCAGCAAAGGATCCTCCAATAAGGTATCCATCATCAAGGAGGCAACGATAAACCTCCAATTTCCATTCCAACAATATTAATAATACAACCGCAGCAAAGTATATAGCTTGCACAATGCAGTAGGTATTAAAATTAAAATTAAAATTTCCAACAGTATTTATATTTTCAATTCTTTGTGCAAGCCGCCAAATTTCTCAGTCTCCTACCGGTATCATGTGGTAGCCATTCGTTAAATAAACTATTAGGGGAGCGAAAATATCTCCCCCTAAATGTTGCACCGATGGGTTCTAAATGAAAGGCCACCATCTCTTAGGGGCAAGACTTGGTAGTTAAGAAACATTTCTCTGTCTGATAATTACCCATGTTCGCCATGTGAGATAGATAGAAGCACCGCTCTGTCCCTACCTACAGTACTGAACCTACCGGTATCTCCCCTGCCTTCTCCTCCCCCAACGAAGGAGACCAGACTCTGGAAGATCCCCTAAAGACTTTGCTGTCGTAGTAGCCTTTAGCATAGAGGGACTTGTTCTGTACTGTAGGTACGTACTGTAGATGTTTTATTAAGGTTGGGCTTAGGGCTGCAGATGCGCGATATCTTTTGCATACCACCACATGTTTCCGTTAGGTACAGTATAGTACAGGCCGAAATAGTACTTTTCGAAATCCCGGCCGTCGAGTATCTGAACTGCTGGCTGGCCTCTCGTCAACAGTTCGATTCTTGTTCTGTTTAGTTAATTTTGCTACATGCAGTACTAGCAGTTTATATTAGCGCTAGATGTATGATTATCTCGGTCACAATCACAATCAGCGAAATGTAATGATATATTCATAGATCACAGTGACTGCAAAAAGGCTGCCAAATCGTCCATGGCCTTCTTTTGATACTTGAGGACGACATCACCCTGTTTGTTGGTATTGGCCGTTCCCATGGCAAACAAATCTTGTTTGACCGTTTGTGCCTTGTCTTTGGCCACCTTTGGATCGCTTGCCAAGCTCGTGATCATGGTCAGGGTAGCGGATAGTTGTCCCATGGGACCCGTCAAGATTCCATTAATGGCATTCCATTTCTTGGTTTCCACCAGCCAATGGCGGAATCTTGTCCAACGCAGAAGTGCTGGATTGGAGTCTTGAGATTAAAGTTTGGACGTCAGCTCCCTTGTACAAGAATTTTTCAGCATCCTCCATGTACACCAAACATTCTCGGTTGCCCAAGGATTCCACCAAGCATTGTTTGTTGGCGCGATCGTTAAGACCTTGGATGACATCAGGAAAGGACATTTTGGCATCGATTCCATACTCTGCATTGGCCGCCAGTGGTTGTCCATTATTGGCAACCAGAATGGCTCCGGATGCAAGTGCTGCTGACTTTAAAAATGTTCGGCGTCCAGCAACAATATTCTTAGTTTCTTGTTGTTGTTGTTGCTGTCGTTGTTGTTGTCGTTGTTGTTGGGGCGTCCATGCATTTCCCTGTCCAATATTCAGCAGGAGAAAGGCCAATGCAAAGAGATTGTTGAAAGGATTCATTGTATGCAACGAGTTGATTCTATTCAAAATGTTGTGTTCTTAAAACTGACTGGTGTACTCTTATTATTGTCATTTGTGGTTGTTGGCATGAGATCCTCGTGAATTTGAAATTCTCACTTCCTTTTGTTCTCCCTCTCCTCTTTTTTGCCAAATGCTAGATACCTTCAACGTCATCTTCATACTTGTACTGTTCGCGAGCAAGCCACCATGGGTCCTCCCGTCGTTCCATACAGCATGGTGGTTCTATCTGCAGCAGGTAGGAATAATAAACACGTGTTCCGGAAGAAACAGTGTCAATCTTATTGGTGGAGCGAAGTTTGAACGTGGACGTGGCATTTAATGGATGCTCCAAACACTTAATGGCTTGAAGGAGACATTTATCGGAAGAGCGCGCATGAAAGTTCTTCTCGACATTTAGACAATCTGTTAGAAGCTTTTTCACCATCAATGGTTGAAGGTGAGACACCGGGTCTTTTTCCACACGCGTCAACGAAAATTTTATCAAAATTGTAACTCTCGTTGAATTGTACCTGACATTCAAGACAGCTTAAAAAGGAATATTGATTGAGAGAATAAGGCTGCCGGTATAATTGCATCACCTTGTTACATTCCACATCATCATCATCAGCAGCATTAACCTCAAGTATCACACAGTATTATCTTTCACTTTTTGATACAACAACATACACACAATACATTCAGTTCTGATCACGAACGTCACCTGATCAGACTTCAGCAATATAACCCCCATCGCTTTACAAATTGAATAACAGCGTTCTATATACATACATACATACATACATACATACATATTTACACGACACAACACAACACAATACAATACACCCTAACACGTTTTCTCAAAGATGGTGTTCAAAAAGTTTTGGAAGAAAATCAAACGATCCAGGAGCAAACAAAATTTATTTGAACAAGAACAACGAGAAGCAAATGCAAACACTGCAGATGGAATACATTCAGATGATGACGTTACGCTCACTACCAATGATAGGGAAAACTCGGGAAACATCGTCTTTGAATTAGACTATTTGGAAAAGGATGCCTTGCCCGAATTTGATGACATACCTGAAGATGACTACAGTACCGATTCAGAAGATGAAGCAGAAAAGAAGGACGATTTGGAATATCAAATGCTGGCTCAGAAGTACAGTACCAAGGAAGATCAAGACGTTGCAGTCTTTATTGCCGTGGCGGATCGCATGACCATGTCCAGTATGTTGCATATATTACAGGGCCATGTTCGTTCGTGCAATATGGACGTTCAGAAGTTTGCAGAACTGGCCAAAACCCAAGACCATGGTCTCACATCACAACTGAAATCGAATGCAGTATCCTTTGCCAAACCAAGACCGAAAAAGTGTCGGTTTGCTGAAGTTACCGATGGTCAAGTCCGAGCCAATGTAAAGGAAGTGGAATGTCTCAAGACCATGAAGGGTCTCTGGTGGAAACCTACAGAAATGAGAACGATTCAGGAGGAATTAGTCGAAACGGTTCTCTTCTTTCGCCGTTATCGACACGACTATATTGAATCCGTCGAAGTGATTGCTCAAAAGTCAGATGTCCTACCGGAAGAGGTGGTCGAGAAACATTTGAAGAACCTCACCAAAGACAATTATACTAGGGGACTGGAAGCGCACATTGTCAAACTCCTCAGTCAGAATCGCAAGACGACCGTCCACGCCGTCATGAAGAAACAAAAAAAGCTTACGAAAGAGTCCAAAAATGACCCAGAAACCTTGAATCTGTTGCGAGAACAATCTTTGGAATCGAGCCAGCTGTCGACGAGGTTTGCCGAAAAGATGGGACAATGTGATGAAATTATTGCACTTAAAGCCAGTCTTAGTGCATGGTAAACTGATGGTAATAAGAGAGTAGGGTAGCTGGCTGTTGTTATTGGCATGAACGAACAAGCGCCGCTTACTATACTTTTAGCTATACGAATAAATGAATGAAGAAAAGAATCAATCAATCAATCAATCAATCAATCGCGACGATGGGGGAGTACCTGGTAATATTTTAATATCACACAAAGCGACGATTCATTCATTTTATTCACTCCATGATATCATTTTGGTGCAACACCATGCACTGTAACCGAATTGTGTAGGACTTTGTTCGTTTGCTCGTTTGTTTGTATTTGGGTATACTGGTAGTTCTTTTCAACATTTTGTCATAAAATGCAACACCGCGTACGCGATAGTAATGGGGAGTACACAAAGTACCCACGTATACAGTATAGGTACTTATTGTTTCTAATATTAGTACAATAGGAAATTATCATCTTTATTGTTATAGTACAGTTGCATTGAAAAATAAAATGCAACACGAAATAGTGGGTGATGCAACAAAGTACCCGCACTGCTGGATCAACAAAATCCAATCGAATCAACCAGTCAATCATCTAGCAACAAGCGAGACTCTTTGGGACAATCGTCTTCGTGCTTCTTTTCGTTCTTTGAGGGCCATGTAATGCTCCAGTAGAAAGGGATGCATCTTTTCGCCTTCTGCCAAGTTTCGTCTTGCTTCTTCCAAGGTTTCCAATTCTCGTTCTTCTTCCTCTTCCCGTTGTTGCAAGAATGCATCATCGGAATAGTCATAGCAGCGCGAACCGCTACGATGACTAGCATTCTTTTCCGAAGAACTTTGAAAGGAAGCCCGTGAGTCTACAGATTGATCGCAGCGGGAATATGCCGAACGATCATCATCTTGATGGTCATCATAGTCGTCGTAGTCGCCTTCCACAGCTCGACGCTTGGAGTCTTTTACACTGCTTTCATCCGAGACGTAGGATTTATCATCGTCATCGTCATCGTTGGTGGTGGCGTCATCTTGGTAGCTGCCACTGTACTGACTTTGACTTTGATCGTCGTGACTTTGATCGGCAGAAGCAGCATCATCCGCTGCATCATAATCAGCATCTGAATCATCATCATAACGATCATCATCCTCTTGACAGCGCTCGGCGTGAGCGGAGTAATCTGGAGTATCTTGATCATCGTCGTTATTGGGAACATAACGATCTTCCTCTGGTGGTTTTTCTTCATGAACGCCCACATCGATTGGGCGTTCTTGTTCATTGGTCTCTGAAAATTCATCACTGAAATTATCTTCCGGTGCTTCCTCACGATAACTATTGTCTTCATCATGGTTATCATTATCATCATCATCATCATCATGTTCATCTCCGGTATGACTGTTGTCATCCTCTAGCTCATTATCCGAATAGTTTTCGGTTTCAACGTCATGTTCATCATCCGTTGCTGCTTCACCAAGAGCTTGACGAAAACTCGAGTCATCTTCATCATCATGAGTACTGTAATTTTCATCATCTTCAATGACGCTACGACTAGCATCATCGTCGTCAATGACACTGACGCTACGACTGGCATAGGATCGATCATCGTCATCGTCATCATCGTCGTCAGTATACGATCGATCGTCCTCTTCCTCACGATCGGAGGAGTATTCCGAATCAAAGTCATAATCCTCATCTTCATCTTCATCATCACTATCTTCTTCAATCGTCTGAGATCGTTCTGATCGACGTCGTTCTCGTTCCCATTCTCGCTGGGCTATGATGGCTTCCAACATGATCGGATCGCTCATGTCAATGTCTGGCGGTAATTCCATCTCCGGATAGCTTTCTCCATCCGAGTCATCTGGCATTTGCAGGGAAATATTATTCGAGGCACCCGCATCGCCCTGTTGACGTCTTAACGGATGATTGACTTCTCGAATGGTTTCGTCTAATATAAACGCCGATTGTGTATGATCCTCGTTCTCACCCCACTTCACGGGGGTGGCATCTAGAAACTGAAGATTGGCAGCCTTGATTTGTTCTGCATCATCTTCAGCATATGTCTTTTTACCTGTACCAAAGTGCAACACGTCCAAAACGATGGCTTCTAACAGTTTCTCTGGTTTTGGCTTTTTAAAGAACTTCATCTTGCAGTGAGTGCGCGTACGTGTGTGTGTATCTCATATACCGTATAGTATTGTCCGACAACACAAAAGTCCTCAGGCTTTTCTGAGAATAATTTCAATGCAGCAAAGAGAATGAAACTTGTATCGTGAAAATCGTCGAAAGAAAGTAAGCGAAAAACACCTTCAATCTCTGACACTGATGCTATTGGTTGTATGAAATTGGGAAGGGTTGCAAGGTCGACTGGATGCACTATGTAATGTGGTAACGGTGGTAAGCTCAGTGCTGCTGAGAATCGTCTTACTTTTTGCTTCTTCCGTCGTACCGGGAAATATATACCGGTAATACCCCTACGCTCTATTAAAATCTGTTCCAGTCAGTCTTCCATCCGCCATGCCGGGCTGCTATTGCTTGCGCGCGCGAAACGCATAATCAGAAATTGATCGTCATGCTTCTAGAAAACTCAAACAGAAGCGGGGTCATCATTACAATGTAGACATATATAAGTGTTGCAAAGTACGAATTGTAAAGGCAGGCGTGGAGCAGGACAGAAATCCGGGACCGAACTTTGAATGCTGCGGTACTCATCGGTTCCTTTGGAAGTGAGCGGTAAACCGCGGTAGCACGAACGACTGAATTATGATACCCGAATTTATTGTGGGGGCATATGTTATAATATATATAGATATATATATTATACTCGTTCTGTATTTATTATATCTTCTCACGCCATACGGTAAATTCCAACAGTAGGTACAAGTCCACCATGCCATCGAAATTCATTCAAAATAATACATTAGTGATTTATCAGCTCTATTATATGTCTAATACCACAGTTGGTATTTTGGCGTTCGTTCGTCTGTTGTTCGATAATACATATTCAATATTGTGGTAGTCATCATCAAGGCCAACAAGATACTCTCTCAATCCAATATCATCCATCATAATCATAATAAAATAATAATCATGCTGCATATCGTCGTGGCGTTGGGGGCGTCGAAGGAAATTCCAAAATAGATGGCCGTTGTGTCAAAGGCGTCAAGGGTGATTCCCGAAGACTATTGGTCAGTTCGTCCTCGTTGTCTTCTTCCGACAAGACGGACAACATACTCTCACTGACGTTGGCCGTCGACCGACACAGTGTACTCTGTAGCAAATAATCCATAATGTCTTCGGCATTCCCCGATCGTTTGGCTTCTTCCATTACCGTATTGCCCCAATGATCTTTCACATCCAAATCTGCTCCAGCTTCCACCAAGAGTTGAAATTCAGCAATGTTGCCTTCGGCAGCTGCAATGTGTACCGGCCGCCGATCTACATGGTCTTTGGCATTGACATTGACATTGGCTTTCAATAATCGCTGTAGCTGTGGAAGATCTCGGTCAAAAACCGCTTGATTCAACAACGCCGAGGCTCGAGCATCACTGAGCCAATTCATATCTGGATGAGTATGTTCTTCCAGTAGGACATCAATGATTTCATCGTGTCGATTGTTAATGGCTTCCAACATGGCACACGTCCCATGATGATCCTTCAAATGAGGATTGGCTCCAAAATCCAACAACTTTTCCACCGTCCGCAAATGGCCATTCATACTGGCCACCATTAAGGCGGTTCGATAGTCCATATCGGCCGAGTCTGGATCAAAGCCTCGATTGCACATGTGCCGAATGGTCGCCACATCGTCTCGACTGGCGGCCAACAAAAAGCGAGTCGTACTTTCATCCTTTTGTCGAGTGACGTGATTGTCCAACATGTCTTGGACCGTGGACAAGGCTGCTTCAATTTGGGCTGACGTCAAACTGTGCATGACGGTATGATGTTCGGCATCAATGGTACTATCACCATCGTGAAAGTGATCATCATCATTACTATCATCATCCGAGTCTGACATGTTCCATTCTTCTTGTGGCAGTTCGGAATGTTCCATGCAGACGGGCAAGGTTGGCATGTGCATCATGTCTTGATTTTTTCGAAATTGCTTGACCTTGCGACATAGATTTTTCAACAATTTGCCAAAACTGTTGGGATGATCGTCAGCAATAAACATGAATTCCGGTTTGGTAATCATGAGCATTTTGCACACCGTCAAGGTTCGGACGGTATCGATTTGTGGCGATTCGGTAAAGAAGGACAATTCATTGATAAAATCCCGTCGGTCCAAGACTCGTGACTTTTGGTCGGTAGGGATATGGTTGGTGTCGCCATAGGAAAAGGCTCGTTTGAAGGATGGACGACTTCGAAGATTCTTGGGTGCCGAAAGTTCGACGGCGCCTTCCACCAAAAAGAAAAGATCCGAACTGGTGGCACCTCTGGTCAACAACTCTTCTTGACTGGAAAAAATGACAATCCGACAGGCCGAGAGGAAATCCGTAATGAAATGTTGTCGAATCCCTTCCATCAAATAGGTATCTTGGAGAGGGGAACTGTATAATTTATACAATACTTTTTGACGCATCGTCTTTGGGAATTTGTTCAAAATCATTTCATCTCCACCTTGGACATCAAATTCCACCTTGAGCTGTGTTTTGAGTGCCGGAAGGTCCTCCATGATGTTATTATGAGCGCAATACTTGTAAAGTATCTGCAAATGATGTCGATACACTCCAGCAGCTTCGTCATTTTTGACGACCAACAAAGTAATGGAACCAATAATGTAGGACATGAGGGTAATATTGAGCAACATGTAAATCATGGCAAAGACCTTTTCTTCCTTGTTGATGGGGGACAAATCACCATAACCAACTGTTGTAAATGTCACCACACTCCAATACATGGTAGTGATATAGGCTTGAGAGGAAGTCATTGCATCTTGATCCAAAGCACCAATCCAAGTATTGTCCGGGTCAAACTGGTATTGCTTGGCAATAAAGAAAAAGGCACAGGCGGCAAAGTGGGCCCACAAAATGGCCGCCACTCCATTTCGGATTAGAGTCAAACTAATGAGACTGACTTTGGAAGAGAACTTGATGATATCAAAGAGCTGCTTGACGCGTCTCATTCGGACTAGCCGTAGCAATCGCAGCAGTGACAAAAATTGCGTCAATTGGGTATCGTCTCGGTAGAGTTCCGTAATCCTCAAGACAATGAGATAAAAGGGCATGACTCCAACGAGATCAATCCAAAAGTAAAAGGATAGATAATGATTGGCAATGTCTCGATGAGAATACACCAGCTCGTTCTGATCGTTGAAAAAGGCGAGATTGAAGGAAATCACCATGTCCAATCCAAAAATGGAATTGAGGGCAAAGTTGATAATGCTGCTTGGATCGTTCGCTTGGTACAACCCCCCCGGACCAAAGCCTATTTGATAGGTCTCGAAAAAGAAGGTAAAGGCAGTCGCAATAACCGTAAAGACCCACCAAATCCGGTAAAAGACGCTCCCTGGGAAAATGATCAAACGTTCCCACCAATTGGATTCGTTCTCGTGAATGTCCAAGACTTGTTCGACTTGCACTTTGGCGTGAATGTTGCTAAAGATGGTGGTTCCCGCAGTGGCATTTGTGACCTCTTTGAGACTCGTTTTGTGTCCATTGGCGCTTCGATTGCTCGTCGTGGAACCGAGGGAATCATTGGAAACACTGCGGCTTACGACGGATGGTCGCTGCACTCCCATTTTAATTTATATTGTTGTTATTATACAATTTTGCTATTGCTATATTGTTGCTATTGCTATATTGTGGCTATTGCTTTTGATGCTAGGCTGTTAGCACAAACAGTTCATCGATGATGCTCTAGATTGCTTGTTGTGTGGTATGAGCGTTTCTATTATATATACCGGTATACGGTAAGGTACTTCTAATGCAAGTTGAAAGTGCAGGGCTTTTAATATGTGCTTGCGTCGATGGTTATTTTCAGTAACAGTCATATTGAATATTCAAAAGTTCGTTCTTGGTTTTCCCAAATTTATTTCGTCACACGAAAATACGCCGCGCGCGAGCGTGTGTCGTGTGTGTGTTTCTGATCCGACGGTTTTGGTATCATCTTTGGGGGCAGGCTATTATTCAGTAGAGGAATAATGGACCCCTGAAATACTCAGTTCGATAATTTCTTATCATCCTCTCAATTAGCTACTTACTGTACGTTGTTGCTTTATTTATAGCATAGCATTCTTTCTTAGCATCGCAATCAAATCAATTCGCTCCTTCTTAGTCGTTGCTAGTGCTTTTGGTAGTGAAGGATGGTATCATGCTGTGTTCCATCATCATCATCGTCATGATCCAGCATCATCATTCTTCTTGTAAAATCTATGATGCATGCCGCACTCTCACTTCTTATTTCCGTTTTCCAACCGTCTTGCGGATCTCAAACACTGGCTCGGAATTTTGTTTGCTACTGCTGCTTCCGCAAAGATTTTTCCACAAGGCTTGCAGGTCCTGATCATCATTCTCATGTTCGTCGTCTATGGTTTCAAAATGAGCATGCTCAATTTCGGATAGTGGAGACCCTTCATTTTGCAACCACATTTTCATTTGATTGCATTTATCATTGTTGTTGCTGTTGCTGTTATTGTTATTGCTACAGCAGAGTACTTGCCCCTCTACGGTACCATTCGACTTGTTGTTGCGAATCCAACCGCTCAATCCAAGTTCCGTGGCCTTTTGTTGAGTATATTTTCGAAAGGAGACTCCTTGTACTTTTCCATGAACTCGATAAGAGAAACCAGAAAGATGAATGGAGTTGTCATTCTTGTTGGCGTCGGTCGTTGGATGGATGAATCGGTTTTGGTGGGTGGAAGAAGGGGAAGGAGAACTCATTCTTGATAATTCGGATAATGAGATTGTCGTATATATAGTAATGGGATTCTGATCTTGCAAAGTGAAATACCCCAGTGCAGTGATGGATGCAGCTAGTATGACAAGAGCTTTGGACTTTTGCAGTGCAGCGTGTTGTTCTATTATTGTCGAAGAAATCCTCATGTGCGTTCGTGTTCGGTGACAACACAACGAAAATTAAGAGAGGCGAGATGATCGTCTTCTCTTCTGGTTTTATAATCATTCTTTCGGATGGAAGTTGAGACAACAGTCGAATGAGTCATTCGAAATCGCCTGGCCACCATGCCATTTGATATTATTATTATGCATGATGAAAGCGTTTCGCGTTACGCAACAGACAATATATTGTAACGTCAACTAACTGAAACAATCTTGGGAAACCCATCTGTCTATGCCTTTTTAATGCAAATGCACATGCAAATACACAGTCATTTCTACTATGTATTGATTGCTGATTGCAAACGGCAGCTGCTTGACCTATATAATACAGTAGTCCTACAATTCAAAATTATACAAATATATTATTTTAATCATTCAAGAGATTACAAAAAAAATGGAACAAAGATCGATGCTTGTTGAAAGCAGGTGGAGAAAGTCATAATCAAATCATCATGCAACAGCGTGTTCTTCAGCCAATGGTGTCAGGTTTCCCCTTGAATCGCTTCGAAACAGATTCTGTTGATTCAGATAATCCACCAACTTGCCGTTGCGGGCGCGCTTGGCATCGTCTTCCACAGAATTGCCCCATCGGTCCAGCACCATAAGGTCCGCTCCAGCTTCCACCAATACACGAAAGGCTGACATGTTCCCTTCCGAAGCGGCAATGTGAATGGGTCTTCGCATATCATAATCACCAGCATCCAAATTCACATTTGCCTTGATGAGACGTTGGAGCTTTTGAATGTCTCCATCCGAGACCGCTTGGTTCAAAAGACCCGATGCTCGTGCATCGTCCAACCAATGCATATCAGGATGGGTGCGTTCATTCAGCAAAATGTCAATCGCGACATCGTGTCCATTTTCAATGGCTTCCAAAAGGGCACAGGTCCCATGGTGATCCTTCAAATGAGGATCCGCACCATACTCGAGCAATTTTTCGATCGTGTCAATGTTGCCCTTCATGCTGGCCACCATGAGGGCCGTGCGGGAATCGTAATCGGAGCTATCGGGATCAAAACCTTGATCGCACATGAGACGAATGCTAGCCACATCGTCACGACTTGCCGCAAAGAGGAATCGTGTCGTGTGATCATCCTGCTGCCGATTAATGTGCATTTCCACCAAATCTTGGACGGACGCCAGAGCCGCTTCCGTTTGAGCGGCCGTCAAGTTTTGAGGCATCTTTTCGCCAGACTCTGATTCGTCATAGGTACTCACTTGGGAAGCATCAAATTCCGAACCAGCAAAGAGTACAGGAACACTTTTGGGCAACTTGGGCATGATGTTCGAGGTCTCATGAGACTGCTCTTGAATGTCTCGAATGGCTTTCACCTTGAGCAACAAATTGTGAAGGAGTCTTCCGACGCTACCGGGATGATTATTGGAAATCACTCGGTACTCACTCTTGGCAATGATCAGCGTCTTGGTAACGGTCAAGGTTCGGACCGTATCAATCTGAGGAGATTCCGTAAAGAAGGAAATCTCGTTAATGAAATCTTGGTCTTCCATGATCCTTCGTACCTTGCCCTTTTCATCACCGGCATGAGTCGAATGGACGCGGCTTGCTCTGGTCAGTTCTGGAGACGAGAGCTCGACGGCGCCTTCGACGAGAAGGAAGAGATCCGAACTGACAGCACCTCGTGTCAGCAGTTCTTCGCCACTCGAAAAGATGACAATGCGACAGGCCGACAAGAAATCGGTAATGAAATGCTGTCGGATACCATTCATGAGATTGGTCCCCTCGAGACATGGACTGTACAATTTGTACAATACTTTTTGGCGCATTGTCTTGGGGAACTTGCTCAGCACCATTTCATCTCCCATGTCTCGGTGATTGAATTCCACCTTGAGCTGGGTCTTGAGTCGAGGGTAGAGTTCATCATCTAGCATGTCATTGGCATTGCAATAGTTGTGGAGCGTCTGCAAGTTGGCTCGGTACATGCCTGTCGCTTCATCGTTCTTCACCACCAACAAGGTGATGGAACCAATAATGTAGGACATGAGAATGATATTCAGGAGCATGTAAATCATGGAGAATATTTGCTCTGCAGTATTGACCGGTGACAAATCACCATAGCCGACAGTGGTAAATGTCACCACACTCCAGTAAAGGGTGGTAATGTAGACTTCTGCGGGTGATTGGTCTTCATGTGGACCAATCCACGTATTGTCCGGGTCAAAGTCGTATTGCTTGGCAATAAAGAAAAAGACACAGGCCGCAAAATGCGTCCATACACCTGCTGCAACTCCATTTCGGATTAGCGTCAGACTCATGAGACTGACTTTGGAAGAGAACTTGATAATGTCAAAGAGTTGCTTGACGCGTCTCATTCGGACTAGCCGTAGCAATCGTAGCAGAGACAGCCATTGTGTCAGGTGGGTATCTTCTTGGTAGTATCCCGAGATCTTGAGGGCAATGAGATAGAACGGCATGACCCCCATGAGATCGATCCAAAAGTAAAAGGATAAATAGTGATTGGCAATGTCTCGGTGAGAGTATACCAATTCATCATTTTCTGTGAAAAAAGCAAGATTAAAGTTGATGACCATATCCACTCCAAATACCGTAATGAGTAAATAGTTCATGACACTGCTGGGAGAGGTGGGTTCGGTCAAACCACCCGGCGGGAAACCAATCTGATAGGTTTCAAAGAAGAATGTAAAAATGGTAGCGATGACTGTAAACATCCACCACGCTCGATAAAAGTTGCTCATGGGAAAGATAACAAGTCTTTCCCACCAGTTTGATTCCTTCTTGTGCTCTTCTTTGATCTTTTGAATTTGTACCTTGGCGTGGATGTTACTGAAAATGGTTCTTCCAGCCTTGGCGTTGGAGACTTCCTTTCCTGTCTTGGATGGTGCCATACCCGAGCGCCTGCTTCTGCTAAAGGTCGACATGGAGCCATTGGAAGAAGTACGCGCACGATTGGGCTGATGTGATGACTTGGCTTCCATCTTGGGCAGTTCGTGAATGATGGAAAAGTCTCCCGAATGATTCGAGCCTTGCAGCGCATCGGGAGAAGGAGCTTGCTCTTCCGATTTATCAGTAGCAGTTGTAATAGTAGATTCCGCTGTACTTGCATCCCGAAGGGACATGAGCTGTCGTCTTCCGTTGATGCGCTTCTTTCCAGCTAAGACAGGGCTGCCCCCAGAGCCAACTGTGGGATCCGTTTGCATGCGATCTGTCTCTGGCGTGAGAGTTTCAGATCGGCTATGATCCGAGCCTGCTGATCCTCCTGATCCAACATTGCCAGCCATGTCAACGTTGCTTCGGCGCTGTTTGGACGGTGAACTCCGCGGCGTGTTGAAGTAAAACGACATGGCATTCGTACAGTACTACCGGTACCGATGCCTACTGTAATGAATGAAGCTTCAGATTTTATGAGTTTTGTGTGTTTGAGAAGCCTTGCGTTTGAGTTTGAGTTTGAGTTTGAGTCTATTGAGGGAGCAAGGGTTCGTTTTCACAATGGTTTGTTCTCAAAAAAATGAGGAAGTTTGTGTTTTCCATTCAACAATGCGACGGTTTCGCTCCGAAAGGCTTTGTTTCAATCGGAATCAATCAATCGGAATCAATCGGAATCAATCAGGCACAAGGCACAAGGCACAACCAACTACAAGCAAATGACGCTGAATGGAAACGAAAATGGATATTCCGGTAATACGATGGAACAACGCACGGTCGGTGAGAAGAAGAATTGGGGGACGACGGTATTTTTAGGAGGACGTCGCTCCTATGTTTTCGCATTGTTCGTGTGACAGACAGACTGCAAACATTCATTCATGATCTCGAAGAAGAGCATCCAAACAAGCATAGAAGCACGCGCATTTTTGTTCTTTTCACAAGCATCCGATTTTGAATTTTCATTTCGATATGGTAGGCTGATGATGAGATGCTGATCGCACTTTCGACAGTCGGCGATACAGAGAAAGGGAGTGATATGACACCTTCACCAACAATATTCAATATACTGTATCTATTTTAAAATCACCACCGTCCATTACAGTTATGGTACAGCGATGTGTAATAGCGCAAGGCAGGATACTGTAGGTATTAAAAAATATATAATATATACAATAATCGAACCTATACACTAAAATGTTGGGATCGATGACATGGAAGCCCGGCGTTTCATTTTCATTCCGCGGTCCTTTGGCTTCGTTTTAGAGGAGGAGGGGTGATTCGAGGAGAACCCCAAGTCGGTAGACATACTATTCAGTCGAAGCAATCGTAGCTTCTTCGGGAGACCGCGGATAGCCTTGGTCTTTTTCTTCTTGTTCTTTTGACTACCAGACGCATCGCTTCCACTACTTGGTGTAGCTGCGCTGTCGTTGGAAATATTGGATGTAGCGCTATTGAAACTTGACATTGATGTCCTTCTCGTCGACCTGGAGCTGAATGACCAGGGCTTGGGACATTTTGAGGAACTCTCTTCAGCAGCGTCATCTTCACTTTTCAATACCACACTGTACTCCTTGTTGCTAGTAGAGTCTTCTTGAAATTGTTGCTGCTGATGCTGGTATTCCCCCATGGCACCCTCCTCCATTTGACAGCGAATGTACCAAAAGAGATCTTGCCAAGCATGTTCCACCATTTTCCAGTTGCTAGGTCGTTTGCCCTCCAACTCATCCGTCGAGTCGTCGTTGAAGAGGTCGTGTTGGCTGGAATTGCGTGCCAACATTTTTCTTGAATTTGATGGCGGTGATGATGCCTCCTCCTCCTCCTTCTCATTATTGTCTACTTCTTGCTGTTGTGGTTGTGGTCCAAACAAATGTCCGTGGACGCAATGCTTGAGGGCCTTGCAAAAGGCATCCGTCAAATGTTGGAACAAACTAGGAAGAAAGACTTGGAGGAGTTCCTCGTTGTATTGTGCGTGCCTCTTGCCCAACGACTTCAATTCGTCGGATACCAAATCCAGATCTGTCGGTGATAGCATGCTGACAAGCATATCGATCATGTCGACAAAGGATGTCCGATGTGCCGTCTTGTCTCCGACAAACCAGCGAGCTATTGGGACTTCTTCATCTGAGAGCCTGATGTTTGGATTGCATAAAGCGATGGATTCATTCATGAGAATGGCGTTGTACAATGCCAAAAGATTCAAATATACAGAAACAAAAAAACATATATGACTTACAACTCGAATAGCTTTTCCCCAATTTGTTGCTTCCCTTGAGCCATGTTAGTAATGACATCCCAACTCAAGTATATCATCTTGAAAGACTCGTTGCTGAACATGGCTGTGCCTTCTGGTGGGCTGGGAGGCAAGGTAATCATACTGCTTGGCTTCGTCGTTGTCGTCGTCGCCGTCAAGTTCACATTCTTGGATGATAGTTGACAGTAGTAGTCATCGCAACCAAACGAACATGAGGAGGAGCTGACGCTGTCATCATCAAAATCCTCTTCTCGACTCTTTCTTCGTATGTGCTCGCTACGCCATTTGCGGCTAAGCTTGTTTTTACTGCCGATTCGGTTGTTGCGAGGACTTAGCAAGTCAAAGCTTCGCCTGGTGGTGCTATGGTTGCTACCCCTCAAGCTACTGTCTTTTCGAGACATGGTACGTGTAGGATATATTGATTAATTATTGGATGCCCAGAGTCTTTACTGGCTGCTGAATGAATGAATGTATGATTGTATGGATATTGATGCGATGCGATGCGGCACTATGTGGGCGGTCTTTGGTGCACTTGTGAAAAAAATTCTTTCCGGGAATACTTTGTTTTCTGGTCAATGATATATATATGTTTAGATGTAGATATATATATGCTGCGCTTCACCAGATATCGATATACATCTACCAATTATCAATTAATTTTTTATTTATTGAAATAGCTAAACAGACATTTTCAAGGAGACCAGAAAGACCGGTTTTTGTGCTGTAAAAATCTAGTTTTCGTGAAAGTGCCATGACTTTGACGGCACCAGATAAAGTTTCTTCTGCTTATTTATCTGGACGCGAAACAGATTTGAAAAAAGTCGGCAAAATATTTCCCTCCTCTGGAAAGAGCAGATTCTCCACAAGGTTTCGAATGACTTCCAATAGCTCGCAGTTGCTTGGGTCCACTGAAGCGTTTGCACTTCAGGTTTTATAATTTTATTAAAAAAATAGGGCAAGGTACCTGGTACCGGCAAGGTGTACCAGGTACAGAGGACCATACCGATAGCCGGAAGCGGTGGCTGGAGTTGATTTTACGGCAAGGAGGCAGATGTTGCACTGTGGTATCATCATTGAAAACGCGCCAATATTGTATGGTACATGCCTGTGGTCTCCATGTGCTGCATCCTCCAGTTCTTCTTGTAAGGAAAGCAGCTACAGTACCGGTATTACAGTAATAGTACCGGTACCTGGTACGTGTACCGGTAGGTGAAAGGCGGGGACAATAATTGCAGTGGCGGAACTAGCTAGTGCTTGCCGCGCGCACTTGTGTGTGTGCTGGCTTGCGTTCACGAGCGCGATCGCGACCGCGAGGAAGCCAAAATGATATACGACTGAGTCGACTTCGTCATCGTCATCATCGTCATTCAAATTCGGCATTTTTCACAACAGTGAAGGTGCACCACATCCTATTTTACAATACTGTATGTTACTGATACTGTACTGTAGGTTACCAATCATTCCTCCCTTCCATTATTGCTACACCCGCTCTAGCTAGAGCATCAGCTAGTATATAATATAATATATATATTATATACTGTAACGAAAGTCCAACCAAACACACAAAATGAAAGCTCATCAGAAATGTCAGATTAGGATTCCCCTGAGAATTCTAATAAGTTTATTATTGTGGTTGTTGTTGTTGTCGACGTCCATCAACGCTCAAGACTTGAACGACAATGATGATCCTTTAGGAGACCAAGACAACGAGCCATTGCTGGATAACGACAACAATGATGTCGATGGTTTGTCAGGCAATGAGGAGGATGGTGAAGCTCCGTGGAATAATGACAATAATGACAGTGACGGTTTCAACGACGGCATTCCATCCATGGCCCCTACCATTAGTGCCAGGCCTTCAATTCCTGCATTGGGAATAGACGGAGACGGTATTCCGTCACTGTCGCCAACCAGTGGTGGTGGTGATGATCAATCATTCATGAAACCGACTGCTTTTGGATTTGACGATCTTGATGGCAATGGTGATGGTAATGGTGATGGCAATGACGTTGGTGGTGACAATGATTCAGATGGCGGGGATGCATCCGACGCGACACCATCCATGGCACCATCCAAGTCACTGTATCCGTCTCAATCGTATACATGGCCGGACGACGCCGAGAATTCCCCATCCGTGTCGTCACCACAGCCATCCGGCGCTGATGTCCTCCATGTGAATCCAACCTTTTCCCTTCAACCGTCCTCACTTCCTCCGCACCATTCGGTAGCACCGCATCATACCTATGGTCCTCATGCTGCTAGTGGTGGTGGAAATCATACTGGCAATTCGAATTCTAATTCTAATTCTACTGATGGTGGCAATCACACTGATAGTGATAATATTGATAATGCTGGTAACCACACTACTGGTAATAACACTGGCAATCATACGACTGACACTGGTGGAAGCGATCATCAATCAGGAGGAGGAGGAGGAGGAGGAGGGGGCAGTGGTACCAATAATCACCAATCAGGATCCGGCAGTGCTGGTACCAATAATCATCAACAGGGATCCGGCAGTGCTGGTACCAATACTCATCAACAGGGATCCGGTAATCATCAAGGTGGTGGTGGTGGTGGTGGTGGCAGCCGTGACAAACATGGTCCAACTCACAAACACCATAATGGCGGTGGGGGTGCTGGCAGCAGTATTGGCAAGGATGATGTGGAAAGCATGACCTTACCGATTGTCATTTTCTCCGGAATTGTGGTCTTGTCGGGTGCCTTTTTTGTGGCCCAACGCTACAAGCAACGGCGACATTTTTCGCAAGTCCAAGGGGACGACATGAATTGGGATTTGGAATTGTCGACCTATCGACCGGGATTGACGTAAAAAGACTTCTTTTTTCTTTCTTTCTTTCTATATAGTCCGAGCTGCTGGGTAAACGTTGACTGATGCGGGGTGTGGACTGATTTGATACTGTGACTGAGCTGGTATTATTAGTGCTTGTTCATCATGTCCATACGACTGACTGTCTGACCGAATGAATCAATCACTCAATCAATCGATGGATCTGTCACTCAGTCACTCAGTCACTCAGTGTCGTCTATAAGAAGGACAGCATTCCTTCATTCACTCAACTGTATCAGAAGCGCTTCAGCTATGGGCTTAGTGACAAGCAAGGAAGACTGAAATAGAAAGCAGTGTCATACAGTAACAGTGTTAGAACAGTCTTGGTTTACCTTTTCTTTCCCTTTTTGCTCGAAGTAGTCGGACCAACGTTGCAAGATGACGTCAGCGAAAAGAATCCAAAAGCATGAAATGGATGAGTGGATCGGAGGAACGAAATAAAGATAGTTATAATATTGCTACCAACGCATTCAAACATCATAGTCCAATGAAGTTTTCCGGCTTGTGCATCAGCCTTTTGTTGTTGTTGGCACCAGACAACAACGCCAATAACCTCAGTGATGCGTTTACGACTTCTCCGGGATCTACTACTACCAGTCACTACTACTGTCACAAGAAAGCGACGAATAATCCATTCCACACGGCAACCATTGCTGCTGCATCTTCCTCCAGTCGTACAGCAACAAACAGTAGAAGAAGATCAACAACAAGAACAGCAGCAAGAACAACAAGAACAGCAGCAAGTCACTTGCATGCAAGTCCTAACGTCGTCGAGGTGGCCGGAGACATTGTCAATGCCCCGCTGTCTCAGTACTTTTTGAGAGCCTGCATTGACAATGGAATTCCTGCCTTGTTTACCATCCTCACGGTGGCCGTGGCGGCATTCTTTATCAAAAAGTCTCGCGAAGGAGGAGGGAATGCCAATGACTTTTTCGAAAACAAAAATGCCATTGACGAACTGTACAGCGACCTGTATGGAAGCACGGCTTCTGGTAAGATTGGTGGTAATGCTGGTCCCTTTGGTGGAGGCTTTGGTGGTGGACTACCCGGCGGTGGCGGTGGTGGTGGTCTCAACAAGGAGCAAAAACGAAATCTGGGAATCCCATCCACGCAATACATTCAAGTCAAGAATCTTAACGAAAAGTATGCTTCCTATGATTTTAGTTTAAAGATGGCCACTTCGTCCAAAGCTTCTGCCGCTGCCGACTTTCGCAGTCAAGCCTTTGATCGGGCCTTGCAAAAGGCATTGACACCTTCTTTTGGATCCTCCTCCTCATCTGACGACGAGGCGACGACGACGTCATCATCATCATCATCATCTCCTAACATTCCATCCTATGCCAAGGCTGCCTTGCTCAGTGCCGAAAAGAACTTTTTGACCAAGGGTAGAACCTTGGTGGGTGAAATTCAAGAATTGGAAGGACAGTTGGTCAAGGCCAGTCTTGATGTTGAAATTATCAAAATGGGAATGGACAAACCATATGACCCCAAGCCTGCTGCTGCCGCTTCTGCTGCTGTTATCCAGGAGGGTGACGATGACGAAAAATCCATTGCTGGTGTTATTGCTGGTGGTGTTATTGGTGGTGGTGACAATAATGGTGACGATGCGGCAGACAAGAAGAAAAAGGAAGAAAAAGCCAAAAAGATGCAACAACAAAACAAAAAGATTACCGAAAAGGTAACCAAGGAATTGTCCAAGTTGCAAGGTGAATTACAAGATTTGGAACTCGAGTTTATCCAACAAGCCGTCGCTGCTGTGGGACCGGAACGTGCCCTTGGATTCCGTGCTGCCTTGCTCCGAGATGTGCAAGCCCGTGGTATTGGTGGTCTACTGAAACAATTGGAACGTCGTCCACTCTCGGCCTTTTTTCTTCAATCGGACCACCATGCTGATGCGGCTGCCAAATCGCTCTTTGTCATGAAATTTCCTGGTGATGTGACCGCCTCCCAATTGAACGAACTCCGAGAAGAAGTGACCGCCATTATCCGGAACGCCAAACCTGGTGACGAAGCACTCTTGGTATTGCAATCCGGTGGTGGTACGGTCACTGGATATGGTCTTGCTGCAGGACAATTGGTCCGACTCAAGGAAAAGGGAATCTTCTTGACCATTGCGGTAGAACAAGTAGCAGCCAGTGGAGGGTACATGATGACCTGTGTGGCGGACAAGATTATTGCTTCGCCGTTTGCTGTCTTGGGAAGCATCGGGGTCATTAGCGAGCAACCAAATGTGTACGAACGTCTCAAGCGGGAGGGAATGTAAGTACCTACCGGTAGCTAGTAATTTTGGAACAGGAAGAAAAATTACATGCATGATGGATGACGATTCGATTCCATTCCATTCGATTCATTCCTTCAATTCCATTCCATTCACTCTCACACCACCATACTTTTTGTCATCCAACAGTGAATTCCAAACCGTTACAGCTGGAGAATTCAAACGAACCTTGACCCCAACCAAAAAGGTTACAAAGGAAGATTTCAACAAGGCCAAGGAGGATGTATCCATGATTTTGGAACAATTCTCTGGCTTTGTCGCCAAGAACCGTCCCAGTTTGGATATCAAGTCCGTTGCCACGGGAGAAACTTGGTTTGGTGATGCGGCATTGGAAAAGGGGCTGTGCGATGAAATCCGTCCCGTGGACGATGTCCTATTGCGATACGTCGATGAGGGGTACCAAGTATACGAGATTGCCTACAAGGCACCCACACCAATTCCTTCAGGACTTGCGTCACTCTTGCCTTTTTCATCCAGTAATCTGGAGGGAGGAAGCAGCAATAATGATAATAATAATTACAATTCGCTGGGCAAGCGAATGGTCCGATGGTTGGTTTCGAGTGTCATGGAAGAATTCCGAGACAATTATTTGTACGAACGCGGGACTGGTACACGTATGGATCAAGCCCAACAACGGTATATGGCCCAGGATGACACTGCCGATAGAATGAAAATGGAAGAGCGTCTGTAGATAATATCAAGAGACTCTTATATATTATCGGGCTAACATTCTAGACGTTACCTTGTAATAATGAGCATTGCTATTGGTAGTGTGTGACTTTGGATTATGAATTTTAGAATACTGATAAGATGATTCATTCTTTCTGCCGTCCAGGAAGGGGCTCCGTTTTATATAAAAAAGAGTCCTGCCTGTCCCGTTCAATGGCATTTTGGCAGAAAACTTTGACTGCCTCAATATAATGTCTGTGGAAGCCACCACAAACTCGGTATTATTCGATATGCCCAACGACGTCGCCGTCCGATCTATTGCATTTTACTAGTGGGAAAAGAAGACGAGGGTATTTGTCGTTATCCTCTAGTGGTAACACAGCAATCATGAAAGGCGGGTATAGTGCCGAGCTGATTCCCACACTTTCGACAAAAATGATCCGTTTGCTTGCTGTTGTTGAGCACCAGTGGAATCCAACAAAGTGGCCAAAAGAGTATCAGCAAGACAGCAAATAAAGTCCAGGTTTGCCAAGTCGGAAAGGTTTCAATCCGTGTCGTAGAGTCTCGATGAAAGCAATAGGGACATTGTGACAAGTACATCGGATTCCGAGCCAAATTGGGATCGAGACCATTGTTCAGCAATTGTTCCTGCATACTGGTCTTGGCTATAAAGTGATTCCTATGGTTTGGTAATTCTTTCGGAACCTTGGCACTCTGTGGAATAGCTTGTACTTCCGCATCAGATATCTCTGTGATTCCAGATGAGTTCATGGCTTCTCGGGCTGTATATATGATGGAGGTATTACGGTATTGATTGGCGTGACCATGGTGATGATGTCGTATATATCATGAATTTGAGGGAATGGATCGTGGTGAAGGAGTGAACGCATCAGAGGCCATCCGAGACATGCGTCAATTCAAAATCAAGGATTTCACAAGGATAAACTCACCCTTTTCACCTTCTCCTAGTAAATCATGCTTGGCCGTCATTTGTTGAACCCATTGTGCCTTGCTCTTTCGGAAATCACTACTCGTCGTGCTCATGATGGCTGTTCTTGCTAATCGCAAAGAATGGAGATCCAAATCTTTTTAATTCTCCAAATCAGATTATACGGCAAACCTAAATCTTAGTTCAGAGTCTATTCTGCAGCAGATGCGTGAGATGTATGTGTCATCACATTCAATAAGATATTGAAGAGCTGCAAAGTTGTTAGTCTGCGATTTCATGTGGGTGAAAAAGTGTCGTGGTTTGAGTTTGTCGTTAAAAGTAAAAATACGCGAAGCTCTATGTATTTCTGAGCCGGCTAAGCTTGCGACTCGCCAAATTCTACTCTCGATCGTGACCGGACCGACCCACATGTTCATTGTGGATTGACTCTTTTGACTACAGAATTTGAGGAATCTCAATCCCGACAAGTGATCTTTTTTTGTACCAAGTTTCTACGTCTGGGATTCCGGTACGTTCGTAGAAAATCGAGGAATCTCAATCCCACGGAATCAATCAATCATTTCTTTTTCACACGCAATGGAAATTACCTGTAGTCGTTCTAGTCAATTTGAGATTTTGTCTTTTCATCATTTCAATGACGGTAAATGAATCATTCATTTCAATAGTCACAAACAATGTTGTCGCATTATTACCAATGGAGAGGAACACGCACCATGGTGTGTAATCTCTTGCGTTCTTCACTGAGGCCTCAGGCTTCAATACTGAAGCAAGACTGAACTGGTCAAAACGAAACCAAAACCGCCGAGATGAGTTTGCATTAGATTTGCGAATCAACGTGCCGTGTAATTCGCACGGCACGATGAAGAACTGAAACGGCAGCGTTTGTTCTATGTTCAAGCGAAAGCTTTGACGCTTTAGCACATAATTTCTTTGCCTTGCAGCATATCAATCATATCAATCATATCAACCAAAAAGTCCCAAGACAGATTCGACATAATGCCGACTTTCAATTTCAAGGCCATTATTGTTCCTCTCCCACTCGTGTTGACTCTTATTGCCGTCCTATTCGCCACTGTGACCACCTTTGCTGAGCAATTCATCGCCCACGCCAAAGCAATTGTCGCACCAGTCCACGAAGTCATCATCACCAAAATCGGAACCTTACCAAGCATCATCACCGATGCCCTTTTCACCATCACCGCCGAAGCCATCACCACCGTCACCAATACGATCAGATCGCTCACCAACAGAGCTCTTGAATCTGTTGCCGATGCCGCCGTTCGCAGCACCAACAAAATACTCGCTCTTCCAACCAGCGAAACCTATCTACAGCTCGTTGTCAGAGCTCCCCGCGACTTGGTTCTCAGGGCTCCTCGAGATCTAATCCTTTACGGATCGCGAGCCTTGGTTCTCACAGTTTGTTCACAAGCCTTGGTCCTGTTTGGTTCTTCCCGCGACTTGATCGTCAGCTCTTGTTCCAGAGCCTTGGTCACGAAGGATTCACAATGTTTGGTCCTAGGAGAGAATCAAGGACGCTTGATTCAAACCTTTAACCATGTCATTGCCCTCCTTCGCACTACTTTGATGAAGTTTGTTCAAGATGTCATCACCAACACACTTTCTATTGAACCAGGCATGCCATTCGAATTGGCTTTCCCAACTTTTGCAAAAGCCTGGACTCAATTCCCCAGCGTTGGAGCAATCATGAAATGGTTGCAAGCCTTTATTCGACGAGTTGGTGCCCGAGCCACTGCACTCCTCGTCGCGGCTGTGGCATTCATTGAATTCATCAGTGGAGCTCTTACCACCACCGACTGTCTCGTTGTTGACTTCTCAGAAAAGATGGTGACTATCATTGATCGCAAGCTCAAGCATCTTGTCTCTACCATGACAGAATATCCTGGTACTGCCTCGGAGACTCGCTTCTCCATGGCCGTTTTTCCTGTCACGATAAGGATGTACCCGCTTCGAAACTTGACCTTTTTCGAAGCAAGCTCCTTTTGGAACATTCCAAATTTTGATACTTTCAGTGGTCTTGACTTGCCTGTTATCTCTATGGCAGTATATCGCAAGTTGTTCTCCATATCCACTTGTCCTGCAACAAGAAAGGACCCGCTTTCACACTTACACTTGACCTTTTACAGAACAGTCTCCTTCGATTCTTTCAGGGTTTTGGACTTGTCAGAAAAAATGTTGGCCAACACAATTGCAAATGCAACTGACAACGAAAAGAACCTGGAAGATGAGGAGGAGGAGGATGCTTTTGAGGGTTGGGCTTGGGGTGGCTCGGAGCTTTGCAACCTGTTCGCAAAACTTACCATGAACGATGATGACGCTCGAAAGAGAGCAACCGACCGCTACAACACGAATATGCAATTTTAGTTGCTGTGAGTGGTGGCATATACTACCATATTATTATTTGCATCCAAAAGTGATGGACAGCACAAACACCAATACAAACATGTATTACTATGATATATTCAAAAATCTAAGCACACGGCACAAAATACACAACCGCCGCAAGAACCAAAGACTATTCCAAAGAAATAATCAATCAAAACATATTATATGTATATTAAATCAATACAAAACTATAGCGACAAGTAGGACTACTACGCTTTGACCCCACTCGAATACATTTCCACTAATTCTTCATTGATTATCGTTCGATTGTGGACACGGATCCTTGGACGGGACACATTTGCGCCCGTGTTCGGTCGGTCCAAACACCACTCCCGTGCCCTGTTTCAATCGCATCATAGGATACATGGCGAGGCGTTTGTGTTTTTCCAAGGCTTCTTCTTGGCTCATGGTCGCTTGGACAAAGCCATCGTGGAATCCACAGGTCCACCACCAAGTACCACAATTTTCATGTTCGGGGGATGGTCCAGCATCGCAACAATAGTAGGCGGTGACACCGACACTACCCTCGTCCGTGTCTTTCGTGGTAGTATCATCTACTGTATCAGTAGGATCGAGCATGATAGTGACATTAGAAAAGGGAAGAATGTGATTGGGAACAAACCTGCCGGAATGATCCGATGAGATAGCCGCATCTGCATTCCTTCCACTCGGCAAATCGGATCCATGGGGTATTGGTTGGAGTCGATGGGGAAAGAATGACAGCCCATCGTCCAAGCCCTTTCGGATGGCCGGCAATAGTTCAAGTTTGGTATGTAATATGGTATCAGGTTCGGTCAGATAGACGTATTTCCAATAGGAAGCATCGTGAGTAGTTCCCAACCATGCCGGGGAACATGTCACTGCAGCATCGTTGCCATCCTGGCCCTTCTCAGGAATTTTGCCCATTAGGGCTTCTTGAAGTCCAATCACTGCGCCACGAGGCATGTTGAATTTGACCCACTGCGTCGAAATCCAATCTTCTTGGTTGACCTTGGCGAATCCAAATTCGGTATTGTCAATCTTGATTTGAGTTGTACTCATCGTGGGATCTGGCACTATGTCATGATGATTGGATGATGATGAGGCTTGTGCTGCAAGGAATTTCAAGGATGCTGCGACATGACGCTGGTCTTCTTGCCCATATCCAGCAATAACGACTCGACCAAATCCCACTTGATGCAAGGATGCCAGTGTGGCGGCCAAGGAATGAACCGTGAGTTGGTGTCCGCGATCCGCAGTGTGGCGGCCACTCCTGTAGGGGGCAAATGCAACCACGGCGATGGTTTCATGAAACGTACTTGGTTGTACTTTATTCTTGCTTGCGAATACTTTTTCAATGTAGGCAGCAAAATAGGAAAGTGCCAAATCAAACATGGCCGAGTCGGAATCCTGTAGAATCCGCAATTCGTTCCACCATTTGCTCATGTGTTCGACCATAAAATCGGTCCAATCCACAAACATTTTGCTACTGGGATAGACGGAGCCACCACTCCCAATGGCGACAAAACAAGCATCTTCGACAATCCCCAGTCGGCGTCGTTCCAGGTTTAGAAATTTCTCGCGGGTAATGATCCAAGAATCGGAAAAGTAGTCGTGTTCTCGAAGTTGATGATTGGGAATCAGATTCAATGGTTGCAGTATTGATGATGAAGGTGGTTCATTGTGAACTGCGCCTTTTGATGTATCCGCTTCAGGGATTATTGGTACATTGGTAGGTCTCAAGGTCGGCGGAGTTATCTTGCGCAGGTTATTCTCATCATCTGCATCTGTCTCCGTCTCTGATGCCCTGATTCGTATCGTTTCTCCATCGCCTGATGATGCTCCTGAACCTGTCTTGGTTGCTGCTTCAGATGATAATGCATTCATATGTGTGTCCGATAAATATCGTGTCATATCTTCACCTATTTTCCAGCTCTTTTGAGAGTCCCACGAATAGAATGCCATTGCAAACAATAAGACGGCAAACAGTCCAATGCCGACCCAACGCTTGTTCTCTTTCTGGTGCCGACGTTTGTTATTCCGCCGTGAAAGTCTCATTTTGGCTCGAACAAACAGTTGCAGCTAACAAAGGCAGAGTCGTTGTTGTTTGTGATACCGCAATATTATAGTGAGTTGTTATTGTAATACCATAGATGAGATGTATAATATTATATTATATTTTTTAATATTCAATCTGATCTGATTGCCAGCCCGCAAAATGCGCGGATGAGATTTTTCAAATTTTTAATTGTTAGTCGGACCTGTCGAGTTTTCGTCTTTCATCCGTGGCTTGGCTTCTTGGCTCTGCTCGCTCGAGGAGGATTGGCCCGCCAATCAATGGGCTCAAAAGGATGATATGCGCGCGCGTAGTGACTTTCGAAACCGGCAAACCTTTTTTATATTGAACCCGTTCGGATCTTTTTGTTTTTGCATCAATCAATCAGGGAAACGGAAGCATAATCGTCACAAATCATTTGGATTATCGTCACTTGCTCTGCCTACTTTTGCTTGGATACTGCGATTATTGTACCATGAAGCTCTCTTGCTCCCTTCTCCTAACTGCTGCCGCACTGTGCATTGGCGTTGCCAGTGCCCAGGACTGTCTCATCTGTGGGGATCGTCCTTTGGATTTTCCCGATACCCTAGTCGATTTGTCGGATCTTGGCATGGAAGGTGCCACTTGTACCGATTTCGAGACCCTAGCCAACCAGGATGCTACAACTCCTTGTGCCATCTATCAACTGAATAGAGTCACTTGTTGCGAAGGCCTAGGTTTTGTACCTGATGCCCCATCCAATTTGGGTGAATTGTGCTCTACGGCTGCCAGCGACTTTGACTCCTATTTGGGATGTGCCAATGCATGCATCGAGGCTAGCTGCTGCGGAAGTAGTTGTCAGACTGATTTCGCATGCGCTGGCTACCTACCTTGTGCCGTGTTGGAGACAATTGCAGATTTTCCTGGACAAGGTGGTACCGTCGATCCCCCACCCTCTCCACCGTCGGACGTTGCAGTACTGTGTGCTGCAGAGACTATTTCTACTGACATTTTGGCATTCTTGGAATGTGCCAATGTTTGTATTGCCGCTAGCTGTTGCACAGGATCTTGTTCTGAGGAGGTGAGCTGCATTGAATATTCGGCTTGTGGCATTTTGGATCAAATTGAAGCTCCAGGACCAGTGTTTGATGGCACACCACCCTCGCCGCCAGCCAACTTGACAGACATTTGTGCGGAAAGCGCAGTCAACTCTGGCTTTTTCGCATACATTGGTTGCGTCAGTGCGTGTATTCCTGCCTCTTGTTGCGAGGATGCCTGTAGCACGGACCCCACGTGCATTGAGTACATTCCTTGTTCCATTTTGGACACCATTGATGAGCCACCATTTGGTGTCGGCGGAGATGGACCGAGTACGGGTGGACCAGGTACCGGTGGAGGCCCAGTCTCTCTACCCGAAGCACCGTCCGACTTGGCAGAAGTATGTAATGCAACCAGTGTTGCCGCCGACCCTATCTCCTTTTTGCTATGTTCCAATGCATGTAACCCTGCGAGATGCTGTGCAAACTCTTGTTCTGGTGACATTTTTGGCTGCATCGCTTTTGCACCATGCTTTGTTTTGGATCTTGTAGCATTTCCAGAACCAAGCACAGAGGGTCCTGTACCCCAAGCACCTTCCGACTTGGAAGCACTTTGCGATCCAGAAATGATCGGCATCAATTTTGACGCCTATTTGGGTTGCGTCAGTGCATGTCTTCCTGCCAACTGCTGCGGGGAGACATGTACAACTGAAGCCGAATGCATGAACTACGGACCCTGCGGCAATTTGGAGAGCGTCGATGAACCTCCATTCGGTATGGGTGGAGGAGATGTCTCCGATGTACCCCCGGATACTGGTACGGGCGATGCCGTACCCCCTGCACCGTCGAACTTGGCAGAGCTGTGTGCTGCAGGCAGTATGGCCACTGACATTGTGGCATACTTGGAATGTGAGAATGCGTGTGTTCCTGCCGCATGCTGTATTGACACTTGTTCCACAGACTTTGCTACCTGCTTTTCCTACACGCCATGTCTCGCGTTGCAAACTGTCCCATCTCCGGAACCAAGTGCGACTGGTCCCGTGCCCACTGCACCTGCCGCCTTGGCAGAACTTTGTGATGCAAGCATGGTTGGCACCAATTTCAATGCCTACAAGAGTTGCATCGGTGCGTGCTTTCCAGCAAGCTGTTGCAACGATGGCGGATGTCCCACTGACGCCAACTGCTTGAGCTACGAACCCTGTCTCGCTTTGGATGCTGTGGATGATCCTCCCTATGGTATGGGCGAAGATACACCTGACATGGGTGAACCAACAGGTGCCGGAACAGATGCCCCTGCCGCTACTCCCACTACTGCTCCTGTCGCGGCTCCAACTGCTCCAACCGGTCCGACTGCCGAAGGAGCGGAAGACAGTGGAGCCAATGGCACTTCTGGACTATTCACACCCATTCGTTTAGTAATGTCAGTCTTGTTCACCATGGCTGCTGTTGCTTGGGCTGAATGAGAACTCTAAGCGGTGTGAAGGAGTGTTCCAGAACTAGCAGCAACTTTATCGTTTTGTGTTGATGTCATCGCAGAGGCAAGATGTGGATGAATTCATGATCAATAGCAAGCAATTACGACATTGCATCTTTATCTAATAGTGCCAGAAGTGAAGTCTCTCAAGTCATATGTAGTACCTTGTTCTTGACGATTTTTTTCGCAACAACAATAGCGAATCTAAAAGTGCGAACGAGTGATATAGTATTGCGTTTTTAAATTATATTTCTTCATCAATGTAATTTTCAATCGATGGTATAGATTTGCTTCACTGAGAATGACAACATTGCGAGTCAGTCAGTCAGTAATATCCGTGTCGTCCAAAAGTGGGAGGTCGACAATCGCGAGGGCGGCTTCAGTGAGAGCCCTTAACTGATCCATTCGTTCTTGTGGTGTACATTCTTGGAGGGGACGAATTGGCGTTGGACCCATCAAAGACGCAATGGCAGCAAAGTGGCTGTTCATTGCACCATTTGAATGAACATCCTCGTGCTCAGTTCGCTGAGTGGGACTTGGACTTGTATTGCCTTGGTCTTGGGGGTTGCGAGTAGCGCTTCTGCGTGTGCTACTGCCGTTGGCTTGATGGTAATTGTGTTTGGAAGGAGGATGGCTCATGTTTTTGGTTTTGAGGATAATGCAAATTGTGCGATGAAGCTCTCAAATTCTCAAATAAGATCGCGGGCATGGAAAACTGATCAGACGAAACCAAGTATCATCCTCTGGTATGGATACAGCAACGGGAGATTTTCGATTAGAAAATCTTTTTGTTCTTTATCCCCGTCAGTGAAGCTCATGTGGTAACGCTGACACGCCACGTAAAAACCTCTTTCAAGTCTGAATAAGAATCATGTCGCCGGAAAATGAACACGTCCAGGAGCGCTATGCAAACACGCTCCTGACACTAACAAACCGTGTCGCCGGAGAATGAGCGCGAACGATATATTCTTGTGTTTTTTCATTATCATCGTTGGAGGACGCAAAAGGTTGGCTTTCCAGTGGTACTGCAGTACACGTTTACCTATGTCGGCACCACGTCAGTTGCAACATTGGCTCATGGGATCACTTTTCATTGACGTGGTGCATGGGATTTTACGGAGAATATTCGCATCAGTTTGAATGAATCAGGCGCTTTGGTTGGTCGTGTACCGTTTTGGGTCCGAGGTAGTCGAATCATCGCCATCATGATCATCGAACCTGTGATACTGATTTAAGACTTTTAAAGGCACTAATAGAAACTATGGCACTACACATCGTTTATAATATATGCATAGTTTTAAAACCCGCCCATCAATTAGCTACTTGTATCATGATCCCCCAAGCAGTCTCTCGATCCAATATTCAGCAATTTGGCTCTTCTGGGACTTCTGTCCAACAATGGATGATCATTGTGCCCTTTGTTACTAGTACGGAGAAGAACCGTCCGGCGTGTCCTCATCATAACGAAGTGGGAGATTGACAATTGCGATAGCAGCTTGCGTGACGGCCTTTAGCCGAATCATTCGTTCTTGTAGTGTACATTCGCTGAGGGGACGAAACGGGGATGGCCTTGCAAATGGCACAGTGTCAGGGGAGTTGCGGATCATTATAGCACGTGGACTTCCTCGTATATCGCCATTGTCTTGGAGGTTGCGAGTAGCACTTCTTCGTCTCCTACTGCCGTCGGCTTGATGACAATTGTATTTCGAAGGAGGGTTCATGTTTTTAATAATATTGAGGACGATGCAAATTGTGAGATGAAGAGGCCGAGGTCCTGGAATAAGAACGAGCCTACTGAAAAGTGATCACAGGAAATCGCCCGATCTTCCAGTGAGGATTTCTAATTGCGCTTATTTCAATTAAAAAACCTCCTTGTTCTCTACCCCTGCCAGTAAGTTGCATGCAGTAACACTGACAGTTTCCGATATAAATATTTCCAGGAGCGCCCACCGGAAAATGAAAATGAGCGGAAGGTTCTTGTCTGATCGGGCTCACTGAGTTCCTATATATGATGCAGGAGAATGAAACTGTTTTGAGAAGATCTTTCCGGTGGACTCGAGCCATATATGTTGCTTCATCTTCACGAACATTCTACCTATCTTCCAGTGACAGGTGGGACTCTACTCGGAATGTGTCAGTTCGCATCTACTTGCCAAATATTGCGCCAGTACAGTATTATAGGGTATATAGTACGCGGTATGAAATGGTTTGGGTACGATTTATTGTCCGAAACCGCAAATGCAAAATGCACCCACTTCCCATCATCATCGTTATCATCGAACCTAGTAGGCACTGTGCTGCAGAAAATATTGGCGATGATTGTGGTTCTGATGCAAGACATGGAGACAGTAAAAGGAATTGTGGCACTACATGTTTTCTAATATGCATAGTTCTATATTAAGCCGTTTAGTACTACTAGTCCTATGCTCCTCGTGACCAACCACCTAGCAGTCTCGCAATCCTCGGCAATGATAATAGATGGTCATTTTGGGCCTTGGTGTTACTGAGAAGAACCATTCGGCGTGTCCTCATCATAACGAAGTGGGAGATTGACAATTGCGAGAGCAGCTTGCGTGACGGCCTTTAGCCGAATCATTCGTTCTTGTGGTGTACATTCACTGAGGGGACGAAACGGCGATGACCTCAGAACCAACGGCGCAGTGCCGGGAAAGTCGCGGTTCATCATAGCGCTTGGACTTGGTGTATCGCCATGCTGATCTTGGCGGTTGCGAGTAGCGCTTCTGCGTCTGCTACTACAGTTGGCTTGATGGTAATTGTATTTGGAAGGAGGGTTCATGTTGAATATTTTTTTTAAAAATGTTGATGACGATGAAATTTTGAAATTGTGCCAGGAAGAAGCCGACAATAACCTGAAATAAGATCGCAGGATCTTCCAGTGAAGATTTATTGTTACGCTTACTTTAAAAAATCGAAACAATTCCTTGTTCTTTTCCCTTGTCAGTGAATTGCATGTAGCAGCCCTTTCCCGGAAGTGCTCCCGGGAGCGCGATGCCATGCCGATAACAATTATTAATTCTGTCGCTGGAAAATGAATATTAGCGGTAAATTCTCTCTTCATACAGGGTCGTTTCATCAAGTGAAGCAGGTCCAAGGAACGGGCCCAAGAATACCAAGAGGCATACCGGTACGGTATCCTTTGAAAAGCAGAAGATGATCGATCACGGTTGGAACAATTTTTGGACCTACAGCAGTGCCAGGCGGTGTGAGCGCCGGTATGTATACAGGTATGCCTGGTACTTGTTGGTGTGCTTACTAAAAATTGTTGCTTCCGGCGATCATGATGGCTCAGATCAGCTTAAATCACCAGCACTTCATGGAAAACAGCAGATATGGGTGCGATGCGGATGCGGATGCTGTAGCAGTGCAGTGGTTTTCAATCATAGCTAGCTCGATAGGCTCATGGCTACGGTATGCTACAACAGCAGTGTAGCGTACTGTCAGTACCAACTCACTCTCTTGACCAGTAGTAGTGTCGCCTGTACGTGTATACGTCGATCACACTGACTCATTTGAGTACTGTAATAGTTTCAAAATTCAAAAAGACGAGATGACAAAAAAAATGACATTATTTGACGATTATATTGTCATCCTGCGATAGCTGATAGTAATTGATTATAATAGTTCACCACACATGGCCTGCACTTTGATGCAACTGATTGGATTGGATAGGAATATTAACAATGGATGGATCGAAAGAGAGCTGAAAGAAAGTACAAAGTCCATCTAAAAGCAATAAAAAAGGAAGCGTGAGAGAAGGGAAGAAATATTAGGGGCAACTTGAATAAGCATCAAGAATACCATCGCCAGCAACATGAAGACTCGTGTACCTCGCGATCAGCCGACGCGACAAAATCTATTCCTCTTCCTGCTCGTTTCTCTCTTGTTCTTCTGGATTATTGCTGAGCATAAATTCACGAACTCCAAGTTTCTCTTAGCCTTGACCAATTTGCCAACCTACACGAACCCTGCCAATGACATTGTCTTCCACAATGCCATCAACTCGTCTGAAGCATCCGGCAATTCTGATCGTACAATCAGTAACGACTGTTTGGTACATACCTCGCTAAACGTATCGGCGGGATGGAAGATTGATGGCGGGATATTGGAACAAGAAACGGCCACCTGTGGAAAGTTAAGGCGAAAGTGGGAACACAATCCACCTGAATCACCTCTTGCCAAACAGATGGCGAACCATCAGTCAGATTGTTCCAAACCCATTGCCACGCATTATTTGGATAATACATGTAAGTGTACCGATAATGATGATTGGTAGTATTCGAAAAGTTTCAACTCGTCCCTCACTTTCTGAATTGTCTTTTCTTCTTCTAATACTATGCCAATTAGACGGTTTGGGGTCCCATTTGATCTTGTGGGGTCAAGCCATGTGCAATGCCATGGAGCAAGGATACCGTCTTCATTCTTCCATCAAAGTGGATTCGGAATACAAACAGTGGATTTGGTTGGATCAAGAATACTGTGCTACACAAGACGAGCATCCCATGACCTGTTATTTTCCTTGGGCCGAAGAGGAAGCTTGCGCTCTTGCCAACCAAGATTCCACTGGAAATATAAAATTCAGCTACAATTTTACGAATGTTACTGTTCAGGACCCACGGGCCTACCGCTGTGCCCTGACCCAAAAAACGGTTGGCATCACAGAACGAGACGAGTACCGAGCTTCAGCTACCGAATACCTCTTTTCTCACGTCAGTCCACTCGTCATTCAAGAAGCCCAACGACAAATTGGAATAATCTTTGGAGACCTGCCGAATGCCATGGCGCCAGAGAATCTCATCACTGTACACATTCGGTAAGTTGCAACGAAACGAAGGAATATTCATGATGGTACACGGCCATTATTGTCTTGTCGCCGACCAATTGACAATCATGACTCAAAATTTGATTTGGCAAAACGCTACTCTTCTTTCTGTAGATGGGGCGACAAGTTTTGGGAAATGGACTTGGCCAAGATTGAAGAATACATTGATGCCATCCAATCGTTAATCCAGTCGGATGCGAGTTTGGTCGGTCCAGATGGACTGGTCCATATTTATTTGGCCACTGAAGACCCAAAGGCTCACGATGAGTTCTTGGCGGCGGTCCCCAATGATTGGAAGGTATATGCAGATATAACCTTGCAAGAAATCAATTCATTTCGACCCGTCAAGGGAAATCGAGCCTCTCATGCCACTCGAAATACCAAAGGAAGAGCCGGACTGGTAGCCATGGGCAGCCTGCTAGTGGCGCTCGAAGCCAAGGCATACGTATTGACCACCAAATCGAACTTTAGTTCTTTGATCAATCATCTGCGGCGAAAGATTGTGAATCGACAGTGTCGCAAAAGTGAAGGGAGAATCAACGATGATGATAACGGCGACGAATGCACGGCTGCCATTGATTTGAGACCTGATGTTTGGTAGAGGGAATACAAGAGCACACCCAAAAACAATGGACAGTCAGACACTCCCACAAGTTGCGAAGCACATCAATTTTCCTTTCAAAATGGATTCACACCGAAATACAATTATTGGCATGCATTGGATGAGGGTTTCTGATTTACCAATCCAATTTAGGTGTGCTCTGATGCAACTTCTGTGAGTGAGTCGAACTTCCACCATCACACTGATAAGGAAATTTGCACATCCAAAGATGCAGATGCCCGAATAGATAAATTGCCCATATACAGTGATCCATGGTAAACTATTCACCAGTACTGTAGGCTATCTACCGTATACCTTTGATCATTCTAATTTGTACTCATAACAGCAAGTTTCGCTTCATCGGTAGTCGACTTCTCCGACCAGTCTGGAAGACCTCGCTCTCCGTTCCATCGAGCCGTCCTTCATGGTGGCGATAGTTTGAGATTTCATTAAGTCATTGTGGTCTTAGAATCCTCATTGGGCGTATTATGTTATGTACATGATCGGATGGACCACCAGACATCGGTGACAGGCCAGCTTTTCGTCATCGAATACTGCGTACCGTATGAGTGACTGTTCTGAAGTGACATGACAAGTGATTGTAACAGCACCGATGCCAGTGCTATGCTCTAAAGTCTTCCTTTCAAAGCTCTGACGAATAATAGCGACATTTCTTTCACGACTTTGTGCTCCTCGCTGGTCTGATTGATTGATTCAGTATCTGTTTTCAAGAGCAAGTCAGCTTTCTGAATCAATCGAGGGCAATAAATTTATGAGGTGATCCCATCATTCATTATCTGCCTATAGAAAAAACACCAAAACGTGCAGGCAATTAAAGGGGAATCAATTCATCGAGTATTCAGCGAAAATCACCGTCATCGACCATGCGAGAATCGAGATCAAACCCAAACTTACGCAAGCAATCGAAGCAACCTCCTGCTGTTGTCAACTATGATGAATCAGGATTATTGCAAGACCACTTTCATGATCCTTCATTCTTCCAGCCGATGACCGAAGAGCCTGTATTGACAAGACGCTTGTCACAACAACCAAAAACGAAAAGCAGAGCATCAGCGAGGCAATCCTTGAGGAAACAGCCTTCGGCACGCCCTTCCATAGCCAACGCACTTCAAGGTTCTGCAAGAGAATTGTTGCCAATGCAAGATATGCCAGCTGGGCCTCAATGGAAAGGAAGTAATGTACGACAAATATCGCCTCCGCCACATTCATTGAGTCGTTATCCGAGGCAATCTGTTTCACCTCCACCTGCTGTTGTGACGCCTCCAGGAGAGTCATCAGACAAGAAAAAATACACTAAGCATTCTCACAGATCCAAAAGCACGAGCAAGCCAAATTCGAGGAATTCACACCGCAACTCTACTTCCCACAAAGAACGATCATCGTCTCATGATAGATACGAAGTGAAAGATGTGGAACAAAAGGATTTGCACCCTGCCGTTCAGGAACATATCCTAGCCGAGATGCAAATGGCACAACAAGTTCAGAAGGAGCAAGAGGTATATCATCGTTATCAAAATCATCGTCAGCAATCAAAGCAAAAGCCGAAACAGAAACTAGAGCGAGAAACTAGACGGTCGAGAATACAAGAAAGATCCCAAGGACAAGCACCTGAAATCTTGCATCCCTATCTGCAAGAGCACATCATGGCCGAGAATGCCATTAAGGAAACGGTTAAATCGAGAGAGCAGCAACAAAGAGAACAAGCGCTCTTGCACAATGCAAGGCAACAAGCAGGAAATGATCCGAATGGTATGCATGAATATTTGCAGGAGCATTTCTTGGCCACTGCCGATCGAGAAGGGCAACCATTTCCGCCTGGAAACAACACTGTGGACGAACAATTTGCTTCTTTTGCAGGAAATCTATTAGACGCCTATCACACAGATGCAGTTTTTGGTCATGACCCAAATCAGGATCATCAACAATTGCGAGAGGAACGACTAAGGCGACACCGTGATAAGAAGCGAAATCGGAAAAGGGGCTGGTTCGGACGAAAGTCAAGTCACAGCCCAACGGGATCAACCAACACTTCCATTTCCAGCACAGCTTCTGGATTTGTCCCACCACCTGCGCCACCAGTAGCAAGTACCCCACCGCCACCATCGACTGCGGAAAATACTCCGAAGTCAATCGGTTCGAGACTGAAGAGTGCTGTTTTACCACGAAGAAAACAAAGGGAGAGTACTCGAAATGACAGTCGTGACGCTCCCAAGACTATCAATGATCCACTATTGCAACAGACCATATTGGAAAGTATCGCTGCCAGTGAGGCTATTCAACAGGCGGAACCGCGTGCACCACCACGGTCCCGATCGGACCTACAGCACCGATCGAGACGAGAGACCGAGCCGCGAACGTCTCGCAGGCGACGGCACTCCAATGACCACGACGTAGAACAAAGGCAAATCGAGCAGCATGGTATCCTGGAGTCGAATATGGAACAGCTGCACATTGGAATTGTGAATACCGCAAATGGTCGCAAACAAGTTGCCATGCATCAGGGAGTGAAATTGGATTCACGTCGAGAGCGACAAAAGCAACAACCACGGAATCCAGAACCACAGCATCCGCAGCATCATGCACAGCATCATCAAAGAGAGCGCCGTCGGTCTTCTTCGCAACCACATGTGGTCAATAGGGATGGTGAATCATCTACTTCCAAGAATCACCAAACTCCGATTCTCGATCCAGAGCTGGAGCTTGCCATGATGTTTGCTTCCAATACTGGAGAACCCAATGGTACCGATCAACAGGCTCAGCAGTTCCTATTGGAACAACAGGCAGCCTTGGAAGCTCTTCAGCGTCAGCAACGAGAACGTCAAGCCAAAACGCCCCCAGCACCGACACCAGCTGCCGCTTCCAGACCGCCGGAGCCATTTACGCACAATACATCCCAACTCAAGCCCCCACCAGAATCGACGATTCCTTCTACTCCCCACATTGATACAAACCGAATACAGAGAGGGGAAGCAAAGGGGGGTACCGGGCCGACACTCAAGGCTGCGCCCGAGATTGCAGCATTACCTGCTCCAGAAACGGACTATTGTGGCAATTCCTGGGATGGCAGCCGTAGCACCCTTTCCGGAGAGGATGAAGACTTTTTCGATTGGGCCTCGGTCGATGAAGAACCTCCGATTCGCGAGGCTGTGACTCGTGAAAGTTTCGTGTCGGCAATCACCAATCCAATTACCAGTGATGGAGAGTATTATTCTGATTCCGAACCAGAGGATTACTATGCAGAGAACTACGACTCTGATGACTATGTAGACGAGGACGAATGGGAAAGACTGGAGAAAGCCATGGAAAAAGGAGGTCCAGAAGCTACTCGTCAATGGGAAGAATTCCTGAGAAAACAAAGTCAGGTGACAGAGAGTGAACAGCCAGATCATGAGCCTATGGAGGCTAATCAGCACCCGGCTCCTTACGATGGAGACTACGCCCCAAGTCAGATGCCTGATTCTGATGAGGAAGATCCAGTTACTCAGAATGAAAAAGCCTTCCCACCTCAAGTTGCCAAAACGCCACCTGCTCAGGTTGCTAAAGCCTTCTCACCTCAAGTTGCCAAAGCTCCTCCTCCTCAAGTTGCCAAAGCTCCTGCAGCCTCTTTGATCAGTGTTCTCCCTACGTTTGTTTGCGAGTGTTGCGCAGAGAGAAAGTCGACCAAGGACCATGCCCATCATTGCGATAGCTTGGGTACCCCTCACATGGTGTGTTCAGGCTGCATTAAGAAATACCTTGAAAACCGACATACCAAATATCGAATGTTTGAATCGCACAACAAAACACTCTACCAGGTCAAATGTTTTACAGCCTTGGACGGATCTTCTTGTAATGGTTGCAATGCCACCCTTAATTTCCAGTTGCAAAGTATATTCACACTGCCCGAGTTGGAAAGTTGGCTCGTGCGCGAACGGAATCGATTGCACACCATGGCAACTGCCAAAAACAATCGGAAAAGTCCTACCAACTATTAGTTAGACGAAGGTATCCAGTTTGCATCGGCTCTTAGCATGATGTAACTTGACACACAATCATCCTTGTGATAGGAAAATGCAGTGACCGGAACCTATAGCATAATATTGTTTCTAAACGAGCGTGAACGGAATATGAATCTATTGCACACCATTCGGCAGCGTCCTGCAAGTCCGTCCAACCATCGATGGGAACGGAAGAGGTACCAGTACAGCACGACTGACAATTATGTACTGTAACATTTCAAGAGCTCTATTTATTGAAGTACACATACACGTGTCATTGCACGACGAGTCGTGCATCTTTAGAGTCCTCTAAAGCACCACAATGTAATGGCATAACATTATCCTTGTGTCGCTATTTACACAACTTTTGAAAACGATGAGCGGGAATGTAGTAACAGGAACCTAGTAGATATACTGTACTGTTTCCCAACGAGAGTCATTGCCATCATGCATCTTCGGCATCAGGAGCTGGCAGGACATCTAATCCATCCAGCTCCGTCATATACGGACTCGTTGTTGGACTTGAACTACTGCTATCCCCATTTGTTCAAGTGCCGAGTGTGGCTGCTGGATGCGTGTCGTGTGTGTTATAGTACAGTTGCCGAGATAGGAGTTGCTGCCAGCAGCGGCGGTGATGTGCTAGCAGAGTGTTCATGTAATGTCTGGCTTAGGCCGTTGGGTATCTTTGCGATCTGAGCACGAGAGGTCCTTTTATCCCCATCAGACTATCGTTGCCCAAACCTCATCGTCCTTGCTGGTCATTGATTGGTCGCGGTTCGAGGTCCACATCAGTGGGTTCGTTGGACTGCTCATTTCTCGCCATCCAAACTCCGAGCCAATTGGGCTCCATGGAATTCTGATGTTGCAAAGCGGCGAGTTGAGATGCAAATAAAGGATTGTTGGGCAGCTGTGAGTTGGTATTCTGGGTAGCGCTGGGCTTCTGAGGAAAGATAGGGTTTCCCTTATCATCATCTTTTCCAAATTGCTGCTGTAGTTGTCCGAAATTCTGGATTCTATTGGTGTCTATAGCTGCCATTTGCGCACTAGTTCCCAGAGCTATCTTGTAATCATTAATGTCAAGAGCTGGAGTGAGTGCGGACATACTAATGAGACTGGGAGGATACCGTTCTAAACGAGACGATGCTCCGGATTCTTGATCTTCTGAGGAACGGCGTTGTACAGTTAAACACTTCTCCTTGTTGTGTCGTTGAAAGTCAGGATGATAGTATGCTCCTTTGTCGTCTCCAAAGTCTATCCGCGCAAAGCGATAGTGATAAAGCTGAAAGATACAGATAGGGAAATGATGAATGTGAGCCTCAACTGGATGAAATCATTAGATCAGGCGCTTAGATACATACCTGACGAACAAAAGAACGATACTTGGTCTGTCTGAAGTATCTACCAATGAGTTTGTTCTCAAATTCAGTAGTCTTGTGAACTTTGAAGGCCTTGCCGTGAGGAAGCCATGAGACAATGTGTTCGTTTCCTTCTAAGGAAGCATCTTCTAGCAGCTGAAGCAATTTAAACGGAAAGCCACGCTTGCTAGAAGGAGTCTTAGCAGAGTCCAATACTGTGTTGTAAGAGAATTTGCTAGGGTCATTTGGCTGTTGCATTGCAAGACAGTAATCAAACGTCGAGATCATGGAGATGCCGAATTAGCGACAATGGGGAGAATTGCGGCAGTTTATTATTTTCCGGCTGGTTTTTCGTTTTGTGAAGGGACCATCGAAGAGTCCATAAAATCAGATTTGAACGAACGCTTGCGTGTCAGCAATTATACCTTTCTAAACATTCCATATGTAACAAGGTGAACCCAGATCGTGAGCCCTTTCGCAACATTCTTCCTTGATTCTTTCCCGTCTATATTAATTAGGTGCAGAACACTGAACAGAAGAATACTGGCATTTCGGGGTTATTTCCATGCTTCGAAGTTTAGCCGAATGTCTGTATATGTTATCTTGTTTGCCACCTCACTAAGCAATGCAGTATCGGAAACAGATGCGAGCTTTTATAACACAGAATGTAGCGGTCCATATGTCAAATCTACGTACCATCAGGAATCGATGGCAATTTCTGCACAGTTCTGTTTCTATTTCGCGTTCCTTCAATGAGGGGATATCATCAGAGCATAGCGCTTACAAGAAAATACTAGTTGCGCTTCCTATCATGAACGTGTCAGATAATAGGAACGATTAACATTTATATCGAAGAGCCCCGAAACCGTTCCACAATGTACATCAAATTTATTGAACGGGCACGTGGTCAAACTGATTCCATTATACCCCCTGCTGAGAAAGCATATATGAGTTAGTACTGGAAACTGGTACAACACCAGCCAGTACCGTATATGAACATATGAGCATAGCGTATGCTTGGGCTTCACAAGGTCCCATCGAACCAACTCGCATCAATAATTAGTCAGTACAATTTGCACATTAGGTTTACGCACTTTTCATTCTATCTGCTCCCGCTCCGCCGAAGAAGCCGAATGCCGTTTATGAACCTTGTTCTCTCGAAGTTCAACTCGCGACAATGGAGGAACCGGTGGGGGGTACCGGTGCCTGGTACACTTCGAAAGAACGAACGCATTGAGTGCAGTTGCACGATATTTCTTTGATCACACGTCAATAGTCTTGGTTACCGAACTAAGGGACCATTCAAATCGCCTTCGCCATTGGAAGTTTTAGGATGCCATAACGAACCACGACCTCAACAAAATAGAAGAAGAAAGAGAGCAGAAGCGCCAAAAGCTCAATGAGAAGAGGGTTGGAAGCCAGTCAGAAGCAATGAAGAATGAGATGCTGGAAATTGGAGTACGAACTTTTGGCGCACTCTAAAATCGAATGGTTGTTGTCAGAAGAAGCCATGAGCAGAAGGGCTGAGCGAGAATAAGGCAAGAAGTCAGTTGAAACAAGAAGATCGCAATTAGATATAGGAGTAATTTACTACGCATGTGAATCAAGAATGATAGGTTAGCGTAACAAGGAAGGATCATGGTGCTTCATACGGCCGGTGACGGTGTGAAGGTATGAATCATAATGGTTCATTCCATTATTCTGATTCCAACCAGGAAGTGAATGATAGGTAGCGTAGCAAGGATGCTTTATACGGTGTGAAGGTATGAATTATACTGGAGCACTTGTTCATTGTATACTGTTTCTGATGATACATGTACCGGTCCCGGTACCGGTACCAGGTACGGTAGGAGTTCATCTGCGTCATGCGTACCAGGTACCGGTAGTAATATGAATACACGTACCTGAACCGGTACGTGCACAGTGACTGGTCGAAGGAGTCGGCGCAATGGATTTTGATGGCGCGCACCTTGTCCCCACGCGGTACTGTACAGTAAATTGAAAATATATCTCGACTGTCATCCTTCCATCATACGCATGTATTACATTAGTATTTATTATTATATTCAGCAACGGTCATCATACCAACTTCCTAATGTCAATAGAAGCTTCAGAAAAATGCTCAAGATATCACTAACGCGCCAGTGCTTATCGCATTTGGTGGTAGCGGTGATTTTCTTTCAGCTTGGAGCCATGACGACGACGACGACGACAACGACTACGACATCATCATCTTCCACCACCAGCTGTCTTTCGTTAGGAACAATGAATAATGCTGCTAGCAGAAGCGAGGATTGGGATTTGCAATTGAATCAAAGACGGATACGCAAATCTGATGATGGCCCGAAACGCGTGGGATCTTCGCTGAGGCATCAGCAAGGGAAATCATGGAATATGCAAACATATGGACGACCGACAAAAACTTATTCTTCAACATCCGATAATAAGTCTCAGCTGACGAAGGAGTTTGTTCACGGCATGGCTTGGATTCCAAGGGAAGAATTCGTGAAAACGTTTGACACAGGGGTAGCGATCGATAACGCTGGAGCTGGAGCTCAAGGCAAAAACAGCAGTGTCTTGTTACTGTATGCCAATCAGAAGTCTTTGCCCAATACGCAAGGTTTGTTGGACAATCAAAATCCTGGAACGGTGCCCTCCAATCCACTCGAGGCGACTGAAAATTGCAACGAGCTACAAGTAATTCTTGCCTCTACCAAGCGAAAGAATCGATGCATTGCCATTATGGAGAATTGGGGTGGGTCACCGCACATGTATAGATTTTTGCGTCATGACGATTCCAAACAGCTTCGATTGGGTGGGCGATTCTTTGATCCTGCGGGTGGAGCAGCTCGATGGCAGAAGGTGAGCATCTTCTCAGAGAACCTAACAAGTAGGACAGTTGAACGAAATGTATGCTAACAGACTACTTTACTTTCAACTTTTGAACCACAGCCTCCGCCTCGGCCAATGACGCACAATTTCTGGAAGCAATTGGCAGACTTTTTGATTCATTACGACAAGACCTGGCAAGACTTGAAGCCGGTTGCTGATAAAGTTGCTCTTGCGGGAGGAAGGGGCGATCCAAGCGCCACAGAGGATGGAATTTCTAGGGGAGCAATCACGGTCATGGTATCAAACTATGGTCATGCAAACTTGCTACTTAACTTTGTGTGTGCTGCCAAGAGCGTTGGCTTCAATCTGGATAATGTACTTTTGTTCGCCATGGATGAGGAGACGTACGAGTTGGCGCAAAAGCTTGGTCTTGAATCCTTTTATCCCAAACACATATTCGAAGGATACATCCCAAAGAAGGAATTGGAAAAGTACAGCTTTGGTGATGGCAAGTTCGCCAAGATCATGATGGGTAAAATCTATTCAGTTCAGCTCGTCAACGATTTGGGATATGATGTACTATTTCAAGACTTGGACGTGGTTCCATTGCGACCCGATATCATGGAGTATTTTTATTCAGGACGAAAGGATGCCGCATATGTGGACATGTTCTTTCAGTACGACCGAAATCACAACTCGGAACAAGCTCCATACAGTGCCAATTCGGGATTCTATTTTGTGAAGTACAATCAAAAGACGAACTACTTCTTTAGCGTGCTGGCTCGGATGGGTGATCTGGTTTTGAAAACGGGAAGTCACCAGCAGGCCATGTCCGTTCTCATGGGAGAACACATGGCGACACATGGGCTCAAGGTCAAAGTAATGGGAGGGGAAGGAGAAGATTCACACCTATTTCCAAGTAAGTAATGGAATCAGGGAAGAAATTTGTTTTTCATCTGTAAAATCCCACTAAGCATAATCCTTGTTGTACTCCAATCAAAGATGGCTGGCATTTTCACCGGTCTAAGAATGAGTACATGAAGGAACTGAAGGACGGAAAGCAAACACCATACATTTTCCACATGAATTGGAATAATAATGGAAAGGAAAAACAGGACTTGATGAAGGATTCTGGATTTTGGTTTGTGGAAGACTCTTGTCCTGTTACCAATCTTCCCTCGGATATCAAAACATGTTGCAAGCGATGAGTCAGGTGACAGCACAATAGAAATCAACACATTGGCCCTATGCATCCAAGAGTTGGAGACTCATCGCGAGCCTATTCGCTGCCTTTCGATTCAAGCCAACAATTAGGGAGGGGAATTCGAATTTCAAGGTAATCATAGAAAGAAACAATAAAATACTGAACGATTTTCTGCAACGTACATTTTTAAAGTACTTGTAAAGCTGGACTAAAAGAATTCGATCCCATCACAATCTCCAATATCCAACCAAAACAGATTTGGCTTCTTCACCCTAATAGTATTGCGATGTCCTTCGGCCTTTTCATGTTCTAGCTCGACTCGATTCATCTCCGCCATCATCTCATTGACAGCATCGTCTAGTCCGAGTAGAAAGGATGGCGTATTAGCCTCCGTTGAATTCATCGTACTTGCAGTTTGCTGAAGATTTTGTCCTTTTTCTTGCAATATTTGGCCAACTATGATACTGGCCCTTTCGGGTACCGCCTCATGGTACGTTGCATTCTCAGGTCCGGGTACACCAGGACTTGTCGGTTGACTCGTGTTCCAATCGTTAAATTGCCCTTCTTCATGTGAACCGGATTTGGATTCAATCGAGTGCAGCAAAGCTCCTTGGCGACTCTCTTCATCTTCGATGGATTCATATTCCATAGTGTCCTTGGCTTCTTCGTCTGCATCGGATTTGGATTCACATGAGTCTTGGCAACTTCCTTCACAGTCAATTGAGTCTTCTGGGACGGCGCTGTTAAATTGGAATGCAATCTCTCGCAGGTGTAACAATCGAGCAGGTGTGAGATGAGTGCTTTTCTTCCCGCGTTGTATCTTGTTGTATTCTTCTTGATTCGTCGCTAGCCAATGTCTCAAGTGTTGGTAATCTGCGTCATCATCGGGGACATCAAAGTGACCAAGGGCTACTTTAAATTGCTTGAGTTCCTGCAGCCGTTTATTCCATTCTAGGTTCTCCTTCTCTGTATCTCCAAAATGAAACCCAATGGACTCGAGTTGAGCAATCCGTTCATCTGTCAGGAGATGACTCTTGATTCCTTTTTGGATCTTGTTGTACTCTGTCTGACTCTTCTGAAGCCAGGTTCTCAGCGACTTGTACGTTTCCGAACTTTTGGGAACCTGAAAGTGTCCATGTTCTTCTTTGAAGTCTTTTAGCTCTTGTACCCGCTTGTTCCATCGTTCAACCGAGCCTGCAGGCAGACTGAATTTGAAGCCAATTGATTCGAGTTGAGCAATCCGTTCATCTTTGAGCCGACTGCTTTCCATTCCTCTTTGGATGTTGTTATACTCTGTCTGATTATTGGTAAGCCAAGATTCCAAAGACTTGTACACTTCTGTATCACGTGGAACTTTGAAGTTCCCGTGTTCCTCAATGAAACTTTTCAGCTCGTTGAAACGTTGATCCCATCGATCGATTGGGCATGCTGGTGCATTGGGACAAAACGGATTGGGCTCAGTGAATGTGAAGCCGATGGATTTCAGTTGAGCCATCCTTTGATCTGTCAGGCGGCTACCTTTCCTTCCCTTTTGTATCTTGTTGTACTCTGTTTGATTATGCGCCATCCAATTGCTCAATGACGTGTACGCTGCTACATTGCTTGGCACCTTGAAGTGTCCGTGTTGGTCGTAGAAATCCTTTAGCTGTTTTATCTGGTAGTTCCATCGTTCATTTGGGCTCGATGGCACATTGATATCATTGGAATCGAGCCTTCTCGCTGTTGGTGGATTGAATTTGTAGCCCATTTCCATCAGCTCAACCAACCTTTCACTTGTTAATCGGCTGCTTCTCACCCCTTTCCGAAGATTCTGGTAATGGGTTCGATTATTAAGCATCCAGTTTGCCAACGGCTTATATCTTTCGACGTTCATAGGGACATTAAAATGACCGTGAGCGTCATGGAACTCCTTCAGCTCTTGTACCCTCTGACTCCATCGCGAATTGGGACATCTGGGACCAACGGAGCCTTTTGGAGGCGTTTTTCTTTTTGCAGCATCTCTGAAAAAGAATCCAATTTCTTCAAGCCGAGACAATCGCTCATTTGTCATGGCACTCCTTTCTCCTTGCTGAAATTTGTTATATGCAGCTTGATTGTTCCTTATCCAGTTGCTCAAAGCTTGGTGTTTTTCATCATTGTATGGAACATTGAAATGCCCATGAGTGTCCTTAAAATCCTTCAACTCTTGCAATCTTTCATTCCATGGTTTCCGCTCTGTAGTAGTGGTGTCAGCAAATTCGAAGCCTATTGCCGTCAGCTGCGATATGCGCTCACTTGTAAGACGGCTGGTCTTCTCACCATTCTTGAGGAGGTTATAATGGTGTTGATTTGTCCTAACCCAGGCACACAATTGACTGTACGCTTCAGAATTGTTCGGGACTTCGAAGTGACCATGTTCTTCTTTGAACTTTTGCAATTCTCCTACCCGTTGGTTCCAACGAGCATTGTCTACATCGGGGCCACGTTGCAGCTGCGTATTTTTAGTAGTTTCAGCGTTGAAAGTAAAGCCTATTGCCCTCAGCTGTGACAGGCGTGCACTTGTCAGTCGGCTAGTTTCCTCGCCTCTCTCGAGGAGATTGTGGTGGTGCTGATTATTTGTCATCCAATAATGCAATTGATTGTACGCTTCGACATGGCCTGGGACTTCGAAGTGACCATTTTCTTCTTTGAATTTTGCCAATTCTTGTACCCTCTGGTTCCAGCGAACATCATAATGATCGCGGCTACGTTGATTTCCTTTGGTTCGTACCCGGCTGGTATTGCTGTTGCTGCTGCTTATGCTTTGACGCAAGTTCTGAACGTTCCGAAAGTCATAACCAATCTTTTCAAGCTTAGACAGCTGCGTCTCCATCAATATAGAAATATCTTCTCCTCTCTGACGCTTGTTGTGCGTGATTCGAAGCTTCGTGAGCCAACTCGAAAGATGCGGGAACTCTTTGCAATTCCGTGGAACTTGAAAATTCCCATTGATACGTCTGAATTCGATGAGTTCCTTCAGACGGCGTTTCCATCGACCCTCTGAGTCCACCAAGGATATACGAAGGCCGATAGATTTCAGCTCGGATATGCGCTCCTCCGTCAAGTCAATCTCGGGTTCCTCTTGACGCTGCAATCGTGCGAAGGAAGAACGAATCTTCTGAATCCAAGTTGACAACGTTTTGTGTTCTTCATCGTCTTTTGGAACCCGACAATGCCCATGCTGTTGCTTGAAGTCTTTCAGTTCTTGTATGTGTTGCTCCCACATGACTTCTTTTAGTGATGATTGATTCAACCGTTGATTGTACGCAGTGGTAGTGTTCTGGTTTCTATAATACCGGTACTGTACGAATAGCTTGCTTTTTTTTATCATAATATTCATTTCATCATCTGCTTCCGCGCGGGGAATTGAGGTGCGAGTCAGTCAGTCAGTCAGTCGAACGCGCAATGAGGATGCACGCAAGCAGTTTCAAGTTGAAATAAATTTGGGTAGTATGGCGTGCTGGCGAAGCGATGGCGAGGCTGGCTTGGCTTGTTCGACAAAATTCAAAATGTTCAGATGAGTTTCTGAAGAAATAAATCCTAAATCCTCAGTGCGCATGTTGGAAGCGAGTGCTCTTGCAACTATCTTCCGTTTCTGCTTTCGAGGTGTCAACCATCAGGCATGAGACTTCCTCCAAAGAACGGTAGCGGCAGTAGCGCCACCAGGAACAGACCTCCCACTGTCAGTACGAGTACTAGTACCAATACCAATACGAATGTTGGCACTACTAGTACAAATACTTCTCTTCAGGAACTGGTCGCTGCATCCTTTGACACCTTAGAGGACAATATCAATGATATCATCGCCTTTGAAGAAGTTGCGGAAAAGAAGAATGATGAATTTGATCGAGCACGAAAAATGATTGCTACGCCATCGGAACGATACGTGATGCCATCACCAAGAGTACCGTCAAAAACAGTGATGCCATCATCACCGTCACCGGTTCAAGAAGCCAAAAAGCGATTGAGTTTGTCTTCGGAATATTCCTCGTCCTCGAGGAAATCCCCAGGTGCTATTGTTCCGAAAAAGAGAACAAGTTTCACTTCCGACTCCTCTTGGATGAAACCTTCCAAAGATAGTAACAACGATGACGGAGAAGTCATCAAGCCGTCTAGCATCCGACGAGCAAGTGCAACCTCTGTTGCATCGGCATCTGATCCCCAGCAACCCAATAATGGAGATAAGAAGCAAGTACCATCCAACAAACTGTTCAAGAAACCATCCGAAAGAGCTTTGAGGGAACTAAAGGAACTATCCACAAAGTTTGATTCGGATATGGAAATCACTGAATTGCGCCAAGAATTGCATAGGGCTTCCATAAATTATGAAGTGTTGAGCAAAAAGTCGCCCTTTGGAATTGATAGTAGTGCGGAACGAAACGATTTGGGAGGAGACAATACCGCCAAACGAATCAGCTTTCAAAAAGATTTGCCGCAAACATTCAATGAAAATGATGTTCATGGAGCCATCAAGGAGCGACTGGAGTTCTTTCGCACCTCTTTACAAGAGTACACAGAGGAGCAACATCAGCAGCAACAGCAACAACAACAACAGTTGCAAGAAGAAATATCCGAAAGTGAAACTGATGATACTTCCAAAGACCAGCATTTGTCTAGAGAAATTAATACGAAACGGCCATCTGGTGCGTCCTTGGAGGCGTCATTGCATGCGGAAAAAAGATTGTCTGATGTCACTTTGGATACTGCCATTGGTATTGAAAAACGGCCTGGTCATGTGGTAACGACGGTCGAAGATGCGGACGATGACCACCATCATGATGACGACAACGACCATGATGACAATCTAAAAGTGGCCAAGGAAATGATCTATGGAGATGGGGGCAAGTCCATGCAAACTACACCAACTGCCAGTGGAAACAGTGAAAAGGACAAAGATTTTGAAGTGGAGGAGAAAAAGCGCAAGTTTGGAGAGAGTTTGGGTCGTTTCTTTAGTGCCCTCAAGTCTTGGTTTCAAAAAAGAATCGAGGCATTTGTGGCCAGCTTCACGCCCAAGGAAAAGATGATATATGTAAATCAGATGGGATGATGTAGTAAGCGATTAGCTGAACCATAATTACCGTCGTGCAGTTGGTTGAATTTGGTTGATGGAGTACTGTAGTGTAAATAGAACTGTTTGCATTGAATCATCATCGTTGACATTTTGAAGCTATAGTAGTGCCTTGTCTCATTTTTTCGCCTGTCCGCAGGTACGTGATGTCACAATGACCGTATGAACCATTTTCGTGACCTCAATATTACACACGGAAGAAAGCACCTTATTTGTTCTATCGAGAGCAATGATAATATGACACACAACAGTGGCGTAACGAAACCAAGCTTTGATGAACATATCGGGAACGCTTCCGAACCTCATGCGGAAGAAAATAGTGAAAAAGGAGTTGTTATCCAAGAGGAAGCGTGGACGAATGCAGACGGAAGTAACGTCTTTGATCTCACATTTGAAAACAACATGGTTCGATCCACCATGAAGAATCTGTTTCCGCATTCGAATCGAGCATTGGTATTTGACAGTTATTCCGAACAGCAAATGACGCCGTTGGATATGTTATATGAAAAGACGACTATGAATCATGAAGAAACTGCTGATGAGAACGACTATGATGACACTGACCACTACAAGTTTGATGACTTCTATGATGGAACTGGAAGTTTGGTATGGCTAGCATGTATAGCCTTCTGCCATTTGGTAGCACAAGATCTGATACCACCGCTAGCAACTACTGACTCCCGTGAAGGGCGGGAAGAAGGTTCCAAGAAAGAAGAAAAATACGATGACGAAATGCTTCAGATTTGCGAACTTGGTTGCGGAGCAGGATTGGCGTCGATTGCCACACTACTATCGTCACTCGTAAGGCGTGAGACAAACGACAAACCTGCCTATCGAAAAGTGATCTTTACTGACAATGATCCAGAAGCACTGGAACTAGCCAAGCAAAATTGCGAACTGAATCAGCTGGATCCCGAGTTATATGATTGCAAACCATTGTCGTGGGGAATCCTTCCGGACCAAAATGATCCTAAGAAGAGTGATGATGAGCCGAGTGTCAAAAACATTGATGGTACCGTCACTACGGATCAAACAGTATCATTGCAAGAGTCGACAATGGACATTGTGTTGGCAGCAGATGTCATCTACGATATATCCATGATACCCCCACTGCTACAAACAGCAGCGTGGTTGATAAAGCCGAATGGATCCCTCGTTGTTTCTCATGTACCACGATTTTGTTTGCCAAAAGATGAAAACGAGCAGGAAGATGAAATCCAAACAAATTCGTCATCCCCACAACAGGCACTCGAGGCACACATCATTGAGCAAGCAGGTCTAGTGGGGTTAGAGTTGACGAAAACGATACGGCCACACGAGACTTTAGTCAACGTCATTGACAAAGACACAAAAGTGGGCATGAATCATGGAGCTGAGCATAGTCGTGAGTGTCATCAGATTTCTTGCGCAACGTTGGAACAGGCCCATGCAGTATTGTTCGTATTTGAGCCGCGTTCGGGTAGTTTTGTTCATCCATGATCCATGAGCCTCGCAAATTGAATATATGTGTCGAAAATAGGTTCTCCGTTCCAGAGCGCTTCTTCGTTCCAGTATTCAACCGAGCTCTGGCGTGGTGCACAAATACATGTAGAGTATCCGAACTATCAAAGCTTGCACACCAAGTTCAAAGTAGAGTGTATGCACTATTTGTGGCACTATTTGTGTTGCAGTTCTCATTGGTAACAATGGCGACAAAATACTCCAGCTTCCCCCATGACGTTAGATTATTCACGTCAAATCTTCGCAAAGTTCGGATTCCATTCGGTTTGCTCCTTATTTTGAATTTGTGCCTCAGTTTTCTTTTCGTGCAGGACCTCAAGCCAATGTTCAAAAGAGCGCTATGCCAACCCTGCATATCAATACTTCCCGCATATTTAAGGTTTCGACTGCCACATTATGTTTGGTTGTAGTTCTCATTGGTGACAATGGCGACAAAATACTCTAGCTTAAGACGTTTTTTAAGGTCTAGTTCAAACTCCTGTCCAAATTGTTCGGATTCCGGTTTTTGCAATCGCAGTGTCCCTCATTTTCAATTTGATAGCGTTGTGTACATATATCGATGTTGATCACTTAATTCTGAGATTCCGGGGATGGGGGTTCTGTTTACTATTTGGCCACGTAGGTTTGACTCTAGCCGAAACTTTCCAGGTCGTTCGATTGACTGCCGATCCGACTTTTCAATATGTGGCTTTCCAGGAGATCGTTATTCGCCAACTTTTGCATAAGTGACTGCTACTATTCTTTATTGGGCTTCTGGTTGGACATTTAAGGTTCCTTTTTTCCAACGAGAACTCCGCTTCCACACGAGAATCCCCACCAGTTCCGAAAAATGGACATAAAGACACAATGATAATGATGATGTCCCGCAATGAAGAAACGAGGACGACCATGTCGGTCGTCCCATTGACAGTCAAAGAAGATGAGAGTTTCGTTCGTAGTCACCCAGATGATCTTGCCACGGAGGAAGTTGACGGAAGAAAACGGTTTAAGCGGAAGCGTTCTCCAACAACATCCTTTCCCATCATTCTGTACGACTTGCTTCAAGAGGCGGAGTCCAAAGGCTACTCAAACACAATTTCTTGGTTACCAGATGGTGCGAGGTTTCAGATACATCAACCGGCAAAGTTTAGGGATGAAATCATGACCAAGTACTTTCGACAGACCAAGCTTGAGTCCTTTACACGACAGGTAAGAATGTTGAAAGCCATGATGATGTGCCATCAATCGGCCACATTTTCAATGTCAGAGCGAAATCTTATCATCTTCTGTTTGGTTTGCCTCCCTTGTGTCTACAGCTGTACATATATGGGTTTTCGAAAGATGCGGGGTTTAAGAAAGAAGACATGGTGTTTGCCCATCAAGAATTTCAAAGAGGAAATATTGATGCTTGCAGGAATATTGGACGGAATCAATCTGGCGATCGGAGGGTAAAGCGAAAGGAAGCAAAATCAAGTGGATCGGCTTCCATTGTTCAACTCCAACAGGCAATGGTAGATCAAAGGCGCCAGAATGACACGACTGCTAGTGCTATCACAGCAGATCAAAGGAGAAGTCGCAACGCTTTCGTGCCATCATGGCTAGAAGACAACCAAGAAGGTGAACTCGGGACTGCAATAAATTTAGCCTCGGGTGATACTAATATCCGACATCTGACACCATTCAATGGGTCTGAGAGGTCTACTACGTCAACTGCGGTTTCGAATCTCGACTTGGAACCAAGACCCATCGAAGAAATGTTGCACGACTATCGGTCCTTCAAGAAAACGCATTAGCACAGCACATGTGTTTGGTTTGTACCAACAGGATCATAACACCCCATTTTTTACATACCAGGGAGAGGTGTCCGTTGGCTACTAACAAGAATAAGAATAACAGTAACAAAACAATATTATACTACAAATGAAATAAATAGATGTAGTACAATATCAACAGGAAACTGCAATAACCGTTTACCCCACATACCAATACTATAATATAAAAGCTACTAAAGAAGGAGAACGCTAACGTGACTGGGGCAATCGTCGTATGCATGGTGAAAGGTATTGGTTTGGACGCATCGTCCACTGACGTATCTTTTATCATCCACCCACAGACGAAACGCTTCCGTCGGGTCGGTCCCACAGGACCGACCCCTACTGAAAACGACCGCCACCCTCAGAAGAGTACCATGTAGTAATGTGACTCCGACACTTGTCGCATGGTTGAAGTGATTCATTCGTTTGGTCGCATCGTTTTTGCATTGTTTTTTGAACTTCATGCACAGTTTCAGAACTTTATTAGCGGATCTATTGTTTCCACGGTCCTGCGGGACTGGCAAATGGCCCATATATATTATAAATGTGAATGACTTGCGATCGTGGTCTCATACAAAATAATGTGACTGGGGCGCTATCGTCCTACACCCTACACACTGATAGTTTTATTATATTGGTTCAGTCGCATCGTCGACTGGCGGATCCGTCTTTATTGCTCGCTGTTCCGTGAGATGGAACGACTACGTGTAATGCGAGGTCATGATTCATGATGAACAGAGTAGAAATGGTGGTCGTGATCATGGTGATGACAGGGACGGTCGCTGAATATTGAAAGGGTTTGGTCTCACAGTCCACTGAAACATCCGTTACAGTTGCTCGTTGTTCCATAGGTAAGACCGAAAGGCTACTATTATGCGGCATCTGCAAAGATGGGCAGAGCGACGAGAGTAGTAGTAATCCTACTGCTTGGACAATAACCTTGTGGTGCAAGGAGTTGATGTGCAGCAATGCAGAGCAGCACTGCTGCCTCCTGCATCATGATGCTTCCCCTGTTGTGTTGGCCACACTATTAGAACCACGCGATTGCTAGAGCTACGCCATTGTTAGTTCTGCAGTCCCTAGCAATTGATGCGATGGTCCACAATGGTTAGCATGAATTAGTTCTTGAAATGAAAAGACCATGGTTATCTTATAATCCCCCTTTCTATGATACGGCTAGGGCCTGTGTTATTGCTTTCGCATCATTTGCTTTTCGATTATACTTTGTTCAAGCCTTAGAGTTTCGACATGGCCCTTCATTTCGTCCAACTCTAGCTGTAGTGTTTTCCCTTCTTTGTGTAACAGTTGATTCTTGGACTTGAGCCTTTGGTTGACTGATTCTTGAACGTTGTGCGAGAGTTTGGAAGTTTCATACAACCGTCGCAAGTTAGTATTTTCATTTTGGAGTCTCGAGCTCTGTTGCCGGATGGTTCGAAGTTCGTTTCGGAGCTCTTCATGTTCTAGAAGAGGATCCTCTCTGTATCCCACAACGTCTCTGTGATCTTCCTCGTCATCCTCGTCCTGTGTTAGTCTTCGTCTCAGAGAGGTCAAGGATCGAAAGTCTGTCAGCTCATCACTCATGGATTCATGATCGAATATTATTCTCTCTTGTGTTAGCCTTGCATTATAATCTCTCGTATCAACGCTCTCCTCTTGATTGTAGGAATCGACATCCGTGGACGCAACCGTGCTTTCGTCTTCCGTCAGTAGCGACTTGGCCTGTCGAGAGAACGATCGACTCTTTCCATCAGGACGACGCGCCTTGCTCTTGTCGTAGCTGCGAAAGTTCGAGCCAAAACACAAGAGAGGTGCAATGAAATCTTCCACAAGGATCTCGACCACCTTGGAAATCGTGAATTCGAGATTATTGTTGCTGTGACTGTTGCTACCTGACTGAATGCTAGTGTTGTCACTATGCCAGTGTTGTCTACTTTCGAGCTGTGCCATTGTCATTTGTGTAATGCGCCCCTCCCAATATCCATAAGCGTGGAGGCCAAAGATCTCGATTGTGGAAAAGTTGTGGCGATTGAGATTGAGATAGAGTTCAGTGTCAGTTGAGCGTGGAGTTGCGGATAAAATGCCCTAAGTAAAATTCCATGCCAGCTCCCAAATCCAACGGCCGACCGTTGACATGACACTTGGCACGTGCACCTTTCTGTTTCCGCTATGTTCACTCCAGTACTTTCATGACTGACGTCAATAAGAGGCTCGCGTTGTCCAAAATTCAAGCTTACTATTTCGCCAAGTTCGTCACTACCAAACTGCCAACAGCAAGTAGATGAAAATTGATGGTTGTGCGATGATGGTTGCAACGTGAGCTGTAGGCCGCGTGTTGGTTTGAACCTCAACTTACCTCAACAATTTCTTTCTTCATTTATATCTGAGACGGAGATTATTGGCAAGGAATAGTGTGCCTCTGAGGACACCTCCTGAAGTGCCATTATTCCATCCTTCGATGCAACAATCAAACGATCCGATGGAATTCAGATCTCTTCAGATCAACACAATACCTCAGGTGAGCAGCTAGGACTGTGTATAAAAGCCTACATGTAGGGGTCCGAATAAGAGCCAACGGCCGAAGTAAAATCGAAATTAAAATTGAATACCACGCAAACCATCGTCATCTACAGAATCGAATAAAAAATTTGCAGAATGTACCTCTTTCCATGATCAACTGACTTGAAGTGTCAGCCAGCCGCTGGTCTGGACAATGATATCAATACAGACATGAAGATCGTTTGGGCATGGTTGACTATTGATCATCTCAATTTTCATACCAGGTGCAAGTCTTCCCACACTTCTGGTTCGAGATGAAGTGCTTGTCTCGGCCTCTGCACGGATGGTACTTTTGTTTCTTTTTGATTTGGAAGCAGAGACAGTGGATCGTCGACTAAACTCTGCTGCTGTATTGTCCGCTCGGCATGCCAAACCATTCGGATCAAGTCGATCCACGTAGATCCCATGGCGTCTCTTAAATTTCCGCAAGTAAACTCCAATTGGCTGGCCCCGTTGCTTCCACAGCAGGTAGACTGTGTCAATATTAGGGGTATCTGATACGACTTGTGATACTTTCGCATTATTCTGGTATACCGTGTCATACATTTGATCAAAATCGACTGGTCCGGGGCCATAATACGATGATTGTGGCAGTGCTCCAGTCTTTCGATACCATCGAGTCGTACTTGATAGTGCTTTTGGCACCTTTGGGGGCATGGAATGTTCATGGCAGTAGGAATGCTGGCCCAACCCTTGCATTGTGGACTTGTCGCTGCCGTCGTTGTACTCACCATTGTATGTGTACTCCTCGTCATTATGATAATCAGTATCTACCTCGTCGCTGTACTTGTCTAGACGATGTTCCCACGCATTGCTGAAGGCTGGATGCTGCTTTGATTGTAGACGAATCGTCCGTAGCGTTATACCGAGGCCATCAACGTTTTCATTGTAATCAGTAGAATGTGATGATCGCGTTTGATCCGAGATTGATTGGCCATCGCCGCTATGATGGTTCACAAGTTCTGATTCTGTTGATTCCTCGTGGTCCCAATCATCAGCGTCAGGAGACGATTGCTGCAGCCGCAGATGCATATGCTGTAGTGTCTTTTGGCGATTACAGGCAATCTTTCGATCGGGAATGATTGGTGGTCTTCCATTGCGAGTGGATTGAGCAAAAGGAGATGGAAATAGTGTCTCAGGATGGTCGTCATCACCAAGACGATCGACTATAACTGGATCCAAATTATTGTTCCAGTCCATATCAGGCGACGACTTCCTCAGTCGTTCACACACCACCTGAAAAGTCTTGAAGCGATCGCAATCTTTCCTTCCGTCAGGAATAGGTAGTGGTGGTCCTTGTGACTGAGATGACAGGATTTCGTTTCCATAGCGGATCAAGTCGATAGGATCCAGAGCTTCATCCCAATCTGTTGCTGGCTCTTCTGGAAGCATAATATAAGTCTTCATTGAAGTTGCAACATGGTCCGACTGTCCGGGACTGGCATGGAATGAAGGTGGTCGTCCTTTTCTGTCAGGCAATTGGAATTCACCGTGACGAATGGCGAGAAATGGATCAGAATCATCTGATTCTTCAACGGTATTTTCACCCATCACAACATGAATTTCTCCCGTCATGCAAAGGCGGGACCCAATATTTACAGCTTGCATCCGTGGTGAATCCAACTGTGCCATGGATAAATATGATACGTTGGATCCTGGAGAATCGTTGGTGCTGGTGCGTGAATGCTGAGAATTCGCTTCCAGCATTTCATATTCCTCGCTATTGCTCCGATAAGAATCTTCATCTAGATTCTCCAGAGTGCAATTTTCTTGACGTGGCGAGTTCATAACTTCTTCATTTATGGAAAATCGTGATATCTGGGAGGCATAGGTTTTCTCTGAAGTCTGTGATTGCGTCGAACGATCATCTGAAAGATGATGTTCCTCATTGACCCACTGGTGAGAATTTTCCTCTAGATCTTCCAGATAGTCTAAATCCTCTAGATAATCTTTTTCCTGTAGTGGCGAGTTCAAAACTTTTTCATCGATTGAAAATCGCGATATCTGGGAAGCGTAGGTTTTCTCCGAAGTCTGCGACTGCACCGAACAATCTTCTGAAAGATGACGATTCTCAGTGCTGTTGTCATCAGGCAAATATTCCTCATTATCAAATTCCTGAGATTGATGGTTTTCACCATCGTCTTCCTCAATCGCGGTCAGTGTGGCTTTCTTTAAATCGACCTGAGCCTCTGCCGTATGAAACATGTTGGAGAATTTCTTTGCAAAGGTGACTTCAAACGTATTCTTAGGACAATCATCTTCTGTTGGTGATGGTAGTTGGAAAGATGGAGATATCAAGGCATTTGCAAATTGAGGAGATTTCTTGCCGGCCATTGCCAGTCTAGTTTCCGATTCAATGGTCGAGAGGGAAAAAGTGCTAGCTGTTCCAGTCGTTTCGCTCCCCGTGGGGCTCTCCTCGTCTGCTACCTTGAGGAACTTTTCATCCAAAGACGTATTGATGCTCAAAGGAGTAGACGATGATGACTTTTTCTTGGTCAACACCGACAGTCTGCCAAACATCACAGCCAAGGCTTCCTTTCGTTGTTGTCTTCTGGTGTTGTTGCTAGTGGAGCTCACGGGGGCTGATGATGGTGGAGAGGAGGATGCATCTTCGGGATCAGGATCTTGACCGCTTGGACGACTTTCAGAGGAGTCCATGGTACTCTATATTGAGGGTGAAGATTTGCTGGATTTGATACTGATAGAAAAAGGTCTGTTAGATTTGGAATACCGTTTGGATTTAAAAATTTGACCGTTGCTTTATCGTAGTAATGATTATAGTATTGTAACTTGGATGTAATTCAATTGTTAACACCAATTTCCGCTGTTGTCGTTAAGCATTCATGCCCGAGCGGTCTAAGGGGTTCGACTCAAGTTCGAATATATTCGTATGCGTGGGTTCAAATCCCACTGAATGCATTTTACCACAATCTTTTGTTGGTCGTCAAAAGATCCCAATGAATGCATTTTACCACAATCTTTCATTGCTCGCCAAAAGATGTTACAGTATTCTAGTATGCGAATTGCTTGTAGCTATTGTTTTGGTTCTTTTATTATACATCTTTTGGTTCGATTGGCTATCTTTTGTAGAGTCTTGGGTTCTTGCGGCGTTTGTGTATTTTATGCCGTGTATTTTATTTTTGAATCTGTGATACAGTAGGACTATAGTATGTTTGTATTGGAGTCCATTCGACGTTTCAGCTGCCCACTTGATGATTCACATATTATGTTGACTCGCTGCAACTAAAATTTCATATTCGTGTCGTAGCGGTCGGTTGCTCATCGTTCATGGTAAGTTTTGCGAACAGGTTGCAAAGCTCCGAGCCACCCCAAGCCCAACCCTCAAAAGCATCCTCCTCCTCATCTTCCAGGTTCTTTTCGTTGTCAGTTCCATTTGCAATTGCAATTGTGTTGGCCAACATTTTTTCTGACAAGTTCAAAACCCTGAAAGAATCGAAGGAGACTGTTCTGAAAAAGGTCAAGTGTAAGTGTGAAAGCGGGTCCTTTCTTGTTGCAGGACAAGTGGATCTGGAGAACAACTTGCGATATACTGCCATAGAGATAACAGGCAAGTCAAGACCACTGAAAGTATCAAAATTTGGAATGTTCCAGAAGGAGCTTGCTTCGAAAAAGGTCAAGTTTCGAAGCGGGTACATTCTTATCGTGACAGGAAAAACGGCCATGGAGAAGCGAGTCTCCGAGGCAGTACCAGCATATTCTGTCATGGTAGAGACGAGATGCTTGAGCTTGCGATCAATGGTAGTCACCATCTTTTCTGAGAAGTCAATAATGAGACAGTCGGTGGTGGTAAGAGCTCCACTGATGAATTCAATGAATGTCACAGCCGCGACGAGGAGTGCAGTGACTCGGGCACCAACTCGTCGAATAAAGGCTTGCAACCATTTCATGATTGCTCCAACGCTGGGGAATTGAGTCCAGGCTTTTGCAAAAGTTGGGAAAGCCAATTCGAATGGCATGCCTGGTTCAGTAGAAAGTGTGTTGGTGGTAAAATCTTGAACAAACTTCATCAAAGTAGTGCGAAGGAGGGCAATGACATGGTTAAAGGTTTGAATCAAGCGTCCTTGATTCTCTCCTAGGACCAAACATTGTGAATCCTTCGTGACCAAGGCTCTGGAACAAGAGCTGACGATCAAGTCGCGGGAAGAACCAAACAGGACCAAGGCTTGTGAACAAACTGTGAGAACCAAGGCTCGCGATCCGTAAAGGATTAGATCTCGAGGAGCCCTGAGAACCAAGTCGCGGGGAGCTCTGACAACGAGCTGTAGATAGGTTTCGCTGGTTGGAAGAGCGAGTATTTTGTTGGTGCTGCGAACGGCGGCATCGGCAACAGATTCAAGAGCTCTGTTGGTGAGCGATCTGATCGTATTGGTGACGGTGGTGATGGCTTCGGCGGTGATGGTGAAAAGGGCATCGGTGATGATGCTTGGTAAGGTTCCGATTTTGGTGATGATGACTTCGTGGACTGGTGCGACAATTGCTTTGGCGTGGGCGATGAATTGCTCAGCAAAGGTGGTCACAGTGGCGAATAGGACGGCAATAAGAGTCAACACGAGTGGGAGAGGAACAATAATGGCCTTGAAATTGAAAGTCGGCATTATGTCGAATCTGTCTTGGGACTTTTTGGTTGATATGATTGATATGATTGATATGCTGCAAGGCAAAGAAATTATGTGCTAAAGCGTCAAAGCTTTCGCTTGAACATAGAACAAACGCTGCCGTTTCAGTTCTTCATCGTGCCGTGCGAATTACACGGCACGGTGATTCGCAAATCTAATGCAAACTCATCTCGGCGGTTTTGGTTTCGTTTTGACCAGTTCAGTCTTGCTTCAGTATTGAAGCCTGAGGCCTCATTAAGGAACGCAAGAGATTACACACCATGGTGCGTGTTCCTCTCCATTGGAAATGCGACAACATTGTTTGTGACTATATTGAAATGAAATCTCAAATTGACTAGAACGACTACAGGTAATTTCCATTTCGTGTGAAAAAGAAATGATTGATTCCGTGGGATGGAGATTCCTCAATTTTCTACGAGAAAACGTACCGGAATCCCAGACGTAGAAACTTGGTACAAAAAACGATCACTTGTTGGGATTGAGATTCCTCGATTTTCTACGAGAAAACGTACTGCAATCCCAGCACATGGCAGCCGTAGAAATAACGGAAATGACTAGTACGACTAGATGAAAACTTCTGCATCGCAGGTTTCGATCGTCATACATGGTGATGGTGATTCTAGAGTAGAGCGTTGCAAGGTAGGAACATTACAGTGTCGGTAATGGTAATGTAATGTCAACCATGCGCATCTTCAATCTCATGTTGCATCTGCTCCTTATCGCATTGTTGCGATTTTGTCATACATGCTTGTCTTATACCTCGTGATTAAAACTATTCATGACTCAGTGATATAAATAATAGCAACCACAGAGTGCGAGTCCATCCTATAGTTAGTCACAGCTTGTTTCACTTCTTTCCAATTTTTGCACTGGAAGGTGGCCAAACGTCCTTCCCATTTGGGGGTTGAAAGCTAATGTACATTGGACGACCAAAGAGTTTTAGTTTGCCATCTCTCAAGACAGCTCGGGCAGCATCATCAGGAGTAGCCATTTCGACCCAACCTTGACCTAGAAACTGATCGGATTTTCGATCGATTCTCCAAACAATATGAGTAATACCGGGCAAGGCTTCACACAGCGTGTCTTCGTCCATGTTCTTGCGACACATGTTTTTCAAATGAAGTCGAGTCACCTTGTCTGGGTTGGGTGCTAACGCTTCAGGTCGCAATAGACCCCTTTTGGCCATTTTCTTTTCATATTCATAGATATCTTGTTCATCCTTTTGTCGTAGATCATATTTCGAAGTGATTCCTTGCTCGACACACAGATCACACCGTACTTCCTTACCCAATTTCTTGCGTCCTTCCTTGTCCGCCAAAAAACAGTCTTTGCAAATCAAAGATGGGACACCACACGTCGGACATCGTCTTTTTCCTCGATACATATCCCATGGCTTTTGGCAGGCTTCGCATTGACCCATAATTTCCAAATTTGCCTGATGGCTCGAGGATGATTCATCTCCTACTGCTACCTTTCCATGCAATTCTCCATCAATCTTGGGCGGAGCATGCGAAAATCTTTTGTCAAAGACATAGTTCTTGCCTTTCCAATATCCACCATCTGGGAACGCCTTGAAATATTTATCAATGCCACCCTGCAATTGAAAGACACCTTGAATGCCAAGGTCTTTGATTTCTGGATCGGTTTCCATTTTGAACTTGAGCAGGGCGGATGCTCGTTCACATCGAATACCGCCAGTGCAATACATGAGAACTTGCTTCCCCTTCATTTCTTCCTTTACTTCTGGACGATCCAGCCAGGCTGGAAATTCGGTCGACTTTCTCATTTTGGGATCCAGCCATTTGGGTGGTGCTTCGCCTTGTTTGACACCTTCTCCTTCCTTGGGTGGGACAAATCGTCCAATTGCTGCTTCATAATGATTCCGCACGTCAATAATGACAGTATTGGATTCTCCTAATTTCTTGTGATAGTCATTTGGTTCCAGATGAGTTCCCGAAAACTTGGCAATCGGTGGAGCCTTGGAGCCTTCCAAACCATAATGGACCAACTCCACGACCTTGAAGACTTTGAGATTGGGAAATTTTTGGGCCTGTGGCAAGTCGGAGGTCAATTTGAATTCTGTCTCGGAAAATTCGGTCGGCCGAAGTCGTTTGAGGGTCCGGCAGTATTCCACAATGGATTCGTGGGATCCCGTAAGGGTACAATTCAAGCCTTCTCGGGCCACCCGCATCCGTCCCGTCAATTGGAGGTCCCGTCCCACCTTTTGGAGTCGGGTCAGCATAAAGTTATAAGTCTTTTCATCCCAGATTGGTTCAATATACTGATAGAACAGTAGTAGAGTAAGGGCAAACTTGTCTTGGGCTCGGACTTCTTGTTGCTGAATTTCGTCAATTTCACTCTTCTTCTTTTGTTTGATTTGCTCATCGTAGAATTCAATGGCAGATGATTCCACAATCTGACTTGGCATGTTCGATGCATTTAGCAACTTGTGTTCGTCTTCCTTTTGCTGCTTCAGTTTCGAGTGCTTGTGATCAATACTATTGGATGATTTATTTTCATCCAAACTCATCGCTTCGGAGGATGATGATTTCCTCTTTTCCTTCTTTTTCTCCTTCTTTTCTTTCTTTTTCCTCTTATCTTTCTTTTCCTTCTTGTCCTTTTTACGATCCTTGTTGTTACTGGATGATTCGTCATCGTTTCTAGTATCCTTCTCTTCCGCGTCAGCGTCAGCAGAATGCAATGGTCGTTGCGATGGAGCTTCCTGACTGGATGGGGATGAGACAAGCACTCCTGCGGCATCATCCTCTTGTTTGGATGAGCGCTGATCACTGACATTATCATCAATGACATCCTCCTCCTCCCGTTTTTGTTTCTTGCGAGATTTCTTGTCTTTCTTTTTCTTCTTCTTTTCTTCTTTGTGCTTACGCTTTTTGCTGATTTCTTCCTCGTCCTTCATGACAATACAAGAATTCTACTTGAAGCGGATGTATGCGTTTGTATCGTCGAGAGCGGCTGCGGACAAGCTGATATAAAAGCGGATACAGTGTAACTTCTTCTCTTGAGGTCGTTCGGTTTCACTACTGTATTACGAGTATATATTGGATGTCTACTGTAGGATTCTTGGTTTTGGTCTACTCGGGCGAGTCGATATCGTACATACAGGCAGACATCGAACTTAGGGTCTGGCCTGCGTTGCCGACGACGATAAATTGAAAATGACGGTTTGAATTTGAAAATGCCGAGAAAATTAAAGGCATAGGCACAACGACACAGAGTGTTACCGTACCTCTAGCTCTTCCGACATTGACAGAGTGCTCATCTAGCTATCATTATAGCTTCAGATAACGTAGGATCGAACAGTTCTGAAAGAGTCCATCGTTAGTTTTCCTCAAGAATTTACAAACTTCAGCGTCATTCATTCAGGTCATTTTTCCTGTGACTTTCTCATTATAATTGTACTTGTAAACTTGAAAGAGAGAGAGAGAGAGAGAGAGAGAGAGCGTTGAGCATACACACGACGACGCTCACAGTATTGAATAAAAACAAACGACCTACCCGCAAGTTATTTTGTAAGAAGCCATCCAAATCATCCATAAAATGTCAGCCTCAAGCGCTTACTACAGCAAAGAAATGAAACCAAGACGGAACACGATGTTGTACAATGCTAAGAATGCTACCATTGTCATTACTCTCGTTGTAATTACGTTCCTAATCTTCTTCCCACCCGATAATTCCGATGCTTCTTCGAGCAAGACAAAGTACATGGCTGTCATTGATGCTGGATCTTCTGGGTGCAGAATTCACGTTTATAAGTATTCAGGCAGCATCAAATCCAAAAAGGTCGAACCAGATCACGCCACCATGAAGGCAAAACCAGGACTTTCATCCTTTGCTTCCAATCCAACCGAAGCTGGAGCTGCCTTGGAGCCACTCATCAAATTTGCCAAGGAACATATCCCTGCCGACATGGTCAAGTCGACTCCCATTGTTCTAAAGGCTACTGCTGGACTTCGTTTGGTGCAACAAGATCAACCAGCGGCGGTCGATGGGATTCTAAAAAGTGTCCAGACTACTCTAGGCAATTCGGGTCTTCAATTCGAGCCATCTAATGCACAAATCATATCTGGTCAAGAAGAAGGAATGCTAGGTTGGATTGCTTTGAATTATCTATACGAAACTACCAGCAAATCGTCCAATCTCCGCAAGTCGACACCCGTTTGGAGTGTCTTGGAAATGGGAGGAGCTTCGGTCCAAGTCAGTGTGCCACTCACCTCTTCCAAGGGAGTTCCTTCGGAGTATGTGCTGCCCTATGTCTCTCCTACCAATGGAAGAAAGGGAAGTATGTACACCCATTCCTTCTTGGGCGCCGGAGTCCAATCGGCAAAGGGGGCTGTGGAACAGGCTCTATTGGCGAAACAAGGTTCGACCGATAGCTTGAATCATCCATGTCTGCCCAACGGATTTACCGAAACGGAAAATTCCATTGCTTATAAAGGTACTGGAAACTTTGACGAATGCCAGGCCATTATCAAATCTGCCGTCTTTGCCAAGCAACAAGACAAGGTGGCCACATGCGAAAAGACCTCCTCCCAATGCTTCTGGAATGGTGTCGCTGGACCTGGTCTCAAGCCATCCGAACAAAAGGTATGGGCCTTTGAAAACTTTTTCTATACCATGAGTGGAGTCGGCGAAATGAAAGCGGACGAATCCGCCAAAGAATTTACCATTCAACATTACGAAAAGGTGGCCAAGGAAATGTGCAACAAACCATGGGATGCGATTGAATCGGCATACCCGAAGGATAGTCAACCCAAAGAATACAACAAGGATTGGTGCTTTTCAGCCTTGTATGCCTTTTCCTTTTTGACGAGTGGACTGGGATTGGATGCCCAACAATCTATCATGATTGGAAATGAAGTAGAAGGTGTTGGGATCGATTGGGCATTGGGAGCTGTTTTGCAACATCAAGGTAGACGATAGAAAGGAATTGAGAATAGCTTTGAAGACATGCGTGGTACTATTTTTAAGACTAAAACGGGATCTCCATCTATACAGTACCTGTGTGGAAGGTGGGTCATCTTTTCACCTTCTTCAACTTGGTTGCGAACGTCAACGGGCTTACTTAGTGTTTTATTTATTTGTTCCCACTCGATCGCACACGAGATAAAATGCCAATTCCAACCGTCGCTACAGTTGTGTTATTGTAGTGCAGTGGCGATGGCGGTCAGTACAGTAGTTCTTGGGGACTGCGATGTGTCCATTCTCTGGCAAATCTCGTTGCATGGTCCGTCCAAACCAAGAGAGGGAGAAGACATACTACTAAAAGTGCTGGTCGTTTTGGTTGTTGCTAGTCAATCGCAGTTATGTAGTAATATCCAGTATCAATGTCGAAGTTTCTACTGCGATTCGAAGCAAGATCGCCAACTCCTTCTATTGTCTTCAAAGGTGTGCGTTCAAATGTTTTCTTGGGCTAAAGTCAAAATCAAGGTTTTTGAGCAACCGAATGCGCTCCTTGCTGATGCAAGATTGCCTGTACTGGCGGCGCTGGCACTTTACCCATACCGCTAGCACTGGATCCTTCTTGTAGCTCTTTGGTACTTTGCTGTGCCCATGTTCGTTCCAAAATTGACAGAGTTCTTGATATCTCTCGTTCCAACTAGTGGAACGAAAGTCCCAAACAAAACCCAAGTCTTCGAGAGCTTTTTGCCTCCTGTCGCAAAGGGTATGGCTTTTCCCTTCCATCTTTCGTCGATATTGACATCTTTGCCTCTTCACCCAGTTGGATAGCTCAGGAGACTCGTAGCCTTGCATCGGAACGACGCAGTGGCCGTGATGAACCCGGAAGACCACCAGCTCTTGGAATCGTTTGTGCCATTGTGCCATTTGCCTGTTGCCGTATCTTAGTTTCTCCCCGGTGCAATGCTTAGCAGGAGTCTTTCTGGATGAGGCAACGCTGCTCATGCTACAAGTAGATCCACTCCTTTCCAGAAGCGGAACAGGTGAACTAGGAGAGGTCGGTTGGTAGTCTCTTGTTAAAGCATCTACACCACCAAGAAACAGTTGCTTCAGGGCATCGACTTGTGAGATATCCGATGATAGTATGACTTCATGGAGCGGGAAACTAGGCACAGCAGCAACTCCTTTGGGTCCAATGGGCGCTGGCTCAAGAATGGAAGTACAAGGTTCTGTTGGGTATGCATGAAACTGCAGTTTTGAAGTGCTCGCTGCAAAAGTGGAATAAATATTGCCTGCTGGGATCATATCATTGAAGGGTAAAGGCGTATCGTCCATGATACATGTATCATCAGTGCTGATATCGTTATGAAAACTGAAAACTGTCTTGGGGAGCGTGAACATTGATCAAGATTGTATGTTGTAAGTGGAGAGATTTTGCAATTTCTTGTGGCTCAAATGTTTTGTGGGTACTGAAACGCTTTCCTGATGAGGCCAACACAACAAAATGGACTACATATGTATGCCTTCCCACATATATATACCTACGATGCAAGGTAACGCATAATAGATATGTCCGAGCGGAAGAAATGTGATCGAACGGGAGAAATGTGATCGAGCGGAAGAAATGGGATCAATCAACATCTGTTCTTAGCTAGTAACAAAGTAAACGAATTGTTCTACAAATAAATATTTTCTTCGCAAATCGAATAATGCTCGTTTTTATTTCGAGAGCCATTTCGAAAACTCCGTCGTTTCTGTCGCGAAGACTTAAGACTTTTATAAAAGTTGAGAATAATTGACAAAAATTAAACTTTCTTGGAGAGTGTCTTTTTCCCCATCAGTTGTTTCGCTCCGCCCACAATACCCGGTACACGCGAAGGTACAAATTAGGCGTTGTTATCATTGCTTTTGTCTCCACACTCCACACGCATGGAGGAGAACTTTTGAAACTTCTTCATGACACCACGTTGGCACATGAGCCTGTGAATGATATTCATCTCGTTAGTAGATTGTCCGAGATCAAGACTAACTGTTCAAGTATGTCAATAAAAGTCATAGCTTCGGAAGTTCAACGTAGTTGCTTCCGGAGCAAGCCAAGGCACCCGTGTTCTGTAGTTTCAGCTCACAATCATGACATGACAACCTTCTGGAACTACACAGCTCGGACTGCGTTGACATTTTATGGTGCCCATAGTCATTGGAAATGGTTCGACTGTCTGAAGTTTGGACCTCTTACATTTGCCAAATTTATCGAATAAATCCCACGAGACCCCACCACTAGTAAAGTTGGCAGGTGTGACCTTCTCGAAGAAGAAACTTCCTGGAACTGAAGTGCATCGTACCGTTACCCCAACATAGACTGCGTTGAAACATTACGGTGACGACTGCAGGGCGGTATTCCCCATGAGGCCAAATACTGTAGGAAAGATACGAGTGTCGAAATATTGCATACGAGTCCTCTACGATCTGGCATGCTAGATTGGTACCTGGTACATGGTACCTCCGCCGAGGAGCGGACCGAACTCCTGTTGAGTGAGGTGTCTTATCCTGATTCGAAGCTACACAAAAGGCACACTGCATTATCTTACCACCGCGTAAGGAAAGCCATTTCCTCCAACGGAGTGCTGTGATTGTCTCCTGCAGTTGCTAAGGAAAATAGTCGTACGGTAGCGTCGTCTTTGAATTAACATATGGATGGAAAGAGATCCCTTTCAGCAGGGGGAATATCTTTCTTGTCGGCAGTTCACCCATAGTGAGAGGAGCAATCATGATTTATGGGCCATACATCAATACTGTAGGTTCTTGCTCTTGTGTCTAGTAGTATATAGTAGGATACAGTGCTATCTACCTACTAGTACTTCGTTCTTAGGTATTACTATCATCAAGCGCAGCCGCCACATGCATTTTTCCGAAGTTGCCAGTAGCTCTACTAGTTCCCCAACAGAATCCAACTCATCTTCGGCCCCTTCTTCCGCTCCATACACAGAGGAGATTATGTGTTTCAGCACATGGCCGCTGTGACTGACTGAGGCTAGATTCTTGTAGTCGATCCAGTCGGTGAGTCTATCATCGTTCCGATATATTATTGGTATATATGCGATCTGAAAAATAGGGTTCCACCGCGGAACAAATCAATCTCTATCTTTTTTATACCTATCTATCATCATTCTGATCTAAAAAGGGCTCTGCTGTACCATTCTCCATCTCCTAGCAAGACTCTGCACATCACCCCAACCCTGATGGGCGAACCTACAGCACTGAGCAAAAGCCCAATCTCCTACAGTAGTAACTGCTGACAACGTTGAGCAACCTATCGCACATTGGCAGCGATTCAAGAAAAATAATGGTCGAAGACAACATACAACATTAGACTGCTCAGGCTCTCTTTCCAGCATCACATGCATCGCGAAACCTTCCTCTGAGAATAACATGCTCCGTCCGTAGCATCATTCCATGCCGTCAAATTTAGAGCAATAGTAACATGTATTGCGTATCTCTGTTTCTATCGTTTTATTTACTATGCTAGTAGCATTAGGGCCCTGTTGCTCAACCGTCTTCACACTTTCCCTCTTGCCTGCGAATAGATTGAATCTCTTCGTGGATTGAAGTCAAAGTTGAGCTCGCTCAGCAATCGAATCCGATCTTCAGAGATGTAGCTGGGCTTTCCAGCCTGTAGGAGTTTGAATTGTCTCCGTTGACACTTCACCCATACGGATAGCGATGGGTTCTTTTTGTAGCTCTTGGGCACCTTGCTGTGTCCATTTTCTCTAAAGAACTTGACTAGTTCTTTGTATCTCTCATCCCAGCAAGCGGCATGCGAGTCCCATACAAAGCCCAAGTCTTCTAGAGCCTTTTGTCTCTTATCACACAAGGTGCTATGCTTCCCTTCAATCTTTAGGCGGTATTGATTTCGTTGCCTCTTGACCCAGTTGGACAGCTTCGGTGACGCATGATCATACATTGGAACAAGGCAGTGTCCATGCTCCTTTTGGAAGTCTACTAGCTCTTGGAAGCGCATGTTCCATTGTTCAATATGCCTGGGGCCGTACTTCACCTTTTCCACTTTCGCCTCTTTTCGAATAGATGGTGTGCTCGAGCGAGCCAGTGCAGGGAAACAGTTGTTTGCGTCGGGGGACAATTGAGCAGATTGAACGATTTGTTGGTGTGCCTGCAGTTGAGCTGGGCTGAAAAGCTGTTGCAGTATATTGATCTGCGAAAGGTCTGATGAAAGGAGCGAGCGTTCCAAAGGAAGTGTTGACACTGTAGCGACTCCACTCGGAGCAATAGGCGTGGGCTCAAAGTTCGTAAACCTTGGAGCAATCCCTTGTTGATGACGAAGCAGTAGTTGATCAGGGGCTCCTTGCAGGCGGAACTTTGCTGATTCTAGAAATGCTGAAGCAAAAAGAATTGACCTTTTGTGAGCATAGAGTTCGACTGGTGAACACCTTAAAAAAACAATCAACTGTTCTTACCATCAAAAGACGCAGACTTAGCATCGCCGATGACATTCAAGTCTTTAGTCATGATAGGATCCTGTAGCATAAACATTTTCTTTCAGTTTTATGCGGAAAGGTAGAAAATGGGATGGAAAGATTCAACACAGTAACACCGGAACAAACTCTTCTGTTCTACGTTTTTCTCGGGCTATATATGTGTTCCTTGCGAAGTGATGGGAATCATTAGGCCCAAGTCGTGTGCATAGAATCAGTTGCATTTAACAGTAGTTCTTCTTCCTTCCTTCTCTCACTTTCTCCACAGATAGTGAGAAACGAGGCGCGGAGCAAAGAACAAACTCAAATTCAAAGTGGCACATATATAGCTGACAAATGCCCAACACTTCACAAAAGACTGATTGACCCAGCATTCCATCGGATGCGAACCACACTTGCTTTAAAGGATACAGCAAGACCACAAAGTTAAAAAATCTGGGTCTATTAAGTACAACGTAAACGTTGAGGATGTCCCATGCAAATGACCAGTAGAGTTTCCCTTTTTTACTTCGCAGCTTTTTTAGAAGATGGGAAGAACACCAACAATAGGACATTTTCGCTGCCGCAACCATTTTTTCAGTCAAAGGCAAATCCAGGCGAACGTCATGCATTCCGTTTCTCGGGTTCATGACTGTCTCTATTCCGAAACGGGGTGACGAATATCCCGAGCAAAAGTGAAAAGGCGTTTGGGAACAGCATTTGGCTGAAGGCGGTGGGAGACTTTTTATTGATTACCCCCCCTAGATAGTTTTCTAAATCTTCCCATATCGCAAGGTTCATCCATGCATCCAATCTAATCCACGAAATGAATCAATTTAAAATTCAGGATTGGGTGCTGTACCTTAGTTGATCCTACTACTATTCAAGTCACTTTGGTTTTCGTACTGTACAGTCCTCAAACCGATACACGTACACGATGTGCGACGCCACATGTTGACCGCAATACATTTTATACAAGATGGCTTCCAACTCGCAACACAAACGCACTGAAGATGAAGAATTCCTGATACCTACAGTGCATCTTCAGTCTTACTGTTCAAAAATTTGGGTTCGGAGCTTTCAAAAAGACTTCATCCGTGGGGCCGAACATCCACGACCAAATTGTTAAATCTGAATCTAAGACACTTAACAACCACACATATCGGGGAAACTAGATCGCACTTGTCTGCTCATGAAAAAACGTTTGCTCACAATACCTACCGGTGTAGCATCTTCATTTTCAATTGCTCAATTTCTTAAACACCTCTAACATGCAACGAGATTGGGGACACGACGATGGGAATAAACAACCCATCTCCGACGATGACTTGAGTTCAGAAAAGGCCGATCCTGGGGAAATAGACCGGGCCAATGAGACGCCCCTTTCAAAATTGCTCGAACCCACACCCGTGGATCCACAGCGGATGGTTCAGGTGGACAAATTTCCATTGTTCATTCCAGGGAAATGTGATCGGGACCTTACGGCATTAGTGCCATTCTTGTCAACGACCCTGCAAGATCGTGTTCCCTTTGAAAAAACGAGTGATGAGATCGGAGAAAAAATGCCCTCGCGCCAATCATTATCTGTTGCAAGGCGAAGACCGAGGATGGAGCAGCAGTTTCATCCACCCTCAGAACCGCTAGCAAGCCCTTCCCAAGATTCCACAACAGATCAATCGACAGGTCAAATTGCCGGTAGATGCACACAGGTCGAACAATGGAATACGCGATTTCAGCAGCTCGTCGAGTTTCAGAAAGAATTTCATCATTGTTGCGTTCCGCTGAACTATTCCAAGAATTCAAGTCTTGCGCACTGGGTGAAGCGACAGCGTTACCAATATCGTGTGAAGTTAAAAGAAGGGAAGCCTTCAACACTGACTGATGAGAGGCAGAAAGCCCTGGAAAATCTGGGCTTCGTTTGGGATTCACATGCTGCTGCGTGGGAGGAGAGATGGATTCAATTGAATGAGTTTCGGCAACATTATGGACACAGCCGAGTGCCAAAGAACTATCCTCCAAATCCACAACTGGTATGTATTCAGAACATGACTGATTCAAGAACTCGAACTCAACGTTACTCATCTCTGTTGGTTTTCCGGACAGGCTGTGTGGGTAAAATGCCAGCGAAGGCAGTTCAAACTCTATAGACAAGGATTGAACTCGAATATGACTCTTGAAAGAGTTGAAAAGCTTCGGATTCTTAACTTTGTATTTGATCCAAGGTCCGGAGCGAAGAAATAGATACAGACGCAAGAAGAAGTACACTACGTTCTAGAATGCGCATTATACACCTGTGCGTCCCAACCAAATTGGCAAGGCCTATTTGCAATCTTTAGGGTGCGGTATCCTAAAGTATATAGCAACAATAAGATTTTGTTTACCTATGTTTTTTTTTTCTCCGACTCTCAAGGAAAAGCGCTGTCGTCCAGATGCAAGATGATTGCCTTGTTGTTGTCCATTGCCTTGCCAGCTACGTATTCAAGGGCCAGTATACCACATTTTTACACGGCATAATATATTATAAAATACATCGAGAGAGTGGGAACGCCAAAGGAGTCGCGGGTACCGCTCTCATGTCTCTCGTCTCGAGCTCCAATTCTGCGAGATGAGGATTATATCTACCATCAGGGAACGTCATGCGTTTCGTATCAAATACCTAAATGGGAACTTCAATGCCGTAAAGTATTTTTAAAAAAATTAAATAAAATGCGATTGAATATGTTCAATGTGGGCGTCTTTTTTTAGAGAAAAATGCGCGCCACTACCACTTCGGAACAATCCCGGTTGTGGAATTCGTCCCTCCTAAAACGCAACTGTTAAATAGATGTGTTCAACCCAGGATTAAACCAAGAATGCCGAGGGCCAAGTTTGTCCTCACTTTGTCATAAACTTCGGTTTTGTCTGTTGAATGAAATGCAAAGACAAAGAGACGAGAATAAACATATAAGAAATCAACCTCCAAGAGATTCTGCAGACAATCACTCGAGAACAACAGAGAAAAGAATGAACATTGCTACTTTGAACATCCTCGAGCCAAGACCAATTGATACAAGGCGCATGATACCAGTAGAAAATTTGCCACTCATCCAATCTACTCTGAACGATCGCATCCTTTTAGATCTGCATCCTTGGTTGGTTATAGATAGAACGGACTTCCGATCCTCCCATAACGATTCACAATCCAAGAAGATCCGTCCCAAAGCCAGCAATGATGACTCACCGAAAAGAGAGCACATATCCCACTTTGTGAATGACACTATATCTCCGTTGGTGGCATCGTCCGCAGTTGATGAAACTGAGAACGGACCCAAAACACAGGCTCCGGCAAGGAAACAAGCATTGGCTGACGAGTCAGACGAGCTTTCCGCAGCTGGAGCTCCAGAGGCTTCTTCAGATCCCTTAGTCTTTCGATCGTCTCAGCTTGAACAATGGAACACCAGATATCAAGAACTGATACAATTCAAGGAAGAGTACAACCATTGCAGTGTTCCACTGCACTATCCAAACAACCCAAGTCTTGCCCACTGGGTAAAGCGACAACGCCACCAGTACCGAATGAAGAAAGAGAAAAAACGGTCGACATTGACTGATCAACGGCAAGACATGCTGGAATCTCTTGGGTTCATCTGGGATTCTCATGCAACTGCATGGGATGAAAGATGGGATCAGCTAAGTAAGTTCAGAGATGAGCATGGACACAGCCGAGTACCTAAAAAGTACACACCGAATCAACCATTGGTAAGTCTTCACAAAGTAGATCTTCGCGTACCATTCACTGCATGTCACAACTATTCTCACCAACAGGTTGTTTTCAAAAGTCGATTTGGGTCAAGTGTCAGAGACGGCAATTTAAGTTGTTCTCTCAAGGAAAGCCAAGCAACATGACTATCGAGCGTATTAGAATGTTGAAAGCGTTAGACTTTGTCTTTGATCCTAGATCAAGAAAGTAACGTGAATAGCAATCGTCTAGCGACGTTCTTAGCTTTGCTTGACCTCAAGTGGACTAGTAGATGATTAATTCATTCATTCATCGCCACATTGACAGTCCATATTCTTGGGCTGGGGCTGGGGCTGTCACAATGTCCAATCTATTCCGGTACCGGTACTAACTGTTTGTCCAATATAATAAAATATATCCAAGGTCTGTCCTCCGCCATGTTAGAAATATCCATCATCGCGACGAACCTATTTTCATTTATTTTATCATTCTGACCCTGCAGTGTATGATAATACCGTAATAATAATAATAATAATATATAGCTGCTTCTCACATCTCAATGTCACCAGATTTTCTCGCTACTGACATTGTCAAGCTCTTATTAAAACAGTGACGAATGGTATCAGAAAGTGACGAAGATGCTGCAAGGAGGGATGAAGAATGGGGTGCTCTCATTGCCTTTTATGGAGATGACTTGGTTTCAGGAGGTTCTACTTTGACTACACAAACACCAACAAGCATGATTCCGGATGAATTGTCTAAGACTGCCAAGGGATCCTCTTTTCGATACTGGAACATTCAAGTCATGCCTCCCAATGTGACGTTGGAATTGGGGGACATTCCAAGAGATTATCCAAGTGGTCCTAATCCTCCCAAACCCAAACTGAAGGCACCGCAATGGATCATGGATGAAACTCGTCAGGAAGAACTGGAACACGAGTTGCTGACTCTTTTTCAATCAGATACGGAAGTGGCAATCATGTGGGTAGAACACTGTCGTTCGGCTATTGAAGAGTATCAAGAAGCCAATCAGGCGTTTTCGTCCAACAATGATAGCCAGCAAGCGGATCATCATGATGCAGAAGGAGATGAAGATCCAACGACGACCATTGCTGACAACAATAACACAAATGATGATGGCTCTTACGAGCCTCCAGCATCATCCGTTACCATAAGTTTCGTTCCTGGATCCAAATTTGGACAATCGATACGGCACTTTCAACTATCCGTTGTCGACAATCCTGCATATCAGCGAGAAGTCTTTCATGGAGCACCGTTTCATCCGCCAAAGTCGGGGCCATCCGAAACGATGCAATCCCATGTGGCATCAGTTTCTTGCATGGAACATGTGGATTGGGTCTTGCATCATCTCTTGTTTGACGTCAAGAAAGTGGACCAGGCATCCCACAATATGATTGCCTACCGATTCACCGATCAAGCGACTGGACGACTGGTCAGTGATTCGGACGATGACGGCGAAAAGGGTTCCGGCAGCAAGCTGGCGTCCCTTTTGGAATTGACGGGTGTCGAAGATTGCATCGTGGTAGTGTCCCGATGGTATGGGGGGGTTCATTTGGGTCCAGCAAGATTCAAATGGATTGCAGCCGTTGGTCGACAAGGACTCGAAGACGCTGGGTTTCTGAAAAAAATTAAAGACGAGGACTCTTCTACTACCAGTAAACACAAGAAGGGGGGCAAGAGATGATGATATGGCAGTATGTCTCGAGCTATATGATGATGGATATATTTTAAAAGTTACGATGGATTACAAGAATCTGCTTCGCCATGGAATCACATATATAGTAAGAATTGGCCGATTCAATCATAGCTATGCGCCCCCTCAGATGGGTTTCCAGTAGTGTGGACTCTGTAACAGGACCGATGTGCGCAAGATTGACTTGGCCTTGACCGTGGTCTCGGGATGATATACATATTAGATCGCATGCGTGGTCTTCTCGGGAGAAATCAAAAGGCCTACATGAGGGAAGAGAAAGAATGTTGTTAGTATGTAATTCGGTACATAAAATAATACGACCACTCCCTCCAAACCAACCAACATCACACATCGCAAATGAAAGTGTTTGACATCTGACTGTTGTGCAAGCGTTATCCTCAAATCTGGACTCTACCCCAGATATCAGAGACTCTAGTCCGTAACTTGTTAATATCTTCATTGTCGAAACGTATTTTCATATCCTCTGTGCGTGTGTGGTACTGGTTCTGTCCGAAGGAGATGTTCAACTTCGAGATCACTTTTGACACGTACCTTCAGCCTTCAGTATTCGTTTTCATAATCTTCCCCCAAATACCGTTAATCCATTTGGATTTTTATCTTCGCATCATAGTGATACGAATGATTTTGATGCCTTGGATCCGTCGACAACGTAGTCCTTATTGGCCTTCACACGACAGCTTCTTGCAAAAATTCCATCATTTTGTTCACGCTGACGGCCTTGGTGGGGAACATATGTCCCTTTTCATGGAGGACGAGTTCCCCATTACCGCCTTGGTCACATAACGCTTGGACCCATTCCACTGGGATAATTTGATCGGTTTCACCTGCAAAGTGCAACTTGGGGACCACCATGCCATTGGCCATTGCGACTTTGGTTTCTTCCTTCACGGAATCATCGCCATCGGCTGGTGTCATGCAAAAGTCCCAGACATCTTGGACAAAGGGCGCTCCTGCCGTAACAACGGCCTTGATTCCAGGCATTCTCCCAGACGATACCAATGCTGTGGCCAAAAGCCCACCTTGAGAGAAACCAAGAATGGCATCATACTGCTTGTCCTTCGTTTGTTCCAAGACATAGTCAAAGCATTCCTGCATTAGAATATCTCGGCCTTGTTCATTACGAATCCACCAAGCATACTGTTGTTGTGGTGTGGTTTCATCTCTTGGCGCTTCAAGAATTGGTCCATCCAAAAAGTCCAGATCGTACAGCTTAGCCAGCTTTCGTTTGGCGCCTCCAATCTTGTTGGACATGATGGCTCCAGATTGAGACTTTCCATGCAAACAAAGAATTCGAGGCTTCATGATGACTTCAGAATTGGCTCTACTCACAGCTGTGGAGCGAATCGCTGTGGATATCCTTGGTCTGAGGCGAATGCTGAAGATCTGAAGGTTCCTAGCTAATGATGTTTGCTCCAATGCTCGATTGTGATTGATAAGATCTGAGCTGGTGAGAAGCGATGAAGCGAGGGGAACAAGGATCACAACAGTCAAGTAGAGCCTGTGGAGTTTAAGCATTCACAGTTACAGACAGCAAATACTTGAGCGACTGGCTCCTCGGTTGCGCTGCCTAATATCTTCATTGTCAGACGTATAAAAAAGATTGCTTATCAGGTTCTGACGTATTTTTATAATCTTCATCGATGGCTCTGACTGATTACCGGACGCAGGACGCACGATGTCACGTGCACGTTGCACAGCGGCCGGCAGGGTCTGCTGGACGCCCGATCGCATCTGTCTCTTACAGCCGCTGTCGTTCGAATGTCGCGTGCGACATATAGTCGCTCGCGGCGTGGGGTAGTTTGAAGTTGGCAAAAAGTGACGACCTAAATGACCGAATGAGACTTTTTCATCTTGGATGCCAAACTCTCGCTGGATCTCAATAAACAATAACTCGCCTACGTTCGGAAAAGAATAGAAGGTTTCTCTGTAATTCTTAGGCAGAACAACCTCCAATTTGCTTCAGACTTTCAGCTGTGGTAGTCTGATAGAAACAGAGTCGCTGAAATCATTTTCTACAACCTTCAAGGTATGTCAAAGATGTGATTGCTTCATATTCTCTCATGACAAATGTTATGTTCAAGTGTGTGTAGTCAGTTGACATAGTGCCAGTGTACTCACTTCATGCCGCGCCTATTCTTTAAAGCGTTTATTCCTATTTCCTAGACCAGAGCTGACGAGAGATGGATTTGTTTGGTTTAAAGAAAAAGGATGAAAAACTTGCCAAGTTTGGAGTCGAATTAATTCACGCCTGCAAAGAAGCACCACAACAGTTTGTGACCGTTTTGCAAAAAGTGGAAGCCTACCCCAAAGCCGTGGATTACAAAGACGATGAGGGACGGTCGGCTCTGCACTGGGCTTGTAATCAGTATGCCAAGCTAGAAATTGTTCAATATCTTGCAACTGCTGCGAAAACATCGATGGATGAACCAGCCAATAACGGGATGTATCCTCTTCATTATGCGCTCCGGGAAAAGGCACCAGTTGATGTGATTGAATTCCTCATTAAGGCCAACCCACATGCGGCTACCAAAGAGGCTGATGGTGGATGGTTCCCTCTCCATTTCGCTTGCGCCAAAGTTGATAATACCAAAATTGTCATCTCGCTCCTTCAGGCGCATCCCATAGCAATGAAGAAGGTCACTTCCGAGGAAAAGCGATTGCCCCTGCACTATGCTGCAGCTTTTCAATCTTCAGTGGACGTGGTCGCAAGTCTAGTTCAATCGGCACCCGAGACCATTCGGCAAAATGACAAGCACGAATGGACTCCATTGCACATTGCCGCAGCCTACAGCAACAGTTTGCCAGTCATTCAATATCTGATCCAAAGTCACAAACCAGGCATTCAAAGACGAGCCCGATTCGGCCAGATGCCCATTCATGTTGCCTGTATCACGAATCGGCCACGCAAGGTCATTGAATTGTTGATCAAGCAATGGCCGGTGGGAATCAAACAGTTGGACGAGAATCGAAGGCTCCCACTGCACCTGGCCGCCCTTGCTGGTTGTTCGATTGACGTGATCAAGTTCTTGATTCGCGAATGGCCACAATCTGCGGCAAGTCTTGGAAAAGACTCTTTTGAGATTACCCGCTTTGCTCTTCAAAAGCTGAACCCATCGAGAGACGAGTTTGACGAATTTTCCAAATGGGTGGACAAAAAAATGGAACACCCCCAAAAGCCAGATGGACTGAACCGGCATGCTAGCACAGACTCGGCAGCGGCAAAGAAAGACAAGGGGAATCGCAGACGAAGAGGAAGCAACGAAGGTCGAAGAGAAAAGGATAGTGCTTCCCCTCGCATTAACAAGAGTCGAAAATCTCCAACTCGTCACAAATCAATCGAGTCATCCGGCCATTCCAAGAAACGAGACCATAAGAAGCGTGACCCTCGCGACCCTCGTGACACAGATAGAAAAGGAAGAGGGAGAAGCGAGGGCGAGATCAGCGATAGTGATCACAACAGCAGAAGAAGCAATAGGAGTGGTGACACTATGGGATCAAATGAGGATCCTCCGATTGTACCGAATGATGATCTTCCACAAGAGGTGATCAACATGGTTGGCGAAAATTTGCACCAAGCCTGCGAATTTCCACAGAGCTTGGAAGAAATCCAGGCATTGCTTGAGGGATGTCCCCAGGCAGCCAAATGTCCCACTCACAATGGGAACCTTCCATTGCACACGGCTTGTCTAAACAAGGCAAAGAAGGATGTCCTCAAGTATTTGATCAAATTCAACAAGGATGCTCTTGAGGTAGAGGACGAAGGTGGGAACTTACCATTGCACATGGCCTGCTTCTCCAGTTCGTCCAAAGGCAGTGTCCAAGTCTTGGTAGAATCCTATTCGGACGCACTGTTGATTGAGAACAATGACGGTGACACGGCCGTCACCAAGGCTAAAAATCCCTTTTACGAAGCACCCAATCCCGAAATGATCGAGTGGTTGGAAAAGGCGACCACGAAAGCCGAGGAGAAGGCAGTAGAAGAAGAGCGCAAACGCGAAGAGGAAGAAGAACGCCAACAGCGTGAAGAGGAAGAAGAACGATTTCGTAGGAAAGAGGAAGAGCGGATTCGCCGAGAAGCAGAGGAAGCGGCACGGTTTGAAGAGGAAGAGCAGCGACGCGCCGAACGGGCCCGCCGACAGGCTGCTGCTGCTGTCTCCGAACCCGATGATGATGATGGCAAGCCGAGGAGTTCCTTCTATGCCGCTGCCCTTGCCAAAGCGGCAGCCGAGGACGAATCCTTTTCCAATCTGAGTGGCATAAATGAAGGTTCGGCCAATCCGTTTGATGATACCTTCTACAGTGAAGTGAACAGCTCGTTCTTTGATGGTGCCGCTGGAATGGCCGTGGCGGATTCCGCGACCGCCGCTCGAATGGTGGAAGATGCCGCGGCAGGTCGACCCCAGCATAGTTCGTTTTACGAAGAAGCCCACAAGATGACGCCTCGTGACTCGACAGCCGAGTATGAAGCTCTTGCCAAGGCACTCGAAGAGAGTGCAGCAGCTGCTGCGAAGGAGAAGTAGGATTGATGATTTGAAATTATACTGTACTTTCCGAATCAATCAATCCACTCCAATGATGATCATCATGATACTGGTAGCATTTAATTTTAAAAAAGCATAGTAATGAAAATGATAATAAAACAAGGAAGTACAGTATACGCATGCCATTGCAAGTTTTTGTTCCCCACCCCATGAAGTTTGCATTATTATCATTATTATATTTGGTATTGGTATTTGGTAATATGGTAGTAGTAGAATACATTTTTAGTGTTGGCACGTAGCAGTAATAGCAGTAACATAGTAGAAGTAGTCATCATGAATGATGACTACTTCTACTGAGTACTCCTGTACTGTATGGATTTTGCTTTTCTTCCCGGGTTGCAAATGCGAGTGTAGTATAGGCTTTTATTCTTGTCATTCAATAAGATATCATCATGATTATTGTCATGATCATGATGATGATCATCATCATCATTCGAATTGAAGACAAGTACCCCCGCACATGTAACCCCCAAGAAGTCAGGTCCCCTGCGGTGAGTTATTATTATTATAATCACTTGTAATGGAAGTATCGGGTGTGACCGGTACTGGCTTGTTGATATTATTCGATTGTTGTTCCCCCCTTTTTCGTCTCGCCAATAGACCATCTGCTTGTCCTGGAATCCCGTGGACTGCTTCACTAGTCTGTGGTGGCGGAGTCTGCTGTTGAAGCTGTAGCTGCTGCTGCTGCTGTGGCGTGCGTGGTTCGGGATACGGTCGCCGAGTTGACTTGTTGGGAGAGGGTATTCTCGAGGTACTCAAATGTTGGGTGATTGGACTCGAATACATCATTTGTCCCTCTTGCCACATGATGTTTTGAATATCTTCAAGGAATTGTTGTTGTGGCCCAATGACCATTCCTGGTCGACAAATTCGTTGCCACGCAATGACTTCCGGTGCCGTCATTCGATAATGTTTCATGAGATAGGCACCGATGCAAGTCCCCGTTCGTCCCAATCCAGCCTTGCAATGCACCGCAAAGGCTTTTCCTTTGGGTACCTCTTCAAAGCTTCTCACCACATTCTGCAAAATGTCCATGGGTGGACAGGATCCGTCAATGTAAAATTGGTGCAAATGTTGAATCCCCGCCCGTATGAAATCCTGTTCCTCGTACATTTTCTTGTTGAGTCGGACCACCAGGCCTACATTTCTCTTTTGAAAGTAGGGAATGTAATCGGAGGGTGCCAGGGTACAATAGCCTTCCGGGGATATCTTCTTTTGAAAGGAGGGTCCCGCAAAGGCCAAGATTTTGCCTTGGACGATCCAATTCAAATCTCCATTCTGAACAATGAAAAAATGAGAGAGAGAGAGAGAGAGAGAGTTATAGAAGGAATATTTGAGAGAATCATAAAGTGTGAGATGCGCCGTGTTCCTTCCAATCTTCCATTCAATCCAAGCAATAAGAATATAGCTTACCTCCACTTGTTCAAAATATTCATACTCGTCAACATTAAAGGTCTTGAAATCAAAGAATCCAAATTCCATCGCCTTTTTGAGTCCGTGCAAACAGTGCATGATATTCAAATTGTAATTGCATTGGACTGGACTGGCATCGTGAAAGGTGGGCAATCGGGCCACGGTCATTTCTCCAATTGGAGACAGGGGCCAAGTCGGTGGCAAACTCCGTTCTTGCGCCGTCATACTATTGGGCGTGGGCGGTGGTTTGCCTCCGGTATTGTAATAACTGAAACCGAAAAAGGCTTGCTCGGGAGACCGTCGCAATTCCAGAACTTGCCAGGCGCAAATCAAATACACGGCATTGGTGCGTTTGGCGGGATGCGCGGACGAATAGAACAAAATGGCAGGTTTTTCTCCCGCACTCGTGACGGTCGTTCGATTGGCCTGTTGCAACAATTCGTTCAACCGGGATCGAAAGCGATAGAGTTGCCCAAGATTCAGCGGTCCAAAGTCCAAAAAGAAATTCCAATACACCAAAGTGGCATCAATGCAGAAGCACATGACGGGAATCTTTTGATTCTTTTTGTTCCTCAGTAATATTTTACTAGAAGACGGCGGTGTGCTGAGTGCGGCATAGTAGAGTGCATCCTGATGTCATATAGAATGGGAATGGATGGAATGAGTGGATGAGCATACGGTTATAATATAATAATATATAATATATAATAATATATAGTATAATATACTATATAATACATTGTGAATGAAAGAACAAACGACACGTTGATTGAAAATAGCAACAACGAGCCTCCTCCTCTTGACTTTTACAATCGCAAGGAATCACCATTCTCCTCTCACATAGCATAACAACAAACAACAAAAAACACATGATAGAAACATACCGGAAGAATTTCCACAGCTCCTCGCAGGGGATTTTTGCTTGCGTTTGTTGGCGGTGGTGCGCCAGGCATTTTTGCGTTGTTGTTGTGTGTGTTGTTGTGTTGTTGTGTGTATTACTATGTTCTGTATTTGATGCAAGAGCTGGGAGGGCAAGCGTTACTTCTTCTTTCGATTGATTGATATACGCAGTGTCATTCACAGCGCAGTTGTAACGACTGATATTGAATATACAGTATTCGAAATATAGAAGCACCTCTACCGGTACGTCTATTTGCATTTATATTTTGCAGCACAGTAGTGCAGCTTTCAGGCGATCCGTTGGAGGGATCGGATGGCGCGCGACCCATCTAAGTAAACTTCGAATTTTCAACGGCTCGTACGTAGATTTGGTACTACAAAGCCTCGCCATCGCGTACCTAGAATTCCGTTGCGGACTTTCTCATGTATGCAATACATGTCATCTTCATTCCTACAGTACACCGTACTGTAGCTTTCATTCCCACATCACATCAATTGAAGGATGGTGGATCAATATACCGTAGTGTAACCAAGGAGAAGATTTGACTTACTTGGGGTCATTGTAGCATTGAAGTTGATCTGTAATTTAAAAGTTGCAGCATTGTAATAACCAAACAGATGTATCCTTTATTTTTGCAAGGAAGGTTGAAGTTCACTAAAATACTGCAAGCTACTTTAATAAAAAAAAGTAAGTCGGGTGATTGATTCGATTTGACTCCACGGACTGAAATGAAAATGCCACCTGTCAAATTATTCTGATTCCTTCATCGCCTGCGGTGCGGCCGTCTTTGTTTCTGAAGATACCCGCCGCGGACATGATATCCTACAACCTACAATATATATACCAGAATACGATTGTCTGGTGACTGCGTTCCAGAAACTTATAATAATAATTGCAGTCTCTGTCTTGTCTCGCTATTGCACCTTCTTTCAGCTTGACAAAGTAACTGAAATCCACATTCAACAAACGAATATATAAGGGCGAAGAAATCACAGAAGAAAAATTGTTTTGTGGCTTACAACATCATGAAGTATATCGGTATTCATTTATCCCTTTTCTTGGGATCGTGTCTTGTTCTTTGCTTCATCACACCAACCTCTGATGCTTTCACCAGTCGTGATGCTGCCGCTGGACGAACAAGAGGAGGAGGAGGAGGAGGAGCACTACAAAGAAGAACAATGATGATGAGTGAGGAATCATCCTTTTTGTTTCGAACAGCAGGCTCGAGATATGACGATTCATTGTCATTGTATCATCGCTTTGGTGTGAGTAGTAGTGTTTCTAATATTTATTTGCAAGCCGCCAGGAGCAAAGAGAACCAACATCAACAACAACAACAACAACAACAAGACGATGTATCAGCACTACCACAACTCAAGAACAAGCTAATCAGTACAAAACGATGGATTCTTCCACTCTGGAACAGTATGTTGCGTACCTTTCCTTCCAACAATGGTCGTGCAAGGCGGAGCAAAACGTTTCTGGCCATGGCTTTCTTTGCCATTGCATGTTCTTTTTGCCGAGTCCATCCGGCGAATGCTGATGTTATGGAAACAGCAACAACAGCAACAACAAGATCTACTATCGAATCATCCTACTACATTGGCAGCAACAGCAACAGCAACAGCAACAACAACAACAACAACAACAACAACATGGCATTCGAATCATTGGAACCTGTGGAACCCATTCGAATGGTGCAAGCTGTTGAGACTAGTAGTAGCACAACGAGTCCTAGTACTAGCTACTACTACACTAAAAAGAACAAGGACCACACGTCCCCATCAGTCAACAAGGCATCTGTGACATATGCCACCCTGTTGTCGATGGGAGAAGGCCTCAATCCTAATTTGGAACCTACTACCGAAATGGCAGTACTCCAAGATAATGACAATAAGGGTATTGTGGAGACGAGTAGTAATAGTATTTTGAGTGTCAACAATGGTGGTGGTGACAAAGCATCATCATCATCATCGTCATCATCATATCAGGGCAAACTATCGGCGACAGGAGTCGTACTATTGGCGGCAGGAGTTCATGTCTTTCGCTTGCAACGCAAACAGAGACGTCTCCATGACAATTTTGAATCCTGGAATGCCTCTTGGAATGCAACAACTACTACTACACCAACTACTACTAGCGGCGTCAAAGCGAATAACATGGTGCTGGAATCGAAAGAACCATTCGTGGCAGCAGCATTATTGGCCAACAAGGCAATATCCAGCAACAGCAACAGCAACAATGGTACCATGTCCTCTCTTCGCATGGATGATACGGAAACTATGGACAAGCCGCCTAATACTGCCGTTGACAGTAGTAAGAACAGTGAAAAGAACAGCAAGAAATATTACAATGATGACGAACCAGGATTTGGTGCCACTCCAGAACCTCGAGAACATTCCAACAATAATGAAGAGGCAGCCTCAAAAGCAGAAGACATTGTCAAGGCAACCATGAAGGCAATGGGGAAAGCAGGGGGCGAATCAACGACGCTAGAGCAAGGATTCATATTTTTGGGAACTGATGCTTCTAAGACAGTAGCATCGTCACCAGATCCTACCGTGGAAGAATTGGAGCAACAGGTAATGACGCTAGAAGATTATCTGAATATAAAAGTGGACGAGGAGTTAGCCCACCACCTTACAAGTGAAAACAACAACAGCCAAGAAGATACCAAGTATCCAAAGGAACGGATGCCAATTTTGGATCCGGTGGAACGGGCCAAAGTATCTGCCAAGTATGCGGCAATTGGTTCCTTGGAGGACCGAGCGTTTCAAATCTTGGTGGATCTGGGGATGATTGACCAGACAAACTGATATATATACACGTGTACATGTAGATCTGCATAAGTAACTATACAGTACCTACTAGGTACTGATTGATATTCGATAATAATGATATTTTAATATAACAATATAATATTAAAATAATGATGATAAGAAGTATGCACGACTTTTAGTTTGTCGATGTGGAACGGCTTGATTGGTCGATTGCATCCTTGCGTTCCCTTCGTCTGCTTCTCATCCATGTCAATGTCTCGACGAGGTCCTGTGCTCGATCTTCATAGGTATTGTGAACATCCACAGGAATCAGTGTGTTCAATTTCTGAAAGTACTTGGCATCCTTGATGGTTTGGTCTCTGGTATAAAGCCAAGCCAGTGCGTGTTCGATTTCCTTCTTCTTGTTGCCTTCAACTGCTCGTCCACCTGATCCCTTGTTTTGTTGTCGTGCTGTTCTTGGACTACTCATCTCTTTACTGTTTGCAGTCATCACGGAGTCGCTGGTGCTCTCATCTTCATATCGCTGCTCTTGCATGTCAACGGTTTTGTGTCAACTAATTATTTTGATGGGTGGAAAAGTAAAGAGATCATTCCGACTGCGTGTTTCGGGATTGCGGCGATTGTTTGTGCGATTCTGTGGCGGAATGTTTGGTATGTGTACTGACATATCGGAATAATATATATATGTAATTTTTCATTTTTGTAGGGTGACGAAGGGTAGATTTTAGTTGCCGGATAGAGAAGATATATGCCTTGGTTCCGTCCCAAGACCACCTAGTTATGGAGAGTTTATGATCAGAAAAAGATATGGTCGTGAATCTTATTCGTGGAACGTAATTGAAATTTGATTGCGGTGTTTGGAACATACGTGTCACGGCGATCGCATTCATAATTTCGATCGCATTCTCGCCTTCGTCCATTACCTGATACTATGTAGTTTGTAAAGAGCTTCGAAAATAAAAACCAGGTACTCACACTTTCGTTCTCATTGCACTTTCTAACAAAAGTATGTTCATTCCACCCACCAATGAATGATTCATTTATTTCTCCTCTTATCGTTCGTTCGTGACTGTGAAGCAACTTGGTTTCCCAAGGTGTAATTGATTTCCTCCGATACAAGAAGAACCTGCTGCAACAACAATAACGTGCAGTATTGGATCATTGTCATTCAGAGCATTAGTTATTTCACAGAGCATACTGCCGATGTTTGCAGTTTTGTAACCTGGCTGCCGGCACTGAAAAAGACAAATAAAAAAGCCTCGTTGCTCGTCCTCAATAATTGAGAACCCAACGGGACACGCATATGAGCCTTTCTTTCTAGTTGTCGATGGATGATTGTGCAGCAGGTGCAATATTAAAGCAACGATGGCCATATTTCCTTTTCGCCAGAAACTTGTTGTCATTTTCCAAAGAAATCATGATGTTTCCAGTCAAACATCGTTTGCTTTGGATTTGCCGAAACACGGGTATACAAAAGTCATGCTATTGATGTCTCATATAGTGTGTCGATGGGCTGTCGGAAAGATTGCGTAATAATAACAAGGAGGGAGAAATGGCACAAGCAGGATCCGTTCATCTTTCGGAAGTTTCGTCCAGAATGGCGGAAGCGGTCATTAAAAGGTCTCTTTTTCCTATATTGAGTGAGCTATTCGTTTCGGATCTGATGTTTCGTCTAAAGCCTGATGCTTGACCCGTCGATCGTCACCGAGCCTTGATGTGGAAATAGGTAGGCTTATATGCACCATAAACATTAGGCAGTCAACAACCAGATAGCTTGGCTGGATTCTTCGTAGTGGCAAGGATTGGATTCCATTGTGGTGATTGATGCAATAGTAGGTTCATTCATTCATTCATTCACTGCTGCTACCACTATGTTACTTGTATTGTGAGCATGTGTAGTGGCGGGATGATGTCACAAGCAGTCCGTGTTTGGGGACGGACTCAAAAGTGTTGACTCGTTATTACGCTATATTGCGAGCTTTTGTGCTATTTGCAATGATGAGATGAGTGCGACCGCATTACCGCTCATCCAAGTCCATCATATAACACTTTGGTGTTGGTGGGTGGTGGGTATGTGAGGTTCTCCAGTCGCGGTACCTCTCATTTGGATTGCGGAATTGACAGCGGAACGTAACAATATTATTTTAAAAAAGTACTGAAATAATTTTCTCCAGTCATGATTTTTGTACTGATGCGGCTATCATACATCCAAACCATCACACTCCCGTCAAGGCGCCGGCAGAAAACCAACAACAATAAGGGAAAAGATGGGATGGCTTTCCAAATGCAAGATACCATCCTCAGCAGCTGCAGCAGTGGCTGGCCGCGAATGATCATGATGCTCCTGTAGACTACTAGGCAGTGTTTGCAATTTTGTGATCCGTGACCCGTGACTGCTTCAATTTTTGGGCGTTCGTGCGAAGAACATATTCATAAAATACAGTACATGTTCAATGTATGGTGAAGAATATCAATCAGTCTGAATGATTCATTCATTCATTCATTCTGCGCGCATGAGCATGTGTTCGTGTTCTTTTTTATATACTCGTATATAATAGCACGTGCTAAATATATATTTTAGTTCGGAGAAGAAGGAGTCAAAGTCATTGTTGACACGCTTGGCGTACGCTCCAAAACAGCGGTTCAACGCATGGCTGCCAACATGGCCAACTTTCTTGACACCTCTCTTAACAAACAAAAAGCTCGTCTAATTGGGAAAACGAGCCACCTCGGCCCCATCAACGTCCTTTTGCATCAAGCCATGCTCCAGCAACGGAAAGATTGTCGTCATGAAAGAGCAATCAATCATTGACAATAACACAAGATATTGTAATATTAATACATATTATAGTACATACCAAAGAGACAGCAACGAAGCAATATAGACAAGAATACTGTAGCTAAGCAGCTAGAGCCAGCAAGGAAGCAAAAGTCGCATTGCGGATATCCTGCAATCCAAGACTTTCAACTTGCGCTATACTCGTAAAACAAAACGATCCAAAGCATACATACGGTATTTTATACAGCATATAAAATATAGTATAGATCCAGCACCCAAACAGAACCAGCCAAACATGATCCGTTGGTCCAAAACCCAACAATCACCAAACCCGCAAGATTACAACTTTTGTCCTCCTCCTAATACTCAGGATGACGAAGATGAGAATGATGGCTTTGATGCCATTTCGTATTGCAGTGGAAGTGTTTGTTCGAGGCGATCCTCTCTCAAACCTTCCCGATGGACGGGCAATAATAACAACAACGGATCCACTTCTTCTCATACTAGACGCGCCATGATGCTTGCCGCTGCCGATGACAAGAGTGCGAGAAGCGAAGTATCCTTTGACTCGATTGGGATTCGTCAGTTTAATATGACAGTCGGAGACAATCCATGTGCTTTGGGACCGCCCGTCCAGCTGGATTACAACGATGATGGCAGTATGGCGGAAACTTTTAAAATTGATACCTTTGAACAAAAGCGCAAACCACGACGATCCATGCGAGAATTGAGGTTGAGTACTCGGCAACGTCACAATATTTTGCGCAAGGAGAGACAATTGACCCAAAAGGAAATCAACGAGGCCGTCCTCAGTGCCCAAGAAATTCGCAAACAACGAATGGAGACTCATCTGCAATCGAATTGGGAACAACAATGGGATGAATTTAATGAAAGTGCCCAGCGAAAACTAGCCAGGTATTGTGGTTGGTGTGCTGTGTGTTGACAAGCTACATCCGTGGTAGCTACTACCTATCTATTGGTGGGAGCTACCACTACGAACAAGCAAGGCATCTCGTGCTGCTATCCCCCGTTATATATTATACATACATATATATATGTCCTGCCAAGCCTCTGTCGTTCACACTACAAGACTATCGAATGACTTTACTATATATATAATATTATATCATATATTTTATAAAATCAATCATGCCAGCGCCACAGCTTCGGTCCTTTGCACTTTGCACTTTCGAATGAAGAATGAATGCATGCATGTTTCGGATATAAAATAATGGACTGCTTCGACTAGGTTTCGGCATTTTCATTTGACAAGAAGCATCGACAAATATTTTTTATCAATCCTTATTGTGATCCATACTTCAAGTTTCTTTTGCTGTTATTGGAATGACATAATTACGTATTCTAAGAGAAATACGCCCTGATTCGACACGTCGCAGCCAATATTCGCAACGCAATCCCGCAATTGAATAATACCCTTATTATACCGCCGGTACGAACAGTAGTTTATGAATCATAAATTCACACTGTAGGTGCACGACCGACACCCAAACATTATTATCTTCATCCATCACCGCGTGTGTATACCGTACAGTATAGTATAGTTCGGTTATAGTGTAATACCTGTATTGTATTGAATATCGCAGCGCTTGTTGTCTTCTATAATATCCTATTATACAACAAAACAAAACAAAACACAATACAATACAATACAACACAACACAAAAGCAATCAAAATAAAATAAAATAAAATGAAAGCCATTCGCTCCGTCAACGAGGTTCAAACCATGTCGGATTTGTTACTGGCCTTGACGGACATGAGCCTTAATAACGACAATGTGGAGGAGGAGGAGGATGATAATCCAGCGGCAGGGGATGACGATCTATCTTTTGATGATCCTGTCTTGCGAGCCATGCAATTACGAGATTTGGCCGTGACGACTGCGGCTGCGGCTGTTTTGGATGACACTGCAGCAAACACAAATCCAGCAAACACTACTATTTCCACTGGAGTTCAAGGGTTGAAGTTGAATCTCAGTGATTCGTCCTCTCTTTTGCACGCTTCCGCTGACTCGACTCCCTTTGCGTCCAAGGATTGGGTCTTGGACAATCAAAATACCGTTCCTGACATTGAGTACCAAACACAAACCTTGGATAGCGAAATGAGACGATTACTCGTCCTGAGGTCGTATCTATTGTTGGACTCGGACGAAGAAGATGATGGTGATGGTAGTTCCTTAGGCTTCGGTGCCATTACGCGGTTGGCATCGCGCATGTTGGATCAACCCATTGCACTCGTTTCATTGAGTGATATCGACCGACAATGGTTTCTCAGTCAATATGGATTGGGCGGAGGCACCAATCAAATTTGTCGCAAAAATGCCTTTTGCGCCCACGTCCTCTTGTGTCAACAGGAAGATGTCATGGTCGTCCCCGATGCGACGTTGGACCCAAGATTCCAAAACAATCCATTGGTTACGGGGCCATTGCAGGTCCGTTTTTATGCAGGTGCTCCGCTCATTGCTCCGGAAGGATACAAATTGGGGACCTTGTGTGTGTTGGGAAATCAAGCACGTCCTCAAGGCTTGACCTTGGAAGAAAAACAAAACCTGCGCGATCTAGCCGATATGGTCATGGAAGCCATGTCGCGACGTCGCAAGGAAAAAATTCGAGCCCATTTTCACAATCCCAAACAAACCATCGCCCTAATGGCACACGAATTGCTCACACCCTTGATGGGGGTTCAACGAAATCTTGCAACCCTCTCGGAAGATTCCAGTCTCACCGACCAAATGAGTCCGGAGGAACAAGAACTCTTGCAAAATGCCCTGTATTGCAGCGATGCAGTGTCCAAAATTTGCTCCACGGCCATTGACGATCTACGACTGCAACAACGAGTCTTGGCCAATAAAAAACGGGCCTCCTTTTTGCGTTCCTCCTCGGCGCTACGAGGACCAGATGCCTTCAAGACGTCCCATTTGATTCAAGCTTGGTACATTATCTTGGAAGCCTTCCCCAAATATGTTCCCGTTTCCATTACACTCGACGAAAGTGTGCCCAAGGAAATTTGCGCCGATGAACTCAAAATATTTCGGTCCGCCCTCAATTTCTTATCCAATGCCTGTCAACGAACCTTCAAGGGATCCATTCAGCTGGTCGTCAAAATGATTGCGGGGCAGAATACGACTACGACTACGACTACTACTGACAATGATACTTCTGACATGGAAGAAGATGGGGCGGAAACCAAGACCAATGAAGACCACAGTGCCACTCAAAAAGGCGGAAGCAAGAATTACTTGTTTGTGGAATGTTTGGATACGGCACCCAACATTCCCATTGAAAATTATCCACTCCTATTTCATCCATCCGATTCTTATGAAGAACAATTGGAATGTGTACGGCCGACGGCCAATGGAGGCTGCGAACCGATTTGTCGGATGCAAACCCAAGGGTTGGGGTTGTATTCGGTGGCGGTTCAAATTGGATCGATTGGGGGAGAATATGGATACAAGCCCAGGTTTCCCCCGAGGGACGAGAACGTTGATGGCAATGGGGAAACAATGATGACCCAACAAGAAGGGTCCATCTTTTGGTTCAAGGTGCCACTCTATGATGATGATCAGGAGGAGGATTAGTAGTAGTATAATCATACATTCGTAGAGGAGGCGCGAGATACTGTAAAAGAAGAGAAATTGTTATTCTAGGAAGGATTATAACTATTTTTTTAACCAAAATATATGGAACTTGAATGAAACGAAAATACAACTTTGCTCATGGAGACTCGCTCATCTACCGGTACCGGTATGTACTAAAGAGTGAATCCAGTCTCTAATCCGCTAACTTATCCGCCGTCAGAGTTCAATGTACCGCGACTGAAAAAATGAGCCGCATAGTCCATTTTTCACACGACCAAACAAACATGCATCAGACGGAAACTAACGTCAGGCTGCCAAGGTGAATTTTAAAAATTATGCCGCCGGAAGGACTAAATCCAACCGTACCGACATCGATGACCCCACACGGTCGGTACCGGTACTGTAATTATTGTATCCTTTTTTATATATATTGGTTATAATCAATTGCGTACCGCGATATCTCGCGAAGGTTGATTGCCCTCTTTTATACCATCCCACCATCCGCCATCCCACCATCCGCCTAAAATACAAGAGCCATCATCATCATTGTCGTCGCCTTACTCTTTATCGATGCCAGTATGAGCTACATCGACCAATCCTTCAACGCAAATCAAGCCTGCATTGGATTTTGTGACAATCGGAGAAAACACTCCTATCAGAACACTTCATATCATTCATCCGATGATGGTGGCATGCTGCTCCTGGAACAAAACGTGCAGAAGAAACAAGATATCGATAACCTCTTATCAGAAGCATTGAATGCTCTGACATTTCACGAACGAGAGGAGCAACAAGAAGTTCTTCACGGGGTGGATAAGGTCATTGCGGAAGGAGATGACTTCATCGCGAACTCCTTGGTTGATCTTGACACGGACCTCATGAGGATAAAAGCTGGCAGTGCGTACGAGATTGCCGAACGTATGGATCCTACTTATGCCACCTCAAGGGCCTTTCGAGTAATGTTTCTTCGAGCCAATCGGTATGATGTAAAGGCATCCGCAAATCAGATGCTATTGTTCTTTGAATTGAAGCAACAACTATTTGGAAATGACAAATTGGCAAAGGATATCACCATTGATGACCTGGACGAAAATGATCTAGAAGCCTTAAAGGCGGGCGCTGTCCAACTTGCTGGACGAGACACAGCCAATAGGAAAATCTACATCCAATTGCCAGGGATTAGAAAGTTCAAATACATTCAGAATGAATTGCGATCAAGATTCTTAATAACGATGCAAGCACTGCGGTCAGAACAGACGCAGCTGAAGGGTGCTGTTTCAATTCTGTATTCTGTTGGGGATTTCAAAGATCGGTGCAATGGAGCTGGTTTTGTGGAGCACACCAAATTTGCACTTGCAGTACCTCAACACAGTGCAGGAAGCCATATATGTTTCGATGATCCAAATCAGTATATGGTCATCAAGGCTGGACTTTCGGTACTAAATGCCAAATTTCGTGCTCGCGTCAGAGTGCATTATGGGAGTCACTTGGAGTGTCAGTACCTTCTATCAACATATGGAATCTTGACAAATACTCTTCCATTGACGACAAGCCACGGGGTTAACTTGAGTCGTCATTTGGACTGGGTCGAATCTTGCTTGAGGGATAGTAAAGATTCAGCATTTACATCGCCAGCTGGTATCAAACCCAATGCAGATGATGTCCTTTTCATGGGATACAAGACGAGTAGCAACCTTGGCAACGCTCGTCTTCGAGAAGGTGTGAAGGAAATATTCCTGCAGTACAGAGCTGGGAGTCAAGAGCAGAAGCGGCTTCTGATAGATGGTCTGATTGCTCAGATTCACAACTCTGGCGGTCGTTTTTTGAAACAAGACAAGGAATCCATTTGGCATGAAGCGACATTGAAAGAGTCAAGAACAAAGGTGATGAAAATTATCAGCAACTACAAACGTCGACTAGGAACACCACGGTCGACCATTAGTCCTCCTTCCTCGATTATCGGTGAGCCTATGCCGGAGGATGTTATATTTGGGAGAAACCAACATAGTCGGGGCAATGAGTTGCTCCATCATCTCGTCAAGGAGCGGTTCGAGGAGTATGAATCGTTGGACCGTGGAATGAAAATGTCATTGGTAGACTCTATAGCAAAGACGATTCGTGATGAAGGTGGACGATTCCTCGGACCAGAGTCGAATGGATGGGTAGAGTTGTCGATCGAACAGTATCGGGTCAAATTATCCAAGTACCTGACCAACCATCGACGACACTTCAAAAAAGGTGGGAAATATCATACACTTTGAAGAACTGAATCGTCACAAGGAGCTTCGGGGTACTCTAAATAGTGTCTGGTTGGCCTGGCTGTCCTCTGCTGGATATATGCTGCAAGAAACCATAATATATAGTGCTAAATCTAAAATGCTTACTCTTGTTCATTCTATCGAACCATATTACTCTACACTCTTTCCTTCGCTTCCATTCATTGACACTTCATCACGTCATTCCAACTCAAAAAGAAGCAATCACAGGATGAAGGAATACTAGTCCAAACTACATTTGCCTGTCCGTCTATAGTTGATAGTTGAATTTTCGTCTCGTTCATGTTTGTCTTGAGTCTATCAGCAGCTGAGCTTCAGCAGTATTGGTACAAGTACGACCATACTAGGTACAATACTAGGTAAATATGTACCGTGGTATGCATAAAAAAACAAAACAGATCTTGGTGGGACCTGCCTTGCTTCCAAGCACCCGACTGACTCAGGGCTCAGTCGAATGAATGATGACAAAAGCAAGTAGTCGTGCTACATAACAGATACGAAGTACACGTATTAAAAAAAGCTGTCCACGTAATTCTGCTTCAAACAAAGATTAATCTTTTGCAACCAAACATGGACATGAAGTGGGAGCACTTTTTTTTAATACTGTACCTTCAGAAGCATATATAGTACCGGTACCTACGATAGGTATCCATGAGAAAAACACGGTCGCGCAAATAGTCGATTGAAAAAGGAACGCATGTGACACGTAGCGAAACAAAAAGTTGTTGACCCCGAACACCAATCAAGTGCACGGAACAAGGAACACTTGCACGGAAAAGAAGACGGGCCACTTTGCAAACCAGTACCGTTACAACACCAGTACCAGGTAGTATATATCAGTCAAGGGGTTAGCAGTACCACTGGACTTTCGCTTACAGTATCGATTTTAGGTGGGTTAACACGCGGTACCCCATTATGAAGTCATATAACGAAAATCGAGTTTGGTTGCGCATCTTGGTGGTCACTCAATTTGAACATGTCCAAATCAGCATTTTATATATTCTTTCGCTTCACTCCAGTGAAACAATAATAAGCGGTCGAATGAAAATTGCGGTCGCGCAATTTTCAGCATTTTTCTCGTTTTGCAACGCATGTCAAATCGCAAAAGAGCTCTTCCATAAAACAACAAGCAGCTACAAGCTACAATCATGATTGTACTTAATAAAACATTCATCATGCAACAGTGGGGCTCCTTTGTCAACAACCCAGTTGCCGAGTCTTCAAGTTTTGACAATTCTAAAGGATTTTTGTTGAAGCAACGAGGACGTCACAACCATCAGGCAACCATGTCGAACGAAGACAAGCAAAAGATACAAGAGGTCGATGCACTCTTATCTGAGGCAATGGATGCTCTAACGTTTGAAGAAAGGCAATACCAGCAAGAAATACTTCACGGGGTCGGCGAGGATATAGCTGAGGAAGCCACCTTCATTAATCGAGAACTGAATGATCTTGATGAACATCTGAGGCGTATCAAGCATGGCAGCATGTATGAGGTCGCAGAAAAGCTTGATGCCATGTATGTACAAGCAAGAGACTTTCGACTCATGTTTCTACGTGCCAATCGATACGATGCTAAAGCATCAGCAAACCATATGTTAAGATTCTTCGAAACAAAGCAAGACCTCTTTGGAACTGACAAATTGGCCAAAGACATCACAATTGACGACCTCGACGAGGACGACCGAGTAGCGCTAAGGATGGGTTCTTTTCAGATGGCAGGAAGAGACACATCGAACCGACAAATCGCTGTCCACATACCAGGTGTAGGACAGTTCAAGAACCTACAGAATGAACTGCGAGTAAGATTCTATACCACCATGCAAGCCTTGGAATCCGAACAAACTCAGTTGAACGGCATCGTTTACATTTTGTATTCTGTTGGTGATTTCAAAGATGGAAGCAATGAACTTGGATTCATGGAGCACATTAGGTTTGCACTCTCAGTACCTCAATACAATGCAGCAATCCATATCTGTTTCGATGATCCAAGTCCGTGCACCATCATCAAGGGCGGACTTGCTGTTTTGGATGCAAGGCTACGGGCTCGTGTCAGGGTACATTTTGGCAGTCATGTAGAGTCCTTCCATAGTTTGTCCACGTACGGAATCCCGAAAGAAATGCTCCCATTCACGCCATCCTATGAGCTAAACATGGACCACCATTCTAATTGGGTGGAATCTTCCCTTCATAGCGGAAACAAAAAAATCGATACAGCCCCTGAACCAGATGCAGTCACAGAAACAACGCCCCATGATGTCTTATACAGGGGTGGTATCAAGAGTAGCAATCGTGGCAATAACCATTTGAGGAGTCTAGTTGCAGAATGGTCGCAAACGTATAACTCTGGGACAAATGATACCAAGCGATGTGTAGTGTATGAGATAGCCGATGAAATTCACCGTGTCGGAGGTCGCTTTCTGAGCAAAGCCAATGGAGATTCACCATGGGAAGCAGTTCCGATGGATGAAGTACGCTTGAAGATCACACAAATGTTTCGGAATTATCGCCGTAGAGCAAAAGGTACTCGAAGGAAAAAGAGCCCACCGCATCATGGGTTGGAGGATAGTATATTTGAGAGATAGTTAATTCTTTGCTGGGAGTACTAGCTAGTAGGGGCGAAATGGTTGCTATTACTATCATTTGAGTTTCGAAGTGCAGGCGGCTGAGGACTCTTATGGTGATTCGCCAGAGTTTGTTGGCGGGGAATAAATGATTATCGCCCATTCGCTGGCAGCAGGTACACATGTGATTAGCTGGTCAGTCTGTTACAATACGATCATCACGGTACCTGATACGATCTCGAATCCCTCTCCCCTCCCCCTTTTGTTGTGTCCGTGAGCTGGGATTTTATGCCGTCCGTAATTCTCAAACCACGACCGCACGCACTGCATGACCTGCTGGCATGACTGCATTATTTGGTTGCGCCTCATCGATCATATAAAAGGGTTGCATAAAAAAAATATTTCGGACAATCGTATTAATACCTACTATAACAACATCCTGCTATACAGGTAGCAGCGCTTTCAACCTATATTGTTTTCCTATTACATTATACGGCCAGCATATTACTTTCTGTTTACCATACAATATCATCGGCAGCCTAACAGATCTGCTCTACATTCATATAATAATGAGTGTACTTGATCAGTCATTCGTCGTGAAAGAGGCAAGTTGCTTTGACTGCAATCTTTACCCTTCATCGCCAAAGCATCGTCAGAGCGATCTTGCAGTCATGTCGAACGAAGATATGTTAAGAAAACAAGAAATCGATGCCCTCCTATCCGAAGGCATGAATGCTTTATCATTTGCGGAGCGAGAGGAGCAGCAAGAAGTTCTGCACGGGGTCGAAAAGGCGATTGCTGAAGAAGACGACTTTATCGAGACAGCCCTGAAAGATCTTGAGGAACACCTTACGCGTATGAAACATGGAACTGTTTATGAAATCGCGGAACGAATGGATTCAACATATGTTCATGCGAGGGCCTTTCGAGTGACGTTTCTAAGGGGGAAACGATATGATGCTAAAGCTTCAGCAAAGCAAATGCTAAGTTTCTTTGAAGTGAAACAACAGCTATTTGGAAATGCCAATTTAGCAAAGGATATTACGATTGATGACCTGGATGAAAATGATCGGGAAGCTTTAAAGGTTGGCTCTATTCAGCTTGCTGGTAAAGACACATCGAACCGACAAGTCGTCCTTCAGTTACCAGGTCTTAAAAACTTCAGAAACATTCAGAGCGAATTACGAGCAACCTACTACATCATAATGGATGCCGTTCGTTCAGAACAAACGCAGTTGAAGGGCATCGTGGTCATTTTGTATACTATTGGTCATTTCAAAGATCGCAGTAATGGAGCCGGGGTTTTCAAACATAATAAGCTTGCGCTTTCAATGCCTCTTCATAATGCAGCAATTCATTGCTGTTTCGATAATCCGAATCAGTACATCCTCATCAAGGCTGGACTTGCTGCAGTAAATGCAAAGCTACGCGCCCGCATCAAAGTGCATTTTGGCAGTCACCTGGAGTGTCAATACCAGTTGTCCACCTACGGAATCTCCCGTCAGAATTTGCCTCTGATGCATGCTACAAATAACATTGATATGAGATATCACCTTGCATGGTACCATACACATACCATGAAGTCAAAGAGCGATATTCGGAAACCAAAGAACGACCCCCATGCCGCTGCATCGAAGAAATCTGTTTTAGTGACTCAGCCAACTGTCAATGATGTCTTGTACATGGGTGGCAACAAGATGAACAGCGCTGGTAATGATCATCTCAGAGATCTCGTTGCGGAATGGTCGGAGACCTATGACTCTGGAACGAACGAAGCCAAAAGACGGGTGGTGAATGAAATCATTGATGAGATCCACAGGTCGGAAGGCCGTTTCCTCAGCCAGGTCAACGGTGCAGAGTCGGTATGGGAAACAGTTTCGATCGAAGATGTGCGGTCCAAGATCACACAAATGTTTCGAAATCGCCGCCGCAAGGTGCGAGTTGGCAAAATCAAAAAGGCTAAGTAAGATTCTATACCACAATGCAAGCACTGCGGTCTGAAGAGACTCAGTTGAAGGACATTGTTGCAATTATATATTGTTGGTGATTTCAAAGACCAGTAGATTTTTTTTTGAAACCTACGACTCTGGGAGAGCTTCTATCAAGCTTTGTGTGGTCAAACTCCAGTATGGGAAGTGACTCCCACCGAAGATGATCATGACTTCAATGCACCAATTTGGCCATGGCAAAGTAATTCGTTCAGGCATGGCATCACGCAGACTGTATTGGAAATCCTGTACTCTGAGACTCATCGACCATCTGGTGTGTAGCATTTCTCACTGGATAATGGTCCTGCGATGGTAATAATGCAGGCAATATTCATAATTTGCAAGGGATTGGAATGAGATAGAAACAAAGTCCGTAGTCGTCATAAAACCAAACTATAATTTTTAAACCCATGAGTGCGATGCGATTCCCACTTTTCGTAAGCTAGTGAAGAGATCTAGCGAATATTTTATTGTCCCGCTTGCTTTATTTTTCCAGTTGGGTCTAAGGTTGTGCAATTTGACATGATGCTCAAAGTAGAATTGGTCAACGAGTGGAGAATACTTATCTTGTAGCAGCTCGTGTGTAAGAGGGAGTTCCAAGGATGCCGTGTCAATATCAAGTTTGATGACCACAAAATCACTGGCATTGTATTTGGAAAGAAGCGTCTTCCAAGGATTCTGTTTGCTCGTTGGTGAAGCCTCAACGGGGACATTGTACCAATGATAAGCTTGCATAAGTTCTTCTGGAATTTTCCCATAAACCAGTTTTGGGTCAATCACGGAATATTCAAAGGCATAATAGTGATCAAACTTGATGCCAAACTGATTGAAGAGTTTCACCAAAGTCATCGCCGGGGACACCATATAACCATGGAACACTAGAGAAGCACCCAAGTCGAAGAACACGGTCCTAGCCCCGGGTTCGAGCTGCCGACAAATCTTACCAAAGTCGTGCACAAGGTAGTCCAAACTCATAAAGGCCCGTTTCTTTTTCTTTTTCTCACTTGCACACATGTGAGGATGTCGCAATGGTGGGAGCAGTGGCTCAACGTAGCCGGCATCCGTTAACGAACAGTCATGTTTTGGACGAAACGCGCTATACAATACCTTGTCCATTTTTTGGCACAATTTTTCGCGCTTCTTCTTGGGCAAAAGTCGGATGTCTTTTACTTCAGTTCGAAATTTCTTGACGGATTCCGTGTACTTCTCAAGCTTGGATACATATCCCTGATACAAATTGTAGAATTCGATTCCGCTTTGGTTCCGGTATAATGTGCATCCGTCAACCCAGGCATCTCTATTGTACCCTAACTCAGACTCCGCAGCCTGCATCATTTTGTGTTCCAACCGAGACGGAATATACTTCGTTGTAAAATGACTGGACTTCTTTGTTGGCTCTGGAAATCTTGAAAAGAAGAGCCAAAACACAATCAAAGCCATCATAATCTTTGCTTGAGATCCCTTTATGTTTGGTCGAGATCCCTTCATCGTAAGATGTATGCAGGCACCTGTAATCTACAATACTAGTGGGATAGATGAGGATGACCGAATTCAAAATAGGTATACTTGCGGGTCAAGCGATTATGATACTATGACTTTTAGATGACCTCAGAAAGAAGAAAATAACGTCGCGCGATTCATTCTTGATCGGTCTACCGGTACCGGTACGTACAGTACTGTACCTGGTACGACTCACTAGGAGCGCAGGCTGACTAACTGACGGTCGTCTGAAATAAAGCACAGACAAACTAACAAATGGTATAGACAGACAGACCAAATTGCCATATTTCTATTACTTCATGATTACTATATTTCCATGGTTGATTGTAATTGCAACGCCTGTAAACATCCTATAGAGCACCACAGCTCTTGGTACAAACATAGGTCAGCGAGTCGATCGCTATCATAGGTGATACCGACAAGATCTGGTTGACTTGTTGTGCACCCAGAGCATGGTGTTAACCTCTGGTGATGAAGACGATTATGATTGGGAGGATGGCGAAATTGCCATGTTTGAAATGGAGGATGTGAATGCACATCTGCTTCTTCCTGAATAAAGCAGCGATTTTTTCTGTCATTGGCAACTCTGGCATCCATTGCTACAGTTTGCCGGATCGGAATAATGTGCCCAATACTGACACCCAGATCACCACTGGGTCTAATGTTTCTGGCGCTTTCCATGTCCTTTTCCTTTTGGATGTTCTGATGGTGTCGAGAAGAAGGAGATTCTTGAAGAACATACTCAATAATTGAGAATGGCAATGTCAGCGAAATCGCAGAAAGAAAGGTCGCACTTTTTGCAGCTAATGCCAAGCTACGCGCTCGCGCCAGAGTAATAAACATGCAACAACATTTGAATTGGGTCGCTTGTTGCCTCAAAAGTGCTGAAGGGAAAACCGGTGCGCCTATTCCTGTCCAGAAACCAGCTGTACTCAGAGATGTGGCCATAGGCGGGGGCAAAAGGAGTAACAATGGTGGTAACGACCATCTATGAGGAGATTCGTAGTTGAATATTTTTCAATGAAGTCACGTGTAATGAATCGAATCGCTGTGGGTAGTCCATATTATTTGAATAAAGATTCTAGCTCTCCTACTATATATTATTACAGTTACAAATCATGATACCGTTCTGCTTTTGCTGGATTACTCAAATCCAAATTGGACAGTTCGTACTGTTGCAATATGGCTCCATCTGGAAATCTACTACTTCCTTGACGTTGTTGACGTTGTTGTTGCCGCTTTCGTTGCAAATGATTGACATGGCACTTTGCCACTTTGACTTCCAATCGTTTGAGTACCGTCATCAATCGCTCCACAGGTGGAATCTGACAACAAGCAACATTGGGAAGGCTGGCTTGTTCGGGTGGTGGATAATAATAATAATAATTCTTGCCTCCGGCTTGATTGGGCGTAGAAGATATGGTGGCGGTCCCTGGTTCTGGAACGTCCAGTTGGTACGCCGAGCTACACGCAAAGGCATTTTGGTAGGCGGCCGAAAAGTAATCGTCTCGGGGTCGAATGTTGCGTTCCTCTTTTGGTTTCGGAAAGCAGGTTGTTGTCTCCTCTGTTTTTGAAGTATTAGGGTAATGTAGAATATCCGTCGAAACTTGACCCACCACGGATGCATTGTCCACATCGTCATCGTCATTTTCGTCAAACCCTTCTTCGATTCCAGCAAAATAATGATCCGACACTCCTTCTTGTCTCCTCGAGGAGTTGTTTTTGCTGCTGTTATTGTGTTTGACGACGGCTGGTGAGTTGGCAGCTCCACCCCATAACTTTTGTCGAATCTTGTTCAGTCGATTTCGAGAATGTACCACCGATGCTGACGACGCTGAGGTGGCAGTGGATTTTTCATCGTCTTCGTCAATAGTGGTATTACTACCACCAACGCCTGGACGAAACACACTATTGCGCAAGGTGTCTTCCAAAAACGAAAGAGATCGAATGGAATTTTGAATCTCCAAAGCAGGGACGACTGCAGTAACATTCTTATTGGTTGTCGTGTTCGTCGTCGTCATTTGAGCTGCTGCTTCCGACTGCCCCTCGCTCTTACTGTTGCTACTGCTGCTACTGCTGCTGCTGCTGCTGCTTCCCATGATCTTGGCAACCGATGATACTTGGGTCAGTTGACTTTCCAAATTTTGCAGTAATGATTTGATCTTTTGCGTCTGCGACAATAGTTCTGCTTGCTCTTGTTCTTCGTTTTGTTGTTCTCGATGATGTTGTTGTTGTTGTTGTTTTGGCGTTTGTAATGTTGCTGATGCTGATGCTATTGCTGATTGCTGATCTTCAGTAGAACTAGAAGACAAGGCGGCAGTCCTTTGGGTCAGTTCTTCTATTCCATAATTGCTTGCCATACTATTAGCCGCCACACTGCTAGTCCCTACAACGCTACCATCTGTTCCTGCAAATGCGCCCGTTTGATACATTCCAGTGGTGGTACCCGCCGCCTGTTCCGTAGCAGCGTTTGTTTCTAGCGCTACTGCTGTTGGTTCAGTCGTCCAAGTATCTTGTTCGTATGCCTGCACTCGTTGTGAGACGTGGCCATAGGGTGTGACAATTTGACTCAATTCCTTTCGGAGACTGGTACAAGATTGGTTGTCCATTATATCCGATGTAGAAGCATCCATTATTTGGGACCAATAGGCACTGCTTTGGGCAGTACTGCGAGCAGGTCCTCCAACACTGCTTCTGCTCTGAGCATCATCATCATCATCATCATCAATACTATCATGATTAGCATTCGTTTCTTGTTCGAAACGTTCTTGAGCATCCAAATATTGGGAGAAATTAATGCTACTGGCTCCGTCCAGATCGACACTACTTGTAGCGTCTCCAGTAGCCATCATTCCATGCTTTTCAAAGCCAAGACTACTGCTAGTACTAGAAGCAGAACTGGAACCAAATCGTTGGGTTTCCTTGTCGAGTTGTTCCAACAAAATGGATTCTAATTTTTGAATTTCGGCCAGGACTTCGCTGGATTGATCAGACGTGTCGTCATCACTGTACGCGGTGCTGGCCATGGAAGGAGCGTAATGATGGTTGTTGTTGTGAGGATGATGAGGATGCTGATGTTCGGACATTTGTCTTATTCTTATCTTCTTGTTGTTGTTGTTGTTGTTGTTGTTGTTGTTGTTGTTGTGTTACCGTAGCGGTACCGGTATGTTATTTGCAAAAAATGATGCAAGTCGTGAGGCCGACCATACTGGTGGGCGTCACACATAGAAGAAATGAGCCGGGCATGGTCGCAGCATGCCAAAGGTGCCATGCTGGTGTTTGTCGGAGAAGACCCAACGGATATGGATTACGCATGTCTGTCTGTTCTTAGTCGGAGGAATGAATCAGTGCGTCGTTGACCAATACGATCCGAAGAATGCGAACGAATGAATCAATCAATCGATCAATCATCACTCAGTTTCGAAATGGCCTGCGGACAAACATGCGATATATTTTATTCACACGATCGATTGCAACATTATTATACAGTAGTATAAGGGTGTAGTGCGTTTGCTTTACCTACTATTCCAATCCATTAGCAAATCAGCAACTCGAGGCACCCTTTCGCCTTTATTACACCACGCCACACTCATTTATCATATCAATCACAAAACAAAGAAATGTCTGCCAAATATTCTCAGCTTTCCATACCCGAGTCTGCGGAAGACTTTGACGATGAAGAACTTCCCAGCAATAGCACTAGTAGCACTAGTCCCAAAAAGAAGACGAGTATCATTTGTGGGTGGACCTTTTGGATGCTCATTCTACTCATGGTCATGACAGTTGGTGGAGTGGGATTTGTAATGCTTCAGGATGATCCCAATCATGACTTGTTGGCCACGCTTAGTCTCGGAGACGAAGAACAAGAAGGCTCCATCGCAGCAGCCGCCGCAACAAATCAACAACAGATTGATGACAGTAGCGATTATGTTGTTAGCAGTAGTAGCAGCAGCAGCAGCAGTAGTGATACCGATAGTGACAGCAGCAGTGGAAGCAGCAGTAATGACATGACTGTTGAGAGCAGTGCTGAAAGTGCTGACAGCAGTAACGGGGAGGTTGACAGTGATACCAGCAGCAAGGGTGCTGACATGAATGGTAGTGCTGATGAGGATGCTATGATTGATGAACGCGACGATGATACTATTGATGAGAGCGAGATCCCGACTGAGAGTCCACCGACAGATAATAATGATGAGGGTGATGATGATGATGATGATGATGAGAGTGCTGATGAGGCTATTCGCAGCGATGACTACATTCCATCTGAATCTGCCGCAGAGGACAACAATAACACGGAAGGTGCAGAGGCAGAAATAAACCCCTCTGGTGCAGCAGATGACACTACCAAACATGATGTGGATGAGGATGACGAGGAGGAAGCCGCAATTATTGCCTCGCTCCAAAAACGCCTAAAACCCAAACAATTGCAATTCGTCAATTCAACATCCAATGACTTGAGGCTTCATCAATTCCTTCATTTGCACCAAATGAAAACGGGTGGGACTAGTTTGGACCATTATTTGAGATGTGCTTTGGATCGATTGCGTGCCTTTCAAAACTTGACCATCCAATATGGTAACATTCACGAATGTTCGCCACTACGCTATTACAAATGCCGCGATGGGTTGGATCCAAATTGCATGTGGCGACTCACCAATGCTTCCTTCATGTCCTATTGTGCGCCCCTTAAGGATTTGCCAAAGTTCCAATGGTCGTCACCGCAAGATGACATTCGGGCCATTACCGTATTGCGGAATCCAGTCGATCGAGTTTGGTCCATGTTTCGATTTCAAACCAAGAGTTGCTACTATTGGTGAGTATTACATCTTGCATCGTTTTCATTCCCATTTATTTCGTGCACTCACTCATGTCATCATTATGTAATTTTCTTTTGTTCTTCGCTCGTCATTATCATTGCAGTATGAATCTGACGGATGTCTATGATCTCATTGATAGGAATGAAACACAAAACTTTAAAGACATTTGTCTGAAGCAACTCATGAATCACGAAACGGCCAACATGCTAAGTCATTCCGAACTCCTTCCCCACGAGAATGCAATCTATCAACAAGAACCACAAGCTACTGACCTGGTCACTGAAGCGGTGGACAATATGAAGTCTTTCTTTACGGCCATTGGATTGACGGAAGAATTGGAACAGTCCGTCCAATTGTTTAGCGAAATTTTCCCTTGGTTCCAATCGGAGGTTGGTTGGTCCGAACGAACCTGCGCATTGACCCATGACAATTCGTCACCATCGAACAATCGTTGTATTGACGACAAGACACATTGGGACTTGCCATCGCATCCAGATGAACATACACGCAAGGTCATTGAAGAGCACAATCAATTGGATATGGCTGTGTACCAAGCGGCGGTCAAACATTTTCAACGGGAAAACATTGCTGTCTTTCGGTCGTGATAAGGGATGGAATATGAAAGGAAGCAGTAGTAGTACTAGTAGTAATAATAATAATAATAAAAAAGTACCACTTGTATTCATACCGTAGTATAGATTGAAATGGAGAGATAGAATGTGGACCGCACAGTAAATAGAAAATAAGTTTATAGTCATATTCCTAACCTCCGGGTAACTTCTCTATAATAACATTATCATCGCCTCGCACTGCATTTTATTGTTATTGTTGCCACATCAATTGCGAATCTCCCTGATAGCCAATAGCATCATCAATAGCCGAATCTAACGGATAAATCTATGAGCTGAAACGAAGCCGCCGATCTGAGCTCATCCCACTGTCAGATCAAGGCGCATATCATAAAAGGTCAGTAGCGGAATATTTTTTATAATATATAGTCTTAAATCGTCGTCATTGAAGCTCATTGACGCAGTTATCGAGCATTGCCTACAAACTTGGGACAAAGGGTTTGACACAAAGAAACTCACAAAGGGCGGGCGAATCTACGATATCCTTTTATCATAGATATACATATTGAATATATTTCAGAACAAACAACATTTCATCATCGTTTCTGAAAACCATCATGCCCACATTGCAGAATCATCATGAGTCCGCATCAGCTTATCTACCATTGTCGTCAACTCAACAAACCAGTAGATCTATAAACAAGGGCCCAAGCCTAAAAGTTGCCTTGTCGGTTGCTTCGATTTTGCTAGTTGCCATACTGGTCGTTCGATCATTTGCGACATCATCATCATCACCCGTCGTCTTGTTCATCAGTTCGGGCCTACTGTTTTCGGATCCAGCAATAAGCTCGACACGTTCGCTGTCATCCACAACAACAATGGAGGTAGGAGGATCATCGAAGTCGTCGGCCACTGGAAAACACAAATTGAAGGACGATGTCATGTCCTTGTACCTGAATCATGCCTCCACTGGGAACTCGTACTACCAATTGATACCAGAATGTTTGGACCCCATCCAACCACTCGACTTTTTGGACATTGGACGTAAACTGGGGTCCCAAAAGGTCATGGGAAACTTTGAATTGGAAGACTGCCTGCAAGAAGATAAGACCAATTGCGCTCGATCCAACCAAATAAAGGAAACTTGTCGGACCTGGAGTTTCTACTACGATTCGATCTACAACCATTGGTTACAACCAAAGTTAGCACGAGACGACGCCGAACCATTTCAAGCCGTGGAGATTGGATTCTTTCATGGAATTGGTCACGAGGCTCTGTCCCAATTTTTACCAAAGGCACAAGTGCATTCACTGGAAATATCATGTTTGCCAGAGGGACCACGCGAAGAAGGAAAGTGGCCATGGGGAAACTTTGCAGCCAACTCGAATCAATACGACAATCTCATTTCCAAGAAGCGGTTGCATTGTGGGGACGCCTATAGTTATGATTTCTTGCATTCCACCTTTTCGCAGCATATTCATTTACCGGATGCACCACCTCTTCGAGTGGTAGTAGAAGATGGATCATATCAATCTCAAGACATGGCGGCAAGTCTCTTTTTTTGGTTTCCACGATTGGAGCCTGGTGGAATGTTCTTTGTGGAAGGGATTCGACCAGATGATAATGGGGGTCATGGCCCCGCGGACCAGTTCAAGACTCACATTGTACCCCAAGTGATGAAGGATCTACATTGGTGCGGGCACAGCAGTACGGAAGAACCACAAACTGATGGTGGTGGTGTCAAAGATCCAGATCTATGTTTTCCACAACTACAGCCATATCTGCAAGGAGTCCATTGTGAAATGCACATTTGCGTCTTTGTTCGCAACAATCGTCCAGCGGCAGATCCTCCAAAAGAATTGTCCACAGTACCACCCAATGCCTTTGAGAATGCCAGCAAATGTCTCTTTGGCAGATGATGACACGAACATTCGGATGCCCATTACAACTGGACGGCACAAAAGGGACGCACTGAATGTTTTTCATTCTTGGTTTGATTTGATATGAAATGACAGTCAAGAAGTGCAATGAAATCAGGAACTATGCATAGTCAAGGATACAATATATGTATTGCCAAGGCATGCACAATCATGATTGACAATGATTGAGAAGAGATGTTGAGGGCCCATGTAGCGTATATAGTCAAACTGCTGATGCGCAAATAGATTCCGCTGGTCGCGGGAAGGTTGGATACGGTAGAAACTGAATAAGAGAATAAACTACGCTATGAAAAAGGGTTAAGCGTTACTATACCCTTACAATAGAGGATGAATGATACAGTATTATACAGTATTATACATACCGTACCTCTAGCAGCTACTATTATTCACTCGAATTCACATCCACATTCACATCTGACATCGTCTTGCAGTCAGCCCTTCCCCGTCCGTCATTGGTTACACCATCCATTTTCACATTCTCTCCAAATATGCGCTAAACCAAGGAGGCTATTTGTTTTTGCCAGCAGGCAGGTATGTACCGGTACCGGTATGTACGCGTCCCGCACCACCACATGTAGAAGTCCTGACCATATATAAATTTTAAAAAAGAGGCGCAATTATCTCACAGGCCACATGAAGAAACCACAAACATGCATTATGCGATATGCTTTTTACTCGTATGATATTAAAAACCAGACCTCAATATTAGTGCTGAATGATACTCGTACAGTATAGAATGACGAGTACCCCATAATATACTCAGTCCTTAATATTCAATAGCTTGATATCCACAACGCAAAATGACAGAATGTTTTCAATTTTGCAGCGCCTCATCAGGGAACTCAATAAGCTCGAGCAATGATGGAGCTACTTATTCTGTGAAGCATCATCATCAAGATCATAATGGCGGCGATAGCCCAAACATAATGCTGAGCGCTGAAGATCGGCAAAAGAAAAAAGAAATGGATTCACTTCTTTCAGAGGCCATGAAGACACTGACATTCAAAGAGCAACAAGAACAGCTCGAGGCGCTTCATGGGGTGGCACACGAGATGACAGAGGAACCATCCTTGATAGAAAATGCTATTCGAGATCTTGATGATTGTCTGAAGACTACAAAAGAGGGTACTGCGTACGAGGCAGCAGAACGAAGGAGCAATGAATATGTCAGTAACAGACCCTTCCGACTCATGTTCCTAAGGGCTAATCGATATGACTCAAAGGCTGCCGCTGATCAAATGCTCATGTTCTTTGAAGCCAAACAAAAACTATTTGGAGCCGAGAAACTTGTCAAAGACATCACAATGAAAGACCTTGACGAAGATGACCTCGCATGTCTTAGGACTGGTTGCTTTCAGCACATTGGATACGATCGATCCAACAGAGCGGTCGTATTTCAGGGCCCAGGCCTTCGAGCATTCAGGATCCTCGACAACGAATTGCGTTTAAGATACTATCTTACTATGCGATTGTTGAGATCAGAAGGAGTACAACGGCGAGGAGCAGTTGCAATCAGGTACAGTGTCGGCAATCTGAAGGACAATAAGAATGGTGAAGGTTATTTGGAGCATATTCGTCTCCGAAAGTCACTTCCGATTCGTTACGAAGGAGTCCATGTGGCTTCCGATGATCCACGCCAGGTCCTCCTTGCCAATGTCGCTCTCGCAGCAATGGGTTCCAAGTTACGTACACGGTACCGAATTCATCATGGCTCTCATGTTGAGTGTCTCTACAAGCTTGCTACGTATGGAATCTCGGCAAAAATCCTTCCTCTAACAGCAACCTATGACATCGACCTAAAGCTGCATATGGAGTGGTTCCAATCCTGCCTCATGGACGATATGAGCTCCCACTTTACTGCAGCTCAGTCACCCATATTGACGACGGAACTAAATGCCAATGATGCACTCTTCATGTGCTGCAAAAAGAGTCACACATCGGGGAATGATCGACTCCGAAAGCTTGTGAAGGAAACGTCAGGCATGTACGATGCTGGCAATTACGAAACGAAGAAAAGCATTGCGGATAAGGTGATCAATGAGATCCAGGAACCAGGAGGTCGGTTCTTACAGCATGTTAAGGGGTCCGTTGCAGTATGGGAAGTGCTGCCGCCAAAGGAGATTAGGGCAAAAACCACACAACTCTTTCGAAACTACAGACGGTCTAGCTCGAAAAACAACGTCAAGGAACGAACTCTGGTTTCTGCTGGTGCACTTCCGAATGATGTGGTATTTGGCAGGTCGGAACGAAATAGAGGGACCAATTTGCTGCATTGCCTCATTAAAGATCGATTCGAAGAGTATGAGGCGCTGAACCGTGGCAAAAAGCTGATTGTCGTCAACTCTATCGTTGATCAGCTCAAGGGCGAAGGAAGTCGCTTCCTGCAGCCTACCAAAGACTTTCGGGGGTACGTGGAATTGTCAGACGAATTGGTTCGCAACCGAGTATCCAAGTATTTTCAAAACCATCGACGCCGGAAAAGTTCAAGCTGTTAGAATGAGGCTTGTGCAAGAGGTTGTATTTTATTTTAACGTTAATGTTTCGCACATAAAAAATAACAGTAAGTATAGTGATATATATGGATCATACCTACCAGCAATGCGATTCTATTATCCGCAAGATGCATCGTCGATACATCTCATGCGTGTACAAACCAAAACTGCGTAGCACGCGTATTTTTGGTCAGTGCGCACAGAGTGAGTGATGTGAATATGCGTTGCACGTTGACTATAATCACTGCACACTTCATCACCTTCCATTCCTTTTTTAAGACATCAGTTATGAGCTATATACCGGTACTGCCGAATGTCCAACACAATTAGCCATTTCTATTAATTCTAATATTTTAAAAAATATAGTATAACGAGAACGAATGCAAGACAATAATGATGAAGATCACGAGGATGATGATGAAGTCGTCGTCGGTTTACCAGACGATTTGTCACAGCCATCGAAAGCTCGAACCATGTTCTTGATGCGTCTCAATATAGCGGCATATCCCCTCTGTGTTGAGAAGCTTCAGCATGGTCATCATTGTTCGTATTCCGAGGATACGCTGAAGAAGGTCCTGGAACATGGCCAATCGCTTTATGGATCCAACGTTACAACGTTTGAAGAAGAACTGCAAGCGGTGAAAGACTTTGAATCTCATAATTGGGTATTGTTGAAGCAGCTACAGGAGCAAAAGCAGCTTTCGTTCCGAAGTCGTTCGATACCAGAAGAAACTGCTGAATTTGATATTGGCGTTTCTGCAGTGGAATGGGAAATAAGGAATGCGACTACCATTTTGGTCTTTCGAGGAACCTTTACTCGCTGGGATTATGCCAATATTGAGCATTGGATGATGGATTATGCATTGGAAAAGTCCACTGCTCGTATGAAAGAGGCATGGGTCAACGATGCCGGTTTGGAATGGACGAAGGAGATGCAAGATCGGTCGGAGAACCATGACGACACATGGGAAAAAGTGGCACTGCGTGCCCACCAGCTTTTGAATGAGGAGAAGTTTCCAGAAGAACTGGAGAAAATCTTGGCTTCAAATGCGTCTTTAGAAGAAAGCTTGGGCGGCGATGATGGCAATGGCCACGCTGGATTGACGTTAGAAGATGCCAGAGGAACTGGATACTGGAAGCTCACCAAACACATCGTCGATCAAGTCTATGCCGAGACGCTGGCTAGGAATCAATCGTTGATTCTGACAGGTCATAGTCAAGGTGCCACTCGCGCCCAATTGGCGAGTATGTATCTTCAGAAAGAGTATGGAGTTCAGATTCCAACTGTCTCCTTTGCGGCGACTGGAGCGGCTTGCATGGCACGATTGTTGTTTGATACTTCAGCCAACTTACTACAAGATGTTGATCCCTATTCTGGACATGATCAAATCGTCGAATACGTCCATCCATTGGATGTTTGGGGAAACTCGATGCTTGGCGAAGATGGGACAAGGACCTGTTTCATTTCTAGCAAAACAACCATGGAAATGATTCCTATAGCAAATGAAACAACCGCAACAGACCCGGCGCAAGAGTATTGTTCACAAGTCTATGGTTGGCCAGGTCCGATTCTTTTAGCGAACGAACACAGTCCAATACTCGTGGATGAAGAGTTGAAGCGGAACTTTCAACGATGTCGATACTTTACCCATAACACTGTCGCAATATTCTCGGCGCTGTCGTACTCGCTGCGGGAGAATGGAGCGACCGCCATTCGAAATACTACTGCAACTAAGACAGTAGGAGGTTGTGCCGATGCCAAGCTCATTCCAAAAGCCGATCCTGATGGAATTTGTCCAACAGGTCACATGACTAGTCAAGAAGAAGAAGCCTTTGGTCTACTGCTGGCAATAGTCCTTGTGACTACCTTTTTATCTTTTGCGCTCTGCTACAAATGTTGGATTCGAAACCGGCAGATTAGAGGATATCAAGCATCTTTCAATGCTGACGAAAGCTTTGATCGTGCGGAATCACGGGACACTGCCAGTATCGAGTTACCCGCGCTTACCTAGACACGATGTAGGAATAATTGTTCACATCCTAAGCTTCACTCGCCCCATTATAGGGCTTGCAAGTATTATATTAATATGACAAAGTCTATTTTTTTTAAGTGTTACTTTGAAATTCTAGGCGTTGTGTACATATTTTCCCAAGGAAAACCATATCAGACTCAGCCTGACTCTTACTCTGACAGCCTGACTCTTACTCTGACTAAAAGTCAAAGTCTCCGACAATTGGCACCGTCAAATCAAGACTACTTCCGCCATTCTTTTTCTTGATTCGTCTATGATTTCTAAAACACTTGGAAATCTTAGATCTTGCAAAATCATTGGCCACTTCTTCCCAATTGCCATCAGATTGCTGTTGGAGGAATCTTCCTCCTTGTTCGCGTATTCGCTGAACAATGGAATCGGCAATGGTCCATTTTTCACCTCGGCCCGCGGAATCATAATCCTTTGCCAAGTCCTTTACCAAGCTCATCATGAGTTGATTCCCATGTCCCTTGTTGTTTCTTCCTAGTACCACATCGTTACGACCTGGTCGCTCCACGACCATAGGATCATTGCTGCCAATTGCAGATGCAAAATGATGTTGTTTTTGTTCCACAATGCTAGTATCCGACATGATGGTATCCATCTGTTTTTCAACAACAAATTGGTGGCCACCAGTGTCTCGTGCCAGACAGTCATTGTACCATCGCATGTGCCGGTCCAAGATAGCGTCATTCGTCTTTGGATGCAAGGGTAGTTTGCTCGACGGTATTCCATACGTCGACAAAATGTAGTGGATCTCCATGTGCGAGCCCAAGTGCAATCGTATACGGGATCGATCTTTGACGGGAATGACTGCCATGGCAGCGGAGCCCAAAATGTACTCTTTCGGATCACTCACGCAATTGTGGAGCGCTGCTTTGTGAAAGGGAAGCGCAAGTACCTGTCTCACCAACTCCACATACCCGGTGCCATTCATACAATCGCGATATCGCCCAATGGCATAGGTAATGGACACAATGCCCCTTCGTTGTGCCTGTTCGGACTTTAAGAGTTCCATGGCCATGTAGTATCGAGCTCGTAACTCATTCTGAAGACACTTGAAGGCACGGAGTCCTGGCAAGGCGAACCAAATAGGACGTCCTGCACGATCTGTTTCCGTGACCTGAACGCTACCTGCTCTCATGAAAGCAAGGTCATCCTCATCTAAATCTTCAATCGTGATATCCTTGGTGAGCTTGTCTCTTCCAAACAATTGATGCTTCATATCAAAAAAGCGGATCATCTGATCTGCTGCCGCTTTAGCATCAAACCGGTTGCCTCGCAAGAACATGAGTCGAAAGGCCTTGTCTGAAACATAGGAAACATCTAAAGACTCTGCCATCTGATAGGAACTTCCGACTCGTTTGATTTTCTCTAGATGACAGTGCAAAGTTTCAAAGGCTTCACTGAGCATTTGCGCATTCTCCGGAATTTCTGTGGCAACTCCATGAAGGACTTCTTGTTGTCTTTGTCGTTCGTCAAAGCTTAAACTGGTCAAAGCATGTGCAATCAACGAATCCATCTCGTATTCTGTATTATTCGATTCCCTATTGTTTCCTACTGTGTCTTTTGGATTAGATCCAAAAGGAGAAGAAAACGAGAAACATGATGATTGGTCAGGCTGAAGCTGAAGGTGATTTGGGAAACTACTCATCAAGGAAGTACTGTGTGGCTGAGAGTTCTGAAAGTATCTGAGGTATTCTACAGTAGATGGTCTATAAACTGACAATGCAGGTACGCGAGAGTAAATAAATCGCACTGTAGTATTCCAGGGAAAATAGCGCATACTATGATACTAGTATGCCGGTATGTACACGTTAATTCCGTTCCATCTCCGTTCATCTATCAAGTGAGAAAAGAACTGGACTTAACAAAAAAGAGGGACGACAGACTTTCGGCACTCAACCACACACACTTGTGCCTCGTTCAGCAATAAGTGTCTTCATCGCGGATACAATACGCCGAGCTTTTCGCCACTTCGATTGGGTAAGAAAAATGCCGAAAACTTTGGGCCGACGAGTTTTCCTTGCGCGTCGTCACCAATAAATGTATAGAGAATCAAGTCATAAAACACCAACTTCAACAAGTCATTATGCACAATACAATAGTCTTGTGATAGTTACACTAATCAGCTAATCAGGTTACACTAATCCGGTTGCACTATAATCAGGTTACAATATTGCATCATGGGAGAGTACTCTTATTCTTGGTCCGCCGACTGTTTCGAAAACATTTCGCTACCTTGGATCTTGCAACCTCATTCGGTATCTCTTCCCACCCCCCTTCTTCCAATGGTTGGACGAATCGACCACCTTCACTCTTGATCTGTTGAACGATGGAACCCGCAATGCGTGATTTCTCACCTCGTGTGGCTCCATCATATTGGTCACCATACTTCTTGACCAATAGTAGCATCGTGTCGTTTCCCTTTCCCTTGCCAATTCGACCAAGAACTACATCGTCTGGGCCTGGGCTATCAATCAATGGCAATATGGATAACTCACCTCCTATTTGTTGACCACCACCACGACTTGTCTCGTGATGATTTTCAGCAATACGAAGTCCCGTGTTTCCTCTGGGTCGTCGATAGTTACGAAACATCTGGGATACCTTGGACCGGATTCGGTTCTTCGTCAGTTCTATATATCCGCCAGAAGCCTCATCCATTTTCAAGAATCGTCCTCCTTTGTCTTCGACGTTTCGAATGACGTCTTCAATCACTTCTCGCTTCCCCATGTTACTACCTGCATCATAGGCGACGGACTGTTCGCGGATCAAAGCCCGGACCAGTTCATTCCCTTCGTGCTTGACGGTTCGTCCATAGTCATATAAAACATCGTATGGCTTGACATCTGATGCCATGATCACCAAAGCATTACTACCTGGATCGTTAGTAATGGCTGTGGTGCTGATGGTGGAAGCATCCATGGAAGAAGTGTCCATGACATCATCCGTTTCTCTGACCAACGCCGCTTCGTACCATTGCAAATGATGATCAAGTCTTACTTTATTGGACAGTGGCGTGATTGGGAATAGTGTGGGGGAAATACCATAGGTCGAAAGAGTGTATTGAGTCTCTAGATGGGAACCAAATTGGATGCGAACACGAGACCGAAGAGATGCGGGGATGACCGCCAAAGCAGCCTTTCCGAGTATTTTCTCCAGATGTGTGCCGACGCAATTATGAAAGCTAGCATGATAAAAGGGAATCGCCATCATCAGCTTGACAACATCCACATATCCTTCCCCCTGCACACTATCGCGAAATTCTCCAATCGCATAGGTCACTGTTACGATGCCCTTTTTCTGAACCTCTTCTGATTTCAATAGAATCGTTGCCATGTAAAACCGAGCTCGGAGTTCGTTTTCGATAGATTTGAATTTGCGCAAACTAGGCAGTTGAAACCATATGACGCGGCCCATCCGATCTTTCCCGATCAATTGGATGGTTCCTGTCTTGAGAAAGTCTCTATCGTCTTCATCCAAGTCTTTCAGGGTGATCTGCTTTGTCAGTTTCTCTTTTCCAAACAGACGCTGCTTCATCTCCAAAAACCGAATTACTTGATCTGCTGCAGCCTTTGTATTGTATTCATTTCCTCTCAGAAACATGAGTTGGAATTTTCGGTCGTTGACAAAGGAAGATTCCAATCTCTCCGCAGTTTCGTACGCGGTTCCGGCCTTCAGTTTCTCTAAGTGTCTCAGCAATTCCAAAGTGGCACCACTAGTCGTCTCATCGTTTTCCTCAATTCCCTCAATTCCTGTGGATACACCATGGACAATCTCAAGATGTCTTTGACGTTCTTCGAACGTGAGACCATTCATGGCAGAGGCCAATAAGTTGTCAATTTCCTTGCTCTCGGGTGCGTCCGATAAATTCGTATTTTCTTGCACTTTTGAAGATGCAGGATGCCCAAAGCGAAAGCCGAAGCAAGCTGATGGCCCATTGAATGGTTCGTTTAGCACGCTACTGGCTGCACTCACACTCATAATGTTGAGTGAGTGTCACTACCGGTATGCCTGCTTATTGTGCGGTGTCTATCTACTCATTGAAAAATTTCTTGGCGTGCAATGTGCGATTTGCGGTTCCAATTATATAACTTGCGAAAAAGCCGCAATCGTGGTGGTGTGGTGGCTCCTCTTACATATATGCATTCTTGAACATTGTGATCACGGCTTCTTATCGAATTCATCATTTCAGTCTTTTTAGTAGTAGACTAGACATTTCTAAAAAGCCCTCCTTTATTACTCGTAAAAAATGGGTCAGAAACCTGGGACATTTTCATCCATTTTTCGGTCACACAATGCACAACGTTCACATGATGATTCAGCTTTAGGATAGTGTTTTAGAGATCGTCCATCCCGCCATATCATCATGCGGTGATCGACATCACGGATCCTCTGGCTATAAAGATGTTCAGTTCAATCCTTCAGCTAGCAAAATCATATAGTGCTAGGCAGCATATTAAAAATAAACTTTGAGGATATTATCGTGAAGCAAACGAAATGGTTCATTAGGCGTTATTTTTTTTAGTGGATGGCCGTCTATTGTTTCGAAAGTACTTTGATATTCTGGAGCGAGCCATCTCGTTGGAAACTTCCAGCCATCCACCAAATTCTGGGGTCGGTTGGAGGAATCTACCACCCTCACTTTTGATCCGATGAACGATAGCATCCACTACTTTCACCTTCATTCCACGATCTAAAGAATCGTACTCCTCTGCTCGGTTTTTGATTAGATGAGTCAACAGATCATTCCCTCGACTCCGTTGTGACTTTCCAAAGATGACATCATCTGGCATTGGATCGTCTTGAATGAAGGAAGTACCACCCTTCTTGGATTCATCTGGTCGGCGGCGATGATTGCGAAATGCTTGCGTGATTTTGGCCCTAGAGTCGTCCAACGACAATATTTCCCATTGAGCATTCGAGTCTTTCACCTGCTTGAGGAAGCGTCCTCCATTTTTGGTAACTTGGTTGATCATGGCATCGACTACTGTGCGCTTCTTTTCGTTCGTTCCAGTATCGTAGACTTGGGCAAGCTCCTTTACCAGGACTCGAAGACGTTGGTTTCCAGCGTTGTTGCTCTTCTTTCCTCCAATATACAGAACATCATTGATGCTTGTAGATGATGTCATGGTTTCGTTCGACTTGAATTGTTCTGCGCTGTTGGAGCTGGCAACCCGCAATTGTACCCAATGTAAGTGCGATGCGAAGGTGATTTCGTCGCTATTAGATGAAAACGGAAGGAGCTGTGGCAAGATCCCATAAGTGGAAAGCAAATACAAACATTCCAAATGCGAGCCTAGATGAATGCGAAAGCGTGATCTTAGCTTTGCCGGCATCGCTGCCACGGCCACCGAGCCTACTAAATGCTGAGAAATATCTGAGCAAACAAAATGGTTGGAGGCCCAATGTATTGGTAATGACTGAAATTCAACAGATTGTTGTTAGTCATGATGCGATTATTAGAAAGCACAGGAAGAATCAAAATCGCGTACCATAGCAAGGTATGTGTGCTCCAGATACCCCCCTCCTTCGTTCTTATCCTTGTATGCGCCAACAGCGTACGCAACATTGACTGCGCCCTTGAGTTGAGTTTCTTGCGACTCCAACCCGCTCATGCACATGTAATACCGAGTCCGCAGCTCGCTTCGTAAAGGCTTTCCCTTCAACCTTAAGCCTGGAGAGGCAAAAACGATCTGCCTGTTCGACCTATCCCTCCCCGCCAACTGAATGGATCCTGCGTTCATCACTGCCATGTCGTCTTCATCAAAATCTTCAAGCGTAATATCCTGCACCAACTTTTCCGTTCCGAATAACTTCTCTTTCTGTGCGAAGAATTTTAGCATTTGATCAGCGGAAGCCTTTGTATCATAACGATTCCCTCTCAGAAACATGATTCGGAAGGCTCTGGCATGGACATATTCAGGATTCATGGTTTCTGCCTTCTCATACACAGTTCCATGTTTGATCCGTATCAGGTGGTTGTCTAATTCCTTCAGTGCAGTTTCAATGATGATGCATTCCTCAGCTATTTCTTGTTCCACGCCATGCAGAACTTCTTGCTGTTCTTGCCTTTCTTCAAACGTCAGCGTATTCATTGCTTCTGATAAGAGAAGGTCCATCTCTTGTTGCTTTCGCATCTCTTCTGCTGTCATTCTGTCTCTGTGTCGCTGCGCTGAAATGGCACTACTAGGTCCGGATGCGTCGATTTTCATGCCACAGCAGTTGGGCGTACCGGTATGGCTGAATGATTGATCAAAGATGCTCATGGTCGATATTATATGAGTCATCTGCGTGCCTGAAAACTTTGGTAGAATTTCCGGAGATTGAAAATGCGGTCCATAACCGCGAACTATTTTTTAAAATATTTTTTATATATCAGGAATACGTGTATTAATACGTATGCAAAGAATGTCATTGCAGTGATAGTTCGACCAACTGAGTATCGCGTGTTCATTACAAAACTATGCCCCGCGAAGCCTTCGAATGTAAAAAAGTTCCTCGCTATTTGCTGACTTGAAGTTTCTTCGTCGAACGTGACCGAAAATTCCTCTCGCGAAAGCGAAAAAACCACGGCCTATGAGACAAGGAGAACCTCTTTATGGGTATTGTGAAGCCGTCCTCACAAAATATTCCAGAAGCGCTCATCTACCAATATCCCGATTATTTGCACTGTTACTGACCCATCTCCCTCAGCTTTCAAGTATACCGGTATACTAGGATTCATCATAGTAATACAACGCTATAACAGCTTGTTTCCACCTTTGAAATCTGTCAGTTTCTCTAACCTTTATTGAGGCGCTTGGTTGCATATCAAACTTAAATTTATAGCTAGCATCGTAGACAATTTTTAGCAACAGCCAATAGCCAATCGTCCATTGGCTTCTTACGTCCCCACCTTCACCTTTGACGTCCGTCGATTATTCCGGAAATACTTTCTGATTCTACCCCGAGCAGCCTCATTTGACACCTCGGTCCACCCATTTCCGTCTGGCGTTGGCAATAGAAAGCGGCCACCTTCGCTTTGAATTCTACCGATAACTGTATCTATGACTTTCACCTTCATTCCTCGATCCAAGGCATCGTACTCCTCGGATTAATCTTTGATGAGATGCTGTAGTAACTCACGCCCTCGATTTTTTTGCGTCTTGCCAAAGACGATATCGTTTGGGCCAGGGGAGTCGGCGATGGGGTTTCCAATTGCTTCCTTCTGTTGGGTAGCATTTGGTCGACGCCTATGGTTCCTGAATGCCTGTGCGATTTTCTTCCTCGTTTCCTCCACGGTCAGCTCGCTCCAAGGTTGTGGCCCTTTGACCTGTTTCAGAAAACGTCCTCCAGACTTGTGAATATCGCTGATCATTCCATCTACTATCACTCTCTTTTTGTCATTCACAGCAGAACTATATGATGGTGTTAATACCTTCACGAGAGATCGAAGGCGGAGATTCCCCACATTGTTGCTCTTCGTGCCCCCGAGAAACAGGACGTCATCGGGCGTCTCTGATCTGACGAGCAGATCGGATTGCTCCGATATAGTACTATTTTTGGGGGAAGCCGTTAATAATGAGTGGAACCAATTCAAGTGACGTTCAAGGCGAAGGGCAAATGTCATGGGATCAAGCGGTATCAAACCAGGGTGTATCCCGTATGTTGACAGCTGATACTGGCACTCCACATGGCTACCATAATGCGAGCGGAAGCGAGCCCGAAGCTTCACAGGCATCGCTTTCACTACAGTGCTGGCAAGCAAATATTCCGCATATTCGTCACAGCACATTAGATTGGCTGCAATGTAGATTGGAATTGACTATATACATATGACCAAGAACGCAGCAGTGTCAGTTGGAACCAAACCATAATCAGGAGAACAGCAGCCAGGACAGAAACAAAATATCGTACCATCGCTAAACGCATATTTTCCAGGTATCCCCCTCCCTCTTTGCTATCCCTATATTCACCGACGGTGTAGGTAATTGCCACCGCCCCACGTGTTTGGACTTCTTCAGACTCCAACGCAATCATGGTTAAGAAGTACCTTGCCCGCAACTCATTCTGTATCATTTTGAAGTTTCGGATGCCTGGAAATTGAATGATGATTTGTCTATTCGACATATCCTTCCCACCAAGCTGCAAACAACCTGACTTGAGAAAGTCTAGATCATCCTGATCCAGATCTGCAATCGAAATGTCTTTTACCAACTTTTCGGTTCCGAATATCTTTTCTTTCTGGGCAAAGAATCGGATCATCTGGTTTGCCGCTGCCTTGGCATCGTATCGGTTCCCTCTCAGAAACATTAGGCGGAAAGCTCTAGCATGAGCATAAGCTGGATTCATAGTTTCTGCCTTTTCGTAGACGCTTCCTCTTTTAGTACGATTCAGATGGTCGTCTAATTCCTTCAGTGAATTCTCAATAAGAGCTGCTTCTTCTTGAATCTTGTCATCCACCCCGTGTAAGGCGTCTTGCTGTTCTTGCCTTTCTTCAAACGACAGTTTATGAAAGGCATCTGAAAGCATGCCTTCGATTTCTCACTTCTTCTGATTATCCTCATGGGATAGCACATGCTGAGAATTTGTCTGAGTTTTTCTTATGGATAAATCAAAATTGGAAGGCTTTGAAGTCCCCGTAGTGCAGAATCCAAAACAGCCATGGCTCTCTTGCAGTAGTTGTGGTTCATGGTTTTATGCGAGATGAGAGATGCGATGATGGTGGTGATGATGATGTGGCGATTTTTGATTGCGGGGATATTATTGTAATATAATATGCGTTCCACACGGACAAACTTTCTTCTTGTTAAAAAAACAGCTTGCCGGTATTTTAAAAAATGCACCGGTACACGTACAAGTACATTACTATGACATTTTAAAAAATATGGCAACGGATTGCGGGGGAGTGAAGCGAAATCAGGGGGAGCAAAAAGATTATGGTCATTGTCAGATCTCATCTCATCCCACCGTGCACACTATCTATCGTACGAGTATACTATAACCATCGCATTGTATATTGTCATCATCTCATATACCGGTACATATAAAATATCATCACCATCATCATCATCACACCAGCTGAACTCTATCATCAGATTAGGTGGGATATTCTAGAAAAGTGCTCGTGATATGCCACGACGCAAGACGTCTATCCAGAAGAATGCAAATAAGAGAGGAAGACTCACCAGCATCAACGAACGCCGCCCATTGACGGACCATGTGGACGACTATGACGAACACAAGGACAATGATGATGAGGATGCAGAATTGGCCAAGAGGCGCCAGCAGTTTTTCTTTCAAGCTCTTCGACGGGGTATTAGAGACTTGAAAGTTGGGAAGAAACCTGCAGCCAAGAAGCGCATTTACAAAAGGACGCTGCGGATGCGACCTTGTGCCAAACAGGGATTGTTCTGGGGTCCCATACTGATTCTGGTCTTGGAGTGGTATCTCGGCTATGTACTCCGGGCTGAGCACGTGACAGATGCCTACTACGATCAATATGGTTATGAGCCTTGGATGATTGATAAACCAGCGAGGATTCCAATTGATATTCAGAATCTCACCACTATCGGAACGAACTCCATTCGATCTCAGAATATGCAGCAGTCGTGCAGAGGTGATTTGAGGTGGACTGCCAACCATCACAATCCATGGTATCACTATGCCAGACCATCGCGACGCCAAATTCCAGCCATGATTCATCAGACAAACAAGGATAGATGCTTGACTATGAACTTTGCTCGTGCGTCACAGAAATGGTCAGCCTTTTCACACAACAAATGGTCTTACTACTTGCATGATGAATCTGCCCTGGCCCAGCTATTCTTGGAAATGCAATATCCAGAGTTTCCTTATTTGCGACTTGTGGTTCAAAACTGTCTATTGTATTTGCCGCCTGTGGAAAAGAATCTATGGAGTTATTTGGTACTCTGGGTCTACGGAGGAGTCGTGGCGGATGTCAATTCCATGCCCGATAACTTTCATTTTCAAACGCTCCAAAAAGACGATGATGCAATCTTTATATTCGACGCGGCTAGCCAACGAATGAACACGACTTTCATGGCATCTTCGCCCAAGCATCCTGTGATGTATTACGCGATACAGCACACCCTGTTGCGGATACTGACGGCTGAAAACATTGCCTCGCCGGATTTGGTATACCAGACTGGACCTGAAGCACTGCAAAAGGCCTTGGAACAATTCAGTAGAGAAGATGACGAAGAACAAGATTGGAGTCGTTCCCTTCCTCGAATGGTCAAGGGTGTGGAAGATCAAGAAGGCAGATCCGCCAAAGTGATATCCTCTGAGGAAAAGTATGCTACACCAATATTCATTAGTCCCGCAGGGAAAGTGAAAGAATTTGGGAAAATGGGTGTACAAGTGGATGTCATACAACCTGTACGAGGACCGGCTGGAGGCTGTTTCTCACAAATGCATTCCAATCTAGACAAGGCGGTTGGTGGTGGGCACAACGGCCCGTGAATGCTCAAGTCGACAGGGATCAACTAGGTTGCAAGCATGATGCGAAAGAAATGACATTTTCTGAAATCAGTCAATGGCAGAATGTGAGACTGGAACTAAATGATTTGAAGATGCGGTTTGGGAAGCGAGAACGGTCTCAGTATGTGTCACTTTGCCGAAATAGTCTAAGCTCGTAATGGATCAATCGGATCATAACCACTGAACCGGATGCAGAATAAATCCAAGATGCATTGTTGTGGTGAGACCCATAAGGTGCGTTTCAAAATTAATGAAGATAAACACTACCATACTGTGTGTTTTCTCTTCTCATCTTTTCTAGTTCCTCGTTCTCCGAATCTCCGTTTGTTGAATGCAGTTTTTCCGTTGTTACTGTCAACACGCCGGCCTGGAAAACCGGTATTTTCTCGTATGAGTATTCTTTACGGCTGGCGCGGATTTAGTCGCACGACCGTTTATATTCTCAATAATACCGAAATCCATCACACAAAATCACTTCGAAAATACCACCCGACAATGGGAATGATCCCATCTCTACCATCAATAAAAGATCAACAACAACATACCAAGGACATTGGATCTGAAATCTAATTCTACACAAGACTTCAGGATTGCGATTCAGCATTTGTTTCCAACAAGTAGCCAATTATGTTTCGTCGTCGCACCAAGGACGACGATGGCTTGGATGAGACTCCTCTGGAAGGTTTGAGCAACTCATACGAAAAGTACAAGAGCTTATATCAAGAGACCAAGGGTCAACTTGATAAGACAACACGGGCGTTGAAGGAAGCCCAAAAAGTTGTCAAAGATCAAAAGTCCTTTGTGAAGGAGAATCAGAAGCAACGCGATGCTGCACTCAAGGAAACCACCAAGACCAATGCGGAATGGGAATCCAAATTGAGAAAGCTACAAGCCAACTCGAATAAAGAGCGCAAAAAGATTCTAGGGGAAAAAGAGAAGCTTACTTCCAAATTGAACGAGAAGACAAGGTTGCTCGACGACAGCTTGAAGCGAGAAAAAGTTCTGAAACAGCAAGTCGCTGAACATGCAGAAGAACTCGAAGAAAGAAATATCGAACTGAAAGAGAATACATTGAGATTTCACAAGTCACAAGCACGAGAACTCAAGCTTGCTGAAGATGCCTTGGGCTGGATGACCAAAGCAAGAGATTCGAATGCTAAGGCTGAAATTTTGGAGCAGAACCTAGAGGCCAAGTCGACTGAGTGCTTGGATCTTGCCCGAACTAATGTTGAATTGGTAAACACTATTGCTGTTCACGAGGAAAAAATGAATGAAGCGAAGGAATTAATGCAGGAGCTTTCCGAGACACGAATTGCCCTGGAAACCGTCGAACAGAAGAACGAGAACTTGCAATTGGCGTTGGATATCAAGGTTGATGAAGCCGACGCTACTTTCCAAGCTTTCAAGGTGCAGTTGTTGAACTACGAAATGGCAGAAAAAGAAATTAGAGCTCGAAAGGACAAGGAAGTCAGCCTAATGAAGCGTTTGAACGAAGCCGAAGAAAGAGAATCTCGTTTCGATAAGGAACTACTCCGAACGAAGGCAGAATTTCTTGATGCTTTTGATCAATGCCAAATTGTCGATGAAAATCTTGTTTCCTCCCAAAATACAGTGGCTACATTGCAGTCTACTTTGAACGAGGAGCAAAAGGAGCGATCCACTGCAACGGAAAGAGTCTCGCTGCTCCAAGGCAGACTTTTCAAGTCACAACAGCAGTTGCTTGGTGTCGTGGAACGGAATGATATACTCTCAGAGGACTTCGCAGCTGCGGTACAACGAGTGAAGATGCTGGAAGCAAGCATGATTGAATCAAAACAGTTGTGGCTTGCAGACGTCGAACGAAATGCTATACTGGACGAGTATTGCGACCAAGCCCGCCAACACTATGAGACCTCTCAACGTGAAGTTGCCGCGCTAACAGCATCAATGGCAGACCAGCAAGTAAAGCATCAATTCGATCTTGATGACGCAGTGACTCAAACTCAGGAGATCAAATCTCAACTTGAAGTGTCTGAAGCCGAGGTCAACAAGGTCAAGTCTACCATTCAAAGTTTGGAGCATGACTTGCAAGAGGCCGAATCCAAGCATACAACTGAACTAGCGGATGCTCGATGCAAGTTACACTCTGCCCTGAATGATGCAGAAAGCCTTAGAACGAACCTCCAGGTCACCATAGACGAAAACGAAAGACTTCAGAAGGAGTTTGAAGCGACCATAGCAGACCTCGCGGCGTCGACTGACATAGTTCAAACGACCAAGAAGGAATTGGAAGAGAAACAGCAAGAGCTTGGCGCAGTTAGGCAAGAGAGAGATACCAAAATGTCGAGCTATACAGTGGAGGCATCCAAGCGTCTATTGGCAGTCTCCACGATTACACAGCTTCAATTCGAACTTCAAGATGCAAAATCTGCTTCTGATGAAATCGAGAAGAGGTTGCTTTCTGTCGAAGAAGAGAACGTGTCAAACAAGACTAAGCATGACAAGTTGATGGTGCAGTACAAGGAATCACTGAAGATTGTTGCGCGCTTGGAGAATAAGCTAGCAGAATCCAAGTCTTCGATGGAGCTGACAAAGCAGGAGCTCCATTCCTTAAAGAATGAATCTGAGGCAGACAAAGCAAGAATTGGCGAGCTGATGACAGACAGCGAAGCATCCGAAGCAAAGGTCGGACAGCTGGAGACGGAGCTAACATCGACCAAGGAAGAAGCGGTCAAACTACATGCAAGAATCGAAGCATTGACAACAATGGGTGAAGATTCTGGAGAAATCATCGCTCAGCTGGAGAATGACCTTGCTGCAGCAAATGAAGAAATTGAGTCGCGAAATGGAACAATCGATGATCTAACAGCGAGGAGTCAAAATGCTGAAACGGACATTGGTAAACTCGATGCTAGTCTTGCTGAGACCAAAAAAGCTGTTGGGATGGGCAAGTCTCGAATCGACGAGTTGTCTTACAAGAATCAAGAATCCGAAGCATTGGTCGCCAAATTGGAGAATGATCTTGCTGCAGCGAAGAAAGACGCCGAAGCAAGCAAGGTTGCGATTGCTTCTTTGAGTACAAGAAGCGAGGAGTCAGGAGTAGCAGTTATGCGTCTGGCGAAACAGCTTGCTGAATCAAAACTGGCAACAGAACAACGTTGCATTGAATTAGATTCAGCTAAGCAAGAATCGGAAGTATCCAGAGATAGACTCGACGGGTTGATGTCCCTCAATGAAGATGCTTTCGTAAAGATTGCTGCTTTGCAAAACGAGCTAGCAGAGTCGAGGAATGTCACAATGAAGACACAGGAAGAGCTATCTGAGGCAAAGGAAGAGAACAAAATGAACAAGGTTACAATGGCCGATGTGGTAAAAAAGCTAGAAGAGGCTGAATCGCACTCCGCCACACTGGAAAAGGAATTGGTGGTAGCCATGGCAGAACGTGACATCAACGAAGAAGAAATAGTGTCGCTAAATTCCAAGAGCCAAGAAAAAGAGGAGACGATATCAAGGCTACTAGGCGAGCTGGAAGAATCGAAGAAATCGGTGAAGAACTCCTACAAGGAGTCCCGAAAGAGCAAGGCACAGCTATATGCGATGGAGTTGCAAGCCAAAGAGTTGGACGCTAATATCACTCGCCTCGAAAGAGAACTTTTCTTGGCAAACGAGGATGCCCAGACGAGCAAAGCAACTATCGTGACTGTGACTGAAAAGAAAGAAGAATTGAGTGCAATAATATCAGGATTGGAGCACGAACTTGCTAAATCTGGAAAGATAATGGAGAGATTGAGAATTGAACTTGCTGCATCAGAACAAGAAGTCCGTTCAAAGACAGCGGCAATCAATGAAATCAAATCAAAGAATGAGGCGTCTGAAGCAGAGGTCACTTTGCTGAAAAAGGAGCTTGCTGGAGCAAAGGATGAGACGCAGAACAAAACAAAAACTATCCTTGCACTGATTTTCCAAAGTGACGAATCTATGCAAGCAGTCTCGTGGTTGGAGCGCAAGCTTGGTGATTCAAAGCAAATGATTGAAGCTTTAGAATCCCAGCTTGCCGCATCCAAAGCAGAAGCAATGGCCAATGTCGTTGAAATGGCCATGGAAAGAAAGCAAGGAGAAGCAATGCTTGCTCGGTTACAGAAAGACTTTATTTTGGAACAACAAGAATGCAAGACAAGGAAGGCTACTATTGTTGAGTTGGCTTCGAAGAGTGAGAAATCAAATGACTCTGTCTTGAGATTGAGGAAAGAATTGGCTGACTCCAAAATGGCTGCTGAACAGACCCAACTGGACCTCGAGGCACTTGAGGAGGAATCCGAAATGGACAAGTCTCGAATTCAAGAACTGATATTGGTGAATAGAGAAATGAAAGTTGAAGCTTCGAATGTGGAAAAGGAACTACTCGAAACTAGAAAGTCGTCCCAGCAGGCTGGAAATGATCTATTGACTCTGAGACAACAATTTGAAGCAAGCACCAAAGAAATTGCTGTTTTGGCGTCGAAAATCGGAATGTCAGAAGAATGCACCAGGAAGATCCGTCAGTCATTGACAGAGTCAAAGCAAATGACTGCAAAAAGGGAATTAGAATTGGAACTGGCAAGGGTCGAAAACGAATCCAGCAAGTCTGCCATTGTAATCTTGGAAGCCAAGAATAAAGAAGCAGAAACCTCTATTTCAGACTTGGAAAGGGAGCTTTCTGAACTCACACATCAGTCAGAGTCCCACAAGGCACACTCTGATCTTTTGGTGGAGAAAAATCTTGAATCCGAACACACTGTGTCGCGACTTCAAATTGAATTAGCGGAATCGAAAGAGTTGATGATGCAATCGAAGGTAGAACTGACAATGGTCAGTTCGGATGCGGAGGCCAGCCAATCAGTCATAAAAGAATTGAAGATACAAAATGGTGAACTGTTGGGGAAGCTCGATGACAACGAAGGTCGACTGGCCCGGCTTGGGAGGCAACTGGCTTCAGCGGAGCATCTGACAAAAGAGACAGAACGTGAGCTTGCTGCAACAAAACATGCACAAGATGCAAGCAACGCTACGATTTCGGATCTGAAATGGAAGCACAAAATGGCTGAAGAAAATATTGCTAAATTGGAGAAGGAACTTGATCTGTCCAAGGCAGAAGCACTGTCACACAAGTCACATGCTGTTTTCCTAACCTCACAGGGTGCAGAATTAAAGCGAGTAATATCAGGTCTAGAGAAGGATTTGGACAAGTCAAAACAACTGATGTACAAATCTGAAGCAGAAGTTTTGGCATCGAATGAGGAGACTGCGATAACAAAAGAAAGACTTGCAGACATGGTTTTCCAGCACAAAGCAAAGGAGTCGATTGTTGCTGCATTGGAGAAGCAACTATCTGTCGCAAATGAGGAGTGTGAGGCTGACAAATTGTCAATTGCTGAATTGGGAGACATGGTAACTCAGCTTGAAAAAGAGTTAAAAGAGTCAAATGATTCGACTGTTGAGGCTATGAAGGAAATCAGTGGGCTGAAGCAAGAGGGCAAGATGCAAGCGAAAAGAGCCGAAGATTTGGTGTCAAAAAAGAAAGCATCGGAAGAGATTGTTGTATCCTTGGAGAAAGAGTTGGAGTCGGCAAAAGAAGAGTGGGCAACTTCCCGTACGACAGTTGTTGCACTGATGTCAAAAAGCGGTGAGTCAGTACAAGCAGTATCCCGCTTAGTAAAAGAGCTATCTGAGGCAAGAATATCCTCAGAGCAACTCCAGAGAGAACTTTTGGAAGCAAATAATCAGGTGGATACAGTCAAGGCAAGAAACAACAAAATGATGCTGAAGAACCAAGATGCTGAATGCACAGTTGAAAGGCTACAAATCGAACTTGAGAAGGCAAAGGAAGAGAGCAATAGTGGCAGAATGGCAATTACTGCTTTGACTTCACAGAATGAAAATTCAGAAGAAACCATATCACGTCTGGGGAGAGAGCTGAGAGAGGCAAACGAATCAATGACAAAGTCAAAGGCGGAACTTGCTACCACAATCGCTGACATGGGGACGACCATGGCTGTAAATGAAGAACTGACTTCAAAGAACCAGTGGGCCAAAGCGATTCTTTCAATGATGGAACAAGAGCTTGCTACAGCTAAAGAAGATGCGAAGACAAGTGCGGCCAGAATTGCAATGTTGACTTCAACGCAAGAAGAATCCAATCAAGCTATGTCAGAATTGAAGAAACAGGTAGCTGATGCAAACGAGGCACTGCTTCAATCAAAAACTTACATTGCTATGGTAGAGCAAGAAGCAGCTGCACACCAGTTAACGATCAATGAGATTACTGGTAGAAATCAAGAGGCAGAGGGAGCAGTTGCTCGTTTGGAAAAAGAGCTTGCAAGCGCTCAAAAAGAGAAGTCAGCGCTAGAAGAGTTGGCGTCAAAAAGTGATGAATTGTCTTTGCAGAATGAACGTACTGAAGGAGAAATGGTCCGCCTTCAAAAACAACTATATGAAACCAAGAAGGTTATGGAACAGACGCAATACCAGTTGGTCGAGGCAAAGGAAGAAGCAAAAGCAAGCAAGACAATAATGATAAAGATGCAATCACAGATTGAAAAAGCTCAGAAATTAGAGAATGAGCTTGCTGCTGCCAAAGGAGACGCGGATCGCTACAATACCCAAGTTGTTTCTCTGATGGCCAAGAATGAAGAGTTAACGGTGTTGGCATCCCGTCTTGAATGCCAATTGGTGGATTCAAAAGAGTCGATGTTTCGGTCACAAGAAAAGCTGACTGCTACTATTGCTCTAGTCGAAACAGGCAAGTCAGTTGTGAACCAGTTGTTGTCGGTGAATGGTGAATTGGCATCAAGTCTCCACAGTAGCGAAGGGGATGTTGCTTGTCTCAAGACTCAACTTTTTGAGTCAAAGAAATTGAGAGAACGAATTGACGGAGAGCTATTTGCAGCGCAGGAAGAGTTGGAAACAAGGACGACAGCTATTGCAAATTGCAAATTAGATGGCAAAAAGGTCAAAACAACTGTCGCTACAATAGAGACCAAGCGTGATGCCAGTGAGAGGGCAATTAATGTCTTGAGTTCGGAAGACAAAAATTTGGTTGGGGTCGCATCTCAACTTGAGAAAGATCTGACCCAGTTAAAGAAAATGTTGTCCCAAGCTTATGCAGATCTTGCGGCGTCAAACGAAGAATCTGAAAAGACAAAAGCAAGACTTGACGAAATGATCTTGGAGCGCAAAGACGCAAAAACAAATGTGGAAAGTGTGAAGAAAGAGCTAGATATTGCATTGGAAGAGTGCAAGTCCCGAAGGCTGGCATCGGTTGCTTTGAATGTCAAGACGGATGAACTGGGTGAATCCGTTCGTCGTCTTGAAAAAGAGCTGATTGAGTCAAATGAGTCGAAAACCAATTCTTGCGCTGAAATCGAGGAGCTGAAAGAAGAAACCAAGATGCAGGAGGCAAGAACCAAGGATCTTCTTTCACAGAAAGAAGATTTGGAAGCAAATGTCACAATCTTGGAGCAGCAACTTTTGGACGCAACAATAGCATCCCAACAGACGACGGCAGAGCTTGTCAGCACGAAGCAAGAGCTTGAGCGGAATAAGGCAACAGTTGGGGGGTTGGCCTCCAGTGTTGAAGGGACCAAAGCAAACGCCGCTCAACTTGCCAAAGTTCTAACTGAGGCGATGTCGTCAAAAGAAAAATCCGAGGCGGACTTGAAACTTGCGAGGGAGGAGATCCAAGAGGGCAAATCAACAAATAGTAAGCTGGAGAAGAAGCTTGATGAGGTCCAAGCAGAAAAGGAAGCCCACCAATCGACCATCGTGGCACTGACTACAAAGATTGCGGAATGCCAGAATGAGCTTGTCGCGGCTAATGATGAAACTCAGAAACTTGAATCGACTATTTCAGATTTGATGGCTGAATGCAACCTTGCCAAGGGAGACGTCAGCCGGCTGGAGAAACAGCTTACTACTGCAAGAGATGACGACGAGCATAGCAAGGCTACCATCGTCATTTTGACTGCCAAGTGTGACGAATCAAACAAGACAGTGTTGCGATTGGAGACTGTGCTTTCTGACGCACAAAAGTTGAGTGAGCAGTGTCAACTGGAGCTTGCAGCCACAAAGAAAGAGGCAGAGTCAAGTAATGAGGTAATTGATAACTTGATATTGAAGAACGCTGAATCGGAGAAAAATGTTTCACGTCTTGAAGAGGTTCTCGCGAAGACAAAGAATTTGGCAGAAAAGTACAAAATTGATTTTTATGCCGCAAAAGAAGAAGCAGACAAGAGAATGGAAAAACTCAGTGCAGATTCCAAAAAGACTGTGTCTCTGCTGCAGAATAAGCTTTCCACATCAGAAGGAGCAGTGAAGGATCTCAAAAGCAAGCTCGCATCTTTAAACGGTGAAGTTGAGAAACGAGAAGCTGCTATCGATGTTTTGACTGCTGAAATGAATCAAGCTGAGGAGAGCAATGCCCGATTGGAACAAGAGATTTCCATTGCAAATGAAGAGGTTGAAAAGAGCAAAGCTTCAATTTGTGCATTGGATTTGAAGTTTGTTGAGTCCAATAAAGCCACCTTGCGACTGAAGAATGAACTATCAAAAGCAGTGAAGCTGACGGAAGACTGTAGGATGGAAGCCAAACAAAATGTGGAAAACTGCCAAACCGATTTGTCTGCGGCAAAGGAGGAGGCAGACAGAAGCAAGGCTCTGGTCAAAAATCTTACTGCCAAGATCAATGCAACCGAATCTATCATCACGAGATTGGAACAAGAGCTTGATGAAGCAAAGGACGAGAACAAAGCAAGCAAATTGACAATGGACGAACTGAACAAAACAGCTCTAGCTTCCGAAAAGGCCGTATCTCTGCTGCAGAATAAGCTTACAGGTTCAGAAGGAACAGTGATTGCACTTGAAAACAAGCTTGCTTCGTTGAATGTGGAAGCTAAGACACGGGAAGCAATCATTGCGAATATGACTGTTGAAAGGAACCAATGCAAGGAGACCGTTACTCGGTTAAAGCACCAGCTAGCAATTGCTGATGAAGAAGTCAATAACAGCAAGGCATCAATCTCTGCTTTGAATTTGAAATGCATCGAAAGCAAGGAAAGAGCCTTGAGTTTGGAGAATGAACTGACAGATTCAAGAAAGTTGACAGAACAATCACAGATGGATGAAAAAGAAAAGGAAGAAATTTACCAAGATGGCTTATCTGAGGCAAGGGAGGAAGCAAACAAGAGCAAAACTGAAGTCAAGAACCTTACTGTAAAGATTGACAAGACCCAGTCAATCGTTGCAAAATTAGAACAGGAGCTTGAAGAAGCAAAGGATGAGAGCAAGGCATGCAAGTCAACGATCCTTAAACTTACTGAAAAGGCTGCAGCTTCCGACCAAATTGTGTCTGTGCTCAAGAATGAACTTTCAACTTCTGAAGACAAGCTTACCATTTTGAATGGGAAAGCTAAGCAACGAGAAGCCGCCATCGCTAATTTGACTGTTGAAAGTAATCAAGCCAAGGAGAACTTTGCTCGGTTGGAACAAGAGCTTGCCATGGCAAGTGAAGAAGCTGAGGAGAGGAAGGCATCAATAGCTGCTTTGAATTTGACATTTATCGAGACAAAGGGAACAGTCTCGCGTTTGGAGAAGGAACTAATCAATTCAAGAAAGTTGAATGAAAAATTACAAAGGGAGGCCAAGCAAAATGAAGAAAAGTTGCAAAATGATTTATCCTCAGCGAGAGAAGAAACAACCAAGAGTAAGGTTCTGACCGAGAACCTTTCTGCCAAGATCGACGAGACCGAGACTATCGTTGCAAGACTGGAGCAAGAGCTTGATGAAGCAAAGAACGAGAACAAGGCAAGGAACTTGACTATACTTGAGCTTTTTGAAAAGGCTGCAGCTTCCGAGAAGACTTTGGTCCTGCTCCAGAATGAGCTTTCGAGTTCAGAAGAAGCAATGAAGGAACTCGAAGCTACTCTTGCCTCATTGAATGATGAAGCTGCAACACGAGAAGACACCATCACTGATTTGACTTCTGAAATGGCACAAGTCAAGCAGAACGTTACTCGATTGGAACAGGAGCTTACCACCAGGAGCAAAGAGGCAGAGAAGAATAAAGTTTCATTCGATGCTTTGAATATGAAGTGCGCTGAAGCCAATAAATCCGTCTTGAGACTGGACCAGGAACTAGCTGATGCAAGAAAGTTGACTGAAGAATGTCAAATGAAGCTTTCAGTCGTGATGAAAGAAGCAGAGATGAGTCAGCAGGCTGTTACTGTTTTGACTCTTAAGAACAAAGAAGCCGAGACTATGATTTGCGGTCTCGAATGCGACCTAGCAGAGTCCAATATTAACCAAGAACAGCAACTAGAAGAAATCATGGCAATGAATGCGAAAGAAAAAGCAACATTTGATGAGATGAAGTCAAAATATGAAGATACCCAACAGCAGATTGCAAAACAGGCCGAAGAACTCTCCGAGTCCAAAAGTATCACCAATACAATATCCGAAGAGCTCGTATCTGCCAAAAGTGAAACCGAGACCTGCAAGAGGACGATCGTCAGGTTGCTGTCACAACATGAAGAATCTAGTGAAGCTGTGTTGAAACTTGAAAACGAGCTTGTGGAATCAAAGGCTGCCCTTGCCGCGGCCAATGAAGTAGTACAAAGAGTGGACAGTCTGCAGCTGAATCAAAATGAGGCTGAAGCCAATGTCGCTCGTCTTGAACAAGAGCTGTCCCAATCACAGGCTTGTCATGAGGTTACTAAACACGAAATCAAAACAGCAATGATGGTTATCGATGAATTGCGTTTAAAGAATGAAAACACAGAAGCAATTGTCGTGAAACTACAGGATGAACTTTCTGCTGCCAATGCAACAACTGAAATGATCCAAAATGAACTCATGAAAGCCAAAGAAGATAGCGACAATCGAAACCAATCAAGTGAGACCATCTTAAGATTGGAGTATGAGCTTGCTGAATCCAACAAGACATTTGAACAAACTTTGTTCAATCTTGCTCAAGTCAAGGAGGCTAGCGAGCAACGACAGACTCTGATCAATGATTTGACAGCCAAGAACGAAGCCTCCATTGAGAAGATTGCCACCCTACAGTCCGAAATGGAACAAACAAAATTGATCGCAGCCCGCCACCAAGAGCAACTTTCCTCTGCTGAAACGATGTTGAAAGAGAACAAGCTGGGACTGGACAGGGCGCGAGAAGAAGAATCATCCAAGTCAGTTAAGATGAAGGCTGAAACGGAAACTTTGAGATCCAAGGTTGCCAATTTGGAAAAGGCCATTTCCGCAACCAGGACAGAGAAAGCGTCTCTGGAAATGTCTGAGATGAAGACCCGAGGAGATATTGGAAACCTGCAAAAAGCTTTGGAGGAGTCCAAGATTGAGACTTCTTCAGCTGAGTTTCAGCTCCAAGAGACCAGGGACCAACTGGAAGCCTTGCAAGCTGAACTCGAAACTATGAAGAATCAGAGTAGTGAAGTTCAATATGATGAGCTGCAAAAAAGCCATCAAGAAGCGATTGCAGCATTGAGGGCTTCTCGTGAAGAAACCTATTCCACTTTGCAAATGCGTATTGAAGACCTAGAGAGTGACTTGAACGATACCAAGTTCCAACTTCAGCAGGCTGAGATCATGGCAGAGGAGTCTCAAAGTGAAACTGCCTACCACCGAAAGACTCTGACGGACCTTGGAATTGAATTCAAGAACTACAAGGATCAAACTTTTCAATCGGAAAATGCATTGAAGGAAGTAACCAACAATCTGAAAGACGAATTTGAGTGGTACGAAGTATAAGCCTAGAACCAAGCATAATCATTGTATATTAACAAAATTCATATGAAACTAAAGGTATATGGAGCATGCATTCATTCTGAATTCATCTTCATCGCCCTGTCAAATATCAAGAGTAGATTCTTCAAACGAATTTGAGTGGTATGAAAATCTAAGCATACTGGAGAACGCAATCGTTTTACAGTGAAATACAAGTATGACAGTTCTGGATGGTAGAGGCATTTGTTCATATTCATCCACGGACAGAGAGAAATCTCCGCATTCATTTTGATTGGAAGTTACTGAGTTCTCTTCTTTTTGGTTTCTTATTTCCAAAGGCTTCGTAGAAACTTGCATGTCATCCGGGGGATGTCCAATTTTGATTGGAAGTTATATCAACGCTCTGCTCTAAAATACATTCAACATTGAATGAATCACACGACACAAAAGTACATTTCCACATGCGTTTCACCATAAAAGATTCCTTGATTACGTAACTGCACGAATCACACCACAAAATCGACCTCAGAATTTAAAACTACAGTATGTTCCCGCCGGGAGGGCCCGCCGGGAGGCATGTGTGGCTTGTCGGCAAGAAAGGTAACCCTAGTGGTATTGCTGGGGGGTTTGGGGGGGTACCCCCCAAGAGAAGCACTGCCAGCATGGTACCTGCCAGTCACCGCTGACGCCAGCATCTATGTAAGTACTTTATAATCATCAAAACGCAGATCACAGCTGTCAAAACTGGGGGAAAACGTCAGCCAGCTTCCAAACGGAATTTTCAAACTGCATGTGTATGTGTCATTCGCGCCCGTCTCACGAGTACGCCAGCAGTATGACCGATTAGATCAAGACCAAACCCAAAATGTGACCATCAGGCATCAGGAAGCTTACGAATTCACTTTTGTCACCTGAAAAAAACCTCCCAAACTTATTCATCGTCATCAAAAGAGCACAAATAGAAACATGAGAGTAACAGTAAAGAAGTCATAAAGCAAAGAAAGAAACTGCAAATTCTGAAGGACACGAAAGAACCATCGGCACCGAAAAAAAAACGCTGAATCTCTAGCCACAAAAGCAGCAATTATTCTAAAATTCAGGCAATTCTGAAGTTCGACTTCATCAGTTCACCTGAAGATGGTCAAGTTTCTACGTCGCAAAGACGACCGAGGCTTGGATGAGACTCCTTTGGAAGATCTACACAACTTGTATGAAAAGTACAAAAGCCAATATCATGGTACCAAAGAGAAGCTGGATAAAACAGCTCAGGCTTTGCGCAAATCTCAACAACAAGAAGCTGAATTGCAAAAGACAATCAAGGATCAGAAATCATCTGTCAAGGAGAATCAAAAGGAGAAAGATATTGCTGTTAAAAACTTGACCAAGGCCAACTCAGATTGGGATTCGAAAATGAAAAAGGCCAATACTAACTGGAATAATCAGAGATCCGCATTGCAAAGTGAAATTGAAAAGTTGACTTCAAAATTGAACGAAAAGACAACGTTACTTGAGGATGCTTTGAAACGCGAAGAAGATCTGAAGCAAGTGGTATCCAAAAATGAAGATTTGATCAAGAAACAGAGCTTCCAGTTGAAGGAAAACGTCGTAACTATCCGATCGACTCAAGAACGAGAACGCAAATTGGCAGAAGGAGTCGTTGGATGGATGAACAAGACCAAAGACGCGAATGTCAAATTGGAGACACTGGAAGAGAATCTAGAAGTGCAAGCCGAAGATCTGGAACGTCTCATTGAATCTGAGACGGTACTGAAGTCAACACTTTCTACAACTCAAGGCGCCTTGAACGAGACTACCACATTGTTGGATCAAACCAAACAAGAGCTCGCGCAAACACAATCAAATCTAGCAAAAGCACAAGAGGAACAAGGGCCACTGCGAAAAGCATTGGGAAACAAAACCAAGGAAGCTGCTGGTACAGCTAGTGCACTTGAAAGGAGGTCGGCAGATCTGGAAGCCACCACTTCGTCACTGAAGGAAACCAAGTTGGCCCTTCAAACGATTCAAAAAACGCTTGCAGGACTACAGAATAAAAATGAAGAGTTGCGAGCTGCTCTGGACGACAAGATGGAGGAAGCCAATAATACTACCAAAGCACTTGAAGCCAAATCTGCCGAGTATGAATCTGTACACCGTGAAATCAATGAATGGAATCAAAAGGAAGTCAGTTGGATGGACCGAATAGCAGTCGCTGACGATAGTTTGCGACACCTGACTATGGAGCTTTGGCGTGTGAAGGATGAGGTGTTCGATACTCTAGAGCAGCGACAGACGGAGGAAGAAGAATTCTGTTCTGCTCTTCACGAAAAGGAAGGCGAAATACATGCCATGAACAAAACATTGGCACATCAGAGTGAATCATCTCAGCATGAAGTCGATTCTTTGAAGAAGAAGGAAACCAAATTGATCATCCAATTGAAGCAAGCGGTAGAAAGAGAACATCATCTGACCATGGAACTATTCCGAACAAAGCAAGATTTGTTGGACGATCTGGAAGGATGTCAGGTTTTGGATGAGGATCTTGCTGAGACGGCATTTGCAGTCGCGTCACTGCAGGCAAATCTGAAGAAGGAACAAGAAGAACGCTTCTTGGAAATGGAACGAACCTCAATGCTGGAAGCCAACCTAGTCGAGTCGAAGAAACAGTGGCTGGATGATTTGGAAGAACATGCCATGTTGGATGAAGATCATTCAGTTGCCCTACAACGAGTCTCCCTTCTTCAATCCGGTCTTATCGAGTCACAACAGCACTGGCTTGATGATTTGGAACGAGACGCCCTACTGGAGGAGGACTATGCTGATGCTCGTCAAAATTGGCAAAATGCCAAAGATCAAGCAGCGGCACTGAAAGCATCACTTGTTCAACTCGAAGAACAGCGTCGCTCCGACATCGATCTTGCAGAGTTTGAAAACGATGAAATTAAGACTCAATTGCAAGAGTCCGAGATTGAAATCACTAATCTTAAGTCCACCGTGGATTCTTTGGTACACAATTTGCATGAGATCAAGAACCAGCACGAAGCAGAGTTGACAGAAGTCCAATGGAAGCTACAGTCTACCATGAAAGAAGCCGATGAACATTGCAGTACTGTCATCGCCTTCACCGCCGAAAAGGAGTCACTACAGGAGGAATTGGAATCCACGAGGGCCGAGCTTGCGAAGTCAAACGACCAAATCACCCTGTCTAATAGAGAACTCAAAAAGAGACAGGAAGATCTTGCTGCAGCTCGACAAGAGTGCGAGTCCAACAAATTCAACTTTGCACAAGAGGCGTCAAAACATCTGTTGGCGATAGCAGCAATCGAGAAACTTCAATCAGAGCTACAAGAAGCCAAGTCTTCCAGTGAAGAGGCACAGCAGAGGATGATTTCTGTTGAGCAAGAGAAGTCTGAGGCAGATAAGCTGAGAATCAATGAGATGACGTCAAGAAACGGAGAACTGCAGGCCAATGTTGCCGTACTGGAGCAACAGCTTGCAGCAGCCAGGGAAGAAGCTGCTACCGGTAGCTCAAGAATTCAAGACTTAACGTCAAAGAACGAAGTATTCGAAGCAAGAGTTGCTCGACTGGAGAGTCAGCTGACATTGGCGAAGCAGGAAGTTGAGGCAAGAGAAGCACGAAACAGCGAACTGATGTCAAAGACAGGAAATGCCGACACTGAGATTGTCAGGTTGGCAACCGAACTTGCTGAGACGAAGGAACACGCTGCAGCAACCCAGGAACTAGTTGACAGGCTAACATCCGAATCTAAAGCTTCCAGCACAAGCATTGCTGTTCTGGATGCTGATCTTGCTACAGCAAGGGAAGAGATCGAATCAAGCAAAGCAAGAATCGAGCACCTGGAAGCAAAGAAGGAACGCTTGGAAGGAAACGTTGTCATGCTAGAGAAAGAGCTTGCTGATGTAAAGGAAGGTGCTGAATCAAGCAAGGCCACAGTCGTTGCGCTGACTTCAGCTGGCGATGAATCAGCTGATTCTATCAAGCGCCTTGAGAATGAGCTCACTGAATCAAGACATTTGGCACAGCAGTCTGAGTCGGAGCTGAGTACAGCAAAACAAGAGCTTGCCACAAAGGCTGCACAAATAGACAAGTTGGAGTCTGAGAAAGAAGGATTGGAAGAAAGTGTCACCAAGTTAGAGAAAGATCTTGCCAACGCAAAGGAAGATGTTGAATCAAGCAAGACGACAGTCGTTGCGCTGACTTCAGCTAGCGGTGAATCAGCCGATTCTATCAAGCGCCTTGAGAATGAACTCACAGAGGCGCGGGTGTCGGCACAGCAGTCTGAGTCGGAGCTGAGTACAGCAAAACAAGAGCTTGCCACAAAGGCTGCACAAATAGACAAGTTGGAGTCTGAGAAAGAAGGATTGGAAGAAAGTGTTACCAAGCTAGAGAAAGATCTTGACGACGCAAAGGAAGATGTTGAATCAAGCAAGGCCACAGTCGTTGCGCTGACTTCAGCTGGCGATGAATCAGCTGATTCTATCAAGCGCCTTGAGAATGAGCTCACTGAATCAAGACAGTTGGCACAGCAGTCTGAGTCGGAGCTGAGTACAGCAAAACAAGAGCTTGCCACAAAGGCTGCACAAATAGACAAGTTGGAGTCCGAGAAAGAAGGATTGGAAGAAAGTGTCACCAAGTTAGAGAAAGATCTTGCCAACGCAAAGGAAGATGTTGAATCAAGCAAGACGACAGTCGTTGCGCTGACTTCAGCTAGCGGTGAATCAGCCGATTCTATCAAGCGCCTTGAGAATGAACTCACAGAGGCGCGGGTGTCGGCACAGCAGTCTGAGTCGGAGCTGAGTACAGCAAAACAAGAGCTTGCCACAAAGGCTGCACAAATAGACAAGTTGGAGTCTGAGAAAGAAGGATTGGAAGAAAGTGTTACCAAGCTAGAGAAAGATCTTGGCGACGCAAAAGAAGATGCAGAATCAAGCAAGGCCACAGTCGTTGCGCTGACTTCCGCTAGCGATAATCAGCTCACTGAATCAAGACAGTTGGCACAGCAGTCTGAGTCGGAGCTGAGTACCGCGAAACAAGAACTTGCCGCAAAGGCCGCACGGATCGAAGAGTTGCAATCTGAGAAAAAAAGCTTGCAAGGAAATGTTCGTAAGCTAGAGAATGATCTTGTCGAGGCAAAAGATAATGCGGACACAGGGGTTCTGTCAAGAGAGTTGCCACATCAGTCGGACTCGGAGGCGATTGCAATGAAAGAAGAGCGTGCCTCAAATATCGCAAGATTAGAAGAATTGGAATCTGAGAAAGAAAGCCTGGAAGAAGACGTTGCAAAGCTGGAGAAGGAACTTGCTGAGGCAAAAGAGGAGGCGGCAACAAGCAATACTGCAAACATTGCGCTGAAGTCTAGAAGCGATGAATTAGCTGGCGCTGTCAAGCAACTTGAGAGTGAGCTCACAGAGACACGGAGACTGGCTCAGCTGTCCGATTCGGAGCTGATGGCGGCGAAAGACGAGCTTGCCACAAGCATCGCAAGAATGGAAGAGTTGAAATCTGAAAAAGAAGAGGCTCTTGCAAGCCTCGAAAGTGCACAGAATGATCTATCTGATTCGACAAAGACAGTGTCAGATACGCAGGAGGAGCTGTCGGCTGTTAGGAATGAAAACGAAACAAACAAATCAAGAGTCAGTGAGTTAACAGAGAAGAAGGAAGAAGCTGAAGCAAATATTGCTCGACTGGAACAAGATGTTCGTGAAGCAAGAGAAGAAAGTGAGAAAACGAAGACAGCATTAGTCACGTTGACTTCAAAGAGCGACAATTCCTCCCAGGTAGTTATGCGTCTTCAGAATGAGCTGACTGAATCGCAACAAAAGGTAGGACAGCTTGAAGTCGAACTAACAACCTGCAAAGAAGAAGCCGAGACAAGCAAGGCATCAGCAGAAGAGTTGACTATACAACAAAAAGAGGCTGAAGTTAATGTTGCTCTCCTGGAGTCTAAGCTCACAGAATCGCAAATGGCCCTGGATGAAACCCAAGCGGAGCTGGCGGCGGCAAAGGAGGAACGTGAAACACGAATGGTCGAACTAGCAGCCTCCAATGAGGAGTCGGAGGCCAACTTTGCCAGGCTGGAGCAAGAGCTACATGTATCCAAAGAGGAGAGCGCAACAAACAAGGCAGCAGTTGCTACTTTGACTGTAAAGGGTGAGGAAATGGGCGAAAGAGTATCGCAACTAGAGAATGAGCTAACCGAGTCGAGAACAACAGCCAACAGTTACCAGAAGGAACTAGCTTCAGCGATGGCAGCCGAAGAGACAAGCAAAACGAAGATTGAGGAGTTGACGGCCAAGAATGAAGAGTTTGAAGTGACAATCGCGGAGCTTCAGAGTGAACTTGACGAATCGAAAGAGCTCGCAGACAGGCAGCAGACCGATCTCAGCAACATGCAAGATGTAGCAAAAGTAAGCGAGGCAACGATCAGAGATTTGAAGTCCGAGAACATCAATGCCAGTGAAAAGACTGCTCAGTTGGAGAACGAGTTGGCAGATTCCGCGCGTACAATTGAACAGTTGAACGAAGAGCTAGCTGCTGCAAAGCAGATAGAGGAGACGAGTAGGACGACCATTGTTGCACTAGCTTCAAAAAGTGATGAAACCAATGAATCTGTTTCTCGGCTTGAAAAAGAGCTGATGGAATCAAAAGAGTCGAATGAACAGATTCAATTTGAGCTCGTCAAGGCAAAGGAGGAATTGGAAGTCAATGCTGCCACGATCGAAGAATTGAAATCGAAGAAGGACGAGTCTGACGAAACTACAACTCGTTTGGAGAACGAAGTATTAGAGTCTCGCCAGTCAAACGACGCATTGAACGGAGAACTGATCACAGCAAAGGCAGAAACGGAAGCTGCCAAGGCGACTATTGATGAGCTTACATTGAAGATGGAGGATGCCAACGCAAAGGCTTCCAAGTTGGAGGCCGATCTAGCAGAAGCCAGCACTACCATTGAGAAAATTCAAGAAGAACTCACTGCGGCTCAGAGTGAATGCGAGACTTGCAAGAAGACCATTGTTCGATTGCTTTCGCAAACGGAAGAATCCAGTGGAGCCATTTCACGCTTGGAGTTGGATTTGGCCGAATCAAAGAGTTTTGCTGAGCAGTCCAAGATTGAGCTTGATAGAGCCACAAAAGAGCGAGAGGAACGGCAGGCAGCAATTGACGACCTGACGAAGAAGCACGAATCATCCTTGGAACGAGTTGCCACATTGGAGAGTGAAATGGAAGAAGCTTTATTGGCTGTGGCCCAACGCCAAGGACAATTGACCAATGCGGAGAATGATCTGGAAGAAACCAAACATGAGCTATCCAAGATTCAAGAACAAGAGAGTTCCCATTCGTCGAAACTCAAGAATGAAGCCGAATACTTGCAATCCAAGATTGCCGAGATGGAGTCGCATCTCCAGACGGAAGCCGAGTCCTTGCAATCCAAGATTCAAGAGTTGGAAGCTGCTGTTGCCGAAAGCAAGGAACAAAAGTCGTCCCTTGAGAAATCACAAGAGGAGACACAACAGGATCTTCTGTCCTCCAAACAAGACATTGAGAGTCTACAGGACCAAGTTCAAGAACTCAAAGAAGCTTTACAAGTCTCCAAGGAAGACACTGCTGCGGCCCAATCCGAGTTGCAAAAGACGCGAGATGAATTGAAATCGTTGCAAAAGGACTTTGAAAGCACCCAAGAACGAGCCCTAAATGCGGAATCCAACCGATCCATGGCCGAATCCCAACTGGACGAACTCCAAAAGACACATGAAGAAGCTATCGTGTCACTCAAAGAATCCAGAGACGAGACGTATTCCCAATTGAATATGCGAGTGGCCGATTTGGAATCTGATTTGTCTCAAGCCAAGTTCCAATTGGAATTGGCCGAAACCATGGCGGAAGAATCGTCCAAGGAAGCCGCCTTTCATCGCAAGACCTTGACAGAAATGGGGGTGGAACTCAAGAATTACAAGGATCAAACCTTGCAATCGGAAAACTCGCTCAAGGAAGAAACGGACAAGTTGAAGGAAGAATTCGATTGGTATGATACATGAGCGGTTTATGATAATAGGTATAATACAGAAAACGTTGTATAGTAATACTATAAATGGAATGAATTAAAACAATAGTCCTAGGAGAATAGTCTGATACATTCATAATGTTATATATTATATATTATATTACGTTACAGTTACACAAATTACAATCCCTCATCATCACCATCATTATTATTCACGATATAATAATCAGAGGGCTTGTCACTCCACATGTTGGCGGTCCTTTTGAGAAAGCTGTTGAAGGATTTTGACTTGGTGGTAGTGCCGTCTTGCTTATTCTTTGGCATCATCATACTCGTACTAGGATTGCTGGCCCACATCTTGCCATTGTTCTTGACAAGTTTCCGCAGCACGTCTTGACCCTTTTCTTGCAAAATCTTAATGGGAGCAGGTAATTCCTTTACCTCCTTTTCAACCGTAGGATCACTAGAAACAACCGAAGATGGATACTGATCCCACATCTTGTGATTGTTCTTGGCGAGCTTGTGGACTAGCTTCTTTCCTTGAGTTTGCAGTCGACGAACCAATTTGTTCTTGGGTCTTGTTGTTGTTGTTGTTGTCGTCGTCGTTTTGATTATGTCTTGTCCTGAAGACGATTCTTCAGAAATGGGCAATGACACATCAGCAAACGTTGTGTTCCAACCTTTCTTCATGGAAGTAGCAGTGTTCACAAGCTCAATGGTTTCTCGAGTGCTGGATAGAGGACTATTGATAGTGCCTGCTGATGAAGCATGGCTGGTAAAGGACAAGAGCGGAGAAGACATATCGGACGTTTTATTTGCTGTCACACACGATTGTGACAGTTCAGCAGCAGCAATGGATCTTGTTGACAAAGGAGTAGTAGTAGAAGGAGATGGCTTGTTCCACACCACGCATCCAATGATGAATAGTGTGAGCAAACTGTAGAGTAAGAATCTTCGTTTGTCTCGTTGCTGTTTGGACGAGTCGTGATCTCTTGATCGAGCCGTTGTAGGCGTCGTCTTGGTGGTGGTACTCTTGGGTAGGCAGTCTGTAAGAAACGAGTAGAAATGAAATGGAAACTCCAACAGAAAGAAATAGAGTATCCTCAGCACGTGCAGCAACTCTTGCCAGCTGGAAGTAAAACTTTCCACAGAAGACGACGATTCTTCCGTACGTTGGCTTTGAAAGCTACTGTTGCTGCTTCTTCTTGGAGTAGTACAGGTTGTAGTAGCCACTGCGGTATCTGCAGCCGCACTATCCGAGTATCCTGGGGAGACAAGATTCCCCCTGGCAATGGACTTGGAATCGTGATGATGAATGGGAGTGGTAGTTTCGTGGCCTCCAAGGCCAAGACTACTCACGCAGGACGAGGCGGCTTCGGAGGCATCATCTGTACAATGATGATGATGATGATGATACATTTGCTGTTGATACATTTGTTGCTGTTGCTGTTGCTGTTGTTGATGTGCAGAAGAAGAGGAGGTCGAGTCTGATGATGAAATCACATGGACCAGAATCCCTTCCAGATTGATGATTTCATCGGCTGTATTCCAGGACGAAGAATCGTCATCATCATCATCATCTTGTGAACTGAAGGAATCCAGTTCCTTGGAGAGGTCAAAGTGGCTGCTAATGCTGGCATCTTGGGTATCGTTTTCAGCATGATTCGCCAAATCATTCAGATTGCCTTGCATGCGAGACACTATTTGGCGAATGTTAAGCATTTGGTTCCATAGATCTCTCTCTGGATTGACCTTGGGCGCCTTGGAGGACGATGTTTCTTCAGCTTTGGAGCTGACTTGGAAGTCGGAGGAAACAAACGTAGAAGGAACAGACAACGTAAAGGATTCTGCTCGACTTCGCTTCTGTCTTGTTCTTCTTCTTGTGCTTTTGCTGGTTTTGCTTGTCTTGCTTGCCATTGTATTGATATCGCTTGGATTGTTCATACTGTCTTGTCTTGTAGAGTGTGATTATACTGCTTCTTGGATCATAGTAGGGTCTTGTTTCTGCTCTAGACTTTGGTGTTCTGAAAGGCAGGTTAGATGTTCCGCGCTGCTTGTATTGCGATGCGTTTCTGCCTGACGCTGAAATTGAACTTATTTTCCTATTTTGCTGGGATGACTGACTCGATCGCCATCAGTCCTACCGCAAGCTGCTGATTCAAAGTTCGTTGTGCGCATGCCCGAGTCAGTCATTTGAACCAACGAAAATCGCCCACCGTGCCAACTGACACCGCAAAACGTCCGATTGGCGCCACACACGGCGGGTGCATGCAAGACATCAGAATTTTGAGGGACCTGAAAAATGTGACATCACACACATCATTATAGTGTACGGTACACATCACACCATCACCATCACTTCCTCTGCAAAGCGACAAACTGCACACGCACACACAAAAAGCATTGACCATTTTGTTGCAATGCATGAGATCCAATAATATCATGCAATACTTTGCAAGGGCAATCTTTTGTTGCATCTTATGCTGGAAGGCATCGGATATTGGCGTCCTTGGATTCAAGCAGTTTCAACGATCATCGATGGTGACGACAACAACGACATCTAGTTCAAACAACAACAATATCAACGCCAACAGTATTGGTGGTTTCCATGGCCAGAATAGTAGAAATCACCTACAGAAGAAGGATACCACCGTCGTGTTTCAACAACATCATGATTATCGAGGCGGTGCTGCTGCTGCTGATGATGATGATGATGATAATGCCATGCCACTAGCATCCACTGAGAATCACCATGGTATTCTGTTCCATTGTGCCATTATTCTCAATGCTTCCAGTAAATGGCTACTAGCATCCGCAAATCTATATGGTGTCATTCGGTATCGAGATCCGGGAGCCTTCTTGTGCACTGGATGCATTGTGGCCTGCTTTGTGGCGGAGCATGTCCTCAAGCCACTCTGGAATCAAGCGCGACCCCTCGGTGCCAAATTGGCGGATCCTGGCATGCCATCCTCCCACTCCTTGGGATCCTTTTTTGTGGCCATTGGGTGGGCCCATTTGTTGCGTGATTTGGAAGGCAACATGGAGGATCCATTGCTATTGTTTTTGGGGATTTCGTCCCTGGTGGCGAGTCTACGAATCATTTGTGGTTATCATACCGTTGCTCAGGTCGTGGTGGGAGCTCTTCTTGGACTGTTCCTGGGACATGGCTGGATTGACTGGATTTGGAATCGATTGAACGTGAAGACATTTTTATACACCCATGCTACGGTTCGATGGATCATTTGGTCCGCCTACATTAGTGGATCGCTCCTGTTTATCTGCAAGATCATGTCCAAATGGATCGATCGACAAATGCTGCTGCATTAGAAGAATCATGGCTACTACTTTTATAATATGTAGAATAAGACTTGTGTATTTTAACAGTAGGATTTTATACAACCTGCCTGCAAATATATAAATTCTATAACTTGCCAATGTACAATGATAATAGTAGTATACATTCCCCCATGATCCCAAGTACCGGTAGGCAGCTAGCTATATTCAAATTAATTGAACCCCCTTCAATTAAACCCCTTGTAAAAGCTGTTGAGGGCAATCCTGTTGTACATACCCTTGACCTTGGCCACTGGCGATTTCCTTGGCGAATTCGTATCATCATCCCCAGCATTATCATCATTATCATTGGCATCATTATCATCATCATCTTTGCCCTTGTTCTTTTTCTTTTTCTTCTTGTTTTTCTTTTCCTCCTTGGCAAGTTTCTTTTCCATCTTGGCTAGTTTCTTCTCCTCCTTGGACTTGTCTTTTTTGGGTGACGGGGGCTTTTCCTTTTTGGGAGAGGACCCGGACGTCTTTTCCTTTTTGGCTTTGGGTGACAACAGCAACAAGGACGACGATGCGGACGTCTTTTCCTTTTTGAGTTTGGGTGACAACAGCAGTAACGATTTCTTGGGTGACTTGATGGTAGGTGACAAGTTCGACTTCTTGGGTGACTTGGTAGTAGGTGACAGTAAGAGCGATGCATCCGTTTTCTTGGAGTTATTGTGTCGTGACGCCTTGTTCTTTTTCACTAGTTCCGTCGACACCATGGCTGTATTTCTCTCACCACCCAACTCCAACTCTTCCGAGATGAAACCAGGCGAAAGAGGAGCCAGGGCAACGTCTTCCGAAATGGTAGCTGGCGGTGGCGGCGGCGGTGGCAGTGCAGTAGTGGAAGAGGACGATTTCTTCTTGGACTTTTTGGTCTTGGACTTTTTGCCATCTTCTGCGGACAGATCCAATGCAAACTCTTCCGAGATGGTTGCTCGAGATGTAGCAGGTGGTGATTGCAAGACAAAATCTTCCGATATGGTAGCCACTGAAGCCGAGGATCGTCGCTTGGCTTTTTTCTTGCTTGTCTTTTTCCCATCTCCATCCGAAAGGGCAAAGTCTTCCGAGATGCTTTCATCGTTTCTGTTTCCCAATGCAAATTCTTGCGAAATGGTAGTACTTGGAGTTTTAGTAGTGGCATTGATAGTTGCTGTTGTTGGTGGTGGTGTCTGCAAGACAAAGTCTTCGGAAATGGTAGCCACCGATGCGGAGGAACGTCGCTTGGTCTTTTTCGTTTTGGTTTTGGTTCCATCGCCATCCGATAGTAGAAAGTCTTCCGAAATGGTGGGCGGCGTTGCAGTAGAATCACCAGAAGCAGCAGACGCAACCGAAGACGCGGCCGACATTTCACTGTGGTCCTTTGCATTCTTCTTGCTGTCACTGTTATTGTTATTATTGCCCCGAACAAAGTCTTCTGATATTCTCTTGAATTTGGCAAATTCTTCCGAGGTAGTCAATGCATTTGATGAGGAGGAGGAGATCGCAGCGGACATGCTGGATCTTCGTTTCGCCTGTTTCGTGTGTTTGGTCGTCGTCGTCGTTGTTGTGGTAAAGTCGTCTTCGGAATGTGTGACAGGCATTGGAGAGGTCGCCAACGAAAGTGACGACGAAGCCGCCGTCAAGCTGGATCGTCGCTTGGATTTCTTGGCCTTTTTGCCAGCCGCATTGGGAGACAGTTGCAGGTGATGCTCCAACAACGATGAAGGCGAAGAAGAAGAACCAAGTTCTTTGGAAATATCAAAAGTCGTCCCCACGGATTTGCATCGTGCCTTTTTCGTCTTGCTTTTTTTGCGGCCATGGGAGGATTGAAAGGAGTGGGATAATGCACCTGAACTCGATAAAGATTGCGACAAGGAAGATTCCTCCTCGGAGGTACCAACAGTATTGGACATGCTGGCATGTCGGATCTTGTTCTTCTTCTTTTTCTTGTTGTTGTTGTTGCTGCTGCTATCCTTTAACGAGGCAGACAAGTCCAAATCCCCCATGTCCTTTTTCTTTTTGCGGATTTTGGTAATGGGAGATGCTGGTGGTGCTTCTTCTGGCGGCGGTGGTGGTGGTGGAGGCAGAGGCATGACCAGTGGTTCCAGTTCCAAGGATTCCTTTCGTTCGAGATTGCGTCCCGATTCCGATCCTTCTGGAACTACGGCAATCTTCTTTTTCGTTTGCTTACTTTCTTGTTCCATTAATTGTTGCTGCTGTTCTTGTTTGGCAAGTTTCGCTTGTTGTTTGGCATGCTTCTTTTCCATTTGTCGATACGCTTCCAAAGCTTCCTCGTGATCGTATTGTGCCATTTCCAAGGCAAATTCCATACACTGTTGACTTGCCTTTCGTGAGGCTCGCGCCATTTTCAATTCCCAATAGGCGGAATGTTTGGACATTTTGGATTCCAAAGGAGTTGGGCTCATAGTCAATTCTTGACTGGCTTCTAATTTGTTCCAACGTTGTTCTTGGACGTGCAAGACCTCTTGGATGCAAGTAGTAACCACCACATCTACAGCTTCCTTGCCCTCTTCCATACAGGCTTCCAATCCTCGCAAGATAGATTGATCTTGCAATTCACCTACTTCTTCTTGTTCCATCTCCAATTGTTCTACCAATACAGCAATATCTTCGTCTCGATCCAACTGTTCGTTCTGTGTATACCAACAGGATGCCATTTCTTCTTCGGAATAGTCCTCTCGACAAAGAATGGTCCGTTGTTTGGCGTACGGGGCAAACCTGATTTTGGGTTTTTCGTTTGCTTCTTGTTGTCCTTTGCTTTCTTCTTCTTGTTGTTGTTGTTGTTTTGGTTGTGGCTTACTACTATTATCCAAGTGAAGAGGACCTTTTTTTGTTCCATTCTTGGGGCTGCCATTCTTGTTGCTAGTCTCCTCCTTATTCTTGCCATTCTTTCCATTTTTGCCATTCTTGTTGCTCTTGTTGTTCTTGCTGGTGAGACTAAAGGAAGTAGAAGAACCCCCGCCATCTTCTTTGGAATGCACCGAAGAAGAATTCAGAGACCAAAAGCCACCACCATAGGACGAATTGTCAGTCTTTAAGGTCGATTTACTACCAGGAAGAGAGGAAGGAGTAATAGACACGGTCATTGTCACTTTCGGCTTGCTGAGTTGAAGGGGTGGCATTGCATTCCCTCCTCACTTTTGTTCCATTGACTTTTTGTAGATTATGTTGTTGTTGCGCTTGTTGTTGGTTTGTCTTATTTCCAAAATTTTCGTCGCCCGCGAGATATATATTATACAGATCCTGCACGCAACCTCCGCATGCAGGCTATTACGGTAGCCGATTTTTGGTTATTCGTGAAAATGACCGTAGACTTGGTACTTTTGCTACGAACCAGTGACTCAAGCTTGTCCCGTCCCATAAATGTAGATCAAGAACTATTTAGGGTGTGCGAGATTTATGCCAAGAAATTAGGCACATGCAACACAAACGAGGAAAGAAGCCCGTCTGTGATTTCATTGGCCCCACATGAAAAAGAAATGAACGAATACGAGTGGACCATGTACTAGGGTCCCCCATGACTACTGGTTACTCTCCTCTAGAATAAAAATAAATGCATTCATGCATATGCTTGGTAAGGTACTATTACCATTCATTATAATAATAGAAGTCGTAGTCCTATTATCCCCTCTATATTTCTGTAGCTATGACTCATGACTGTTTTATCATTTTTTCAATGCCGTCGCAATGGCGGTGCACTGGCCCTTCGTTTTCCCCCATCCAACAAGATTGTGGTGGTAGTGGCGGCATCGTGATGAAAGGCAGCCGCAGTCGCATTGGCAGCTTCGTGAGCCGCCTTGCAAGGATGCTGTTGTTCTTGCCAACTGAGACGACGTTTCAGGGCGGAGATGGCATCCATCGTTTCTTCGTCATCGGTGGGGGGTGTGACAATGGATCGATCGTCCACCAGTGTCAGCAGGGACCGATCACCCGTGAGGGTACTGTCCACCGAAACCACTTCCAGGCGGTCATCCTCATCCTCATCCTCATGTTCATCATTATTATTAGTATTAGTGTCAGTGTCATCATGATGACCACTGTCATCATGTTCATCATTCAGAGTGGTCACCAATATATCTGATGGAGCGACTGAGGATGTCAAAGTAGTAGTAATGGTTGTGGGAGTAGCGCTCCTTGGTGATGTATTAGGCTTCTTTGTACCAGCATCTTGTAGGACTTGACTTCGCACCGTCTTTGTTGCCTTGGTCCTTTCCTCAATGTTCTCCTTGATATTCTCCTTGTTGTTCGTCTTGTTAGTAGTAGTACTTTGTTGTTGTTGTTGTTTTTCACTTTTTCCAAGCTGCAAATATGCCTTTTCGGCCAATTGCCGATCCCGCTTGGCAATCTTAATGGCTTCAATGATGGCTCCCCGACTCGCATCAATGGAAGTTTCGGAAATTCGATCCCAATCCCACAATAGCAACGGTCGTTCATTTTCTTCTTCTGCCTCTTGTTCTTGTTCGATACAACGCCTATGCCAATCCCTCCATTGGGCATCTTGTTCGTGCAAGACAGCCTCCACACACAAATTCTTCATGTCGTTCATGCGATCGTACCCACTGTCCGTCATTTGATGCAATCCCCGTGCAATAAACTTGGGTTCTCCTTTACCATTGTCTTCACGAACATAGTAGTACAAACTTTTACTCCGGTTCGAACCATTCCGACTTTCCGGAGTCTCTTCCATCCACCATTCCAATTTGGCAATGGACTTGTTCTGACGATGGGATTGAGCCTTCTTGTCTTTTGGCGATAGAAAACACGCCAATTTTTCTTGTAGCGTATAATCGTTTCTACTCAAGGTATCGTAAACTTCAATTTCTGCATTGAATCGTATGCGGCAATTGTCGTTGGGAAAGAATTTGTAATTCCAGTCTTCCGAAGAAGAAGAAGAAGAAGAGGATGAATCATCATGCTCTTCCTCATCCTCATCATCCTCACCATCAGCAGCGCTCTCTTCATCATTATCATTATCATCATCTCCATCCTCCTCGTGATCATCAGAAGGCTGGGAATAAGATTCCGAAGACGACGATGCTATAGAAATGGAACAGGCGGATTGCGTGTCATCTTCGTCCTCTTCATCATCTTCTTCCAAACCAGATTGATAAGAAGAAGCATCATCGCAGTTGTCTTCGTCCGAACTAGAAGAAATGCTGTTTTCTTCCACGGTGATTCCGCTTTCTTTCATCTTGTTTGCCATGCTGCTATTGTATTATCGTATTGGAATGCGTGTTATTGAAGTTTGGTATGTATACTTTCAATTTTGATTGTGATCGTATTTCGTGTTTCCCACACTCTCTTTGAAATTTGTGCATTCATCTGTCCGCTGTCACGCCGAAATAAATGTTAGTCCAACGAAAGGTGAAAGAACGCCAGCCATTGTTTCTAATTAACCACTTCTGGTCATAAATCTCAAACTATCCCTAAGTAACATCGAACATGCTAGTCCCGAGTCGACAATGATCGGAGTAGTCAAATGTGGAATGACTTGGACTAGCTTAGCTTCCTTACGTCTAAAAATCCAAAATCCGCAACAAAATAATATACATCTCATTAGATGAAGACATGAAGATGATGACACTCTCATCATCGTCCTCTTTAGTAACGTCAGCAATAGTATTACTCTGCTTCCAAAATGGCGTTTCCGCACTATCAATAACATCACCACCAACAACAAGTAGTAGCATTCCATTATCATTGTGGAAGAGACTTCTACTGGACCACCACCACCATTCTTCTTCTCGTTGTCGTAATGGTGATGATCCAACGCCATCACCCAATAATAATGAGCAGGAAAGCTTATTACTACTAGGATTTCCTCAAATCTTATTTGGAAGTCAAGGACAACGAGGAGAATACATGGATGGGTATTCCCAACAAGCCATGACGGATCGATGCATGGAAGATTATGGTTGGAACTCATTGCTGTTGGAATCCTCATCCTCATCCTCATCATCATCGACAACAGCAATAATACAAACCGAACGAGCCGAAATGATGGCACACTTGTATTCCAATCCCGAACTGTACCAGTACACCAGTATGGTGGCCTTTGCCGAACATTATGTATTACCATCATCATCGCCATCATCATCGTCATCATCATCATCAAAGCCGTTGCAGACATTTCTACAACAACAAAAGGCAAAACAACCATTTGAGGATCCCATTTTTGCCGGTGTCGTATGGGATGATTGGCAAATGATTGGTGACAATGACCATTACGCAAACCATAATAAGAAGGAAAACAATAAGTTGTCCCAATTTCGCCAAGCTGGAATGGATTATGTTCGCATCCACTGCAATTTATTGGGATCATCTCCTTCTACAAGTACAATTAGTACAAGTTCTAGTACTACTAGTACGATGAGTATTAGTAATAAGAGCCTTGTTGTTGATTGTCAACCACTATTGGAGTGTCTGGCTCGTGCTGCCCAACAATGTCAAGCTCATGAATTGGTGCCCCTCCTCTTGGTTCAAGTACCCTGGCGGGAGGATAGTAGGGAGAATGGTGATGGTGATGACAATGATAATGGCAACAACAATGATATATCATTCCAGTATTTTGACCAAGCCATGAATGGATTGGCAAAGGCGTTGAAGGACCAACAAGTGGATTGTTCCAAACTATTATTGGAAACGAGACCGCCCATTGGCATATCGGCCATGGAGGAACGCAACTTGAGTACAGCAGAACGAATCGAGTTGGGCTTTCAAGTTGGCAAACAAATGTTTTCCGTCTTGGACCATGTATTTGCTGAATCAAATACTGATGAGGCTGATAATGATGATTCTACAGGAAAAACAGCACCAACACTATTGGGATTTTGTGTGGCGGGTGGATCCACCAAGGGTATCAATCCTCCGGCCATGGAGGATGATACACAAAATGCCGTCCGACAAGGAATCCGGCAGTCCGCATCGAAGGCATGGGGACACACCACCACCATGCTTTGTTGTTATTGGGAAATGGGTGCCAAGTTAATGCTAACACCACAAGTGGGACAATTGTGGGGAAGTGGTGATAAGGATGCCGCACGAGAATTGTTTGTTCAAAATGCCAAGGCCATGGCCGAGGAAATAGTACAATCAAAGCACCAAGAGTAGGATGGTCCAAGGAGGTGCGCATGATGAGACCTGCTATCACCATAAAGCGCTACAACTTGCACCCAAGCGAAATAACAAGTAACGAGTATTAATAAATAATGATCTGAAGTTTTTAAATAATGCTAATAGTACACACAGTTATTATTTGTTAGATTCAAGAGAGAGAGAAATCAATACTAAGTTGAGGTTGCAGAAATAGATACATATAGATACATATCCATTACCAATTGGAACGGTTCCTCTTGGCAGTATTCACACAACTACAACTCAACCAAATGCATCCAACCTCCAGCATAGTTTCGTAATGAAATCGCCTACACGGACTGGCGAGACAACACGCATCCTTTTCCCCATCCATCCCTCCGGGCCCTAGCAACACAACCAACTGCAATATGAATTCACGATTGACACGATACGAAATCATCATCTAGTCTTGATGAGAAGCCTTGATGGTTATTAGATTTCAGCCATGCCCTCCTTCATATGGCACCATTCATCGTTGTTGGTAGACGAACCTCCACCGCAGATACCAGCGAGGGAATTCAAAATCTTTCCCACAGCTCCAACTTCTTCTTCTTCTTCTCGTTCTGCAGCAATCATCTCTTCCTCATCGTCATCACTGGACTCTTCCGAATCCTCACTCTTTTGAGGTGTCAGAGGTTCCTTTTGTTGAGCAGCAGCTTGCTCGTCTTGAAGCTTGCTAGCGGACTTGGTCTTGTTGAATACCTTCATTGTACTGGCTGTTAGACTGTTATACTGCTTTTGCTTCCGTGCGCGTGAGTGTTATAGTGTTTGGTTTGGTTTGCTTTGCTTTGCTTTGCTTTATTACCGTACTTGGTCAATCGTAAAAAATTGAACGAATCGTTTGTGTAGGTAGTGAATCTTATGTACTCACTTCATTGGCCTTACCTTTCGTATGCACCTCCGACAAAAATCTCGGTCACCCACTAAAATGGTTCCGCGGATTCTAACTATTCCGTCGTTTGAATGTCTTGCACATGCACCTGCACGGTATCGAATTGGCAGCGTATTGGTTCTTGAAAGGCAGGCGTTTCGCCGTATTCGTCAACGATGTGTCAGTACCAGAATATCTGGAATCCGGCTGTCAAACCAGGACCCGGATTTGAGTACGGACACTCCTGGAGTTCGTAACTCCCGCCTCGACCAATCATGTGCTTCCTCTAATTACGCGTCTCCCATTCATATTTGAACCCACCCCGCCTACGGAATCCCGCGCAGTCGGGGCATTTGAATGTTCCGCAATTAATGCAAATCCGGGTTTATGCGTTGAATATGGCTTGGCTGTCTCGCTTGTGAATACTCTCACTTTTGTCCGCCGCGTTTTCGATCTACAACTCCCTTACGCTTTGTTTTGATACTACACAGTAGTGCATCATTACCATTATACCATTATACCATCATCATTGCCACGCACACACAAGCCATACACATACACGCAGACCATACACAATAGTCAAAGTATAGTGCATCAGTCAATCATTGAGACAGAGCAAACGAAAAGAGCACACAAATTGCCAAGCTTGCACAACAATCTCAGAATCAAAGCATTACTCACTGCACACTGCACGCACTGCACACAAAACACAAAGCACAAAGCACAAAACACAAAACAAGAAGAAGACAATGATGTATGCCACACCTCACAAATCCAGCTCCCACAATGGAAGCACGACCTTGCGACAAACGCCATCTTCGGCACTGTCGTCCAGATCCTCCAGCACTTCATCTTCTTCTTCTTCTTCACCTCCCTCAATCTCCACACCATCTTCTTCTTCCCCAACCTTGCAGTCCTTGCGACTGACGTCTCCCCGCAAACGAATAATACGACCATTGCATCATTCGAATCATCACAATACTCAATATTCCTTGAGCAGTGAATGTTTGCGCTTGCTTACCAAGAGCAACAAGCTATTGTTGGGGATTGCTTCGTTACTGGTCACGTGGCTCTTGACGGCATCGCCCTATGAACGCATGGCACTGGAAAAGCTTACTCGCAATTATGATATCCCCAATGGTTATTACGACCATTCATTTTCGTTGCAGCAGCAGCAGCAGCATTCCAACAATCCATTGATTCGTGCCAAGCGGGGTCTGCCCGACAATTTGTTGCTCCTCAAGAGCAGCAGCAGCAGTAACAGTCACAAGAAGAACCACAATCTGAGACAACGAACAGCCAAAGAGGAGGAAGAGAACAAGGTGCCAGACGTTGATGTCACGCCACCGTCACGGCTTCGATTGTCTCCGGAACCATTTTTGCCTACTGCGCAAACGCAAGTGCATTTCTTGGCCGATGCCACGACGCCGGATCGCACGAGTAAATTCATTTTGGATGGACTCGAGCGTTCTAGTTATCTAGAAATTACGGCCATTTCGATTGCCCAATTGCACGCTACCGAACGGCAATTGGCCAGTCTTCAAGTCTTTGAGCGTAAATCAGAATTGCCCCTGCTGTATGTCGTGGATTGGGGAAGTATGGATCGGGATTGTGGACTCTTGCATACCATGCTTCAGAAAACGAGCATTTCTCGTTCGGACTCGATACTGTTGATGGACTTTTCGGCCAGTCATCGTCACACCAAGTGTGCCTTTTTGGACGATTACAAGACCAAGTATACCAAACGATCCGTGGTGGAAAAGAGATATTACGACATGACGTTCAATTGGATCTATCCAGGTCAATTAATGGAGAATGAGGGTGGCGATGTGGTCCACTTTGCTCCATTGGTCTTGCGGGAATCCTTTGTGGATTTGATGCACAATGTGACCACTAGCAAAGTGCAGCCACTAGAGCGAACCAATGATTTACTTTTCAATTGGAAGCCAGGAGACAATTCCCACTTTGGCTTTTTGCGTCGATTGGTGGCTGACAAGGTGCAATCGTTGGGAGCAAATGTCACTTCGTTTGCAGGATCCGACCAAGGCTACGTCGAAGCCATGCTGCGATCCAAAATTATCGTCTTGGCACAACGGGACGAATGGGAAGGACATTATCGGCTGTTTGAAGCCATGGCCAGTGGTGCTCTGGTATTGACGGATCCCATTTTGGCCATGCCGCCCCATTTTCAAAATGGAACCAATCTGGTGGTCTATCACAATTTGGAGGAATTGAAGCGTTACATTCGATATTATTCCAGTGACAAGCGCACCAAGAAGCGACTAGAAATTGCACAGAATGGTTATGCCACCGTCATGGGAAGGCATCGAACCTGGCATCGCATGGAAGAGATTGTCTTTGGAACGGCACTCACGTCAGTGGACCAATTGGATGGGCAAGCACCCACGAAACAAGAACGCCCCGATTTGACATTGGTGGAACATTCATAATAACAAGAGCAAGTGAAATATTTATATATAACTTTATAATGCTATTCTCCTATATACTTTGGGATTGATTGTATTCTATTACTATTTTAAAATTGAAAATCGTTTTACTTGCCGACCTGCACTTTCCTGGAAGGCCGCCGATAGTTGCGAAAGTAGGTGGACACTCGATCCCTAGTCGAATCCACAGAGAGCTCGACATATCCATCCAGGTCCGGGGTTGGTTGCAGAAATCTACCGCCCTCGCTCTTGATTCGCTCAATGATAGCATCCACCACAATCACCTTCATGCCACGATTCAATGAATCATAATCCTCCGATCGATCTTTAATGAGACCATGCAATAATTCATTGCCCTGACTCTTTTGGGCTCGCCCCAATACCACATCCTTGGGCAGTGGAACATCCGAGATCCGAGTCCCCCCGCGGACTAACTGAAAGACGGATTCTCGCCGACGATTGTGGTTGCGAAAGCGTTGTGTAATCTTTTCTCGTACCTTTGCTAACGATATTTCTTCCCAGCGTTCATTTCCCTTTTGGACTTGCTTCAGAAAGAGTCCCCCCGACTCGTGTATATCACCAATTATGCCGTCGACCAAACGTCTCTTGTCTTCATTCGAGCCTGAAGCATATAATTTTGCCGCATCTTTCACCAGTTTTCGAAGACGTTCGTTGCCAACATTGTCTCTCCTCTTGGATCCCATAAAGAGGACATCGTTTGGATTGGGTACTGTGATTAGTCCACCATGGGCAGGAGATGAGGAATGATGATTATTCGTTTTTGGCTCGTCATCCTGATGATCTAATTCGGTTCTGTCAGTTTTTGTGAAACAGGAACGGCACCATCGAAGATGTGGTTCCAAATCCATTTCGTTGGTCTCTGCTGAAAGAGGGAGGAGCTCGCCGGGAATGCCATAGGTCGACAAGTGATATTTGCACTCTAGATGTGTACCAAAGTGTAATCGAAAACGGGCGCGAGCTTGGGCTGGCATGGCTCGGACTACCAAGTTGCCAAGAACACCCTGCGCAAAATCGTCCGTGCAAACATGAAAGGCTGCGGGATAAAGCGGGAGAGCCATGCTCAAATTGTGATTCTCCAAATAACCACCACCCTCTCTCTTGTCCCTGAAATGACCTACAATATAAGTCAAATAAATGGCACCACGCTTCTGTGCTACCTCTCCCTCCAAAACTCTCATGAAAATGTAGTAGCGCACACGCAATTCGTTCTGTAAAATTTTGAAGGATCTCAGACCTGGAACCTGCAAAATGATGTGTCTATCGGATCTGTCTTTTCCAGCAATTTGAATGCATCCTGTTCGCAAGCAAGCTCGATCATCCTCGTCTAAATCGTCAATCGTGATCTCTTTTACCAATTTTTCTGTTCCGAATAACTTTTGTTTCTGTGCAAAGAATCGCAGCGTCTGGTCCGCTGCAGCTTTAGCATCATATCGATTTCCTCTCAAAAACATAATCCGAAAGGCTCTGGAACCAGCATACTTTGGGTCCATCTTTTCCGCAGTCTCATACACACTTCCATGTTTAATGCGTATCAGGTGGTTGTCTAATTCCTGAAGAGCGATTTCCACAAAGTCTTTATCTTCCGGAAGTGTGCCATCCACACCATGGAGAAGGTCTTGTTGCTCTTGTCGTTCCTGGAATGTGAGTCGATTGAATGCCTGAGACAGCATGGCATCCAGTGTCTCATCCTTTTTCATATTATTTTCCTGGTGATCGTCATCTTCTTTGTTATTAGTATTGCTTATAATTGACACGAATGACTCATCTTGTCTAGTACCGTGATTGGTAAAAGTAGGAGGAGCATTGCAGAGCTGCTTCCCTGAATTGAATTCAAAGCAACTTGTCATGCTGTTGATATATTTCACTTTGTAAAATATGGTCTCAAGTGTTTTAGGCATGTGATATACAGTATGGCAATAACAATAAGATCGATACGCATACGGTATATTTTTGTTCGTGTTTGGATACGGTAATAAGAGGCGCAACCAGCGCTGATGGAACGTGCGCTGTAAATGCCGGCGGGGAGAGACAATGTACACGTATATAACGCCCCCCTGAATAATCGCGTTCTGCGCGACACAACTATGCGTTTTTCGAAATGTGTATTTTATTTTATAATTACTACTATTAATACTGTATCATACAGTAGTACGAAGGGTGCCGATGCTACAAATTCCCTTATATTCCAAATATAGTACGGTAGGCATGTGTACCTGGTACCCAGTATGCACTGTATCATGGGTGTCGAGAATTGCAAACACGCATCCTCCATGGAGTACTCAGCAAATATCGCAGCCAAAATATCGTAAAAAGATGATATTGCAGCAAGTTTATATATGCTTCATCTTCTCAGACTAACAATGGCTGGTAGCTAGGCAGTGTACCACCGCCACGACTAGCTAGTGTTAGCTTTACCACCCTCCTGGGAAGACATAGATGTAACCTATTGGACCCCACTCTTTGCGGCTGTCCGTCGATAGTTTAGAAAGTATCTCGCAACTTTTTCACGAGCTGTTTCATTTGAGACTTCCAGCCAGCCGCTACCGTCTTCAGTTGGTTGAAGGAATCTACCACCCTCTCCCTTTATCCTATGAACGACAGCATTCACGATAGCATGCTTCTGTCCACGATCTAAAGCGTCGTACTCGTCTGACCTTTCCTTGATAAGGCCATGTAACAAGTCATTACCCCCACTTCTTTGTGATCTGCCAAATATGACGTCTCCTGGGTGTGGTTCTCCTGTAATGAGGGTACCAGTCGGGGTCTTATGACGAGAAGATGCCTCCCGTTTGTTTTTGTAATTTCGGAAACTCTGGCTGATCTTGGGTCTAACTTTCTCTATCGGCAATTCGGTCCAAACCTCGCCATTCGCTTCTTGCAATAAGAAGCGGCCTCCAGATTCGTGAATGTCATGTATGATTCCGTCCACAACTTGTCTCTTCTTATGGTTCGGGGCTGAACCATACTTAGGTGCCAGTTGGCGAACAAGATTGCGTAGTCGATCATTGCCCTGGTTTTGACTCTTTTTGCCACCCATATAAAGCACATCACTGGGATTCGGTTCGATGGTACTAGTATGCTCTTGTCTTGGTTCTTGGTCCATCATGGTCGGTAGTTCACCTTGGAGCCAATCGATGTGTCTAGTCATATCGATTTCATGCGTCCTTGATTTTAGTGGTAGTTGGTCAACAGATATTCCGTAGCTGGACAAAATGTACTGAATTTCCATGGGGGATCCACAATGCACACGAAACCGAGCTTTTAACTTTGCTGGCATTAGCTATGGAACAATTGATTTCGTTAGCACAGAGATGGAAGGCTGATGAACAAAACTAAAAAGAAAAAACATACCGAGATTGCCGCCTTGCCAATCACATGCTGCGCTCCATAATTACAGCACGCATGGAAAGCAGCTGTATGAAGTGGTAGCGCCGTGGCCAACCTCATTTGCTCGATAAATCCCTCTCCTTTCACGTTGTCCCCAAATTGCCCAACGACGTAGGTAATCGCTACCGCTCCTCTCAGTTGCGTTGCTTCTGAGCGCAATTGTTGCATTGTGATGTAGTAGCGGTAGCGCAATTCATTGAGTAGAGTCTTGTACACTCTTAGTGACGGAAGCTGAAGAAATAGTACTCGATTCGATCTATCTTTCCCAGCGAACTGAATTGATCCCGCTTTGAGCGCTTCCTTGTCATCGTCATCCAAGTCATCAATGGTGATATCCTTTGTCAACTTTTGCTCTCCGAAAAGTTGTTCCTTTATTGCAAAGAAGCGAAGCATCTGGTCAGCGGTTGCTTTTGTATCATATCGATTACCTCTCAGAAACATGTTTCGAAAACCTCTATCATGAACATATTCAGGATTCATTGTTTCTGCCTTCTCGTACACACTTCCTTGTTTCGTCCGTATCAGGTGACTATCTAAGTCCTTCAGGGAATGGTCAATGAAATTTGCTTCCTCAACGATTTCATCATTCACACCATGCAAGTCTTCTTGTTGCTTTTGTCTCTCCTGAAACGACAGTCCATTCAACGCAGCAGATAAGATTGCATCAATTTCCTTGTTCTGTTGTTTCACATCAGTTGACAATGAGGTATCTTCTTCTTGGCGCTTGTGATGATTGTTCTTCTTTTCGAATACGTCACAATAGTTTGAATGATTATCTGAGGACTCATCATCATTATCAAAGCAACTTGGCTGTGCTCTGAACGGTTGATCCAGGATGCTCATGCTGGTGATTTCCGAACGATTTTCCATTGGAAATGATCGTGATGAATTCATTTTGAATTTTACAAACACTGTAACCAAAACGACTTTTCATGCTTTTTATGCTGACGCAAAGCGCTTTAAAAAATAACGATTACACTGCGGGAAAATATCAAATGATATATAAGTGAAAGTGTGAATGATATGTGAATGGATGATATTAAAATTTGAAGAATCCGAAGAAGTTTGGCCGAAATTTATTTATGCTGTGAAGAAGTGGAAATGCTAAAAGGACACTTCCGATCTTCGAGCGAACGTGCCTCCGCCCTACACAATAAGCTGAATTCATTACCGCAGGATAGAGAATGGAATTTACATATAAAAAACAATATGATTCTGTTATGTAGGCACAACCACAATGACGCTTTTTCGTAACGTAACCGGTAACTTGAAGCAGAATCACAGGCTGACTTTCTGTAACATTCGTCGACGATAATTTCGGAAACACTTGGAAATGGCCTCTCGGGCCTTCTCGTTGGAAACTTCGTAGAGTTCTCGATTATTATCATTGGGAGATGATTGCAGGAAGCGGCCATCTGCATCCTTGATTGCTTGTAGGACATCATTGACTACTGCTGCTTTCATTCCACGATCCAACCTATCGTACTCTTCAAATCGATCCTTGACGAGATTCAGCAATAAGACATTGCCCCCGTTCCTCTCAAATTTACCTAGCAGTACATCATGGGGTAGTGGATCCCCTGATATCGGAGTTCCAGCTGAAACTTGCTGCCGTGACGATGCTCCACGCAAGCGTTTGTTGTTGCGAAACATTTGATATATCTTAGATCGTGCTTCTTCAGTTGTTAGCTCGATCCATATCGGTTCAACTTGTTTTGTTCGTTTCAGAAAGCGGCCTCCTGACTGCCGTACCTCACTGATGATAGTGTCAACGACACTTCGTCTCTCCGCACTCATTGCAGATGTGTACAAATCTGTCATTTCCCTAACCTTTTGACGAAGACGATTGTTCCCACCGTTGTGGCATTGCTTCCCACTGACACAGAGGAAGTCATCGTCGGTTGGTTCAATCAAGGTGCTTCTGTTGGTAAGGGATGAATTTCCTCCTCCTTGCTTGTCTCCTCTCCTGATATGTGATTGCATCCAGTCGAGGTGTCGTTGAAGACTGACTTGCTCCGTCCCGGGAACAAAGGGGAGTCTATCTGTTGGTATTCCAAAGGTAGACAAACTATACTGACACTCTAAATCCGTGCCGAAATGCACCTGGAAACGGGCACGGGTGCTAATATTGATTGCCTTGATGAGAACACTGTAAAGCACATATTCGCCCAAGTCCGTCCCGCTGACACAGACGTGGTAGGACGCCATGTGAAACGGCACAGCCAAAACGAGCCTTGCTAGATCTGGGTAGCCTTCCCCAGCGAGCTTGTCCCGAAAGGCGCTCCCCACCGAGTAAGCGACTGTGACGTACCCACGCAATTGAGTCTCCTCAGACTGTAAGACATTCATGAACATGTAATAATTTGACCGCATCTGATTCTGTATTATCTTGTGCGCCCTCAAGCCTGGAAACGTCAGAACGACAGTTCGATTGGATCGATCCTTACCAGCCACTTGTACGGACCCAGTCCTCATGCAAGCAAGGTCATCTTCGTCCAAGTCATCAATGGTAATATCTTTCACCAGTTTGTCCTTTCCAAAGAGTTCTTGTTTGACTTCAAAGAAGCGGATCATTTGGTCAGCGGTAGCCTTTTGATCATACCGATTGCCTCGGAGAAACATAATTCGGAAGGCTCTGGCATGGACGTAATCGAAACTCATCGTTTCTGCTGTCTCGTAGACAGTTCCATTTTTCATCCTCGATAAATTTTCATCCAGTCCTACCAGTGCCTTTTCAATAATGGTAGACTCTTCCTTGATCCTCTTCTCTACTCCATGAAGTACCTCCTGCTGAGCTTGCCGTTGTTCAAATGTCAGAGCATTCATTGCTTCAGATAACATTGTTTCGATTTCATCCTTTTTCTTTTGAGCGTCATCAAGAAGAAGATCCACATTATCATCCTTCAGATTATTATTCGAGCCTGAATTCGTCCTACCATCGATGCGACAGCCGAAGCAACGAGGCCCAGCATTGAAGGAAACATCAAGCTTGCTCATCACAGGTTTTATTATTACCGGTACAGATGATAGTTGAACCTTGGTTGAACAATTGTTTGCGTGCACAGCGGGCTGTGATATATCACATATAAATATATATTTTTAAAAAAGTATAGCACCTACCTTAACTACGTGGGTTCGTTTTATTTAACACCTTCAAGGGCGGAACTCATACAGAACAGAATGCGAAACTTTTGATTTAGTCGAGCAAGTCGAGGAAACCGGGACTCTGAATCACTCAAGACTGACGTATGAAGCAAACAACGGCCGCCAGTATACTGCGGCGGTATAACAAATCTTACTATCTCCTCAAACTGCATGCAACAACAACAACAACATGATGTCTTGTCGACTATATCTTGGAATGATTCTTTCAGTGGTACTGATAAACCCGGCACATGCGTGGGTCAACCAACTACCGATCAGCAGAAGAGGGTCGTGGTCATCATCTTACTATTATGATTCTTCATCATATTCCTCGTCTTGTTCAGCGACAGCGACACCAACATCACTCCAAGCAGCAAGGCTTTCACCATTGCCACCCAATATCTCTCCCTTTGAAAAGTCAGAAGCCAAATCACGTGATATCACTGGTGACTTTCGCAAAACTTCATTATCGGCTCTACAGCAAGCCATCAGAGATGGCAAGAAAGAAATGGAAATTGAGTTTCCTCCACTCTTGGAATCCAAATCTCAGTTTGATGACTTTGACAATGTTCAAGAACTCAACAAAAATCGTGACTGGTGCATAGAATGGCTTCCAACACTTTCGAATGCTATCAGTCCTCCAGTGTGGTTTGTCTTACCGGATACCAAGGAAGTGGAACTTGCCAAAGAAGAGTGGAATGGTCAACGATTCCGGCAAGCAGCATCCTGGACCAGCATTGAAGCCGTGACCGAACATTACTCTTCGTCAGCCTCTTCCACTGATGATGACAGCAGCAACGCAGATGAGAATTACTCCAAACCATGGGGTGCAACCTTTGCCGCTGGCATGAGTCAACTGCTTGGCGGTGGCAATGGAGATTCGGGATTGTTGGGAAATAAGGATTCCTTGGACGACCTGACTACTGAGACTAATAGTAATCCTTCGCTCCACTTGGTGTGTCAACCAGGGAATGGTGGACCCGTGGAGGACTGGATCAATGTCAAAAAGTTTCACATGGACATGGCCAAATCGAGTACTCCCACCTGCATCGTGAATGGAGCCTTGGACAAGGTCCGTGACGGATACTACAATGGTTTCATTTTTCCAGCATTGGCCAAGACCTTTGATTTCTACAAGTCCTTTGAATCCATATTTTATTTGAAGCCAGTGAGTGACAAGGGTGTTTACGGTTGGCTGTATCGGGTGTATCCGGAACCATGGCAAGTCGTTCTTCAAACCCCCTACGACAAGGGTGGCCGTGTCATGGTGCAAGACAGTGTGGCATTGGTATCGGACAAGAGACCGACATACACGGAAGCGGTTCAAGCTCTACTTCAAGAAGCTCAAAAGCAGAAAGCATAGAAGAACAAGAAGGAGCTAAACATAATACTTGCTAGAGTATCATCATCTATTGCAATTTTTATTTGTTTTTCTTCTTCTATTCTATATTTTGTGTTTGCTTAGCAAGTGCGGGGTCTCAACAATAAGACAGCGCCATGAGGTATCGGTACTATTCGTGTCTCATTTAGTCGGTTCCACCAGTCGTCGACAGAGCGTTGCACCGCCATTCATATGGCAGCTGTTTGAAAAGTTCTGCAACCGAACCACACTGCCGATAATCCTTAAAATCGATTGGGTCGCAGTCGTCCACTTCAAATGCTGGGCAACTTGGGATCTGATCCAGCATGGCTTCCGACAGTAGTTGCATGTACAAGTCAGGCGGAGCGGCATTTTTCAAGTGTTCCAAAAAAGTCTCACCCACTTGCCCATCCTCACAGCATTGCTTAAAGGTTGCTCGAATCACTTCCCGTAACATGAGCCTTTCTTCCTTGTGTCGTTGCCGACCACCGTCCATTTTGCTTGGTAATGGCAAGGCCAGGTTGGCGCAAGCCTTCATAAAGGTAGCATAGGCAACGTCATCTGCCTGTCCATACCGAGACGATTGTAATTCTTGTAGAGTAAAAATGGCAGTGTCCAATGCCTTGCGACGGGTCTTGAAATCCGAGTGATCTGCCGGAAAGGTGCAGGAACTCAATACTGTCGTATACGTCTCTTCGTTGGGACGAGCATTTTCGTATCCCGATTGGTACCATTTGTCCATTCGGCGAAGAAGTCGGAGTGCTTTCTGGGCTTTGGACTCGCTTTCACTCTTGGAAATGGCGTCAATGACCTGAGAAAGATGGCAAAAGGATACACGCGTGTCAGACTATATATCTGATTGCATCCGCAACAAACACAATAGAATAATACTCACAATTTTGAAACTCAAATCGTCTGGTGCAATCGTGCTGTCGCCATCTTGATGAAGTTTCCACATGCGCTCCAGGTGCTTCTGTGCTTGATTCCCACAACATCTCGTCCCAGACTTTTCCCAGGATTTCAGTACGGCATTGTAGGTATAGGTATTCGGTGCCACCTTTGGTAATCCATTGGCACAGAGTTCTTCCATTTCTTGGAGCAAGGCTTCCGCTTTGCGTGCGGCCAAGGTGCCCTTATCACTCTTGGCCCAACAGTCAATGACGGCATGAAAACACGCCCGATTGGGTTTCATGTGCGATTCGCCATTGGCATGACGTTCCTTCATGCGTCTCAAAATGGCTTCGGCACGTTCTGCCGAATCAGCTTGTTTGCTTCTCGTCAATGCCAAAATAACCGAAGTGTATCCAATCACATCCGGGCGGACACTCTTGTGCATCTTGAGGCGATGGGCATTTTCCATGTACTGCAGTAGTTGGACCGCCATGGCGGCTGCCCCTTCCTTTTGACTCTTGGCCAAGGCCGCAAAGGCCTGATTGAATGAGTAGGTATCTGGATCTGGTAATCTGGTGGAAGTAATGAGCCTTCGCAAGACGCGAACGGCATTCCAAGCGGCCTCTGGTTCATCCTTTTCAGAAGCTCGGGACCATGCATCGATCACCAAATTGTACGTAAACAAATTGGGTCGAAAGGATGCCAGTCCTTGTTCATGGGATAGTTCCATTTGATCGAGTACACCATTGGCCTGTTGGGCATATCCAGGCAGACTCCCATGTTGAGACAAGGCATGGATGTGAGTGTTGTACGAAATCAAGTCGGGAGGAAAATAATGTTGCGAGGAGGAAGAATCGTATTGGGATCCTTCCATCAGGTTGAGTAGTTCTCGAGTCCGTTTGGACGCCATGGGATCCTTGGACTTGACCCAGGTAGACATGACTGTATTGAAAACGACAGTATTGGGTTGCAATTCAGTCGAGTCCATCAATTCTCGTAAAAGCTTCTCGGCACTATCCACCGCATGAGACCTCATACCAGAAGCACCCCAGGCGGCAATGACAGTGCTATAGGTGACAATATCCTTGGGAGCCTCCATTTCTTCCAAGATTTGTTGGGCATGTTCGGCCGATTGACGACCCTTCCTTGCACGCAACCAAGCCTTGATGGCAAGGTTGTAACACACGGTATCGGGTTGGACAATCCCCGTCGCTAGCATGTGTCTCACAAGACCTTCCGCAAGCAATCCCGCATTGTCATGACCACTATTCGCGTAGGAATCCAAAATGGTCCGGTAATACTTTTCGGAAGGCTTGGCATGTGGATTCTTGCCAGTGGAATACAAATTTTCCATCCATCCCAGGAGACGTCGAGTTACCTGAGGTCCTTCAATGCGATTGACCACATCAAATACCATGGAAAAGGATTGTTCATTGGGTCTAAACACATCCATTTCATCGTGATTGGAAGAATCCTGAAAGTGACGAAGAATTTCTCTGGCTCGTTGGGATGCCGTTTCGGAACTCTCGGGCAAGAGAAACAAGGCAGCACATGCCCAAGTGTCCAAGAGAATGTTGTACAATTCGGTATCCGCAATGGCTTCTGGATTGCCAGACACTCGTTCCTGTGTCAGTCGTTGGAGCAACTGCTCCACATACAAAGGTGCATCTTCATCAAATTTGCTTCTCTTGGACCAGGCTTTTAGCAAAGACACAAGTTCGTGCCACTTTCCTTTTTGCAAGGATCCCGGTGTTGTCAGCAGCATTGCATCCGAGTTTCGCTTGAGCCATTGCTTTTTCGCTTTACTTTCTTGGGAACTCTGGGCGTCTTTGCGGATGAAGCACTTTTTATGGAAGCCGTTGGTATTACTGTTGTTCAGGTGACGACTCGGATGACCATTCTTGGTCTTAGTCTCAAGGTTTCCTGAAGGATTCTTCTGATTCTTCTGATTGTTATTTTTCTGATATCGTTTTCGATTCTTGCGTCTCTGCTTTGGATCCGCCCACCGGCTGGGATGAAATTCGTCACTTGAATAGTACAGTGACGTACTTATTCTAGTATTGGTATCTTGAACCTTATAATGCAACGGACTGTGTATTCGATATGTCTTATTCAGCTGAAAGGCATCAGCTAGCGATGGTTCATGCATACTAGTGAAACAGCAAAGCACAACAGCCACTGTCGATGATGACTTGCGAAACTTCATCGTTAGTTTGTGTTGCAGTGTACCTTGAACCTACTGTTTTGCTATGAGTCTGAGTCTGCAGTTCTGTGAATTCTGGACATTGCTTCCCTAAAATCGTGCTGGAGTGTTCTTTCTAGATGAATATAATACCGGTTCGTACATGAGAACCAGCTGTCCAAACTTGAAGAATATTGCCGGACACGTATTTCAAAATTCTTTCGTGGATCTCACCCGGAGATTTCATGGCTCTCTCGAACCAATCAAAATGGCCCACGCCCCAAATTGAAAATAATATCCAACGCACACAAAACGAAAACGTGGTGACAATGACGACGCACCGACTCACTCACTCACTCACTCGTCCCTATCCTCGCGGTCTTTCACAAGCCCGACTGACGACTGACTATACCTACGAAATACTAAATCTTCATCTCCTTCCGCATGCCTCTTGTTGCATATCCATATATAGAATATAAAAGAAGATACAGAATATAGGACTATGTTTTATAATAGAATCTTTTTACAATAATACCTTGTTGATTCCCACCGGTAGTCTCCCTATGGTATTATAGCATTAGTTTATACACGTCAATGCAATACCACGGTACAACGAAGAAAACCTTGCGGTTTTTCAATTCTCGTCCTCATAATCCTCATGATCGTCACCACTTGTCAATCGTTGTGATGGTGGCCTCTTCTTGTTATTGTGGCTGCTATTATTATACTTCGTTTGATGAGCAACAAACGCCTCAAGCTCTCGAATCGGAAGTTGGAGCAAGTATCAGCCATCTTCAAACTCGCGAGCTTCTTTCTTCAATTCCTCTAGATTGCTGTTGTTCCTGTTGTTGTTGTTGTTCTTGTTGTTGTTGTTGCTAGTAGAATCGTTCAGCAAGTCCAAGTGTTAGCCCACCCAAAAGGACAACTCCTCGTCTGGCCAATGGCTGTATTGAATGCCTTGTCCATTCACAAGCTTGCGCAATTGGTCCACCATTTGTTGTTGTTGTTGGTGGTGGTGGTGGTGGTGGTCTTTTGGTTTTACCACACTACTGCAGCTGTACTACCATCCTCATGATGATAATGCTGCTGCAAAAAGACTTGAAACTCGGTCACTAGCCACTCGAGATTCTTATTGCCACTGCTGATCAACATCGCACAGAACCAGCAGCTTTGCCAGGAGGTGGAGTCTCGGATCGGACCAACTGAAGTTCGTCTTGCTCGCACTTATCCAATGCCTTGCGGTAATCGGAACAAGCCTGTGTAGATTGCCGCTCCAAGTTCTTCATTTGAATGATGGTGGTGATGGTTATGATGGTTATGATGTTGATGATGGGAACAACAAAATGAAAGTATCTGACATCCTCCTCATTCATCTCCGTCGTCCTTCATTTGGCTGGGACCGTGGACGTGTCCCATCGTCTCAGCTCGACTGTGGGAACTCCAACCGTGGATGTTGACAATATCCTGTACAGTATAGTTTGGGCGTGATGCGTAACGTAAACGTGGACGTGTCCATGTGTACCGGTAAGATGATGCTGATGATGCTGGATGATGGATGCATTGAAGAATGACGTTTTAGTCGAAGATGTCGAAAGCGAAAAGCAGAAGCGAAGCGAAGCAATATTAAGTGCGCGCGAACGCGAATGAGAACCAGCCGGCCGTCCTTATTATTAGAAGGCTAAACGTCATTCACCATATTTATGCATCTTTGTTCTTTTCCTTGTGAAACCTGAAGAGAGACTCTCTAGGTTCACCCCCAAGAGCAACTCCTAAATCAGTGAAATGACCCAACTTGTCTTGCATTTGGCAGCTGCAGAATACTTTTGTAAGGCGCAGCTTTGCCACGCAGTCCCCATTTAGTGTCAGCCAGGAAGAGAAACAAATTTTAGAAAGAAGAACCAACCAACCAACCAACAACTTTGTGAGAGAGTCCTATCATTATCATCATCATCATCATCATTCATCATCATCCCATCACATATCCGACACCACCACCAACAACAACAACAACAACAAGATGCTGAGACTTAGGCAATTTCAAAAGAGTCATTCAATATATCTAAGGAGGGATCGAAGAGAGTACAATATCTCAAACGCGAAACGAACGGCAAATGATGACAACAGCACTGCTTCTTCCTCCAGCAGCACAAACAAAAAGAAATTTTCGTACAGTCCACAGCATCGTCAAGAAGACATTCCTACAGACATCGTTCATCTTCGGTTTCATCCATCTGTCGCACATATTGGCATTGTCTTTATTTCAGAGAATGCAAGTGACCGCCCCGAAGGGACGGAACTCATTGGATCTGAAGAAGCTCACAAGATGAGGATGCGGTTCAAGAAGTTATCTCTCCAGATACCCAAAGGAATACGCCGATTTGGTGGATCATGCTTTTCCAAATGCTCTTTACTATCGGATGTTCGATTACAGGAAGGTTTGAAAACGATAGGAATCGCAGCATTTGCGCAGTGTCATTCGTTGTCGACCATTGCGATACCATCGACTGTCGAATCCATTGGAAAGGCGGCCTTTGCGCAGTGTCAAAACTTGCAAGATGTGACCTTTTCTGCTGGTAATAATGCAGCAGCAGCAGCAGTATTGCGCATCATTGACGACCATGCCTTTGACCAGTGTGTCTCCTTGTCCAAAATATCCTTGCCATCGTCGGTGGAAGAAATTGGTACCCAGTCCTTTGCGTCCTGCACCGCCCTAAAAGAGTTTACGGTTGTGAACCAAGGTGGGCACCTGAAACGAATTGGGGATCGAGCCTTTGAAAAGTGCCAGGCCTTGACGAAACTGTCCCTCACTTTGGAAGTGATTGGTGATTCGGCCTTTTTGCTTTGTGAATCCTTGCGTAATGTTGTCTTGGAGGAGGGACTCAAACACTTGGGCGCCCACGCGTTTGAACGGTGCTCGTCCTTGAAGAACGTGTCGCTACCGTCCACCATGGAGACCATGGGAACCAGTACTTTTGATACCTGTCGATCATTGGTCGAGGTGGACTTCAATGGAGGTGGTCACCTGAAAGAAATACCAGATTTTGCCTTTCACTGTTGTGATTACTTGGGCAAAGCGTCCATCCCTTCTTCGGTAGTAGTGATTGGAGAAGGCAGCTTTGCTGGCTGTGAGTCGCTGCAAGAACTGGAATTGTTTGATGGATTGCAAAAAATAGGAAACAATGCGTTCCAAAGCTGTGAGTCCTTGCTGGATCTATCTATACCCCCAACCGTGGAAGAAATTGGTGAAGGAGCCTTTACGCTGTGCCTGTCTCTGGAGACCGTCAAGTTTCATGAGGGCCTCACGATTATTGGCGAACACGCCTTTCAAGGTTGTGAAGCTTTATCGGAAGTTTCTATACCGTCCACTGTGGAGGAGATTTGTGAAGGTGCCTTTACGCTGTGCGTCAGTTTGGAAGAGATAAACTTTCAAAATGGTTTGAAGATCTTGGGCGAGCATGCCTTTGATGGCTGTACTGCTTTGACCCATGTTTCCGTGCCTTCTTCTATGGAAGATATTGGAGAAGAAGCCTTTTCGAATTGCGAATCGTTACAAGAGGTCGAAGTCCGTGAGGGTCTGAACCATGTTGGCCAAGGGGCGTTCACCAACTGTAAATCCTTGTCGCACATGGATATCCCTGGGACGTTGGATGAAATATGCCATTCAACCTTTGCCTTTTGTGTTGCCCTGCGCGAAGTCCGATTGAACTTTGGGTTGAAAAGCATTGGTGAGGGCGCCTTCTCGAACTGCCACTCGTTGCTGCAAATCGAAATACCGGGCTCTGTGGATATTATTGACAAGGGTGCCTTCGCTACCTGTGTGGCACTCGGGGATTTGCGACTTAAGAATGGACTTATTACGATTGGCGAAGGGGCTTTCCTCTCTTGTCTATCGCTGACGCGATTGTCTGTTCCTCGCTCGGTGGAAGTGATCGGCAAGGGTGCCTTCGCCTTTTGTGAACGATTAGAGACTGTGGATTTATACGAAGGTTTGAAAGAGATTAAATCCTTTGCCTTTCGCCAGTGTGTCTCGATCTCGCTTCTGAATGTTCCAAAGTCCACCATGAAAGTTGGTGACCGTGCTTTTGACGGGTGCCAACTGTTGTTGGCCGCCAAGGCTGCAAATGAATCGAAGATACACGCCACAAGTGCTCATTCTTCCGAACACAAAACGCAAGTTCTCAACTTGCCCGCCAGTATTTTTGACGATATCGATTTGGAAGACAGCGAGTTTCTAAGCGATTGCTCTTCCATGCTTTCGAGCACATTTTAATGCCAGTGGATTGGGATGGTTATTTTAGATAGAAACAGTGGCCACACCGTTCAATAGAGGTACATGTATTTTCGATAGTGTATAGTTCTATTTTCACTAGACTTTGTGTTTTATTTTAAGCGAATCCTTTCTTTGCCTTGCTTGTCTTCTTTTTGTTCTTCTTCTTGCTCTTCGTCCCAGGCTTAGCTGCAACTTTCCCAAAGGATCGTGGGGGCGTCGCATTGCCACCGGCCTTCACAGTCTCCGAAGTCCTCGTCATTTCGCGTAGTGCTCTTGAAACCGTCGTCAACAGCGGTTTACTGATGGGCTCCATGGCTACGATTTGTCGTAGCTCAGTCACCATCCAATCGGCTTGTTCGCCCTTGATCTGTGGCCATTTCGCCAGTTCGCGGGCCATTTCGGTTGCCAATATGGGCGATCGACGATCCATTTGTCGTATAATATGGCCGACAAATTGATATCCAGCTTGTGTGTGAAAGGATCTCGTGTTCTTGGTAAAGCTGGTAATCAAAGAACGGAACCGACCTGCATTGTTGGCTTGGAAATGAGGATTTTCTTGCATCAGTGATTGGATTCGTGGCAAAGCGTCCTCCAAATCTGCCAAGGCCTGAATCTGAAACCATTTATTCAGGATAGTGTTGCTCGTTGACGGAGACTCGGATGCAGATTCCGTAAAGGCGAGTTGAAAGAACTCTAGCGTGACTTTGTCCCTCAGTTGCACCGCTTCCGTGTTGCCTGAAAGGGAAGCAATTTGGCGGAAAGCAGTCAAATGGTCGGTAAAGCAATTGGCCTGCTCAAAATGCTTCTTAGCCAGGAAGGCTGCTTGCTCCGGTTGTTTACCGAAAACATGACCAGCGACAAGATATTCCAGACAACGATTCCGCAAAGAGCGGATAGCACGGGAGTTTGCATCGGTAATATCCTCTATCGGAATGGAAAGGACTTTGGAAGTCATATCGTCATACACTTCTTGGAGTGCACTCTGATGGAATTGGCCAATGATTCCCATGACACGCTTGCGGGCGTCCAACAAGGCCACGGGATCACACGGCTTTGGTACGCTTCTTAGAAGAATTGCTTCGGTTGGAAGGTTCAGCAAGTACGACTTTGACGATGCATCGACCTTTGGATCAGTCAGAATGTTACCGAATGAGTTGAGAATGACTGGCTCCAACGACGATTTGGATAGTTCATCCTCAGCGTCCAACAGATCCAATACAAATCGAGTCAATAGTTCTTGCATTGCCTCCCATCGATTGAAGTCATCGGTGTCATAGGCGGCCAGTAGCGAGAGGTACGCTTCTTCATCTGTTTTGCTCTGCTCCTTTGCAGGTACCAAGTACACTGGTGCAGAAAACCCTCGTAGCAGTGATGGAACAACTTCCCCCTCGAGCCCATCGAACACCATCGTTTCCGTACGATCTTTCAAGTCGAATATAATTGTCGGGACTACTTCTTTTCCTGTTGCCTTGTCCAGCAATCCAACCGCGACTGGAATTTGCAGCAGCGGACCCCCATCCTTTTCGTTGGTCAAATGCGTCAATCGTTGCGACAGTGTCAATTCCAGTGTTCCATTTTCATTACAATAGTGATATTCGTACGACACGGTTGGGGTTCCGGCAGTGCTGTACCAACGCGGAAATTGCTCCAAGTCGACCAATTCGTTATTGGCATCCGCCATGGCCCTCCAAAAGTCGTCACAAGTAGCCCCCGTTCCATCGTGCCGGCTCATGTACAAATTCAGACCGTTCCGAAATCCTTCCTTTCCAACAAGAGTCTTGTACATGCGACACACTTCGGCACCCTTGTGATAGGTCGTGGAGGTAGCCAGGCTATCGAGACTGTGTTGTTGGGACGACGACGACGACGACGACGACAATAAGTAACGCTCGGGTCGAATGGGCTGCCGGAGCTTTTCCGAGGCATCTTCCACAAATTGTTTCTCCCGCAATAGTTTGACCGCCTCGATCCGCGTGGCCAAGGAGAATGACCCGACATTAGTATTGTGGCTGCTGGTAAACTCTTGATCCCGATAGACCGTCAAGCCTTCCTTCAAGGTGAATTCGAACCAATCGCGGACCGTGACCCGATTGCCCGACCAATTGTGAAAGTACTCATGGGCAATGGTCTTTTCGACCAAATCATACGTGACATCGGTGGTACAGGAAGGATCTGTCGCTATCAAGGAGGTCATGAATAGATTGAGGCCCTTGTTTTCCATGGCGCCGATATTAAAATGTTTGGCCGCCACAATGGTATAGGTATCCAAATCATACTCTAGCCCGTAGGTGTCTTCGTCCCATTTCATGGCCTTTTTCAGTGTCTCCATGGCAAAGGTAAGTTTTGGAATTTGATCGGGCTCCCCATAGAGTACCAATTGAACTTGTTTGCCACTCGGTGACGTGACATGGGAATCTCGGATGCAATCTAGATGGTGATTGTTGGCAACCACCAAGCCAAAAATATAGGAGGGCTTGGGATGAGGATCTTGAAAAATGGCATAATGTCGAATTGGTGGTGACACAGAAGAAGAATCATCATCATGGTTGCCACCGTCAGCAGCAGCAGCAGTAGCAACAATTCCAGATTCGATCAAATTTCCATTGGACAGTAGAATCGGATACTGTTCTTGATTGGCCTCGAGTCGAACCCTGCTATAGGTAGCACAATTGTCGGGCCGATCTGGAAAGTAGGTAATTTGTCGAAACCCCGATGGTTCGCAATGGGTGCAAAACATGTGGTCCCGGAAATACAAACCAGAAAGTTCACCCTTATTATTTTCATTGATTGAGGAATCAGTAGGATCGAGCTCGACCACTAGTTGCAACCTTATGGACCCTTTGGATCCGCCTGCTCCAAGCAGAGTGGAAGAAAATATAATCAAATCAGAAGGCGAATCCTTGTCGTATTCGTAATCGACGCCCTCTGTGAGCAATCGTATTGGTGATGATGATGGATCATCACCATTATCATTGTGATTCTTGTCTTCTTCGTCCATCGACATATGAATAAGGGCAATGGATATCAGTTGGAGTCGTTTGGAATCTCCATTCAATATCAAGTTCTTTGCTTCATCATCATTATCATTGTGATTATGATTCTTCTTCTTCTTATGATTGGTGGTGGTGTCAGCAGCAGCAGCAGCAGCAGCAGGAGCAGTATTGGGCACCACGGTCAGTTCCGACGTGACTTGAACAGAATTCTCGGAATAAAATTGAAAGTCCAAGTTGACATGGGTGACCCAATAGGCTGGTTCGGTATAATCACTGCGATACAAGAAACCGTCATTATGGTCATGGTCATGCTGGTTAGTTGTTTTTGGAGCATTACCTTGCATGTCTGTTGTTGATGACGACGATGCTGCATTCTGGTATAACCTCGATTGAATCCAGGTATCACGAATATTGTTATTATTCGTATTTTTAGTATTGTGATTGTGATTGTGATTGTGCCGGATGAATAAGTCTAATGATGTCGTCGTCGATGTCAAAGTCGTAAAGGCAGAACACAAGGAGGAATACTGCAAGACGACAAAGCTTGTCACGAACAAGATTGTCCTTGCATTAGTCATTCGAAGTGTAGTAGACAATCTAGTTTCCGTCATGTTGCAGCCGTATACGAGTTGATATGTGGTCTTGCAGTAGATGATGATGATGATGATGATGATGATGTTTCACCATCATTATTATCGTTTTGTATGCGAGATTGCGATGATTTTTGATCGATGGATGCGCGATATGTGCGGCTTTTGACTCGTATGACTTATTGCAACTCTAATACAGTATGATCGAAGCAGTCGAAAGCGTTCGTCATTTCTGAACGAACAAAAAATGACAGGCGCAAAAAATAGTACTATCCATCATCAGCACAGTATTATAGTATTATAATAGTGCAATCATGGCAGCTCCTTCTTCCTCCAAGAGTGCTACTACTACTAATAATAATAATAATAGTAAGAAAAACAAAGATTATGATAACGACGACGACGACGACGACAAGTACAACAAGAGTAACAAGAGCGAATATGACAAGGGAACCAATTATGTTGCGGGAGGCATTGAAGCAGATCCTTATCTCTTTGCCTTGTTGATTGCCTCTCCCTTTTTAAGTTTGTTGCTGGCCTATTTGACGTCTCCGGAATTTGCCGCGTTTCATCCGGAACCTCCCTTGTTGGTCAGTAAATTGGTGCCACTGTGCGTGGCCAATGTCGGTGGTTGCGTGACTGGAATCTACTCGGCCGGTGCCAGTGTGGTCCCCACGGTGGAGAGTGTCACCTTTGTACTGTCCTTCATGGGCGTCGCACTCGTCTTGGAACGATTGCTCCCAGGCAAGATTGAAACTGGACCCGAAACCTTGACGGGACATGTTCCCAAATACGTGGACAATGCGGTCGCTCATTGTTTCACCTTTTCGGCTTTGTTTGTGGTGGGAAGTAACTTTGGTCTGAACTTGTATGATTTTGGTATCATTTACGACCTATTTCCTGGTTCCGTCGCCTTTTTGAATCTCTTTGGATTGATCTTTTGCATCTTTTTGACCTTCAAGGGACGATACTTCCCTTCGACCCAAGACTGTGGTTCGTCTGGAATTTTCCTCAAGGACTTTTTGTGGGGCACGGAATTGTACCCCCGAGTGGGTGGTTTGGATTTGAAACGATTCATCAACTGTCGTGTCAGCATGACCTTTTGGCAATTGGCCGGTCTCAGTTATTGTTACCGATCCTACACTCTCCATGGGGAACAGTTGGATTATGGTCTCTTTTTTGCGGCTCTGTCCCAGTACCTGTATTTGGTCAAGTTTTTCTATTGGGAAATGGGATACATGAGATCCATTGATATCATTGTGGACCGAGCTGGATTTGAGATTCAATGGGGATGTTTGGTGTGGGTACCCTCTGTCTACACCCTTCACAGCCGATACTTGGTGCAATATCCCTCTGGACTTTCCTTTCCAGTGGCAGCCTGTTTGTTTGTCACCTCCCTTTTGGGTGTCGTCTTGAATTACCTAGCGGATCGGGAACGGGATGTCTTTCGGGCTACCAATGGAAAGTGCAAGGTTTGGGGCAAGGATCCTACCTACATTCAAGCCGAGTATACCGTCTTGGATCGCAAGACGGGTCAAAAGACCCAAAAGACTAGTTTGCTGCTCGCGAGTGGATTCTGGGGAGTCGCACGTCACTTTCAATACTTTTTTGAATTGACGGCTGCCTGGTCTTGGTGTTTGTTGAGCAATCCCATTCGGAATGGAATTCTACCGCTGTTTTATGCATGCTTTTTGACATACCTCTTGGTCGATCGTGCCAATCGAGATTCGGACAAGTGCAAGGCCAAATATGGAAAGTATTACGATGAATATTGTCAATTGGTTCCCTACAAGATTCTTCCAGGAATTTATTAACAATTGAAATATGAATGTTACTATGTTTGGTGCGTTTTTTTAATTATTAAAAATAATAATAAAGTGGTTGTAAAGCAATCGTATTCTATATATATACATAAATATATAACTGTATTAGGTTTAGTACTAGCATTGGACTGCGCTTCCCATGGTGGATGGAATATTAAGAATGAATGAATGAATGATGATGATGATGCGCATCAATCAAATGATGATCCGTCAGCGCAGAATGACGTCACATTAAAGATAACGACTTCTAACCGTCTCTAAATTTCTAGCCAATTTTCCACCGTTTGTGGTCAATACGTCGGCATTTATTTTTGCGTGTCTTTTATTTTATTTTTTAATTCTTGTGTGAACCATTCCATTGCAACAATATAACAACAAACACTGCAACAACAAATAATTCAAAATAACGCGACTCGGTACACATACAGTTTTGCTCGAGACCCTACAAAACATAACAAAACACAATACAGCAATCGAATAGAATAGTCTTCTTGCTAGCTACAGATAATACAGTACTATTCAGTAATCAGCACAATCAGCGACAGTCAGCACAGTCAGCGACAGCCAATAGCAATAATAATGTGCAAACCAACAACGACCACCACCAGTGAAGCACTTCCGCCTCCGGACGCTCGACTCTTTCTCGCCACCGTCAAGGATTTTGGAGAAGACGAATATGGGAGAACCCCCACAGTCCAGGCGAGATTGTTTACGATTGGAGTCTTTGTGGTCTTTTTGATTGGGGTGGAGCAGCTATGTCGTCAGATTCTATTGGCAAATGTGGTACGTTCTTTATTTCTATATATCTATATATCTATTATATGATGTTACATTGTGTTGTTATTGTATTATGTTATGTCCAAGTTGGTTGGTTGGTTGGTTGGTTGGTTGATCTCACAAATCACTCACTCACAAATCACTCACACGTCATTTCAAAATCTACATATATATATTAGGATTTCCATCCACTATTGGAGAATGAAACCAATCGTCACATTCTGGCGCGACATGTGGGAATTGATTTCGTATCGGCGGCCGTGGTCAGCTACTTTGGTTTCAATGCCCGGCACCTTACCCAAGACATGATTGACAAACACTTGAGAGGCAAGAAGAATGCCATGCCCAAGACGTACGAGAATCGTTTGTTTCAATACCATCCCGAATCGGCACGAATCATTTTGTTATTCATTGGATATCAAGTCAAGAATTCGTACGATACCCTCGTATGGAACGACGGGGCCTTGTTCATCGCCCATCACATTCTCGCCTTTGGTACGGCATGGGGCGCCCTCTTTCCAGGAGCCGCCCATTATTACGCACCCTTTTATCTGGGATATTCCGAAATTTCGACGGCGGCCCTGTGTTTGTTGGCCAACTTTGACGATGATTTTGGTGTGCGAGGTTTGGCAGCGGCCTTTCCCCTGACCAAGGTGATTTTGGGAGCCATCTTTGCCGTTTCCTTTATCGTGTGTCGGGTCATTATTTGGACCACCCATAGTGTCTATTACTTGCAAGATGTGATTGCCTGTCTCAAGACGGACGATCCTAGGATTGTTGGACGCAAACCGTGGTTGCAATTCACTGGATTCTCTCTTTCACTATTGTCTCTCCTGCAGATTATTTGGTTGGGAGAAATCTTTCTCACGGGAAAGAGAGAATTGGAAGCCATGGGGTTCTTGTAGAAGAAATATATATATATATATATATATATATTCAAGTCTACACTACTAATAAGTGATAGTTGATCTATGATATCGAAGACTACGATGGCTGCTTTAGTTTTTGTGGCCGCCGATGATTCCGAAAGTGTTTGCTGATCTTGGCCCGAGCATAGTCGTTCCCCACCTCTTCCCATTGTTCGTCGTCGCCGTCGTCGTCGTCGTCCATAGTAGTAGTAGTAGTAGTAGTAGTAGTAGTAGTAGTAGTTTTCCGTAAAAAACGACCCCCAAAGGCTTGGACTTGTTCCACAATGGTATTCGTAATCTCCAATTTGCGCGCCCGGTTGGCCGATTCGTATTCCGGTGCCAATTCGGCCACCATCTTGCGCACTAGTTTGTTCCCACCATTGTTGCGTCGACGGCCAAACAAAACATCGGCATCGTTGTGCAATAACAATAAGCCTCCTGTCGGTGGTGCTACGCCTATTTGAGGGATAACTGGTGGAACTGATGTTGGTAGTGGTAGTGGGGAAGGTGGTCGTAGTAGTAACTCTGCTCTTGTTGTTGTTGTTGTTGCTTCATTGGTAGCAGCAGCAGCAGCAGCACTAATAGCCATACTTGATTCCAACAGGTTTTGCTGTAGGGCCTCTGTAATAGTGGTGGCAGTAGTGGTAGTAGCGGTGATAGAGAGCATGTCTGGTTCTTGGATTTGTCCATGCTGAAATTCTTCATGTTGCTGTAGTTCTTGCTGATGTTGTTGTTGTTGTTGTTGTTGTTGTTGTTGGACATTTGGGCGCCTATGATTTCGGAACATTTGACTAATCTTTTCTCGAATCTCGGGTTCCTCCACAAGTTTCCAACCATCACTGCTATCACTGTCAGACTGCTGCTCATCATGCTGATGGCGCTTCCCCTCCTCTTGCTTTAAGAATCGTCCTCCCGTGTTGGCAATGTCGGTAATCATATAATCCACCAATTCCCGCTTGACGTGTTTGTTCCCGTTGTTGTAGGCCTGCAAGAGGTTCCGCGTCAGTGCACGCAATCGTAGATTCCCTCCATTGTTGCACTTGCGCCGATGAAATAGGACATCGTTCCTACGAGGAATGTACGGCAAGTTCCAAAGGAATTTGGGCAAATCGGAAGAATATTCCACATTTGCATTTTTGTTGTTGTTGTTGCTGCTGCTGCTGTTATTGCACTCTTTCAAAAAACATTCCCGATACCATTGCCAATGATAATCCATCCGTGCTTCGTTCGTATCTGGTATCAAGGGCAAATTTTCAATGGAAATGCCATAGGTGGAAAGAAGATACTGGCATTCCAAATGAGAACCAAAATGAACCTTGAAGCGGGCCCGCCATTTGGTAGGAGCGACCTTCAACGCTCCAGCGCAAACGACGTATTGTTTGAGGTCGCTGATGCACAAATGAAACCCCGCGAATTGGAGCGGAAGACTGAGTGCCATGGAGGTATTCTCCACAAACCCTTTGCCACCGGATTGATCTTGGAACTGTTCGACTCCATATATTATCAGAACGATACCCTTGATTTGAGCTTGGGGATTATTCATCAGGACATTTAAGAAGAGGTAGTATCTGGCACGCAGTTCACTTTGCAACGAAGGGATATCTTTTCTCAGAGACGTAAATTCCAACATGATTTGTCGTCCCGCTTGATCTTGTCCTAGAATCTGAAGGGCTCCGCTGAGGATTGCCTTCTTGCCGTCCTCGTCCATATCGTTTAGGGTGATGTCCTTGCATAGCTTGTCTCTGCCAAATAGCCCCTCCTTTGTGGCAAAGAAACGAATCAGCTGATCTGCGGCTGACTCTGGATGATATTGATTGCCTCTCAAGAACATGAGTCGCAACATTCGATTTTTCACATGTTCTGGATTCGTTTGATTTGCATATACATAAGCGCTGATTTTCGAATCCCAATTTGATTTTGATGTTCTATCTTGTAGTCGGTCGTCCAACTCCTGAAGCCACTTTTCGATCTGTGCTTCATCTTCTTGTGTTGCTGATGCCACCCCATGTAAAACTTCTTGATGCTCTTGTCGTTCTTGAAAGCTCAATTCCGCCATAGATTTGGCCAATAGAGCATCCAGTTCTTTCGTTTTCTCTCGTGTCTGCTGAAATTGCTGCCCCTGTGGATGTGAGCGGGATGGTGGCTTTAAGAACTCGAGAGCATCCCCAAAAAACGGGCTGGCATTGGCATTCTCTCTCCCGCTGTTCATATTTCGTATCGTTACAGCATTCAGATTCGTAGGGTTGCCAAAACAGGATTCCGATTGCTCTTGTGATGATGGCCCCAATTTAGGTGACAGACAATTGCTAAAATATGGTTGGGATTGCTTCTTGAAGTGAAGGTCGAAGCTAGTCATCGTATTGGAGTGACTAGACTGTAGACGTTGCTGCGGATTTGACGTCTACAATGTCTAACTGCGAAGGAATTGCTTTGTCGATACAGTACCTGTAGCAGGTGAGACGATGATGAGGTGGTGTTGCACTGATCCACGGTTTTTATGATATCGACTATCGACTGCAGGAAAAAATTCACACAATTGTGTTTCCGCTCAAGTTGGGGGACTTCCTAGCAGTTTACAATATGTGTTTTGTGTGGAGTCAGCAAATTCTCCGCGTTCCATGTGGCTCGGAGAAGGATTTTCAAAAGAGCAAACCGCGAAATTTGTGTTAAATGCTTGAGAACTATCATGTGAGGGCAAAATAGAACCTTGTACAGCTTCTGCGCTCCGTCGGTTGCACTTCAAGTTCAAAAGTAAATGTATTATTTAATACGTACCGCCACTTCCGAAACATGTAAAATAGATCAGAGTCATCTTTCTGGGTAGATACCGTCAATTGCAGCTTTGCCAGATTTCAAAGATACAAGGGCCGTCTTACCACAGTTGCAAGAAGAGTTGACTTGAAAGGGAGACTTGTTTTATACCAAATCAGAGTATAATAATTCTTCCTGGAAATCCTAATTTGAAGGCAACTACTCAAATGTAGATGAGACTTTTGAGGTATTTCAAAAGCTCGGCACCGTTCTCCTGATGGGTGCCTGATAGTGAATCTTTAGCGAACCGAAGTTGAATACCGCTTTTTAATAGTTCAGCGCGAACAGGAATAATCCTGTTCGCACTGTGCGGTACCAAAAGTGTCATGCCGCGGAACCTTTTGATGCCGCCAGATGAGCGTGATTGCATGACCTGAACCCTCCGAAACTGTCCCGTCGTCGTGAGACTGCATGGGAGGAATACAGTTTCTCCGGTTCTCCATTTCTACAAGAAGTCTCTCCGTCTTGTGGCGCGGGGACAAAGTACGGACATTTAGAAGTGATCGAAGGGCCCCACCAAACTTGGTATGTGGTCCGGTGGTCCTATTTGTGCTATAATTCCTTATCTACTTCCGAAACTAGTGACCGTTCGACTGACTCACACTTCGAACTTCGACATCCGCTCTAACACCAACTTTTACCAGTTGCTTTCGACAACATTTATATGCTTTACAATTGACTACTTTATCCACCTCCAAACCTTATATATTCCCACTTTATCTGGTGAAAAGGTCGATTATAAAACTCAAGTTCGAGTACATAAGCACAAAATCAAAAATGTCCTAACGTCGTTCTAGTCCTTTCCAACTTCCGCACACCGGAGAATCAGTTGCAACGCAACACTTTTTGGGCACCAAATCCCGGCATTATGCAACGACTGTGAGAGCAGTGAGTCAATCAGTCGCAAACTTTAGTCTCGCGTCTTACTATCATATTTGAAGATGTGTCCAGGAGGAACCACCATGAAGATGCGATCCGCTCGTTTAGACCGGGTGCAAGAAAAGATGAACGAGTCTACTGGCTCCATTGATTGGCTTTGGAAATACGATGATGAGACCGACTTGCCAGCCCTGAAAGCGGTTTCTATGACCTCTCTCAGTCTGTCAGAGAGAACGCCCGTTGTCATTCAAGAGGAGGAAGAACCCTACAGAGTTCGATTTTCAGCAGACATTGATTGTCAGCCCTGTATTCACCTTGTGGATTACACAGAAGAAGAAGCATTGAAATGCTTTTACACCAAGGCTGAACGTAATGTAATGACTTCTTCGCGTGAGGATATCATTGAAAAGATCGATAAAGGAATCAATGATGAAGATGAATGTGAAATTCTTCGAGGATTGGAGTACTATTGCGAGGAAACAAGTAAAGTAATCGATGAACGAGTGGATGCTGTGATTGATCTGGTCATGGACGAACAAGACGATCAGATTGATGAAAACATCTTCGATGAATATACACTTTCCGTTGCGGCCCAATACGTCACAATGGACAGTGCTGAAGCGGCAAGACGGATGGGAGCAGAAGATGCCAAGCAAGCCCAAGAAGCTTACATTGAAATGGTCCACAATGGATCCATTGGAAACTACATCATGCCCTCCACTTTGAGTACATACGAGCCAACCCAAGACAAGAAAAAGGCCAAGCGCAGAAGGTCATCGAAGCGTAACAGCAATGTTTCTGATAGCCCTACTTCTGAAAAGAAGGGCAAGAAGAAAAAGAAGGAAAAGAAGATGAAGCAGGACAAGAAGGAAAGACGCTCTTCTTCTGTGATCTACAGGAATGATCGACCGACTGCTGATGAAGGTTCTGTCAAATCAGAGAAATCAAGTAAATCGTCTTCCTCTAAAAAGAGCAAGAAGAACAAGGGCAAGAAACAACCCAAAAAGGAAAAGCATGATTCCACAAAGACAAGTGCTGATACTGTCGCTACTGCACCTGAGACTATCGGTTCTTCCAGCGAGCTAAACCAGAACAGCTTGAGCTCAGACGAAGATGATCGCTTTTTGGTAGCTACCAGCCAGATGCAAACCAAGAATGCAACACTAGTAGCACCAAGCAGAAGGTGCTCTCTAATACTACCCCCAATTCCAGATCACGAAAGTGAGGATGATGACGAGCCGATGATGCAAAGAAGAAGCAGTTGGTGGGATCTATGATGGAACTTCGCCTACACTGTGATTTTTAAAATTATAACTACTGTATATTGTAATTTTTGGTAACACGTATTATACTACTGTATCTTCTACCCACTACTCTCCTTTTCATACTACAGTACCGGTAGTACACACATTCACTTCCCAATTTATAACGGCATTTCATTGTCAATGAAGCGAGCATGATGAAGTTTGTATGGTTCGTACCTCACCTAGATGCTTCATGTATTCGCAAAAGGAAACCAATAAATATTTTTGATAATTCCTAAGCATTATACCTGTTTCGATTTCTAACGTCAGGACCCTCCGCAACTCGTCCGTCCTTCGTCGTTTTAAGGGGGATTTTGCGTATTGAATTTACGGGGAGCGAATACATCATTCTTTAGGGGGAGTTGTTTAAAAGGGGGCATTACAGTTTTCCGAAAAATATTTTGTCGTGTTTCAAATTGATTTGTCGTGTTTCATTCGAGTTTGTCGTCTTTCGAATTGGTTTGTCGTCTTTCGAAATTTCTTGTCGTCTTTCGAAAAATCTTGTCGTCTTTCGAAAAATCTTGTCAATCGGGGGTGCTGGTCGTCTTTCAAAAAATCTTGTCGTCTTTCGAAATTTCTTGTCGTCTTTCAAAAAATCTTGTCGTCTTTCGAAAAATCTTGTAATCGAAGATTACCCGGCGCCGCCTCCACTCCTGGGCTTGAATCGCATGATGTAGTCTTTGTCTGGAGAGATCGCGCACGTATGCTACCATGGAAACTGTGGCAAAAGCCCGATGCTACATACGAGAAGCGAGTAGGTTTGGCACAGTAGCGAGGTACTAGGTTAGTGACTGGTTTGCACCGAGGTTGAATCATAGGATTCGAAAAGGACAATCAATAGGATTGACAGACAAACCCGGACCAAATGGGGTACCGAGCTATGGTGCAAATGAGAGAGAGGGTGGTGAGGGCGGGAAAAGCAAAAAAGAGCTGACGGTCTTGACCGAGCAGCTAAACTCCTTCTATCGCCTCCATCATCCCACAAGCTCCCATTGCGAACAATGTCTTCTCCAAATCATTCCGTCCTCTTCGTCGACACTCTTCGCTCCGTCCGCCAACCGTGTACTTCACTGAAGCGACGCGCCGTAATCGACACGACGGAAATTGAGACTAAGGAAGAGCTAGAAACGCCCATACGTCTCCCGTCTTGCCGATCTATAATCGAAGATTACCCGGCGCCGCCTCCACTCCTGGGCTTGAATCGCATGATGTAGTCTTTGTCTGGAGAGATCGCGCACGTATGCTACCATGGAAACTGTGGCAAAAGCCCGATGCTACATACGAGAAGCGAGTAGGTTTGGCACAGTAGCGAGGTACTAGGTTAGTGACTGGTTTGCACCGAGGTCGAATCATAGGATTCGAAAAGGACAATCAATAGGATAGTACACGGTTGGCGGACGGAGCGAAGAGTGTCGACGAAGAGGACGGAAGATTTGGAGAAGACATTGTTCGCAATGGGAGCTTGTGGGATGATGGAGGCGATAGAAGGAGTTTAGCTGCTCGGTCAAGACCGTCAGCTCTTTTTGCTTTTCCCGCCCTCACCACCCTCTCTCTCATTTGCACCATAGCTCGGTACCCCATTTGGTCCGGGTTTGTCTGTCAATCCTATTGATTGTCCTTTTCGAATCCTATGATTCGACCTCGGTGCAAACCAGTCACTAACTTAGTACCTCGCTACTGTGCCAAACCTACTCGCTTCTCGTATGTAGCATCGGGCTTTTGCCACAGTTTCCATGGTAGCATACGTGCGCGATCTCTCCAGACAAAGACTACATCATGCGATTCAAGCCCAGGAGTGGAGGCGGCGCCGGGTAATCTTCGATTACGCGTTTCGGAATCTGTTGTCGTGTTTCGAACTGGTTTGTCGTGTTTCGATTCGACCCAAAAGTAGAACTTGGGGCCCCTAAATTTGACTGCAAAACATAATGGGGGAAGACTAGAGAAAAGTGCTTCCCCCCGTTTAAATTGGACGACAGACAGACGAGTTGCTGAGGGTCCAGTCTCGTATCGGTACTGAAACAAAAGATACATTTATGGTAGGTTTCGTGAGATTTTGTCTCTTCCGACCAAATATTTCGCACATGGTGCATGATGCGCGATCCGGAATGTCGGCAGTAAATTTCCCGCTTATCGTAAAACCCTCATAGCAAAAGCGGCAAAACTCCTCGCGCCGCATGTGCGCTTGTCAGCAACAATTGGGAAAGATCAGAACAAAAGGTTGAAGCCATACTGTACATACAGTACTTCACAACAGAACGGCACAGATACTTACTTGTCCATCACACAAATACTACAATCATGAATAAACCCCAGTCCTTGTATTCCATAAACAACGACTGGACAGTGGATGACGAGTCGAATAAACCACCGGCACCAAAAATTAAGGCTTCGAGCAAGGGGTATCAGTCAGACTCTTCCATATCGTGGATTTGGGAAAAAGTGGAAGATGATTCGGAAAATGATTTGGACGACGACGTCGAGGAAGATGATGATTCTATTACCTCCAGTCCATTGCCCAAGGACAAAGAACCCCAACAAATGTCGACGATATGGGATATGAGTATCGTCAATAATCACAGCGATGACGAAGGACTCTATTTCGATCCTTCCTCCAACACTCTTGCGTTGAACGACAGAGCAAACGCCCCGAAGACACAGAAAAGGAACAGGTCCTTGTCGAACGCATCGTTGCTGTCGTGTAGCAGCAGATTTGATATGAAAGAAAAAATGAACAAATCCAGTTCCTCTTTGGTATCTTGGGAGTGGAAGGACGTCGACGCCAAGGATGAACAAGAAATTATGGAACAGTCGCGGGTTGGCCTGGATCTATCAAAGAAGGGTGTCAAATTTAGCACGGTCAATCACACCTATGAGTACATGACACTTGACGACTTTTCGGAGGAAGAGTTTGCCAAATGCTTTTACAGTTCCCTCGAAACCATGCTCCGGACGGAAGCCAGAAATAAACTGATTGACCGGATCAATAATGGCAAGACGAAAAATCCAGAAACCATGCGGGGATTGGAGTACTGGGTGCAGTGCACGAGCTCTCAAATTGATCAGCGGGTCGATACGATGATTGAAAAGGTAATGGACGAACAAGATTTTCAAATTGAAAGAGGATCTTCCAATCCGGATGCCTTGGCGGAATTGTCACTCTCCGTTTCAGCAGAAAGTACGGCAGTTGCCTTGAAGATTGCGAAAAGGGATGCCAAGTTGGCAAAAAAGGCGTATCGAGAGTTGATGGAAAAGGAGGAACAACAGGAAATGGACCTGCGGACTTTGCGCTCGAATGCCAGTACAGTCACGACAGCTGCGATGTCCAGTGCGACAACTGTCATTCTGCCTAATAGTTTGGATGACAGTGAAAGGAAGCCTGAAACAGAAAACAAAGGCGGTGACGAGAATGCCAGTTTTTCGGGATCGGATCGGTCGGGATCGGATCGCAAGGATGAAAATGAGACAAAGGACCTGAGGAAAATGATGAAGAAACGGCAGTCCAGCAAGAAATTGGAAAAGAAGTCATCCCAACGGTCCTTAGCCAGTATCTCCGAGCGCAATGAGGACGAAACAAAGGATCTTAGAAAAAGTATGAAGAAAGGACAGTCCAGCAAGAAACTGGACAAAAGTGAATCATCTCAACGATCCTTGAGCAGTAGCACGAAGAAGGATGAAAAAGAGGCAAAGGATCTTCGAAAAATGATGAAGAAACGACAGTCCAGCAAAAAATTGGACAAGAAGCAACGCTCTTCGATATCCTTGGTCAATAGTCCCGGTAAGGATGAAAACGAGACAAAAGATCTTAGAAAGATGCTGAAGAAACGAGAATCCAGCAAGAAAATGGGAAAGAAGCAATCATCCCAAAGGTCCGTGGGCAGCAACGATTCTAGCCCGTCGCACAAGTCTGCGTCTTCCAAGAAGAATAAGAAGAGCAAAAGGAAGAGCCTAAACAAGGATAAGGAGGAGGTAATCGGATTGCAGACAGATTCCGAAATCGGAGGGAGTGACCAAGGAAAATCGCCCGAATCTGCCACGAAAAAGAGCAAAAGGAGGAGCATCAACAAGGTCAAGGAGGACGTAATCGAATTGCAGACAGATTTCGAAAATGAAACGAACGACCAAGGGAAATCCCCGGACTCTGCCACAAAGAAGAATCGAAGGTCCTCTGATTCTGACAAGAAAAAGCAGAAGCGACGCTCCTCAGGCTCTGATTTGAAGGTGAAGCAGAAGAAGAAGTCTGATGACGGAAAGATGAAAGGACAAAATAGAAGGATTTCTGCTCCGGATATCAAGATCGTAAAGGAGAAGAGGCGGTCATCCGCCGCAGACATTAGCAGTGTTAAGGACAAACGACGATCTTCAGCTCCCGCTGCCGTTCTCAAGCAAAAACGACGATCTGCCTCAAGCAACAAGCAGCCGGATCAAGAAGTAAGTTCCGAATTAAAGTCGAGCCTAAGTTCTGCAGACGACGAATACTTGGAGCAAACCAGAGATCAAAGTACGGATCAAAATAAAGGGCAACGCGGCTTTTTAACGACCGAAGCTTACAAGGAAATGGGAAGTTCCTGGTTCCACTTTTTGAGGGATAGAGGGGAAATCTCACCATTGACACACCCAGATTTGGAGCGATGATTGCTTGAGCGTATGTGATCATCATATATTTTACAGTTTCGTTCCCGGCTTATACCGTGAGTCTGACTCGGCAAAAATGGAATCTCCAGAAGTTGGATCATTCCAAGTACAATATGAAAATCGATCTATCTGGCGCTACTTGTGATGAAATGCTGCATATGGCCACTATATTCATCCGGATGATAGCGAATGAAGTTTATTTGGTGGAAGTGCGCAAGATTTTCGATTTCATGGAAGCCAACATTGAACGGTATATTCAATGTTGCTGATAGCTTCTGTACTGTTTTTTTAAAGATTCCCGTATACGCAGACAGGTTGTTTCATGCCAAACAATATAAAGCTACTGTATTACGCTGCATTCATAATAATGGTAGAATTGTTGTAAGAAATGTGGAACCGGTATCGAATATAATACCGTATACACCGAGAGACTCATCATCTCGGAGAAAATAAAAAGGAGAAACATAGTATAGCGGGAAATAATGACGCAATATTTGTACCCTTTGCGCACCCCTCGAAGAAACAATGTTGTTCTACCCCGCAATTGGTGCCTTTTCATAACAAGTTCTGTACCATGAGTACATCTGTTGGTTACGAAGGGGCAGATTGCCGGTGCCTCAGTTTCAAACGTTATGATCCGCTACCAGAAAATGGGAAGCGTAATAGATTGGCGAATAATGAAGTCGATGACATTTTGGTGAAAGGAATGAAACATCTCAGTTTTGACGAGCTTCAGCGTGAGCAAGAGGAACTACATGGAGTCTCTGAGAATATCTCCGAAAATTCAGAAGAAATCAAGCGTATGCTCACTGAGCTAGACGACCATTTGCAATATCTGAAGCCAGGGACTGCTTACGAATCGGCAGAAACCATGAACCAAGAGTACGTCCGCAATGATTCCATCCGAATGACCTTCTTAAGAGGAAGACGCTACGATCCCAAGGCATCAGCAGATAATATGATTAGATACTTCGATATGAAGTCGAAGCTTTTTGGAACAGACAAGCTCACCAAGGACATTACACTTCATGATTTGGACGAGGATGACACTGAGTGCTTGCTTAATGGAAGCTATCAGCTTTCTCGACTCAAAGACAGTTCTAATCGGACTTTGCTTCTACAATTCCCAGGCCTGAGGTCTTACAAAACATTGACCAATGAACTGAGGGCTAGGTTCTATTTCCACTTCAAAATGATCGAATCGCTTGGTAACGACACTCGTGGAATAGTCGTAGTCAGCTATAGTGTGGGAAGGTTTCGAGATTCCATGGGCGGAGCAGGAATGCTCGAGAACACAAGGATGGGCATGGTACGTGGTCCTGCACACTATTATGGGGTGATTGGACCTTTACTTATCTTTCAGGCAACGACTACAGTCTATGCCCTTTCATGTTGCAGGAATTCACATTTGCATGGATGGTGATGGAAAAGAGGCCTTGGTAGCCAAGGCGGCGATTGCAGTGTGTAGTGCACAAATGAAAGCCAAACTAAAGTTACACACAGGCTCACATCAAGAATGCCAATACTTGTTGTCAACCTTCGGCATTCCACGAGCTGCGTTTCCAATATCGTCGCTCAGCAACGATGGTATTTTGGAAAACCAGATGTCTTGGTTCCGGAAATGCCTTCGTTCGGAGCGTGGACCTCAAGGTGAAGAGGATTCCAGCTATGAGGTACCGCCAAACGAAAATGATGTTTTGTTTCTAGGCAGAACAGTCAACAATGGTGGGAACGAGCGTCTTCGAACTCTAGTGGCACATCACGCTGAGACATACAAAAATGGTAGCTCAAAAGACAAGCGCAATGCAGTCAGTCTCATTATGGAATCGATACGATGGAATGGTGGTAGGTTTCTGAAGCCCAGTGAAAGTGGCCTGGATTGGCAAGAGGTTCCCCTGTCAGAAGTCCGCCTCAAGTTAACACAAATGTTCAGGAATCAAAACCGTCCACGTGTATCAATTCAAAGGGGTATTGCTAGAGATTTCACTGAACATCAGACAGGTCCGATAGTAGAGACCATTTCTGATGACGATGTTGTATTGGGACGAAAGTATACCTACCCGGGAAATAAAAAACTTCGTCAACTCGTGGAAAATATGGCTGAAGAATACAATGCCTCAAACAGAGGTAGGAAGAAAGAAATCTCTGATATCCTGGTGGGAACAGTAAAGAGCAATGGGGGTAGATTCTTGAAACATATCGACAATGCAAGATGGATAGAGGTCTCGGACAAAGTTGCCGAGGTGAAGGTATGCCTTCGTTAGTTCTTTGTGCGCGTCCCAAGATGATGGATGGACATTCATCTAACCTCGTGAATTACCAACAGGTGTCTTCACACTTTCGTAACTTTCGAAGGAAGGCAACTGGGGAGTAGAAATGATTTCTGCGATTGACGATGATGCGGCACAGGCGAAGGACAATGGAGGAGAACAACTGAGCAGTCTACTGCACTGAATCATATGGGCTTCCAGGATAGCGAAAAGAGTAGTTATGGACAAGAGCCACCGAATAACAAACAGCGCTGTTTCCAAAATTCAACGCGCCAGTATGGAGTCTGCATATTTACCACTGGATATATATTAATACCGGTACAACTTTTCTTACGAGTGTTTCGGGTCATTTGAAAGGTTTGTTTTATTTTGGGACCCAAAACATGTTCCAAATGACCTTTTCATGCCATATTCAATATATAAAAAATAAGTAGATGACGTACCTTTAAAGCGCTTTCTTAAGTCGCGCTCATGACAACTATCCATTGGAAACAATATATAGTGCCGGTACAAACGTACTCCTCTTGCCGCGGTAATCGTATTCTCTTGTGGCTTTACTGCAATCATTTACCGTACCTATACATCGAACTGATAAGAGTTAAACACTACAGCAGCACAGAGCACAATAAGAGCCCTGTTCATCTAGCACAGCTCATTTCCTCCCTCTTCTACCCGCTCATTTAATTCACCAAAAAATCGCATGAGCACTTTTGCAAAGAGTCCCAAAGACAACAGTCGTCAGTATTTTGGATTCAATTGTGGAAGGGCTGACAAACAATCTCGACAGCGATTGTCTGATAAGAATGAAGTCGACGAGATTTTTGTGGAGGGGATGAATCGCCTGAGCTTTGACGAGCTTCAGAGAGAACAAGAGGACCTCCATGGGGTATCCGCTGACTTTACTGAAAAGGCTGACGACGTAAAACGAATGCTGGTCACTCTACATAGTCACTTACAACATCTAAAGCCAGGAAGTGCCTATGAATCTGCTGAGACCATGAACCAAGATTATGTTTCCAACCGTGACCTTCGAATGACATTCTTGAGAGCAAATCGTTACGACCCTAAAGCTTCAGCCAACCAAATGATCAGATATTTTGATTTCAAATCGAAACTATTCGGAGAGGATAAACTCACAAGAGATATCCTTCTGAGTGATTTGAATGACGACGACATTGCCTGCATGCTTCGAGGAAACTACCAAATCTCGGCTGTAAAAGACCGAGCGAATCGGGTAATACTGATGCAATTCCCTGGTCTTCGTGCCCCAAAATCTATCGAAAATGAACTCAGATCTCGGTTCTACATAAACATGGACCTGATCAAGTCTCTGAACACTGCCAACAGATCCGTAGTGTACATCAACTATGGGGTGGGCGATCTTGAAGATCATACCAAAGGTGCTGGAGGGCTTCAATTTTTACACTTTGGAATGGGTGAGTTGGCTATTTCGTTTTGTAATATCATACATGACTCGCTTCCTCAAGAAGCTAACAACTTTCGCATAGCAATGCCATTTCCAACTTCAGGGTTCCATCTGTGTTTCAGTGAAAAGGCTGAAACCCTGGTCGGCAAGGTACGATCGATTGCTATGCATCAGGCTTTAGAACTCCTGTTTTCTGACCCTATCTTTCTTGCGTTACCATCAATTGCCATCATCACCACATGATTGTAAAGGCTGTTTTCGCTCTACTCCCACCAAGTTTAAAAGCCAAGGTACATGCATGGCAGACTGGCATGTTTCATCGTATAAAATTCATGATTAACTTTGTTGTTGTTATGTTCTTATCGTTCAGGTTAAATTTCACTTTGGGAGTCACATGGAATGCTTGTACCAGATGTCGACTTTTGGCATTCCTGAGCATGCTTTGCCACTATCTATTACGAAGAACGAAGTTAACCTGCAGCATCACATGGCCTGGTACAATAATTGCTTCCAAAGAGAGACTGAATCTGTCATTTCTGGTTGGGGTAGTATTGTGCCAAACGAAAATGATGTCTTGTGTGTTGGGAAAAAGGTGAATTCTGTGGGTAACAACCGAATTCGAGATCTAGCGGCGCTGCATTCAGCAGACTGGTACAATACTGGGAGCTCAAAGGAGAGAAGATTACTGGTCGATCTCATCATGGACGATGTTCGCAAGAATGGCGGTCGCTTTTTAAAACCAGACGAGCATGATAGCCATGATTGGCAAGAGCTATCCGTCGATGAAATTCGGACCAAGATCCATCAACTCTTTCGCAATCTGAAGAAGCGGGCTAATTCTACACAAAAGCCGCCCACACTATCACCGCTGCAGTCTAAAACACTTCAAGCAATTTCAAATGTTACTGAGAATGACATTTTGTTTGGTCGAATGTATGATCATGTGGGAAACCAAAGATTGCGACAACTGGTGCGAGTCATGTCTGGAGAATACAACGCCTCGAACCGAGGTAGAAAGAAGGAAATCGCAGACTTTCTAGTAATCCAAATCAAGAATAAAGGGGGCCGTTTCTTGAAACCAACTGACGATGGGCAATGGGTAGAGGTCTCGGACACTGCTGCCGAAAAAAAAGTATCCTCTCACTTTCGCAACAACCGTAGAGGAAAGAGTACTGGGGATGAGAATTAGTCATCGATTTAGCAATGGGCATTATATCGGCGACTCTTATTCTGCAGGCTCTCCATCTTTTTTCGAGGAGCCATTTTTTATTTGCGAGTAGGAACGCCAATTTTTTTAATATATAAAAAGGCTCAGCTCCAAGTTGAGAGGTCCCGAATCGGGAACATATATAAAAATATCTCGATAAGAATTTCACCCTTAAATATGATGTCAAAAGATCAACATTTATGTCATTTTGATCTTTCTCTATTACAATAGTATCTGGCATATCATTTGGCCCAATCCGTCTCATAGCAGACGGGGAAGAGAACGAACAATAAACCTGTACATTGACGGCAATTGAAACAAAACAAATACTAATAATACGTACCAGATCCCAGCAGAGGGCAACCTTTATATTGTGTGAGTTCACTATTCAGAGCTATCAATCAGAACAGCAAAGGGCAATCAATGGTGGCGAAGTCTTCGATAGAAGAGTCGCTCGAGGCTGAAGAATACAATGTCAACGAATTAGAGAAAATGAATCGGTTAGGAAAGGGAGGCTTTTGCAATGTCCATTTGGTGAACACTCGTCGGGATGGAGTTCTGAGGCGAGTAGCCATGAAGGAGCTTCATCTCGAAGGCATCGACACTCAGCATGAATTCCATGAGGCAGCTAAGGATCTGATACAAGAAGCACAAATATTACAACAAGTCCATCACTCGAATATTGTCGGTCTAAGAGGAATCTCTGATCTTGATCCCAATTCCTTCCTTTCCTCACTTGGAAATTCTGGAACCTACTTTATTCTATTGGATGTCATGTTGGAGACATTGGAGGAGAGGCTAAATCGATGGTATAAGGATGACAAGTCATGGAAAACCAAGCCCTCCACGTTGCTTGCGTTTCGAAAGGCTATGCTTCGCCGGATGCCGAAGGAAGTCTGCAGGAAACGAATGATGGAACGGATACGGACCGTGGTGATGGATGTCGCTGGTGCAATGGAGTACTTGCACGAACATAATATTATCTTTCAAGATCTGAAGCCAGGTAAGCTGAATGATGTGAGGATCATGGGAGGAACAAATAGGATTGACATCCATTTACACTATCTGGCATATTCGCTCATCATTATTGTGTTGACTCATCCTACAGAAAACATTGGATTTGAGATTGAGACGGACCAATTGAAAATATTTGATTTTGGAATGGCGAGGAGCGTGCATCCAGTGACGGGCAAGATTGTAGGCGAAGAAGAGGAAATGATTTGTGGAACACCACGGTATTTTGCTCCGGAAATCTTTGATTTTTCGGGAGGAAGCAAACAAACAGATGTTTATGCATTTGGAATCATGTTGCACGAAATCTGTTCCATGAATGTACCCTTTGGTAAAATGGACGATTTCGAAGCATTCCGAGATCACATTTGTGCGGGAGGACGTCCAAACATGTTGGAGATTCCCGACGATGCAACGCGACAAGTCATTGAGGATTGTACATTGGAGGACCCTGCGGCACGACCATCCTTTAGCGATTTGAGAGCATGTCGCCTACCTGAATTGCTTGTGGAGAAAAAGGAGCTTGAAACGAGTGTCCGAACTCCCGAAACTGAAATTAGCGAGATGCAGAGCGGTCTTTGCGTTAACGTCATACCGCTCGATCTTGGTGACAATGATACTATTGAAAAATGCCAGCTACCGCAAGAATTCGATGATGTCCCAAGCCGAAGTTACGCTTCCAACCAAAGTATGCCCCGCATGCGTCACCATGGTGACGAAGAATCTGTCAACAGCCGTGACCTTGGCCGCAGTACGCATAGTGCCAGTAGTGATTTCTTGTCCAATTCGGAATGCGGGATGCTGCCGGACGACGGCGACGGCTCTTGCTTGACAGATGAACAAAAGCAACGGCGAAAAGAGCGAATACAAAGAATTTTAGCCAGAAAGAATAAACCAAGGAGACGAAGGTTGAAGAATGAAGATCCAAAAGAACATCACTCCGGAGGAAAAGTATTGCTTCGTCGAAGTTCTTTGTGTGATGATCATGATGTGCCTTTGCGAGAAAGTCCAAGTGATCCTGTGGGTTTGGACAGCCATTCTTCCATTCCTCGAAACTTGAGTTACACTGATGATAACGACGCGGGTTCATTTGCTGACGATGCGATTTCGCTGAATGGTGATTCCCCGTCCGTCAATGACTACACCATATCCCTGAAAGGCGAACGATCCGTAACCTCCAGAGTAAGCGATGATGGCCTGGAAATGACGCAGGATGTCCAACATGTGATAGAAGAAATACCACTGGAAGAAGTACCACGACCCCCTCCTCCACCGCCACCGCTCCCAATGCAGTCGCCACGAGCCGGACTAGACAATAGCTCACATGGTGCAAGGAAGAAAAGGAGAAAGAAAAAGAAGGGAATGGATCTTTCATCCCATTCCGCTTTGAATATTGCAACGGTTCCCCTAGCCGATGAAGGACCGGAAGACCAGCCGCCTCCGCCGCCACCTCCACATCCACCTCAGTCGCCACAGTTATCAGTTGGAACGATGAAGTCGAGAAAGAAGAAGGAGAAAACTGGAATGGATCTTTCATCCCATTCTACTTTCACTAGTGCCACGGTTTTCCAAGCCGACGATGAACCTGCTGCATCCTCTGGAGTCAATGATGAGGCTCTTGACTCTACGGAAGACCAGCCACCTCCGCCACCACCTCCGCCTCAGTCAGCACAGTTATCAACTGGAACAATGAAGTCGAGAAAGAAGAAAAAGAAAACTGGAATGGATCTTTCCAATCATTCAGTGCTCAGTGCTTCCAAAAAGAAAAAGAACTCTGGAATGGATCGTTCCAGTCATTCCGCTCTCAGTGCTTCTAAATCGGCACCCGATTTGAAATCTGCCAAGTGCGTATCGGATGATGATGCTTCACAAGCTGGACGAAGGAAGAAAAAGAGAGGAGGAAAGAAGAAGGATTTTATGTTCTCGTTGGAGAATAAATCCCATGCTAACAAGATGTCACCATCCTCACCCACAGTTGGCTCACCAAAAAGTAGTAGCAAGTCGCCAAAGAGTAGCAGGACGAGAAAGAAGAACAAACTCGAAATGAAGTTGGAACCACAATTGTCGCAACGGGCATTGGCTGATCCTGCAAAGGAAGATCCTGTACCGTTTCTCAGATCGACTAGCGATGCCATGCTGCGGAAAAGTGAGCGCCCTACCATGCCATCCCGAGAATTCTCTTGGTGGACACTCAAGAATGCCCAATAGTCCTGTACCACAGTTTTGTTTCCAAAGAAGACAGCTATAGTAGTAAATTTTGATTCAATTTCCCCTCGGAACACTATACCTTACAGTATGCTGTAGATATCTATCTTTCGGTTTCAAGGCAAGCTCAGGTGCACACACTTCACAGCTTCCAGTACACTACAATTTAAGACATCGAATAAAGCTAATTTGCATCCTTTCTATAGTATACAGCTATTGTTTACTCTTCAGGGATCTCAACTTCACCATCATCGATTTGCGATTGGATGTCACGTGGGGACTCTCCATTGACAGTGCATCCGATGGAGTTGCAAGTTCCCAAGATTTCCTTGACGGTTCCAGCAAGCTTCTTGGCATTGGATCGCTCTCTCATGGTCTTGGCAATGTCAATAACTTGATCAAGCGTGATGTTTCCATCGTGCTTGACGTTCTTGACCTTTTTGCGGTCACGAACAGGCTCGTTCAAGGCCTTCATGACAAGAGAAGAAGCGGCAGGGATCATGGAGACAGTGGCTTGACGGTTGACAACAGTCAACTTGACAGTCACGTTCAAACCCTTCCAGTCCAAGGTAGCCTTTTGGATATCCTCACCAACCTTCTTGGGGGAAAGACCGAGTGGTCCAAGCTTAGGAGCAAGGGAAGAGGCAGATCCGACCTCACCACCGACGGTTCGCATGATTACGATCTTAACATCATCACTTGGAGGAGGGCCCATGGTATTTATAGACGATGTAACTTTTGTTGGAGACTACGTCAACCCTTTTGAAATTGTGATTTCGATTCTGATCATGATGATGGTGGTCGAACAACAAGTCCAATAGTAACTGGTAAGAAAATCGAATCGCTCGACTAAAAGCATCATCCCCCAAACATACTTATAGCAACAAATAATCCCCGAAATGACAGCAGACAGAAATTGAGCCTCGTATATTATATCGCAGATCACAATGTGCATCGTACTATTGTTGGGGATGGTTTGTGATTTAGTGGTCCTATTCTATCACTTTCTGTTTTAACTGGAGCACTCCTTTCTATGAAAAGCCTTCAACGTTTCAAAAATTCAATCACGGCATCACCAACTGCTTCCGCAGTCTCTGGATCGGCATGAAAATGATGCTTTCCTGGCAATCTTCGGAAGAATGTGGGTTGCAGGATTTCCTTCACGCGTTTCGTTATGTAATCATCCACTGGCCACCCACTCTCCGCTTGCAATAGGCATACATCGATATCCGTCTTGTGTAGGGCGGCCATAATTCCTTCGTTCTGTTCCCAAGTCATGTATTGAATCGATGGCCAAGTGAATCGAGGATCGTGTCGAAACTGCACTGGCCCCGTGTCATCCATACTATCGAGAGTTTCTACTTCGTCCTTCTTTTCCTCCTCCATTTGTTGACTGTCAACCACCTTTCGGGTGCCTCTCATCACCATTGCCCTTGCGGCCTGATGACTCATTGCTTGATTGCCCGGCATTTTGGTGGCGGAAAACTGTCGTACTTGAATGGCTCGTTCCAAATTGGGATATACTCGTGGTGGCTGTTGTTGCTGATCTTGGCTGTTGGTATGTTGCTGTCGTTTCAGAATATGCTGTCGTACATGTTCGGCGGTATCCGTAGCTTGTCGAGGCAAAAAGGTGGCCGCATCCAACAGAACCAATTGGTCAATCCATTCGGGAAAGGAGGCTGCCGTCAGGGACGCTACTGCGGCACCCAAGGAATGTCCCACTATCGTAATCTTCTTCTTCTCGTTGTCACTTGTCGTGTCGACTATACTACCGCTGGCAGAATCTGTAGTCCATTTCTCGGGAAAATCTTCCGGCTGGTTCACCTTTTCTTCTTCTTCTTCAGATGCCTGAAACGAGAATGAGGGCGACTGCAAGGCTCGAATGGCTTCACACGTATAATATACCAAATCTGCCGAGACTAATGGTGGGGCATCCTTGCTTCGATGGGAAGAATGGCCATGTCCGGGAAAGTCCAATGCAATTATTTCTGCCCCATCCTCAAGTTCCAACGCCAATCGTGGGGCCAAGTAGTGATGGGTTCCGCAATTGTCCAACCAGCCATGAGTGCACAGAATGGTTCTTCGATCAAATTTTTGAGAGGAAGATTCGGAAGATTTTTCATCATTTTCACTGTCAGTTGTTGTTTTTGATGTTGTTGCTGGTGTTTGTCGGGGTTGTTGTTTGGTCCATCGTTGGGCGGCCATTATTGTTCCATCGGCAGCAGGAATTGAAATCTCTTGAAGCGAGACCAGCGAGGATAGACATCGCTTACTGTGGGCACTGCCACCACCACCACCACCACCACCAGTGTAAGTGGTCAGCGCTGAAGTGAGCAAGGATCGGAAGGGAGATCTCATCCTATGATGAATTTATTGGTTGGCATGTGAGTTTTTTTATGTGCGAAAATGCTTCCATATTTTCAAATCTTTCTGATGGTTGCGGGAGAAGAAACGTCAGTCCGACGAGTCAAAACTCGTTCCAACGAGTTCCAAACGCAAGCACAATGACACCCCAAACCAGCGCGTCATGATGCATTCAGATGTCTGCGTTGCGGTATGTTTCTGTCATCGTGAGGAACCCAGAGTGAAGAAGGGACTATAGAAGATGATTATAAGCCACATTTGTGGAAGTAGCAGGTGTTGCTTAATTTCGTTCAGCCCTGACTGCGCTCAGAATCAATCCAGGGTATGAATCGTCGTCTAATTGCAAGACAGATTCAGGGGCAGGGTTCTGGTGATGTTGGGTGGAGGAAAGCGAGGCATTCTATGATTCTCAACGGACTGAGCTGAAGATAAAAATGAAACATTGCGCTCTGCGACTCTCCTTGGTTGGAGTTGTCGTTCTTATTACGAAATGGAGCAAGTATTGCAGTCTCATTGACGCTTCGCTGATTGGTCAATTGTCCTTTAGTCCGCAACGGGTTGCGAAACTCGTTCCCACGAGTTCCCAAACGCAAGCACCATGACATCACAAACACAACGAACTGAGTAGCTTGACCCGAGTGACCGCAGCGTGTCATGCCACCTTCAGATATATGGTACCGGTTCCGTACTGTATGTCTCTGCCGTTGTGTGAGGAACCCGCACAGTCGTTCTGGCAAATAATCCAAACCTACATATACGGATTGACTCACTATCACCATCATGAAGCCATGGAATTTGCTTTCATCCTTAATCATTCCAAGCGCTTCGCTGGAAGGTCAAATGTCCGATTCTGGCATTACCAATCAGTTGACACTCGAGAGAGAGCTGCCTGGTATCTGCGACCGACTCTTTCAAGAGATCGGGTCACAGCAATCGGAATGGACCTATCAAAAATGTCTTGCCATTGACTTACTGCAAGCCGGGGTAGACGAGGTTCACACGGAAGTCAAGCTACCATTGACCTACAAGGGTCATGTGGTTGGTAATAGGCGAACTGACATGATCCTTGAGTTGGCCTCAGGTGAAAAGGCGATTATCGAACTCAAGGCTTTAGAACAAATTCGGCTCCTGCATCGAGTACAGTTGGAGTATTACATGTATTATGCCAACATTCCGGAAGGTTATCTTGTCAATTTTCCACATGACGACGGCTTGCCGAGTGTTACCGACAGATGCGAATTTGACTATCAAGTCCTGGCTGGTGGTAGCATTGTTGAACACCTAGTGAACCCTCGTTCCAAATTGTACCTTCGGAATACGCCGGACAAGCGAGAGGTCGAAGTGATTCACATTTACCGCAAGGATCTTTTGATAGACACAGGAGGCAACGACGACACGATTTTTCCCGGCTCACCCTCACTTAGCCAGCTACTTCTTGAGGGTTCAGGCGGGCCTATGGAAACAGAATCTATGGATTAAAAAGTGAACAATCTATCATGGAACGAGAACTCGTAGTTTCAAACCACGGCTGATGCTATATTGGCAACATATGCTTCATAACACCTTCTGTTTTATTAAAATACAGAACCGACTGTCTGTTTTCTTTGGTACTGTAGTAGTGTCTTTTACGACAAGCAAATAACGCACACGATATATAATGCCATGAATAATATGTTTCATGTATTCTGGCGTTACATATTGCAATTGTTGAGAGTGAGCAATCACGCTGCTTTCCATGTGAAATGTTAGTGCAATAGGACAGATGAGAGATACCTCCTCCCTCGTGCAGACCCTATTGAGGATCCACACAGCATTGTGCAAAATGGAGGAGAATGAATGAATCATCAAGACACTGGCGAAGCAAGCAAGCAAGTCAGTATATTATCCGGAGTCGATCATTTCCACTGGTCATTAGCCGTTGCATTGCTTGGAAAGTGTAGCGGAACGGACAGTATAGGATGTTAGGCTGGCCACATTGAGCTGCAAGTCAGGTCTTGGAAATAGAACAACGCGGCATGTGCAAAGCCCAGTCTTGAAGAATATACACAATAAGAAAACCGCCACGTTGAACAATAAGATCGAAAAGGAATAAGTCCCGCAGAGATAGACACAAATTTGCAAATTCATGCGATGCGATCAATTGCTCAGCATCATATCAAACTAGAAAGGTTTCTTTGAATAGATATTATTATCTTGAGAATGGTCAAGCCCAAGCCGCAACCTTGTACTCTGGCCCTTCCGCCAGTTGCTCTTGATGAACAGAATCAGTCACATCAAACTGCTACGACACCCATAATTTCAAATCTTGCTGGTTTCCAGAGAGAGTTGCCTCTTATATGCCAAAGGATCTTCCAGGCACTCGGATCGCAACAATCCGAAGCAACTTATCAACGCTGCCTTTCCATTGACCTCTTGGATGCAGGAGTGGCCAAGGTACACTTGGAAGTGGAGCTTCCTCTGACATATAAAGGGGTCATCGTCTCTTGCCGTCGATCAGACATGATTGTGGAACTGGCTTGTGGCGGACGAGCTCTGTTGGAGTTCAAAGCTGTAAACAAAATGACAGTGGATCATCGCAAGCAGACAGAATACTACTTGCATCATTCGGATATCGATGATGGATATTTGATCAATTTTCCCCATGACACTGGCTTTCCAAATGTCACTGACAAATCGTCATTTGAATACAGCGGCCTTGCTGGTATTACCGAACAACTTAACAGCGTGGTGTTGGGTGGACCCGTACTACGCCTTCGGAACGATCCAAAGAATCGTGAGGTGGAAGTTGTCCATATCCTCCGTAGAAACAAGGTCATAGATGCAAAGAAGGAAGGGAAAATTCCTCCGACAAAAGTGACAGCAGCTCCTTTGCCAACGCTGGGGCTCACCAAGAAGGGTCTGCCCTGTAAGAATTGCAAGAAAGAAAACCGATTATGCCGCATTCACAAGAGTCAGGCGGTGGGGTGCGAGGTTTGAGTTTCCTCCTCGCACCGCAGGACCAAATATTATGAACTTATTGTGTGGAAGATTGCGATTGAAAATGGCATTGAAAGAATCAACATCTTGAACGAAGACTAGCCCATCTTAATAATTGTCCTCGTCAGGTCCTGTATATAGGCATTGATTCGAATACCAGGTACCAATATGAATATACACTATGCGCGCGGCCATACTATATATTTCATTTCATCGGTACTGTCGTAGTGTCATAATGATATCAGCATCGATCTGAAAAATGTACAGTTGATGTTAATACTATTGTATTGGTTTTATCTGCAACGTCCTTGGAATGTGCATGCTTTTAGAATCATCTGAAAATGGCCACGCCTGAACGATGCACTCTGACGCTTCCGCCAATCGCTCTTGATGAGCATCATCATTCGCATCAGAATGCTTATTCAATAACACCCATCATTTTAACCCTTGCTGTTTTTCAGAGAGAGTTGCCTAATATTTGCCAACGGCTTTTTCAGACAATCGGATCACAACAATCCGAAGCAACTTATCAACGCTGTCTGAAATTGGATCTCTTGGATGCAGGAGTGGAAAAGGTGCACTTGGAGGTAGAGATTCCTCTGACCTATAAAGGGGTTGTTGTTTCCTGTCGTCGATCCGATATGATCGTGGAACTTGCTTGTGGCGGACGAGCTCTGTTGGAGTTCAAGGCTGTGCCAAATGAAATGACAATTGAGCACCGGAGACAAATAGAGTACTACTTGCATCATGCCGATATCAATGATGGTTACTTGATCAACTTCCCCCATGACGCTGGTTTTGCAGACGTCACTGACAAATCGAAATTTGAATATAGTGGTCTTGCTGGTATTACCCAACAACTTAGCAGCTTACAATTGGGTGGACCCGTACTGCGCCTTCGGAACCATCCAAGTAATCGTGAGGTGGAAGTTGTCCATATCCGTAGAAAGATCATGGGTGCTGAGGAACAAAACGCTGCTCGAATAACCATGGCCTCGGCTCCTCCACCAATAAGGTTGGGAATCACCAAGAGTGGTACGATCTGTAAGATTTGTAAGAAACAAAACCGATTATGTCGCCTTCACATTCATCAAGCGACATAGGATGGGATTTGAAGCGCCGATGGATCAGGGTTTTCCCACGAATACTGAATCGAAGCGATTCTGGACCAGAGAACCTCTGCAAATACTGGCGAAGCACTGCTCAGAGTATTGCTACCGGTACGTATATACTGCAGCAATGCACTGGTGGATCTTTTTTCTTACGATGTAAAACGGTGTTGAATGGATCAATACACATCGATATTATGTAATACATCTATGAACATTTTATAAATAACTGGCACTCTCAAAACAATTCCACTCAAATGGCAACAATTGTAGGATCTTCGTTTGTTGGAGATGCAGAGCTAGTCCGCCTTAGTTCCAATTCTCGGTTCCTTGCCTTGATATCCTCAATGGAAGATCGACGACGCATCGGAGCATTGCGTTTGTCGAACAATTCCGGTGAATCTTCTCGGTCTTCCTTGGATTCTTCAAAATGTTCATCGTCATCATCATCATCTGTGAGGGATGGCATCATTTGAATAATCGTAGTGACATTGACATTGTCATTGTTCGCCAATAGAAGCTTTTTATCTTGTGCTGTTGCTGGATAAGGAGAAATGGAATATCGAAGCATTTCCAATTCCCGCTTGGTTTTGCGCATGTCCTTGATGGACGATCTCCTTGGCATGGCAGCTCGGAGTCTTTCCAGTATCTCTTGTTGTAGAGTCAGTATTCTATTGGTCAAGTCAAGCTTTTCTTGTTGATATGCCTTGCCTTGTTGCAATGCTTTTGAGACACGCCGGCTAGCCCTCGTAAAGGATCCCTCCTTCCCCAAAATCTTGGTGTTGTCTTCTTGAGCTCGATTGTAGTAAAGAAGAACGATCTTGTTCCACCCCTTGGCATGCTTTTCGGACTGTTTCTCCCACATCAACCCCATGTGGAGTTTTCGCAACAGGTGCGCTTGAAAGATTCTAACAATGTCAATAAGCACCTGATTGGTGACCATGGAGAGACTTGATTTGGAAAGGGCAGTAGGCGGGGTACCAACAGATGGCACTCTCGTGTCGACATTCTTGTTGCTTGCAGGGGTATTGGATTGGGTAGCAGCTGCGGAAGGACATGATCGAGCTCGTACTTTTCCTGGTTGTCTTGACTGTTTTTCTTGTTGTTCCTGCTCTTGATCTTCGGTTGGTTCTTCTTCTTTTTGTTTCTTGATGATCTCCAAGTACTGACCAAAATGCAAAAGTGATGTGGCCTCTCGATCACATGCGTGGAATCTCCTCAAAGAATCGTTGAGCTCTGACCCAGATCGTTTCAATTCTTCTCTGCATCTTTGTTTGTTCGTTTGACCTTCTTGCTTCAAATCCAAAAGGTCTTGGCGCAATCGCTGAATCTGTTGATCGATGCTCAAGAGTTCCGAAGAGTCTTGTTCCGTATGTTCTTGACTTTGTTGCTGGCCCATTATGCTTCTGTACTTTATTTTCAGTGTATCTAACAATTGCATTGATTTCTGGTTCAAGAAGTAGTATCCTCAGGGAACTTGTTTGATCTTGTATCTTATGTTGTCAAAGATGAGAATTTCTGTTTTTCTGGTTTCAGGGTGAAGTTTTGTGCAAGTTTGGTAGTCAAATGCGAGCAAGCCAATATTCTACTTACAGACGGACACGATTGATTTCGGAGTGTTGCAACGTGCAGTTTACTCCAACTTTCTTTCGCCAAAACCTGTTCGGCAGCGAAGTCTGTCCATGGTCCGGTGAGATGGTGCATCGCTCTTACTCCAAGGAATCAAACAGCACTTCTCGCTCAGTATCAGAAAGCCCGTGTAATTTGAACGGCGAAACACTCGCTTACTGGATGCAGTCAATCGCGAAAACTGCATTGGGATTAAGTCTCGTGCGCGTCAGTTATATGTGTTCTCCCGCCGTTTCATAAAATGACCCTTTCTGCTCCTTGCTTCTGCTCATATGTTTCCGGCCCGTTTCTATTACGTAGAACAATCTACCAATGAAACGACTGCAAAATAAGACTGGTATCCCTTTGTATTTATAGCATGCCTTCTTTTTCGCGACCCTGAAGTGTCTCTCTGCCTTTGGTTCCCGACCAAAAACGCATTTCCACGAAGGTTTTGATTCCACCCATTTCGTCAGTATTACCAAAACATCACATACTCAACAAGATGGGAGGAGGAATGCTATTAGACTTTGACGATGATGATCTTTCCGACTGCAGTTACGATGACCGAGACCTAAAGTCGGATACTGATTCCACTGACACTGACTCCTTTTATGTTAATGATCTTTTGGGAGAAGAATTGCCCACAATTTGGGAGTTGGAGAGCTATGTTTCATGTGACTCGGAACAAGATGAAGATGATGACATTGCATCCATCGAAAGTTCTGACATGAGTTTGTTGGATCAGAGCGATCGCTTTCAGATAGGAGATGGCGCCAAGGTTGTTTCGGATCTACCATGTGACCTGACAATAAGAAATGAATCAGCACATTCAGGTGACGCGGCTTCTCAAGATACTCTTCAGGAGAGCCTGGATTCCGCAGCTGGATACGAAGAACTCTGGCATGTGGATCAGAATGGTGAAGCCCAGAAAACCCATACTCCAACTTCGGATCGTGATGCCAAACGACGAGAGATTCAGGCCAAGATGAGAATGTTGGAAGAACGCATCTCTGCTATGCGAGGAATTGTTTCAGAACCATCATCTCCTACTTCTCTACCAGCTTCCAAAACAGCTGCCATACCAAAGGAAGAGCCGCGACGCCCTAGACAAGGTGGTAGAAAATTGCGCCGGTCTCGTTCTCGATCCCACAGTCGTTCCGTATCCCCACCCCGAACCATCTTCAACGACACTTTGGAGAACAGGCGGAAACAAGTAGCTTTGGCACGCCAAAAGCTTCAAAATCGATTTTCACCCCCTGGAGCAGGGGATTCCTCTGATTGTTCTTCGGTTTCTTCCCAAGGAGACAATAGCAAATTGACGAATCCTCGTCACCTGCATCGACAAATGATGAAACGGACCAATGGTCCACGAGTTCCCACAAGGTTCCGAACGGCCTAATCCTAGCTACAGCACAAGCACTAGCAATTTCGGTAGACCCTAGGACTACCTACGATTAATCACATGATAGAAGATACATATAGTAATGTTAATATTTGCCAGAATCACATTCATTTTGTTTCTCTATGACCTCACCTTCGTAGTGGTAATTGGTACTATGGTACTATAAAATGAATGCGAAGCATCATGTCACCACTGAAATGAAACTACTTGACTCACTAGATGAATAGAATGCAATTACGATTATGAATACGTTGCCTACTATCTAACTTACTTCCTAGTCAGAACGTGTACCGGTACATGTACCGGTATGTTCTGCTGATAGTCCACATGAGTGATGAGTGATGAGTCATCGTGCGTTGGTGCTTTTGACTCCCGGGTTATTAAGTGAATCGTGTTTGTCCTTTGAGCGGAAGCATCTAATCCACCACTTTGTACCGGTAGGACATCAGATACTCTCTGCAAGTGTTCTCTTGTATCCTCTTGGAGGATGGAACGAACTAATTCAAAAGGATGCAAAAGCCAATAGAGATGACGCGCATATCCTACACTTATAATTATGATAAGCGAGCGAAATGCTGCTGCTGCAACTACCTTAATCAGTATTAGCTAGTTGCTATTCATAATGGATATTACTTTTTGCATCCTTTATGCCGACCATGGCCTCCGATCATATCATCGAAGCATCTCCTGCTATCCGACCTTATTTCTCTCTTGATGACGACGAATGCCAAATGCCATAATCCTCCATCGTCAAGCCTGAGTCAGTCGGGTATTGTTTAGCGTTTTCTCAAGAATCTCCTCTATTTTCGAATGATTGCTGTGTGTTCCAGGTACCATTCATACCTTTGGAATGCATCTAATGACAGTATCATTGTAGCTGCTTTCCGTAATAATGGAACTGAACCATTGCAGCAGTATTCGCAATTTCACTTGACGTTTCATAAAGTGTATTCTATTCTAATAGTTATTGTAACAGTTAACCTTTACAGCAGCTCTATCAGCTCCCAGCGACAGCAGCACCCACGTACCAATACCGACTTGTCATTGTTCATTTCACTATTGTTATTGTTGAAAGCGTTGGCTATTCTTGGCCAAGGGAAAGAGTGCTTCGTAGACAACCTTGGTAGCAGTTTCTTCTCCAAAGATGCCCGTCAACATTTTAATGGCCGGATCTCGTGAGGCTACATGTGCATCGTAGTCTGCATGCTTTTGCAAGAGATGCATGTTGTCGTCCTTTGATATTCTACTGGACTCGTCCTCTTTTTGACAAAGTTGGAGGTGAGTTTGCACACACGCCTTGTAGGCTGGCCAAAGATCCTTCCACATGTCATCGTCATTGGATGATTTGGAAAAGCGCCCCAACAATGTGCAATCCGACCAGAATTCTCCGGATTGAAAAAAGCGCTCCGACATTTCTTGTCCCAAAGATGGGTATTCATCCTTGATGGGTTGCAAATATTCATGGGCGTAATGCTCATGGGATTCGTCCAGGGGTGAAAAGTCGGAAATGGTAATCAAACGATCGCCCACTTGCAAGAGTCCATGTCCCAGGACGGGCAAATCCTTGTGTGGATAGCATACTGACGTAAAGATTTGCGTATTTTCGCCTCCATCCATGTAAGTCATGCGAATCAGGCGGTATTCGTCCGAGGCATACCATTTGGTGCGGACCCGAGTGGCAGCTTTGCTACTACTGCTACCACTGCTAGTATTCTTCTCCTCATGTTTAGTTTGTACCACAGCCAAGGAAGGATCCGGCAATTCCAGCTCCAAAAAGTTGGTCAAGTGGTCTTGAAAGTATTCCGTTTGCCAATCCCAAATAGGCTTGTAGGTGCAGGCGATGGACTCGCCTTGAATGGAATGTGACCAAGAATCAGCTGTTTTAGCTTTTTCAGATGAGAATGTCTCAGGTGATGCTTTTTCCGTCTCTGATGACGACGACGATGATGGTCGTGTCAATGATGAGAGAGGCGAAAACATGTTCCAAAAGGGAAGTTTAATGTCCAGCAACAAGCCATTGAATGCCAAAAAGGGGAACTTCAGGGGAATGTCATCCTGTGATGACAGGCGATGACTGGTGTCACGTTCCTGCTGTTCCTGTTGCTTCTTGGCAATGTCGTCAGCAGTGCTGGGACCTGTTGGTGAAGTCACGGAAGCTTCTGCTGGTGATGACATAATCCATGCTGATGTCTCCATGGCCGAATTGGCGAAAACAATAAGGATGACCATCAGAATATGAAGCGAAGGTAATATCGATATTGACGTCATCATTATAATGTCAGTGAGAGTGTTTGTGTCTGTGATGAATCAGTTTCGATAAGCTGTGCGGTGAAGGTAAGAGCTGTCTTTCTTTGTGAGTGATCCAAAGCAAACACAAAATTCAATAACAGAGCTGATGGTCTTGCTTTTAAATTGGGATGGATGAAGGAAAGTGGGAATCGATGGAATGTATCCAGCAGTGATCTAAAAATGGCCTGAGCCAGCAAAGTTCGCATTCTGGAAGTGCCGTCCCCTTTTTTCAGCCTCTTTCCTCCTGGTTCCGGCATGATTGGTACGATTGGATTGGTCATGAATTTGAACTTACGACTCATTTACAAAAACTATAGAAGTACTCAAGTCGACCGAGTCAAATCAAGAGCATCACAAAGAAAGAAAATCGAATCGAATATTCTCGAATATATGAATACACGTGCAATCTTATCACTACAGAACATTCCCAAACCTGCAAACGTATCTTTTCGCCATACAAAAATACTTCCACCAAACGAGAAGGGTTGGAATCTGGCAGAATAAGCACACAAAAAGTTCTTTTCACCGTAGCATTGAGTCGATAAAGATTAAAGCATCACCAAACAATAGAAGTCCATCAAGAAGTGCTGGTGCTCCTCCTCGCGAAATTGAAAACCGATACCTTCAACTATCCAGATACAATCCATTATGAAGCTCCCTATTGCAATGCTCGCATTAGTTTTGATGTTGACTGCAGCTACAACCCATGCGACAATTCTTCGAGGAAATCTCCTCGAGCAGCATGAGGAGGAGGAGAAGATGGTGGAATCCAGCACCACGAGGACCGCACCCGATAATCACCAGGATGCCATTGCTCCTCGCAAGTTGGGGTCCTCGAAAAGCAGTTACCGTCATTACTACCGCAACCATCACTACTACCACCATGCACATTATGCTTCCTTTAGTGGATCATCAGCATCTTCAAGCCACAGCAGTAGTAGCAGCAGCCATTCTCGCAAGGTCTGAAGGGGGAATTCTTGACAAAGCCAAGAACATCATCACTAGTAGTAGATAGTACATACCAATACAAAATTGGCGTTAGGAATGTATAGTACATGATCTTACTAGGATCTTACGCTTCGTCTAGGCTAGTGGTGGATCAACATTTTCTTCTTACCACTCAAGCCTCTGTACTAGTTCTAGCCAGCATCCATTCTCGCAGGAAGATATCCAAGGTCTCAGGAAGCAGGAGGAATGAATCGACAACGAAGCCAACACCATCACTAGTAGATAATTACCAGTACAGTATTTTCGTTCCAAATGTACGAGACATCTTACTAGCAGTGGAAAGATGTAATACCAGCATAGTCTCTATTCAATGCAGCCAAGAACAAGCTGATTCTCCATCTGCCTGTCGTCCGCATGAGTGAGCCAAGAATCAGCATAGCTACTGCTGTACTATCCGGGAAACCATGATAGGTATCAGCATCAAATCGTACCGGTACTATTCTCCTGGCTACCGGGTACCAGTACAAGAGGTGCTGCACCGTATGTGTTTAGATATATTATAATATGCATGTACATGTACATCAAACATTTATCCTGCTGGTACAGTATCTTTCTTTCCAAGCAATTTACAGTATGACTTCACATATAAAAGATATATATGTACATTGAGTAGAGGCCCAAGGACTACAAAAAGATAAAAAAACCGCTGTGCATATTTCAGAAATCTTTAAAAGCATAATTCACTTTCCGAACACAATATCCAAATAATATTGCGCTGCATATATACTTCAGCATAAAACTAATACACTATCGGTGAAGCGATAGAATAAATATGACAGACGAAGGAACCCGCGTCGCCAATGGCCAACACACTGTTCCTGCTGGAATTGCTGTTGAAACCTTTGCCGACAATTTCAAGGGAAAGCTTGCCAAGATTACGCCGGCAGCCGTCTCCGAATTGCTACATTCCAAGGATGCTATGGGCGCATACAGAACGCTGATTGGGAAGGCAGCCTTGGAGACGACTGACACCTTCTCTGTACCTAATCTCGTCGACATAGTTAAAGAATGTCAACCAAAGTTTCAAGAGAAAGGAGTAACTGTGGCGTTATGTCTGTTGGAATCCGACATCGGAAATTTTCGTTGGTTTTGGTTTGAGTTCATTGACCATGCCCTCTTTCCAAGTGGAACCTACAATCCAGAATATGATATCAGCAATTACCAAGTTGTCTTGGATGGTGTCCATGGCATTCCGCCCGGAGTTGCCGTCGAGAAACTTTCGGATTGGTCTTCCTCCCACCTTGTCAAGAATTGTCCCCTTGAAGTCCAGGCTATATTAGAATCCAAACTCCTAACCAGTGAATATGACCGCATGGTCAAAACGCTGAAGGAATCCATAAAGACACGAACTTCAATTGGCTCCTGGCGAACGACAGTAATTGCCGAGATTTTGAAAGAGTTCCAACCAGTCTTTGAGTCCAGGGGGGTTGAAGTGGTGGTTTGTAAGGCAGTACAAGGATGGGATGAGTACAAGTGGTTGGAATTCATCGATATCGAAGTAGCACCCCAGCATTACTTCCCAAAATACGCTGTTGATAAAAACTATCAGAGCGAACGCTTGTCCAAGCGAAATATTTCCATGGGTAGCAGTTTCTTTGGTGGCGAAGATGTGGCTACCGAGGCGTTGGTGACAGATGGAGTCATCAAGGTAGCCTCGGATTGCCCTGATGATGTGGCCGTACTACTTGAAGAAAAGGGAATTTCGGATACGGAGTATGACCTTTTGGACTCGGCCATTTCCCATAGCAAGTCCATGCGGAACTTTGTCGAAGTTTGGAGACTTGTCGAGCAAAAAGTTGTTGGTAAGTCACCGTTGTATGCAATCTTCCATTTTCAAACGCAAGCTCATATCTGAGAATTCTCGCTCCACCTAGAATTCCCTCCCATTCAACAACTGCGCGATACCTTCCTGGCAAAAGGAGTGAAACTCATACTTTGCGAAAGTATTGGCAAGTTTGGAAAGATGTATTGGCTCGAATACGTAGACACCGAAGCTTCCCCTGATTACACGACACCCTATGACAGTGGCTTGGCCGGTGACTTCGATGCACAGGGGCAAGTGTACGGAGAGGCTACAGGTGCCGCGAATGGCTGGCTGAAGGTTCCAGAGGGAGTCTATGTAGAAGGATTGAATGGGGTGAAGAAACTGACGGATGAATGTCCTCCGAAGGTTCGAGACTTTTTGACCCGCAAAGGTTTGTCAGCAACCTACGATCAATTTATCGAGGCCATCGTCAAATCCAAGAAAACCCGCAACTGGGCACGATCATGGCGAACTGCGGAGATTCAAAATGTTTTGAATGATTTCCAAGAACTCTTCCTTTCAAATGGCGTCAAATTGGTCTTGTGCAAGATCATTCCCGATGGAGGGTTGGCGTATAGATGGTTTGAATTCATTGATCTATCTGTGGCTGAGAGGTACGTGCCACAGTTTGACTTTGACAACGAAGGGCCTTCTGATCTGGAAACACTTCAAACGACGCTGAAGTTTCCAAATGGAGTTGCGGTGGAAAAACTGACAGACTACAAGTCACTGATGGAGCATATCCTAGAGCCAGTAACCGAAATGATGGAGAAAAAGAATTGCATGGTAAGTTTTTATTTGCAAAACGAAAGATGGTATCATGCCGTCCAACAGATGGCCTAAATGAAAAGTTATTTTGCTGATACCCTATAGGATCTCTACGTCGCCTTGGTCGAAATCTTGTGCCGTGGAGGAGATGAAAACGAAAAGAAAGTAGGTTGGAGCGACCACCACATGAGAGAGGTCGTGAATGTTCTTGGTCCGAGATTTGAGTCCAAAGGAGGTGAGACTATGAAAGTGTCAAACGATAGATGAATGGATTGTTTCTGCGTCGCTAACTCTCATCTTTGGTTATTACAGTATCCATGTTTCTTTCCGCCAAGGTAGAAAAGGTGACGAAGGATGGCAAGGAAGTGGAAACGCCAATCCAGTGGATCGAGTTTGTGGATCGGGATGTTCAACCCAACTATGTGGCTCAGCGAGGGGTAGATATGAAGAAAGTCCCCACACATGGAATGAATGCCGATGAAATCATTGCCTTGTCAGTCTTTTGCACCGTTCAAGCAGTCACAATCGCAGGCATGATTCTCGGCGAGACTTCTTAATAGGTGCTGGAGCGTCTCTTGGACTAGCAGTCTTTGTCATTATAAGTTAGAAAATTCTTTAATATATACATGTGATGGAGTTGTCAATCTCAGACGTACCAGTGGGGCAAGAGATGTCACACGGTGCCAGGTGCAAGTAAGATACTGTTCCAGGTACAGGTCGATGACCGCGCGCACGATTACAGACAGAATAATACGCACGTTTCGAGTCGATGTGAGCTAGATGATCACAATATAGCACAAATATCATAAAACAAGACATCACCGATCTAAAAAAGCACTTGAAACCTTGCGCATCATGTCCGAACCCAATAAGTGCTACCTTTGTGGAAAGCCTGGAAAGTTAGAAAAACTCTTTCGCAGCTGCAAGCATGAACCTGCTTGCCACAGCTGCCTTCGCAATTGTTATGTCCTCCAAGCGACGCACGTTTGCAAGTATCCACTAAAGTGCTTTCATCCAGAATGCAAGCTAGTGGTTCGTAACACTCAAATTGAACGTTTTGTTAAAACTAAAGAGGAGCTACAAACCTACCACTATCTGCATACCAAAGCCAAAATGCACAAGGTCCGACTCGGTGACAACTGGAAAGAGATTATCGAAATCTTGGGGGAAGCACTCGGAAGCATTGAGCTTTGCCGCTGCCCCAAGTGCAAAATGCTGATCACTAAGAGTGGTGGATGCGATCACATGACATGCGTCTGTGGGACCGAGTTCAATTGGGATGATACCAGCAGAAGGATTGAAGAAAAATGCCAAGTCATGGAAGCGCGAAAGGCTCATCATAATCTCCGATCAGTGGAAGCACCTTCTCTTTATAAGGGAAAGAACGTCCCGTTTCTTGGAATGGACGACGAGGACTTGTTTGCAGATTGTGGTAGCTACTCAGGCGATGATGACGAATCATCGTCTACCGATGTTTGCGCTGTGGACGATACAGTCGTTGGTTCCTATGATGAAGCACTTGACCTTGACAGTGTCCCTTCGGATCTACTAGACAGCTTCCCATCACTTTGTTTAGAAGCAAAGGAGAAATCTGCTGTTGTCTCAGCGGCAAGTGTCGAGGAGGTTTCAGTAGGAACCAAAACTGAATGGGAACAAGAGTCCTTTGAAGTTCTAGAACTAGCCTCGAATGCATCAGATGACAGTTGGACGCATTTTGAGGATGAGTCCGAAAGTAGAAGTACCGTGGCTAACGACTTTCAAACATCCAGCCAATCGACCTGGGAGGAGCTATCCGAAGTCTCGTCGGTTGTCAGCTTCAATTCGAAAACTGGGATATCCTTTCTGGCAGTCGCTCGAGCAGCACCACCCAACCAAGAATCCAGCAACAGTTGGAAAGAAGTATCCAAGGCGCCCAAACTGAAGTGTCCGTTGAAAACTATCACCGAGCATCGCGACAATGGCTCTTCATATCATGATAGTGATGCCGATGGCCAAGAACACCAGGGCGAAATGTTCGATGCTGATTTCATGTTTGACGGCGCAAAATGTGGTCGAGGTGGCAAAGGAAAGTTCATGTTCAAACATCAACCAAAGCGAAAGTATCACAGATATGATCAAAGGCAGAGATCGAGTGCGAGAATGAGACAATATTAATGCTTTGTGGCAGTTCTATAGTCACATGGGTTTGGCTCGTATTGTTGACACTGAAGAGGCGGAACGCTAATAGCTATTTAAATGAGCGAGCAAAACTTGCATACCCTCCTTTAGTAGTTGGTTCTTCTTGATTCGAGACTGACCAGCAACCCAGTCTTCTGGACCTCCTCTCTTGCCTTCGTTCTGTTCTTCGACTAGGCCACCATTTTAGAAACCCGTTCTTCATCATGTCCCCATCCACCAATAAAGGAATGGGCCGGCATCATTATGATTTCAGAAACCCCGACGAGGCCCCCCGTATCCGTATAGCATAGGTACTGGGCCTTTGTCGCACTTCTGACTTCTGCATTGGAACATAATAAAAATCACATGATCAAGAACTTGGAAGCGGTGACGATGGCGACTTCTTTGTCAGCATGCGATGATTATCATCAGCGGTTCCAACGATTGCATAAAGTCGACAAAGGACTACGCTTCCACTGCCATATCTTCCAAAGCCCTTTAACAAAGTCGTTGCTGGTTGTCTTTTCAGCTTAGCATCTCCTGCTTGCAAAAAAGCATAAGGATAATGCGGGTTTTCTTCTAGTGGAGGCTTGCTGTCTTGTACATATTTATGATTTATGAATTCCATGACACTGTACATATCGGGTCCGTGCGTCATACTCCAGGCACAAGCATTGTGGAAAGTTTGCATATTACCGACGAATCAATCCATATAGTCTCGTCCAAAGATTCCCGGAGTAAACGCAGTGCCAATGTACTTGTATAGGCATGAGAACGGCATCAGCAATCAGCAATCATAATTCCACAGAGCGATCCTTCCACATGATCTTGCTGCATCAATGGAAGATCCTGAAACGATCATCGTGAACGATTTTTTCAGGGACTGATGCAACAATGATATCGAGACTTCCAACGGGTGATACGCTTCTGTAGTTGTTGTGTTCCCATGTGGATTGTGATGATGTGATGTGATGTGATGTGATCGAGGTGATGTCGGGTGTACTGATACTGTACTGTGTGTGATAGGTACATACCGATAGTATGCGGCGCCACAATAAGTTGATGGCTCGCAGCTCGCAGCTACCGGTACGTTTGCACGTTGGACTCACTCACTCCCCAACCAGTGCACGTACGTGTACCGGTACGCGCGAGATGGTTTTCTTTTTGAAACTTTATTCTCAACAAATCGTGTCGTTCCACGATGTGCAAAGCAACCGTTTTGGCGCTGGTCCATGAACCCTCCCTCGTAATGATTTCTCGTGATGATTTCGTAATGATTTCTCGTAATGATTTCTCGTCCTCTTTCCTTCCTCAATATTAAGGGCTGCTACAGTACCACATACTTCACTCCAACCTTGAATGTCGGTACGTCGCTACGATCCACGACTAAATATCCGTTGGCGAACACCCAAACGGCCGGGAAATAGAAATTTAGCATACCGTACAATTCTTGCGAGTAAATTCGAAAATGTTGATTTTCCCGGCCGTCCCAGCGGCCTGCTTGCAGATCCCGCCCTTTTTGAATTTGCCACTTACCGGTACAACTTTCAACTTTTATTTGAACGCAACCAGACATGGCACCAAAGACTAAGAAGAAACCGCTTACTAGCTCTAGCTCTAGCTATCATTGTTACCTTTCATACAACCAGATAGAAGAGCCTGACCAGACGCAGCTTTCTTGAATGTCCAAATAAATGATGTTATAAAAAATTGATAGATCATGCTAGCGTCCTTCCTACGTCAGTGCACGTGTCAACTTACACGTCTTTGGCGGCGAAGGCAAGACGTCAGAAAAAGTTCGGAATTCCGACCGTGAGAATTCAAAAAATATAAAATATATGACGAGAACAGAGAACAGCAGTTGAATATACGAGTATACCCAAAATTCAACGCGTTTCGGAAAACGACGTCAACCCTTATTTTTAGAAAGAACAATATTATTCGAAATAAGTCTAACAATGGTCTCTTCTCGGTGCAAGAAGAATCTTCCTTCGCTTCGAGTCGATGATGACTTTATGCAAGAAGATGATGATTATCTTCCCACAACAAAGAAAGCGGATGTTGATTCGATGACCTTGAAGACCAGCATTCCCAAATCCATCACCTGTCTCACAATTGAAGGATCTGTTGTCAACGCAGGAGAAACGATTGAGCCAGATCAAGCACATTTGTATGAAGCACAGGACGACGATGATGACGATGACAACTGGGAGCACCCCGAGGAAACCGAAGAGTTCTTCAGCAGCAACGACACAGAAGATGCTGAAAACATGAGTCAAACATCATGGGAAGAAATCTCAGAAGTATCTTCAGTTCACAGCTTTCATTCCAAGACAGGTATGACCTTTTTGGATGTCGCTCGTTTGGCGACTCAAAACAAGATTGCTGATGCGAACAATCAAGAAATGGACAACTGGGTCGCCATTGCCAAAGCTCGCAATCAAGAGACCGCCAACGAAGATCCTTCACTGAACAAGGAAGGTCCACTCAAGAACTCGGACTCGATGGATGACGTGGGAGACATGTTCGACTCCCAATTCATGCTCGATGGTGCCAAAGGCATCCGAGGTGGTAAGGAGAAGTTCATGTTCAAGCGTCAACCGAAGAAAAAGTACCGTCAATGGCGATCCAAGAACCAACTGGGCACAATGCTATCTTGTGGAGCCAGGATGCCGGAGAACAATATGATTTCTGATCGCCAGGGAAATCGTATCATGGTGAAGGCTTAGGCTTTTAAAAAGACTATAATAAACTGTATTGCTTTTTGAAAAATACTATGATGTACAGTATTGTTTTTAGTAGCTTGGTGCATTCCATTTGAATCGACATACGTACCAGAGCGTTGCTGGGATGGAGTGTCGACAAGGATGTTGCGAAGAACACCTCGCGCGGACTCTTGCTGATCGAGACAACCGTGAAGCCGGCTGAATGCAACATTGCCCGGCGATAAAGGGGAAACTTCTCCCGTCCAATAACTTACATGCCGGTCAGTGGCTTTGAATTGCACTGTGACATCAACAAAATCATCCTATTAGCATTCCCACCAAACCCAAAGACACAGCTCCTCTTATTGACTTTGAAACTGTCCGACCCCAAGGCATGATGGTTCACGGGTTGAACCAAAATGTCAAGGGGGCCTACATGCATGGGATTTTGCGACAAGCCAAGGTCAGAGAAGAGTTTTTTTGGTGACAACGAAAGCTCAACAGGCAGGATCCACTAGATGGGCTGGCAAAACACTTCGAAAGTTGACTGTTGACTTTTGACAGAGTACCATATATGCTGCAACTGCAAGAGGAGAGAACAAGAAAAATGTACACCAGTCGAAGTATAGAAGTATTCATTGAACAAAGAATAATTTCATGTACAGTATTATCTAGATAACAGTAGGTGTTTATTGATTTTCGAGGGTCACTCTCGGATAAATTTGCGCGTACCCACATAATCCTCCAGAGTTCACCGTCAGAATTTTACCACCAGTGACGCCAAGTGTTCCTCCAACATCATAAAAGTATTTCACAGGGGTGCCATCAATTGAGACTCTTGCTTTCGTTCCATATCCAACCATTGTGATGCCTGTGTCAGAATGGAACACGAAGGGCGTCCCGGTCAGATCAATCTGTGAGCCTCCCATGAGGGCATCGTCCCAACAACAATCGTTCGGGCCAGCGCAAAAGTTTGATGCGCAATCCCATCCCCTAGGTTCATATTCCAATTTCCAAAGCGGATTGGTTTCCCAATCAAAACCTGCAAATGGAACTGCGCGAGTAGCCGAGGCAAACACCTGACTAAATCCTGGAAACGGGACTACTCCTGCGCAAGCATCGGAATAGCAAGCGTAACCATTACTCAAGCATCCATCATTGTTTGGCCCATCCTTTGCGTACGTAGTTTGGGGGCCAAAGGATATGGGATAGATCAATTGGGATGGTGCTGAACTCGGTTGCTCACTGGGCGACACACTCGGCAATTGAGATGGCGAGGCACTTGGCAAGTTACTTGGTTGTAAGGAAGGACTGCTGGAAGGTGACAATGAAGAACTGATACTGGGTTGCGAAGATGAAACTTTCGTCGGAGGATTGGAAGCAACCACAGTATCCGCCACAGTATCAGCGACAGTATCCGCCATAGTGTCAGCGATAGTATCCGCCATAGTATCAGCGACAGTATCCGCCACAGTATCAGCGACAGTATCCGCCACAGTATCAGCGACAGTATCCGCCACAGTGTCAGCGACAGTATCCGCCATAGTATCAGCGACAGTATCCGCCATGGTATCCGCCATAGTATCAGCGACAGTATCAGCCATAGTATCCGCCATAGTATCAGCGACTGTATCAGCCATGGTATCAGCGACTGTATCCGCCATAGTATCAGCGAAAGTATCAGCCATGGTATCAGCGAAAGTATCCGCCATAGTATCAGCGAAAGTATCCGCCATAGTAGGGCTGGGTGTTGGTGCGGAGCTTGGACGTTCCGTGGTTGGTCTATCTGTTGGAGTCTCCGATGGACTCACTGTGGCGGTTGGAACAGCCGATGGGCTTTGACTGGGAGCATTTGTTGGATCCAACGAACCGATAGAAACCAGAAGAACTTGAACGTAGGGTGGGCCCAATTCAAGAAGATCGATGATGGGTCCTTTATCTGCATCAAAAGCATTGGCAATCAAAGTTGTCACTTTCACGATAAGGCGGTCAATCCTGTCCTTCACAAAGACACTGAGATTGATAGAGATCCGGGAGCAAGCTGAACCACCGGTCTCCTCGTTGCAAGGTTCGTCTGGATTGAATTCTACAGCAGAAATTGCATTGCCTATCACATATGCATTGGGATCGACAGTGCGAAGTCTTCGTCTTGTGACACTTGGACATTGGGCCAGGGATGGTGCAAGATATCCTTGAATGGCCTTTTCCAGGTCTGGCATTAATACGTTCTCGAAATCAACATCGCTGGAAAATGCCACATCCATACCAACAGCAAAAGTAAATTCAGCCATATCATCCTGGTTTTCAACGGTCTCGCCATTTTTTATTGCCAAACAATCAGCGTCGGAGGGAGGGTCAAACAAAAGAGCCACGGTAGGTGCGCTACTAGGGCTGGTAGAGCGGGCACCAATGGGAGAGCTAGTTGCATCGACTTTGGTCTCATTCGCTGGGTTTTTGGGGTCTAGAACAGGGCCACTTAAAGTGGGTTCCTCATCTGATGACTTGGTTAGCATGTATGCAGCGACACCCCCACCTACCACAAGGATAAAGACCGCAACTGCGCACATGATTTTGCCTCTTCGCTTTTTCGCGTCTTCCTTGTTCCTCGCGGCTTGTTCCGCAGCGGCCCGTTGAGTTTCCGCCATTTCATCCATTCGCTGGCGCAGTTGTCTGTTCTCCTCCTCCTGTTTTCTGGCTGCTTCGTTTGCTTCCGCATCCACGTCGATAGCCATAGCTTCCACGGCGAACTCATCTTCATTTTTCGTCGCAATAGCAGACGCTCCAGCATCGACCAGCTTTTTGTGTTCCTTGTCTTGTTTTCTAGTATCCTCTTGGAATTTGCGGTGAGACTTATGGGACGACGAAGCAACGCTCTCAACACTCTCAACACCGGGCCTGGATACTTGCTGACTACTACGTCTGCTTTTCTCTTTGGCTTTGGAATCCCTATCTTTCCGTACGCTATCTTGGCGGGACGACTTTTGAGAGGTTCGACGATCATCAGTTTCGCTAAAGGCGCCCACTTGAGGAGAAGGTCTCGAACTTCCCCCTCTACCAGAACTTCGCCCTCCAGCAGAACTTCGTCTCCCGCGTGCCCGATCTTTGGCTTCTTTGTCTTCCTTTGCATTTCGGTCTCGGCGTTCGCTTGTGCTGGCTCCCAAACCAGAACGTCGGCTCGCCCGAGCCCTGTCCTTGGCTTCCTTATCTTCACGGTCACGGCGACGTCTTCGCTCACTTCTGTCAAGACCACTGTCAGCAGCTGAGCTTCCTCCTCCAGAACGACTTCGGTGCCTTCGAGCTCGATCTTTGGCTTCACGATCTTCACGATCGCGTTTCTCTCTTCGTTCACTTTTGTTGTCCCGGCTGCTGCGCGATCTCTCTTTCGTGCCGCGGCGACTGGATCGCTCTTTGGAGACCTTGGGTCTTTCCGCTTTGACGTTTTCAGTATCCATCGTTGTTTTTATTCCGTTTGCAAATTGATTGATTCAAGTGTGCAAAAAAATGGATTTTGTAAGAGAAAAAGACTCCGGCACTATGCGATGGAGAACGCATATATCGGTATTCAGGTTCAGGGTCACTTTTAGCACCACAGGCACACTTGGTACTGCCAGCTGGTAGAGCGCACCAGGAACCGTTAAATCCTTTAAGTCCAAAAGAGAAACACACGAGCAAACCGGGCCGAAGAAGGCAGAAGATGACAAGTGACTATAAAATCAAAATGCGCCCATGGTGTTTTTATATTGAAAATATTCTCTTCTGAAAAACTCATGGATGGAGCGGTACCGGTCCGTACCTCGTACCTGGTCTTATACTGGTACCATATAAACCATGTTCGTCCAGCAGAGACTCTGATGGTCAAACCGATTTTACCGAACACAATATCCGGGTGTCCCCCAATTTCGAGTCAGTTGGAGTGATTGCGAGTCGCGATGCGCGATGATGATGAGTGAAATCCATTTTATAGCATCAAATGTTGTGATCGATCGATGACATAATGTCACACATCAATGCTTTAGAACAATAAGCGACATCAAAGTTTATTACACCATGTCGGAACATTGCTGTTATCTATGTGACAAGAATGGAAACTTTGAGAAGCTCTTTCGCAGTTGCAAACATGACTCTGCCTGTCATCATTGTCTTCGAGAATTATACGTCACAAAGGCAAGGGACGTTTCCTTGTATCCCCTGCAATGTTTTCATCCCGAATGCGACCTGGCAGTTCGAAATACTCAGATTGAGAGGCTCGTCAAGACCAAACAAGAATTGCAGAATTATCACTATCTGAATGCAAGTGCCAAAATGAACAAGATACGACTCGGGGAAAACTGGCGCGATTTGCTGGACATTGTCGAAGCCTTGGGTGGCTGTGAAATCTGTCGATGTCCGAGCTGTAACATGCTGGTCACGAAAAGTGAAGGATGCGATCACATGATATGTGCTTGTGGTGGAGAATTCAGTTGGGCGGAGGCCTATCTTACCATGGAAGAAAATTTCAATTATGACCTCCCAACCACCATGATCCCCAAAAAAGGCGCTGCGCCTGATTCTGCTAGGACCAAGAAAAAATTGCCAGCTCTTGCCATGGACGACGATCTTGTGCGAGATCAAGAAGATGAATCAAATGGTAACTTTGACTCCTTGTCGCGTCCAGCTGCGGGCCCCACTCCTAGCGTCAACACGCCATGGACATCAGTTCCCCATAAACCTCTTGTTGACGATGCGGTGGAGACTGAACACGAGGAGACGGCCAGTGCAGAATCTCGTGATATTACAAGCTGGGAACACCCTGAGAACGATGAAGAAGATACATGTATGTGTAACAGCAGCCAATCGTCCTGGGAAGAAATCTCTGAAGTTTCGTCTGTTGTCAGCTTTCATTCCAAGACTGGCATGTCCTTTTTGGAAGTTGCTCGCTTGGGTCTGAATGCCTCCGCTGATACAATGTTCCATGAGAAAGAAGCAAAGGAAAATCCGCCATTGACGCATCAAGCGATAAGCCGCCAACCTCAAACGAAGTCGACTCCTCCTCCTGGGTTAGAATCGTCATCATTATTGGACTCGGTCGATGAGATGAGCGAAATATTCGATTCCAATTTCATATTGGATGGCACAAAAGGCATACGCGGAGGCAAGGAGAAATTCATGTTCAACCGTCAGCCAAAGAAAAAGTACCGCCAATGGCGATCCAAGAACCAAGTTGACATGATGCTGTCTTGTGGAAAGGAGGTACCACAAAATAATATGATCACTGATCGCCAAGGAAACCCTGTTACACAAAAGAGTTTTCAATAAGAATTGAAGGACTAAAATCCAATACTTTTTTAAAACCTGGCTCCATTCCGGGAATACATGTGAGTGGTCATTTCAGGTCAAAGTCGGGAAGTTTCAGAGACCTTTTGTTGAATCATCATCATCTATTATCCTTTTTTCGAATCCAAAACAAACTATCAAATGCCCATTTGGAATCTAATTTATAAAAATACCCCTTTTTGCTGTAGTTGTAAGGAAATGCAAATACGAAAAATGTAATACTATTATGCGGTATCCAAAAACCTATCAGATACGAGACACATATTATATGCCGGATTTTACGCATAGCAATAACATAATGTCATCATCAGCAGCATTCCATACCTCACCGTCCGCTTCAAGGACGTTTCAGAGAAGGACGGGAAGTCTCCAGTGTCCTCATTGGAAAACTCAATGCCTACCCGATCCTCAGAATCGGCCCCAATCAATAAGTCCTTTATGTCATATGAATCATCGAACACCGTGGACGAAGATGAGTCGAATGAGCTTGATTCAGTTGTCCGCAATCCCTACATCCGAGCTCGATGGTGGTGTTTTCAGCACTGAAGACATTATTGTAGGACTGATCCTAGGTATACTCTTGGCGCTGATGACCTCATTTCTTCAAGGAAGACGATCACAGAATGACTTTGTCCTATGGGAAAACAATAAGGAACGAGAGGAGTATAATAATACGAAACCATCACTGTCATCCGCGACAGCATCAGCTTTACCTATAGACGAATTGGAATGGGATTTTGCTACCAACTCGACTACGATCACAGAGCCATCAGCAATAAATGATTTATCCATCCAAGAATCTCGTTCGACCGTCTTCGATGGCAATGACTGGAAGGAAATGAGCCGTCCCGAAAATTATGTATTCTATAATCGCAATCTGAAGAAGAAGAAAAAGAAGAAAGAGGAGGAGGAATCTCCAGAAGACTCGGAACAAATTGACGAGCAAAGGTGGATAGTACTCGCCCTGCTGGTTCTCTTTGTTCCCATCTTTTCGGTCGAGTTCTTCTTTGCCCTCAGTCGGCAAATCCTGTGTGGTGGAGATACCAATGGACTCCTTTCATCAATGGATGCAGCTCAATTTCTCTGTTCACCTGTCCGATAGGTTACAAAATCCAGAAATGATACATGCTACAATATAATCAGGGGACTGGAAGTCAGCAGATGCGTTCCTATATCATACCGGTTCCCATCTATATATATATATATATATCACCATTGTTAACAGATTCACCAACCCTGGAATCGGATTGACCGGAGATAGGGTTGTCGGTCTGGGAAAGGTGGTCAATTTTGGACCGCCTCGGTGCGCCATCGACGTCCCTTGAAAACCTGGCGTCGTGTCTTATTCGCACTCCTGGTCGTACTCATCACCGCATCAGGTCTCCAAGGTTAGCAGCCTCTAGTCCATAGAAGAATGTATCATGTGTAGCAGGACTAGCTACAGCACTCTCGGATTATAATTCAGCATTCGAGAATAGACAATACCTGGGATTGAAAGCTCCACCAAGTATGATCTGCAAAGTGGCCCGTCTTCCTTTCCCCGGGCAGCTTTGCTTACTACTTTGCGGGTGGCTCGGGCTGAACGTTTTGTTTTCACACACACACCTCACAACTTACATTATGAAATTCTTTACACCAACCAATATACCAACTAGACCAAACATCAACATGACCAACACTATTATCAACTACATCAACTACATCACTACCATCATCGTCAATCAAGAATACATCATTCAAGCAGGCATCAGCTTCTTTCGATTGCCTGTTCGGATGCCTTTGATCGTCACTCAAACCGTTCGAGAAACCATTGCAGCCGGTTTGGTTTGTGCGGCGGCGCTCTTGTTACTTTGGTACATGGCGCTCGACCTATACCGAAGCTATCAAGCACTTTGCGAGCAACGGAGCTGCAACCGACAACAGCCTCCTGTTTCCATTCTTCGTTGTCCAGGAGGGTTGTCTCATCGCAAGAAAAACCAAAGTTGGTTTGGTGTGTTCACCAGAAAACCAAACCGTGTCCGTTTTGCCAAAATCTTTCGTCGAACCTTTGTCCCAAACAAGCAAGAGCTACAATCTCGCAGGGAATGCTGGGGTCTGATTCAGTGGCGCATTCAACTTCACGACGAAGTAATTCCAGAGATAGAGAACACAGTGGGATTCGTTCCACATACTCCTGTGTCCATTCTTTGTCCTTCAAGACAAGATTGGGGATCACCCAAACCAACCTCTTCAAGCTGAGTCCAATTTGCCCCTAAGACTTGAAGGAGAAACTTCATTCCCGACGAGGAAGAGCTGAAGTCCTGAAGACAGCTACTTCATCAAATTGAACGCAAGATCAAGAGACGGAATGCCCAACGCTGGAAGCTCGAGTTCAAACCTACCGTGCTTGCCACCATTATTGAAGATCCAGCAGAAGAAGATTTGAGTGACATTGACTCATCTTTGGATACTGGATTTATTGATGGCAATGTCGACTCTGAAACCATTGCAATTGCGCTCGAGAACCACCGACAACTGCTTCGAACCGTCCTTGATGACATGCTCTCCAATATTTCCGTACCAATGGATTTGGATGATGACGGCAACGTCGAGCCTAATGACATGCAAGATGAAGCACCACAACTGTCACTCAAGAGAACCGCAACTTAATGCCTTGTTGCATCGAGGGCCACCAAGCGTCGCAAATTGAATTCATCTTCGGTTCCAACTTCTGCTACAGAATGGGCCAAACAAATCAATGAACAATTCACTCCTTTGCTACCTGTCATTTTGAAGATCCAGAAGAAGAAGAAGAACAAGACAACTTTAGCGATATTGAATCGTCTTTGGATGCTGGATTGATTGATGACGGCATTGATTCTGCCGAGGATCCTTTGGAGGATACTATCATCGATGACAACATTCCGGTACCACCACCCGAGGAATCTGACAACGCAGCTACTGTTGATATTCCTTCTGATGGAATGGGATCCGGATGGACCGAGTCTGGAAAGCGCTACAGCCTGCAGAGGATACTTTCACCGAAGCTTTGGGATCTGGCATGACGGAACAAGGAAGGCGATACAGTCGCCGAGTGGCAAATCGACGAAACTGTGCCAATTAAAAAGTACATTCTTGGTACGACTTTAAAAAGATGAAGGATGATAACAGTGTGCGACAAAACACGAAGAACCCATCAAACAGCTCAATGGAAATTCACCCCATAATGACAATTTCTGTCATGACAACGACAACGACGTCACTTCATTTCTCCTGGTAAGTTTTTCTTGAACGTTTCAATTGCATCTACTTTCTGAACCATGGCCTCACCACTTTTTCTTTGCTTCTTTGTTCAACTATGATGATAATGCAATTGCACAGCAAATCTGCAAGTCTTGATGTGTCGTCGCACATTTATAAGGGATCCTTCGGCTGGCTAGTATTTCCTTTGTGGTTTCTAGTGGATTGGTCACTCACTATAGGATTGCATCGGCAATGCGAAACCAGACGATTTCATGGCTTGCTGCGAGTTTGGATGCTTCCCTCCAGTCTTTGTTGAATGGATGGGCAGGCCGAGGCTCGTAAGCGCGTCCATGATCGGCAAGAGCCCAGAAAAGCGGTCCCTTCAGTTTTTGAAAAAAAGAGTCTTGAACTCTACCACTCTGTTATTGGATTTGAATGATAAAGCGGAAGTCTCCCATGGAATATCAGAATCATGTGATCCATCACCCTGGGATATGCCGCATTTTGTCGTGAATCTGATTAGAGATTGGAGGCAGGCCGGCTTGATCACCCTTTCTGCAGGGGGGTTTGGTGATTCAACATCTTCCGTCGTCATGGAATTCAATCATTGTTTAACACTTCATGGTCTTGGTGGTGTTTTCAATACTCCTGTCTATACTTAAAAACATTCGTTAAGTGAGACATGATGAAAATCGTCCGCAATTACCGTTAGAATTGTCGTCAATTACCGTTAGAATTGTCGTCAATTGTCGTCAATTGTCGTCAATTGTCGTC